TCGATTGGCACCGCGTGTTTCGCTGGCTCAAGCAGACCCGAGAGGATTTGAACGCTATGTGTCACCATTGCCTGGGCCTCTTGATTCACGACATCAAATGCTTGCTCTCGACGCCCTCCAGATATGTAGCCAGATGCCGCGGGCCGTCTAATAGCCCGAAACACAGGCTGATATCGCACTCAATGCCAATTGCCCATGAACCTCTGATCAACTGTTGATCAAGGAACTGATCCTCCGGCTGGGACTTGGCGAGCTTGGGATGAGAATAGCCATGATTCGTTGCTCTGGCTCCTTGCATTCCTCTTTAATCTATTTTCCCAATCTCGGTGCCTCGTCGTATGACCCTTGGGCTTTTCTCCCCCTCCCATTGTTCTCTGCTAGCAGCCAATTCACTCCCCTCATCACATCTCAACATGCCGAGAAGCGAATGGATGGTCATGGCAGCACGTCATCGCGTCTCAGGCATGTTTTGAAAGACCAATCCCGATCTCGACGGGACATGCGAAGATGCCGTCTCGCATGATACATGTCGCTACAACATGATACCTAAGGTACACCTACCTAGGTAAGGAGCGAGACTAGGTTATCGTCGGGACAGACGACGATTTGGGGATTAGTGAGTCGAGGCTGTAGTTGATACTCGTTCGATACATCCATCCAGCACGCACGGGATGATGGCCCAAAATGTGCGGTGAGGGAGATTTTCGCGTCTACGACTCATGTTCTCGATGCCAGATGACGATGGACAAGCCACCTAAAGAGATCACCGGTGGTGAGGTTGGCTTGGTTGGGGAGCAGGGCGGCGCTTTCAGACCATTTCGTTGGTTGAGGCGTCTCGTCCCATTCTCTGGCTAAGAAACTGATGGGCAGATGGCACACACACTAACTCGGGGAGTGCAGAGCGATGCTACTGGGAAGAACCTTGACTGTTAGTACCTTACCTGTATGTACATACATACCTACACACACTGCTTAGAGGTATAGCCGCTCGCAATGGACCAGGAATCCCACCTGCACACACGCCCTCCATCTCGTAAGGCCTCTATTCTTAGGCAAGGCGTAAAATAGCATCTCCTAGAGAGCGGTATCGTCCTTTTGGGATGGCATTTTCCCATCCGCGATGACGTCGATGACAGAGCTAAAACAATGCCATGTTGCCGTGGGGAATATTGGGGGCTTCTCGGCGGCCTCGGATTTGCTGGGCATGGCTGGCTGGCACACCTTGCATGTAATATCCATACCGACAAGTGCAAGAAAGAGGAGAACTGAAATGGGCCGGCAATGTAGGAGCCGGGGAGCTGAAAGATTTTTTGTGGGCAGCCGTCATCATCTAGACAGGTCGTGTGTTACACAGCGTTCGTTGGGACCTCTCTCCCTTACAGATTCTGCAAGAAAAGAACGATCGAATGGGCGAGACACCACCGAGGGGGGCGTGTGAACCGGGGAAAAGATGCTGTGTAACCACTTCTGATCGTGCTGCTCAAGTGTCAAAGGCTGGGGGCGAAAAGGGGGCCCAAAGATCGGAATCTGCTTGCCGATGGATTCAGCTCATGGCAAAGCAAAGCCGTGATCTCGACGTTGCACATACTGCTTACTGTACATACAAGGCTGCACAGCGGCTGGCTTCTCGTTGCTGCTCGAGAATTTGGGCTCGGAACGGCTACTGTGCCACAACCCTTCTTTTTTTTCAGCTCCGGCTGATGGACAGGAATGATTTCCATCCGTCGCGCCTAGTGCCCTTTCCTAGCGGATGATCCCTCGTGCTGGAAACTGATGGCGAGCAGGCGGAACAAAATGGCACAGCAACAGACCGGCACACAAAGTAAGGTACTATGTAGTAGTACTACACCTTGTTACGCGCAAGTTGTATGTACCTACAAAGCCAAAGCATTACCGCTTGGCAAGCACCTTGAGAGCCGAAAGAGAATCAGCAGACCTAGCTTGCATCCATCCCTCCCCCCCTTGAGCTGGTTGTAGGCACTTTGGGCAAAAAAGTCTCGGTTTCCTCGGAGAATTATACACATCGAATCCTTTTTTTCTTTTCCCCAGACAACTTTGACGCAAGAAGAGTAAAGGGAGACGCGGAATTGAATATGGAGTACTTGCGTGGGGTCATTCACGTCTGTCACCGAAACGAAATCGGGTCCCCCTCTCTTTCCATACCGAGTCCTATTATTCCCTACTACCTACCAGCAGAAAACTTGTACAGTAACATTAGGAGAAAAAGAGAGAAAGGAGGACGAGCAAGACTCGTGTCCGCTCTCCGGAAAGTGGGGGGGTGTGAGAGAGCAGGAATTGGACAAGCTAGGATAAAGAACAACGGCCCAGAAGGCGCAGTCTGTGCCAGCAAGGACTTGCCGCTGGCCATGATGCCGTTTTGGCCCGGCCTGGCTTTGGGCCTTGGTGGTCACGAACATGGCTGGACCTTGACCCCCAACCTCTGGAGCCCAGCAGACATGACAGACGGGCTGACACACACACACACACACAGACACAGACACAACGCACACACCCTCTTTCTCAATACACGGAACGATATCGGGGAGGAAATCGCGTTCTTCGTGCCCGTCTTTCTTTGCTCCCGTTTTGTTTTCCATGCATGACCACGCACATCTGTCTCTCGTAGCGTTGGTGCTGCTTCCCCTTGTCTATCCCCTCCCCCCTCCCTCCCGTCCTCTCCTCAGATGTTACACAAGGCCACAAGACGCCCTCCCCGATCCTATCTGCTACACACTCACACCGTTCCAGTATGTATGTGTAATCGGGCAGCCGTCAAAGCCAATGTCTCAGTTGACGCCTCGCCGGGGTTCGGGTTCGGCTTCCGCTGTCCAATGTGTGTGTGTGTGTGTGTGTGTGTGTGTGTGTGTGTGTGTGTGTGTGTGTGTGTGTGTGTGTGTGTGTGTGTGGTGTTGGAGAAGGCATCGACGAATGGGAGGCAATGCAAGAATAGATACCTAGACAGACAGACACACACACACATGAGAATCTTCCAGCAAATCATGATTCAGCTTCCCCACGCCCTACATACTACTACTTCACCCATAGGCACGTATGGCCACAGGAAGGAGGGCCATTTTCTGCTGATTATTCCCCCGCTTTCTGTCGAGTCCAACGGAGTGGTTGCTGGTAATCCACATTAGTGGACGATGGCAGATGCGCAAATCGGGCATGCATTTTGATCCTCCTGCTCTTCATTCATTCGTCCTGAAACGACAGCTGCGTTGTCTGCTTTATTATTACCCCAACTCATTCATCCATCCATGTATGATAGGTAATGACATGCCGTTTGCACCCAGCCTGACTCTGCATCCAACAACTCGACTCGAGCTCCATGTCATTGTGCAGCAGACACGTTTGAACCAGCTCCGCAGTGAACAGCATGTGCCCTGTAGAACCAATATGTAATCACGTTTTGCTAGGAGGAGAGTGCTGTAACATTACCTTCAATCTCGGTCAACACTCTCTCTCTCTCTCTCTCTCTCTCTCTCTCTCTCTCTCTCTCAGAACAACATGGCCGAGATGCTTCCGTCTAATTCCCAGCCCGCACGCAGCCAAGCAAAACGGAAAAAAGTTCCCTTTGCCGTGTTTTGCCCTCTTTTAGATACTGACCCCTGCTGTTCTGCTTCCCGTCTCTGTTATGCTTCTGCCTGCGTTCTCTATCCTTCCTCGCTCGCTTGGTATTTTAACGAGGAGAGGGGGGGGACTTGCATGGGGCTTCTTCCCCCTTCTGCCGGGATGCCTGTCAACCTCTCTCTCTCCCGAGCGAGACCAGCCGCGTCCTTTTTACTCGCTGTGATAATCCCGCTCGCTTGACCAGGGGTTGTTTTCCGAGACGAACTCAAGGTATACTATGTACATACATAACACACACATGCCTCTCTTCCGGTATGTATTAGCAGTTGTATCTTTTTACAGTAACATTCGGAGGTTTCGCTCGCTCGCTCGCTCGTTTCGCTCCGCTCGCCAGAAGAGGGAGTGGGAGTGGCCCCCCCCTCCCCTGGCGGGTCAGGCTTGGGGCCGCTGGTCGATCAGCGCCAAGAGGGAGGAGGAAGATGCATGGCCGTTGATCCTTTCTTTCTCTCGCCCGACTCGTTTTTTGCCTTTTGCCAAAGGGGAGTGTCGGATTTGCGCATGCGATATGCAGCGTTAGATCGCAGATGAATCAAATTATCGTACGATCTCGGTGGCGACGATGGGCACTTGGATGTGGGCGACGGTTCCAACCAACGACATGCCCTTGTCTCTGAAGCGTTTGTGTTGTGTTGTGTGTGAGTGTGTGTGTGGGTGTCTGTGTAGTTGTCGAAAGGTAAAGTCGTGTATGCATGTTGGAGAGGCTTCCAGACGAGGCTGCGACTCCCTCGTTATTCCTCATCTTTTACTCACAATGCGCTCACCATACTGTCATTGTTATCCGTATTTCAAAGCAACTGTGTTTTCAACCTATCGTGACTATCTGGCTTCTACCCAGCCTTTGAACCTGTGCGCATGTGCATCATTACTTCCGTTTCCATGATCCTCGTGGCATCATTTGCCGTGCCTTCAATACCTGATTCCGCGATACCTTCCTTTCCCTAGTTTCCTCGACCTATGTACTCAAACAAAAGCAGCAAGATTTCGTAACTCCTTCTCGAGCATTCCCAACCCATTCGCTCTTCCCTTTCCCTAAATCATCAGATGTTGCCTTCGGTTCTCAGATTTCTGGCTCACCCTCATTCCTCAGGGAACTTCTTCTCTTCGTCAAACTAGGCGTCCTCTGACCCCCAAATCAACTCCTCACGAAGGTTGGACCTTTGCGCCGATCACTGCCGTGTTTCGCCTCCCAGGACAAAGAAGCACACGGCAAACAGAAGGAATCCCTCCAACCCTCCTATCTCTCTCTCTTTTTTTTCTTGGCGTTTTCTCGGGTTTTACTCAATGCTTTTTGGTGTTATGCTTTCAAATCCGTTTCAGGTTTCGTCAGGTAATACCTCGTCGTCCGCCTTTCATTCCATGGTCAAACCCCTGGCTGTTGGTCACAACCATCTTGACTAATGGACAGCCACTACGTCTGAACATGACGGGCTACTTGCTGCCGCCATCGTGCTGGCCACTGACATTGCGGCCCGACCGGAGAACCTCCTTGCTGGCCTTCCGGAGCTTCCAAGCGGTCGTCTCGACTCGAAGCCCCAGCGGGTTTCGGTTCCTGTGAGAGGTTGCCTGACCTCCCTGTGCCGGTTGGGACGGGGCGTATCTGGCACCAGTCACAGGGCCACTCAAAGTGCCTGCAGGCGCAGGAGCAGGAGCAGGAGCAGCAGCGCTTGCGTATGGACGAGGTGCCGATCGCGTGCCGGGAATCTGCCTCCCACTCCCAGATGGGCGAGGGGGCACCGGCGGCAAAGGAGTCGTGGGAGCTGGGGATGGCAGACCCTGATTGACCCAATCGTTGGTCATGCCCATCCGAGTACTGACGGGATTGCTGATCTGTCTTCCAGACATGTTTGGAGTGCCTCGACGGCCATCAGATGCCCAGGTATTGTTATTCATCGTGCGCTGTCCATGTGCCCTTCTTCCGGCTTCGAAGCCGACGGTGGCCCAGGGAGATGCGCCCATTGGACGAGCCGGTGGTCTGGGCGGATCGATCTCGCCAGTCAGGGCGCGGGCTGTCTGCTCGCGGAAGTACTTGATGCGCTGTCGTTCATACGGGCTCTGCTCGTCACCCGAGCTCCGTGTTGCAGAACCGGTGAATGGGCTTCGCTCCTCTCTGAAGGGCTGCCACTGACCGATGGGCTGATGAACTGGCTGTCTGGGCGTAGTCAGAATGGTCGGCGTGATGGGGGCTTGTTGGGGAATTTGCACTGCTGGCTGTGGTCGAGGCTGTAACTGAGGCTGTTGAGGCTGTTGTGGCTCCTGAGGCTCCGTACGATTGCGATTGCGTCTTCGGAATAGACTCCCCAGTGTTGTGGCCGGCGTGTTGGTGAGTTTCTTGCTCTCAGACGCGACAGGCGCCGGGGGTGGTAACGGCACATGTCGATCAAAGAAGGTGCTGGGTCGAGCATGAGCGGTCGACGGGCGACGAGTGCTGATATCATAACGCTGTGAAGAGAAGCGATGAGAATCCTCCGGGTGGCTGTGCTGCGGTACATGTTCCTCGGATATGCTATCCTCGTAGTCGTCATTTTGCTTCGAGCCCGTGTCACGCTCCTCGGCTGTGGTCGCGTTAGCACGGCTTCTGCCTTCAATGACTGGCAGGATAGTCGCCTTGTTGCCCTGAGCCCTGTGTAGCGCAAAGCTGCTGACGTTTGTAGAGATGACTGGCTTTCTTTCCATCACCCTTTCCGCTGTATGCTGCTGTGGCATCTCTCGGTGCTGCTGGATACTTATATCTCGTCGACGGAGCGTTGGCGTGGTAAAGACGGGCGACTCTACTGTGTCCAGCACTTTGGGAGGAAGGACAAACGGTTTCGCCGCCTCTGGGTGCTTCTCGAGGAATGCCTTTTCATACTTTCCAACTCCAAAGAACTCGTCCAGATCACTCAGGGTGGGAGAGTGTTTACCCGTCTGGGACTGCGGTTGACGCTGGGATTCAAATTGGAGCTGGGAGAGGTTGTTCGCTGCGACTGCATCGTACATCCGATTCACGGGAGGCGTAGGCCTTGGCTCGTGAGTAGGTCGCTCAGGTCGCTCAGGTCGCTCAGCTGGGTAAGTCGTTCCCTTGGCCGGGCCAGGCTTGGACGGTGTGATGACGGCCGACACAGAGCTACTGGAGTTGGAGCTACTCGACAGACTCCGCGGAATCCTGATGATGTCCGTGTTCTTGTCAGCCTCGTATAGGAGTGATCCAGGAAGGGGCACGAAGCCCGACTCATATGACCTGATTCTCTCGGAATACTGAGGAGGCGCGGTATTCTTGATCGGGTTGGTGAGCTTTGTCGTGTTCTTGGACGGCTGAGGTTTCTTCACTGCATTCGCATTCAGCTTGGTCCTCGCTGGCTTATCCGATACACTATGCTTCGGCTTCGTTGCCGTCGAAGGCTTCTTCGATAGATTCAGGGGAGCGGGCTGGAGCTCAGGTTCCATGTACCCATCAGTATGCCAGATATCGGCAGACGAAGCTTTCAGCGCAGCGTCATGCTTGCTTTCAACCACCTGCACTTGGCGAGCGTCCTCGACGTGGAGGCGGCCCCCTGACTGTGTGAGAATGCCTTGCACCATATCCTGTGTTGTGGCTCTCGACCTTTGTTCGGCCGCAATCGGGAAGTGGGTTAGCGGAGAGCGATCTGACGATAGGGAGTTGAACGATGCGCAGCTGTAACTGAACGGAATACCAGGTCGGACAGGAGATTCGTCGTCAGGGGTTGTGAGCTTCGCAGGGCGACGAGGTCTCGCTGGTGTTCGGGGGGTATCTCCCCTACCCTTGGTAGCATCGCCAACAAAGAGGGTAGTCTTTGAACTCTCGTCCGAGTAGACAGATGAGGCATCGGCGGCATCCTCCTTGGGCTGTGGTGCGGTATTCTCAGCATTCTGGTCGATCTCATGAACGGCCGTGGAGGGCTCCTCGGATACCAGCGAAACCGAAGCACGTCGGGCCTCGCGTTGGCTCATCGGTGAGGGCCAGAGATGTCGATCGTCAGTGTAGAGATCGTCCTCTTCTCTGTCGTTGGAGGAGATGGATGACACGGTCGAGGCATGAGGTAGAGTCCGAACATGTCCGATCGTTGATGCCCTGCTCCTCAAGTCAGTAACTGATTTGGATGCCGAAGAACCACGCCAAACTTACTTGATCCCCTTCATGTTGACTGCAGCCGCAGGGCCCTGAGCCGAACTTTGCTCGCCCGAGGTCTGCTTCACCTCATCATGAATTTTGTTTTGAAACAAAACTTGTGATGCCTGATGGGACCCCGAAGACGGCACATCCATCATGGTCGTGAGGCCCGAAGCCATGGTGTCAAGGTTCAGGGAGAGCCGAGGTGGTCTCGCAGGCACCCCCGTCATGCCCTTGACAGTCTCGACCGATTCGGCATCTGACTCGTTCCCTTTATTGAGAGGCTCCAGGTTGACCGTCTTCTTATTCTCGTCATTGTTGCTGAGAGAGAATCGGCGTCGGATAGTTGACGGAATCTTGGGCAACACGAGGAAGTTCTCCCAATTCTGACCCCAGAGCCAGGCTTTCTTAGGCGGAGGTAGCTCGCATTCCCGCTTCTCCTTCTTGGCATTGGCTTGTTCGACGAAATATAGTCGTGCGTATTCCATGGTAGAAAGACGTGGTTCGCGCATGCTATACTTGACGTCAACCTTTGGCAGCGAGGAAGGGCGGCCTTGTTCTTGGCTAGCATAACTCTCCGGCCTTCTGGTGGTGGTTGGTCTATCAACTGATTGCGTCGAAGCGGCACGTTGACTGTAGAGAGTCTGTTGGCTGTTTCGAACTGCTTCGGGCAGGGACGACGTGCGGAGACTGAAGCTGTCTCGAAGTTGGCCGTAGGAGGCTTTGGGACGAGTTGGGGGTCGAGCAGGAACCTGGGCGGGCTGCTTCACCAGTTTTGCGCTCGACCTGGCCTTGTTACTAGCCATGACGGTGGCAAGCTGCGAAACCTTTGAGCTGCTCGGTTCACCAGACTGCAACTCTGGCTGCGATCGCATTCGCTGCAGAAGCTTGAAGCCGCTCCTTGTGATGGTTGCCCTCATCGACGCGGGAATCTCGGGAGTCGGAGGGACCGGAGGAATGTCGTCTTCAACCTTTCTGCTCCTCCTCTGCCTCGATTGCAATAGCCTCTGTCTCGTGGACAACGGCTTTTGCTTGGGTGACGGCGCCTTTTGCTTCAGGGGAAGAGACGTCTTCTTCAGCTTCTTGGCAGGGTCGAACGTCTTGGCCGAAACTCTTTCTCCTTTGACAACAGTCTCGTCACCGGCATCATACTAGAATTTGCGGCGAAATTTCTGCTTTGGGAGGAGAAGGCCAAGCTGAGCCTTTTCGCGTGAATCAAGGTTCAGGTCTTTGGCAAGCGGGTGCTGATCGAAGGCCGTCTTTGAGAGAGTGGACGTGCTTTTGACTCGCAGCTTTGGTGCTGATGGATCGTCAAACGCAAAGGCCGCGCCGTCGGTCTTGGATGGTGATACCTCTCGCCCTGGGAGGCCCTTCAGGAGAGGGTTGGGAACAGGGGGAGCGGACGCCACAAACTCTGGCGAGATGGGCCTTTGAGCACCAGCGAGCTCTGCCACTTCGCGGGGGCTCTGAGGAGAGCCTTTGAGGATGGATTTCACCATGACGACAGAGTTCGGGGTGAAGGATGGGCGACGAGATGCTGATTTCCGGCGAGATGTTGGTGCTTCCGCCAGCTTCAGAACATTGAAGCACAGCGTCTCGATCGTCTTGAACTCCTCAATATACTGAGTGAATGCCTTGTATGCAACTTCATACCTAGGCAAGCCGCACCAGATGAACAGCTTCTCTTGGATGAAGGCCTGCTGCTTCTCGGCCGACGGGTTATCCCCCATAAGATGGAGAAGGATTGTAAATCGGATGCAGTCGAGCAGAGTATCAGTGTATGGGACAAGGCTCACGTCTCCCGAGTCCATCAGTAAGTCCTGAGCAGGGAAGACGGCATTGACGACTGCCATGATTTCCACCGGAGGCTTTCTGGTGGCTTCTGAATGTTGTATCTCCAGGACAACCGTCTGAAGAGAATGTCGCAAGTTAGCCAACAATTCGAGTCCAGGGTCTTTGCAGGAAACTCACAGATGCTCTGAAACCCATGAAAATGGTGCAGAATTTTTCCGTCGTCTTCTTATTGAGCTCCTGGATCATCGCCGCGGACGAATGGGCGGGATGGCCGGGTTTGAAAGTCAAGGGGGTATCAGCGACCAGTCGGCGCCGGCGAAGCTCAACGACGTTGAGGTCAGCGAGGCCTTCCAAGACCCTGTCAAGATCCAGGCCACCGTCCTCTGGTCTCTTGAACGTGTTCAGGCTGAGTTCCCTCAACTTGTTGCGAGGATTGCAAGAAGCCTCGGGGGCCTGGCGCGAGGCAAGCCTGTCCACATACTGTCGGAGAGCCTCCAGAAGCTTGGCATCGTTGTCAAAGCCTCGCTGTCTGCGTTGAATGATGGCCTCGAAGCCGACGTGCTGAGGACTACATCCAACCGTCTCCTTGTCTACAAGTTCTTTGAGGGCTCCAAGGCCCGTGGTGAGCCACCACTCCAGATACTGCTGGGGAGTGGCTGGCATTCCGTCAGTTGGCGTCAAACGTCGAGATGAGATTAATTTGTTGATCAGGAGGAGGGTTGTCAGTGGTGTAGGGAGTAGGTCTTTGATTTTAATGCAAAAGTGACAAGAAAAAACTGCTTTACCGGGGAGAAAACGAAGAAGATGCTAGGAATATCGAAGGGAGAAGCGAGGTGGAGGGTGCGATGATTGTAGGAAGAATTAGGGCAGAGTGTTGGGAAGAGAAGAGAAGAAGGGGAGGCAGAGAAATCGAGTTTCCCCCGCCAATGAGGATGCCAAGGGCTCTGGAAGCACTTCCACATGGAGGTGAGGGTCATACGCACGCATAGGGTGACGCGTTTGGTGGCGGGCCGTTCAGATTGCTCTCACTTTCTGTCGTGGGAGAGCCAGTTGGTGTGCCAGTTGAAAGACGGACAAGGCTGGTGGCTGCTGGGGAGGATCTTCTGGATACTCGACCACGGCTTCGTCGAGCAACGAGGCTGCAGGACATAGAAACTACGCAAGGGAGGAGCTGCACATCTTCACAGCACCATCTGGCTCCTTCTCGAGGTCACGTCATGCGTATCTATCACTGCTTCAGAGATCAATGCCAAAGCCCAGATGTCCGAGCCAGAACCGGGGCCTCGAGATCGACTCCCATCGTCCGTCTGCCGGGCAAGTGCCACCACCCACAGCTGCCACTGCACGCCCAGCGACGAATGCGTCACGTGTGCACGGAGCTGACGCCCCTCTTTTTGTTTTTTTGGAGTTTGTTCTTCTTTACAGAAGTTGTGGGCTCGTTTAGGTCTTATGTAGGGCAAGGAAGACGCATGGGTGATGAGAACACATGGACGCAGCAGCATCACGAAGAGAGCATTTGGGATGCACCAACAGTCGAAATATGTGGTGGTATATCGTATAATGCTAGCGGGATGTTGTAGTCTGCAGCAGTTTCTAAATCAGTACATACTTCAAGCCCAGGTGTCCAGGGTCGAGCTCTTCTACTGCATGTAATTCCACTTATTGCCGTACCAGGCCAGACAACCCATGTTCCCTGATAAAATGGAGGTAACACGGGCAATCTGCAAAGGCAGGGGATCTCATCGATGCGTAAAATGCAACGCGCCACAAAATTCTTGGGCCGGGGGCCACGCACCAATGATATTCCCACAGGGAGGCCGCCGGATCCAGAGCCAGCAATTCCAGCGCTGAAACCCCTTTAATCCGCCCGGAGACGCCAGGGGCAAAGGCACCTGAAGCCCTGTGAGGGTGCGCCAGCAGACGTCAGTATCGGGATTTGCCAAGCAACTAAGGGGACAAAGGCCTGCCAAGGTCCCGAGGAAAGGGTACATACAATTGCATCAACAGGTCCCGAGCGTCCCTCAACCTCCAAGGACGTCTCATTCAAGTCTCCGAATCGCCATCAGCTTCGCCAGAGAACGGGTATCGAGGACAGGCTGAGAGACATCCACGATGCTACGCCAAAGCAGCCGCTTGACTCGGCATACTATTCCGCGGTCCCTCCCCAGCAGGCCGAGGCTGGACCGCGGCAACACGCGACTGGTGTTATGCAGGCCCCGGTTTTCCACTCAGGCAGCTCGACGACAAACCGGTACGTTACTTGCTGCTTCTTTTGTATTGTTCGCTGTTTTCACGGGCTGAAGTGCCTTGTGTTTCATTGTCTTTGTTTACGCATGTTGTGGACGCCATTCAGGGGAGGAATCGGGGGCTGTGGTGGCTTTGAAATAGTAGACTGTTGCGCCGCCACCACGCGTCCCCCAGGCACTCTATCGCCTTTGCATCATCAGCGATGTGATGAGATCAGAAGCTTGCAGTCGCCATATATATATTCTTTTACATAGCGGGAATCGCACCACTTTCAATTTCAAACGACTAACCCATGACCATCAGATGAAAGATTCTCACAATTCTCTTCTCAGAGTCGCCAAGATGCGAGTCAAGATTCCCTGCTCAAGAAGATGGGCGAAAGTGCCGCCACCACATTCGCTTCCATCGTCGTCCTCGCGCTCGGATTTGCCGCTGCTGGATTCATCTACCACAAGAGCTACAAGATGATTGTCCTCAAGAAGATGACCCGCGCTTTCGAGCCAGGCGACCCCGTCCTTGACTTGGCGACAACCGCTAAGGAAGTGCCTCGGACTCTTGTACCTGAAGACGAGCATTGGGTCCAACGCCCGGAGCAGGCGCACGTGGACGCGATCATTGACGGCAGAGAATCCGGCCACTACTACCTCTTTATGGGAGAAAAGGGCACGGGGAAAAGCAGCATGCTGATTGAAGCCATGCGCAAGACTGATGGCGACGGCGTGGCCATGTTTGAAGCGCACGCCGACACCGAAATCGTACGGATACGACTGGGCAAGGCGCTGGACTACGAGTTCCATGAAGACTACATTGGCGGCTACTTCAGTGAACGAGGTCCACGAGAGACCACCGCTCTGCTGGACATTGAACGTGCCCTGAACAAGTTGGAAAAGGTCGCGATGAAGCTCGCGAAGACAAGACGGAAGCCCATTGTCCTGATTGTGAACCAGCTGCATCTCCTGAGGAACAACGAGGAGGGCAGGGATCTGCTTGAGCTTTTCCAACAGCGCGCAGAACAATGGGCCGCGGCCAATCTCGTCACCATGGTATTCAACACCGATGACTACTGGGTTTACGAGCGGCTGAAGCTCCTGGCAACGCGCATGGAGGTTCTCGCCGTGACGGATCTGCCCAAGTCACAGGCGATCAACGCCTTGAAAAAGTACCGCATGCGCTACTTCCACGAGATTCCGAACCACAAGGAGCTCGAGGATGTATACGATCGGATCGGTGGCCGCTTGAGTTTTTTGAACCGCGTGGCCAAGAGCCGGGATATGATTCGCACATGCGATCAGATCAAAGAGACGGAGAAGAAATGGTTCCTTAACCAGTGCTGGATTCTTGGTTCCGAGATGGATGACGATGTGATGGATCAGCAGAAGTGGGCGGTACGTCTTCGATCACTAGACCTCTCCCTGACCCAGCTACCTGCTTGACCCTCGTGCTATACGTGACGGGATTGCTTGGCTAACAAACCAATCAACATATAGGCGGCTGCCATGACTCTAGCACTCGCTCTTGTGGACAAGGAGGAAGAAAAGGCCGAGACCTACGATCCAGTTGTCGGTCACCTCCTGCCAACATTTCCTTTCCATATCGCTCAGGAGATCATGACTCGAGCCGACTTTATCCGCGATCTCGACAGTCTCAATCTCTTCACCGTCACCAGCCAGGCGGATGTCCGTGCCAGCAGCGTCCCGATGCATCTCGCTTTCAAGGAGATATGCGCCGAGCCTCGGTTCCGAAAGCACTTGGAGGACACCATCCAGAGAATCGCTGATATCGAGAGCTTGGGCCGTACCCGAGAGCTTGTTGCCAAGGATCTGGTCCTTGGCGGTCAATATGATATCGAGACGAGCCGCAAGGGCATTACGGTTAGACTGAAGCAGCCAGAGGAAAAGGACGATTAATCAGAGCGGCTTAGGCTGGCTACCGACTTACAAACCAAACCAATTGGTAGGTACGAATGAGCGGTATTCACGAGACAAAGTATTCGACGACAGACCGAATACGACACGGGCGGCGACAATGGAGGGTCCTGGGCCAGGAGTTTGTCGGTCTATTCTTTTCTTCATGTTGTGTTTTCTTCTCGCCTCTTCATTTTCCTTTTTTTTTGAGTAGTCCTATTTGAACAGTTAAAAATCCCTATTTGAACAGTAATGGTCCGTGCCCGTACTAAACTTACTGCGCCCACACTAATGCCCCCATAGCCACACACCTAATTACAGTGTGAAATGCTGGCAACGCCCGTGGCCACAACACAACACCAAGACTTTATCGTTTCCAGCCGTTTTTTCGCCCTTATCCTCAGGCATCGCGATTTTTAATACCACAGACATTAAGATCGCGATAATGGACGGTCGACTCGAGCTGCCGTTGTCCTTAGAGTTGTCGCAGGGCGCCGGACTTGCAGCGATCCGCGAGTTTTATGGTCCCTCAGCGCTAGAAGCATCGTCAGCGCCAGAGGCAGCATAATTTGATGGCGATGAGCTTGACGACGACGACTTTAACATGCTAGAGACGGCAGCATCGCTATCGCCATTGCTATCGCCAGAGCCAGAGCTAGCAGCAGCAGCAGCAGCAGTTGCTATAGAATCCGATAGCGATGACGACTTTGAACTTGATATAGAGTGGCTGTCTGTGATGCAATTTCCTGACGACCCTGACTTCTTTGATCCTAGAGATCTAGCCTTCCTCCCTTGAGAAGAGACGCTATCGCCGCTGCCGCTATATATTGAGAGAGCATCAAGACCGCCGCCCACGTACGCCACGCCATCGCAGCAAGCCCGGGCGGCTGCAGAAGCTTCCCAGCAAGGAGATGAGATTATAGAAGTCCCACAGGCAGCCTGGGAGGCTGCAGAAGCTATATAACAAGCGGCAGACGACATGGATGACATAGAAGACCTAGAGGCACCTGAGCAGACTGCGGAAGCCATAGACTTGCAGCAGCAATCGCCATTAACGTCGCCGCAGATTCTGCCGCCGCCGCCCTTAGACATCTACGACTTGTTTGACGAGCTCCTAGCCTTCCTGCAGAGATTCCATCGCGATCATAACGCTGCTGTCAGAATTGCAAGGAGCGCCAACCCTCGGGAGGTTAACGGTCAGCGAATCAAGACGTACTATGTCCTCGTTTGCGATCGCGCTGGGCCACAGACTTCCACAAGCACTGGCCTTCGAAGGACCTCAACTTAACGGCGAGACTGTCCTTTTAAAATTATAGCATTAGCGACTAGGCGGTCTAGTTAGAAATGGATGTACTGCGTTGACTGCCCTGATCACAACCACCCTCCATCTATCGGGCCATCCGCTTATATCATGCACTGGCGTCGGACAGCAGCCTAGCAGCAGCAAGAGCGCGATCTTGTAAGACACCGAGCCCTTCCTGCCCGGGAGATGACCAGGATCCTTAGAGACGCGACTAACGAGCCCACCTTCTTCCGGGAGAACGATATCTATAACGACAGACAGCGGATACGCCTCCAAGGCCTAGGTGGCCTCTCCGCGACCCAGGCCTGGATTAAGCAACTTCAAGACAACCAGTTGAAGCACTACATTAAATTAGATGACGATAATAAGGTGCAGGGCGTGGTCTGGACTTACCCATGGTGTGAGACCATGTGGCGTTAGTTTCTAGAAGTCCTTGGTGTTGATAATATATACAAGACCAACCGTTTTGGCATGTTCTTGTTTGAGGCTATAGGCATCACTGATTAGAAATCTGTCGCCAATTTTGCATTCGGTCTGATTAACTTAGAAAAAGAAGATGGCTTCCTGTGGCTTTGTGAGAAATTGGAGGCCCTTCGTTAAGAGATCCTGGCGCCAGCGCTGTCTGTGGTGATCACAGATAAAGAGAAGGCGCTCAAGAACGCCCTCGCTGCAGTCTTTCCAGGTACATAGCAGCAGCTGTGTATTTATTACGTTAACGCGAACGTTCGGGCATGAATTTGAACGCGATGGAAGAGCCCTGACGGCAACTATGATGATGACGAAGATGAAGATGATGATGACGATGCCCTAGACGGCGGCCTTGATGACGACCTTGATGACGACCTCGCTGCCCGCGCCGCTCGCGCCACAGTAACATAATAAGAAGCTGAAGCTGCTATACACTTATAACCTCTAGCAGGACTACAGCCTGAGAAAGAGTTAATGCGTGAGGGCATGTTTTCTGAGTGGAAGCGCGTTGTTTTCGCTGAGGATGAGGGAGCTTTCTATTTGGCGTGGGCTGCGATGAAAAGCACCTATGCCGCTACACAAAATCACCTCTTGCAATACATCTCCAAGGAATACATGCTATGGCGAGAGCAGTGGGCTTGTTGCTTTATCAAACGCTATTGCAACTTTGGCCAGAGAGTCAACAGCCCTGTTGAAACGGCACACAAGGACGTTAAGTCCTTCCTTTTATCTGGCACTAGCGATCTTCTGCATCTCCATAATGCGATCCTTTAGATGATAGAGAAGAAAGAGCGAGACTATCATGATAACGCGGCTAGAATGCAGATGCGGCAGCGGCAGCAATTTATTTAATAAAGCTGGCTTGGAGATATCCCTCTGACGGTTGGCTACTATGGTGTTGATCTTCTGGCTAAGCAGCATCGACTTGCTCTTGCCGCGATGCCCTTAAATGACAACCCTACGCCCCTGCCTGAATGCACACACTCCTTCACACAGTAATATGGTCTTCCTTGTAGCCACGTTATCTATAAGAAGCTAGAAGATGGCGAGGCCCTTAGCAGAGATGATGTCCATCTGCGATGGTGGCTTGTAAAGCCTCTGGTAAGATTTCTACTTATTTCCTATAAGACCTTTACTAACTGATATGTATTCTAGGATCTTGAGGAGCCGCTCCTCTGTATACGCGATCCTGATATAGTCTAAAGTCTCCGCGGCCGACCCCGACTTCCGAATAACGGCAAGATGCCTGTGCCAGTGACCCTTAGAGCGGAGGAAGACGAGGAGGATGAAGCTGAAGCTGCGCCAGCGTTATTGCCGGCAACCTCATCACAGACAAGGGCACGCCGGCAGCCTCGTCAGAGAGCTTTAACGCGCCGGCTTAACCCTTTAGTGCGGCGAGTCTTGTTACAGCATGAGATAGAGGGCGGCGGCAGCTTGCCTTTATTATTAGCCCGGGCTTGAGGACGTGGGCGAGGACGTGGGCGAGGACGTGGTCGCGGCAGCGGCAGCGGCAGCGGCAGCGGCAGGGCTTCCTCACAGTTATCTACAAGTTCTAGATCGCGGCCAGCTACGCAGAGATCACAAGCAACACAAAGACGACTAGAAGCCATCGCCGCCGCCGCCCTAGATGACGATGACAGTGATGACAGTAGTGCTATTGAAGAGGTTATCGTCATCCCGTCCACCCAGCCGGCGTTAGCGATTTAGGAGGATCAAGATGAACTAGCCTAGTTGTAACTATATGCATATTTGATAGGAAAATGAAGAAAACGCTGTTTTTGAACGAATTGGCCTGCCCTGATTGCCTAGTCTTGACCCTTGTGCCCTTCTCCTGATGATATCTCCTTGACGGTAATGACCGCCAGTGTGCCACACTGTATTTTGGTGTGGGTGTATGGATAATTGTACTTGGGGGGTTGGCCTAGCTGGTGGCACGGACCATTACTGTTCAAATAGGGATTTTTGACTGTTCAAATAGGACTACTCTTTTTTTTCTTTCTTTTTCTTCTTCCCAAGATTGCCATGCGACGGCAAGTCAATTTCCTTGAGTCAAAGCACACACGAGTTTCCGATGGCCATGCCTTGATGGCATGATGATAGTCCAGGGACCGTACAAACAGATTTTCTTTGTCAACATTCAGCTTCTATGTGTATATTTCGCTTTGGGACCGCTTTATGTAGTCGGATGTACCATCATACAAATTATCAATGATAAATACTTTATATCTAAGCTATTGTTGATAACTATTTACTTCTTTCAGCCGCCGGTAGTCAACATATTTGCCCATTGTAAAGCCGAGAATGCCAGTCATGCAATTCAAACACTCAAGTGCGTGTTCAGCATACCTAGGTATAGTCGAAGTGAAAAGCAGTCTGATCTACTTATCTTATGTGACGGAGTCAGAGCCAAGAACGCACTCGATTCACCCATAGAGAGACTCTAAAGTAAGTGCGATTCCAATCTGCCAGAATTGGCTATCAATTGCCTCATCGAAAAGCTGTCCTCTTCCTGGCTGAGGCCATACATAACTCTTCCAATTTCCCATCAAAATTCCAGTTGGGTCCAGGGTAGCTACAGGGTAGGGCCACCTTGCATTTATCATCACCCCACTGCAATTTGGCTGGCCCAGGCAGTATCAGCCGGAACCTCAGTGGCCCCGGCGCGAGGGGTGCAGGCCAAAGTACCTCGCGTTAGGTTGCCTCACCGACCAGGCACAAACATCGCGACTCCAGCCACTCCCTCGAAAAACCAAAGTCCCATAATATTTTCTACACCCAGGCCAGCCTAGCAACGGCACCGCGAGGCTTCGCTTCCGCATCTCTCGCCCCCTGCCCTGATGTCTGCCAACTCCAAATGGCCCGATTTCCAGCTCGCCTCGAAATTGCGAAAGTTCATTGGCTCTAGCGCTCCTGATTCGACAGCCTCAGAACCGACAAGCTCCCAAGCCAAACGCGAGGAGCCGCAATCTTCACAGGCTAACGACGAAGACAACGACGAGCGGCAGGGCGAGGCACACACTGCAACAATGGCCGAGCTCGACAACGATCCGATCGAGGAGATGGAAGACGTGGACGATTACGCGGACGAGGGCGATGCTTCTGCCGTGGATGTCGACTTTGGCGATCTCGAAATGTTTGACAGCGCGTCACAGCTCCCGTTTTCGTCACAGCCGCCTCAGTCCTTGAAGTATGATGAGCCAGAGTTGCCGGCATTTACCGAGAGCTCGCCACGCGACAAGAGCACCAAGAAGAAGGGCAAGGATGGCCGCCGCGCGTCGGATTTCGTTGTCGACGACGAGGCCGCCGGCGCGCCCAGCGCAAAGCGCAAGAAGTCGAAGAAGAAGGCTCTCCAGCCATCCGAAGCCGACGATGATCAGTCTGTCGAGGCCCATCCCGACGAAACGACTACTGCTGCAGCCGCTGAAGACGACAGACGAGGATACAATGCGGTCGAGCATGCCACCACAGATATGGATGCACTAGACCTGACGCCCGCTTTGGCCGCCCAGCAGAAGAAGAAGAAACGCAAGCAGCCCGATTCTGTGGATGGCAAGCGACACAAGAAGAGAAAGGGGATCGAAGATGGCGACCCAACTGTCGTACAGCAGACGCAAGACGAAGCCGCCGAAGGCGCTGATGCCGGAGACGCCGAGACTGTCACCGCCACCAGTTTCCTGCATACGAACAAGCACGCCACCAGCCAGCATGTTGATAATGCGATTGAGGATGATGTCGCAAATGGTGAGGGCCAGATCTCGCCTAGCGTTGCTCGTGCTCGCCGTCGCAGCCAGACGGGAGAAGAAACGCGCTCGAGGGAGAATAGTGTATCTTCCCGAGCTCAGGTTGCCCCCATGGCCCCCATGGCAATTGACACGCCGCCGCAAGAAGAGGCCACCCCAGTTGATCGCGACGTTGAGGACCTCGCACGCGAGGCATGGAGAGAACACATCAGTAGCCAAGCCGGAAGCCATGTGAATGCACCTGGAGACTCTGCTCAGGCGGAGGGGCAGCCACCAGCCAGCCCAGCTCCACGGCGATCTACGAGAGCAAAGAAGGCGCCCGTGATGCTTGCACAAGCCGCGGACGCAAAAGTAGAAACCCCTGCCAAGAAGAATCGCCGCGCACTCGAGGAGTTGCCGTCACCCTCTGCCAACTCACCGAAGCCAAGAACAAGAACTAAGCGTGCTACTAAGAGACAGCCGCGGACATTGCAGTCATTGGAGGAGGATGGCGAGAATGGGGAAGATGATGAACCGCCAACCAGGAGAAGTCAGGGCGGAAACTACACGCAAGGAAGGTTTACAGACGCTGAGCTGGAGGGCATCAGCCGGGCTGTCGAGGCTTTCCGTAACGAGTATGGAATGACACAAGTTGAAGTCAATGAGGTAAGGCTCAGTCGCACGGTGCCCACTCTGTTTGAATCGTTTCGCTTGTTGGAGCCAAACCGCTTACCCTGGATTGCAACATAGATTATCCAGGCTCCTGGAGGCACGACCGCTGGTGATGCCCATGCGCGTCTCTGGTATCGTCTCTTCGAGGTGTGTCCTGACCGTAAGAGGCAGAAGGTCATCAACGTTGCTCGCAAGAAGTTCCACAACTTTGTCGCGCGAGGAACGTGGACGCCGGAACAGGACGCAGAGCTGGCTTCTCTCATTGAGGTGCACAAGACCGCCTGGTCCAAGATTGCCGGCATCATTAACCGCCATCCCGAGGATGTGCGGGATCGGTATCGCAATTACATTGTGTGTGGAGCGAACCAGCGCAAGGACGTATGGAGCGAAGAGGAGGAAGCCCACCTATCTGAGATTGTCAGGGACGCCATGGCCGCTATTGACGAGCTGCGGGCTGCTGAGCCTGACAAGCCTCTGTTGAAGAAAGCCTATGAAGAGCTCATCGACTGGCAAGACATCAGCGAGCAGATGGGAAGAACGCGGAGTCGACTGCAGTGCATCACGAAGTGGAAAGCCATGCAGATGCGCCTTCAGGGAAAGAAAAAGGAGAAGAAGTCCGGCCCTTCCCAGGGCTCGGAGAAGAAGAAACAACAGCCGTCGCAAGGTGAGCCGTCTGTTTCGGACGAGGACCTCGCTTTCCAGCTGGATGTGGCGCGCCAGCAGCTAGCAAGTATGCGCGAGGAGGAGCAATATCGCTTGGTCTTGGCTATTCAAGGAGCCTCGGCCTTGTCAGAGGACCAGATTCCTTGGACAAAACTGCTCGATAAGAAGTTTCGCCGCCAATGGACTCGGGGCACCCAGGCCTTGCTCTGGGATCGTTTGAAGCAGACGGTCACCGACTGGGAATCAATGACCGTTTTGGACATTGCCCAGCAGCTCATCAACGAGTACAACAGGACAGGAGGCCTCCCCGAGGTCACTGGCAGTGGCTACGACGACGATGACCGGGAGAGGGAAATTCTTCGCCAACTCAATGCTCGCAACAAGCCGGCACCAGCACCGAAAAGCGAGGAGTTTGTCCATGACTCTGGTGCAGAGGACGCCCAGGAAGACGCGCAACCGGCCGAGAGCGACAAGCTTGATATCACCATTGATCCGGCACTCATGGAAGCAGCACCGCCTTCACCACCCAAGGCAACTCCCAAACCGAAGAAGGCCGCGCCAAAGAAGACGCAAGCGAAGAAGAAGTCAAAGAAGCAGGATCTTAGCCAGGATCCTATCGAGGACAGCGAGCCGACTCTGCCAGCCGCCCCTGTCGATCAAGGCGAGGAGTCCAATCTCGAAGAAGCGCAGGTTCGCAAAGTCAAGACGCCCAGCAAATTCAAGTCGGTTAACAACGGAAACGATGAAAACGGCGTGGATGCTCCGCAGACGGAGCCTTACTCGGACAGCGTCATGGACGACATGGAGGATCTGCCGGCACGCATCTCGACTTGATGCATCATCATCTTATACCCTAGCGATATATAGTCTGCGAAAGTGGAGAGTTTACAACAATCATGGATAAGGGAGAGGATTCTTTCGAAGGTGCGGGTTGGACGTATTCACGACTTTATGGCCTAAGGAGGCTTCCTGGACGGTAATGGCGGCTGGCTGGCTGCATGGATGATGACGAGGCGCCGCGACCTTTATTGTATGTATGTATGTGTGTGTCCAGTTTAGCACAAGGGAAACGACTCGGTATGACCCTGGTTCACTGTTCTCTTATGCAACAACATGCCGACTTTGAGCATTCCTCTGGTAGACCTTGCGGGAGGACGTCGGTTGAGTGCTGATGCGTAGTAGCTGGAGCGTGATGCACGGCATGGCGTGTACATTTCTATATTGCCTTAGGTAGGTTAGTAGGTAATTACTATACGCATTTTTCCAGACGGCTCGAGCACTGGCTTCAATCACAATCTTTCACGTTTGCTTGAGCTACTGGATGGGTGTTAGTATCATTGGTTCTCAATGCCGTCTCTCAAGGTGATGGCCGTAAAATCAGGTCCAAGGTGAAGAGTGGTAAACCATGTAGGTAATTGCTAATCAGTCATAGCGCGCATTGATGGTTGTTTGTCCGGCAATTTGCTGTCTCCGTACCTGATACTAGTAGGTAAAATCGAGCTTAAGCTCAACTTGCTCAAGGATTACCGACCCCCTTCGGCTGGCGTCTTTTGGCCTGTATTGTAGCAGCTGAACGGAACCACACTGCCATCCATCTGCCTCCTTTCTCCCCCTTCTCTTGCATCGCTGTTGGGTCTGGCTGGTGTGGCTTTTACCCCCCTTGCAGCACAGGCACTACTATAGCATGCTTTACTGCATGAGGTGTGGCTACCTATGATGGAGGAGCCACGGCGACACAGAGTCGCAGTAATTGGTCTGGGTGAGTTTCCGCATTTTGCGCGTCTCATCTGCAATCCATCTTCCAGCCATCCCCCTCCCCCATGCAGAATCCTCGAAAAATGAGGTTATAGAATAGATGCGAGCATGACTGACAATGTCCAACGACGGCAACAGGTGCCATGGGCATCGTCGCTGTCAAGAACCTGCTGGAAGAAGGCTTCGACGTGGTGGGATTCGAGCGCAGCAGCTACAGCGGTGGCTTGTGGCACTTTACCGAGGACGAGGACACGCTGAGCATCATTGAGTGTGAGTGGGCTGACTTTGGTCATACATATCCTGTCGTCAGCCGTGCTCGATATTAGTTTATATTTCTTTTGTTTCTAACCTTGAGATCCATTCAGCGACTGCGGTGAACGTGTCGATTGATCGAGTGAGTTTCTGCTGCTTGGTGGCATGAGCATGACTTTAAGCTGAAGGACGCTCTACTTACTCGTACCTATCGCATTAGGCTTCGTATACCGATTTTCCCTTTCCTGTCGGTATGCAATTTCTCTCACATTCTTCCGGTCTATTGTCCATGATTAGGGGAGACTGACGTAGGATGATGCGATGCAAAGGAACTCCTACATTCTGCACTGCGAAACATGTGCAAGACTATCTCGAGGCCTATGTCGACCACTTCCATCTCAGACCCCATTTCCGCCTCTCAACCGTCGTCACATCAATATCTAGGGATCAAGATAGCGGGAGATGGAGAGTGAATATTGAAGAACAGCCTAGCGAGTGGTTCGACAAGGTGGTAGTGGCCACGGGCCCTCATATCAAGCCCATGATGCCCGCATTTGAGGGCGCCGACTTGTTCACTGGTCGACTCATCCACTCGAAGGGGTTCAAAAAGTGAGCTACATATTGACTCTCACACATTTGTGTTGGAACAGGAGAGGAGCAATTAAATCCGCTGACAATGTTTAGGCCAGAGGCTTTTGCAGGGCAGAGAGTGGTCGTCGTTGGGCTTGGGAACACGGGCAGCGACATTGCAGACGCTCTTGTTGGCCACGCGTCAAACATTTCAATATCGCATCATCACGGTGCAGTCATCGTATGGAAATCCTGTCTCGCTCTCCCTAGGCCCCCATACTCAGATCCTAGCTAATTGAACTCTCGACAGATGCCCCGTCTTCTCGATGGAGTGCCAGCCACAAGCCGCATATCTTACCGCTTCATCCAGCTGCAAGGCATCATCAATCGATGGGTCCCCACGCTCGCGGAGATAGTATACAACAAGGCCGCTCGGCAGATCATGAGAGACGCATTCGGAGAGGTCGATCCAGCTTGGAGGCTTGACCCAGCCCTCTCGGTTTTGGTCGCCAATCCGGTGGTGTCCGATACGCTTATAGCCAACTTTCGGTCCAAAGCCATATCATCAATCACGGGCATCCGGCGGTTCACAGGCGGACGGAGGATAGAATTGACCTCTGGCGAGACTATCGAGGCCGACGCAGTCATTTGCTGTACGGGGTACAAGAACGACTTTAGCCTTTTGGACAAGGAGTACGATCCGTCTTCGACACCCTCAATTAGCTGGCTCAAAGCCCCAGGCTCAAAAGACAGGCCATATCCCCGCCTGTATCAGAACGTGTTTTCCATGACTGCGCCCGACTCCTTGGCCTTTTTGGGCTGTGTGTGGTTTGTCACGGGCGCATTTTGCCTCGCGGATATAGCCAGCATGTGCATCGCGCAGGTCTGGTCGGGAAAGGCATCGCTGCCGCCACAACCAGAGATGCAGCAGTGGGTTGACAAGCAGGAAAAGAGGATCTGTGCTCTCGCGTGGAGAGGAGCTGTGATTCCGGCAACTGTGCCTCCCAGCGAGTGGCTCTCATGGGCGGATCAAACGGCTGGGATGGGAGTCGGTGAACACGTTGGTTGGGGATGGAAGGGGTGGCTCTTTTGGTGGCGCGAGAGAACGCTTTGGAGGATGGTCATGGACGGCCCGTTTACGTCTGTCTTTTGGAGGTTGTTTCCTGGGAGGAGGAAGTGCTGGGATGGGGCGAGAGCGGAGATAATGAGGGTAAATCGGGAGGTTGAAGAGCGGAGGGCAAAGGCGAAGCTTGCAGAGATGTCGAACGATTCTAAGTTTTCATGGTGATGGACGGTGGGACTGTATATACGAACTGGATATGAAGGTCATATTGTACGGCGATATAGAAAGGCATTGATCTGTTGCAGGTGTTGAACCTTGGGTTGTTCAATGTGTCGCTCGCAATCGGACTTTGAACGTGACGGTAGAAGACTCCATCTCAACCATCAACTCTCGAACTCTCATGACGTCGTCGGGTGAAGCGTGTCGTTTCTCCCTCCTTTCTTGACGGAATCCAAATGCATATCCGGCGATTCGCTGTCGGGGCAGTTGATGGCTCGAAATTCAAAGCATCGTTGCCTGCTCGCTTCTGTCAAAGGATTCCGCGATCCAACCTTGCACATGACTCTTCGCAGAGCACCTCGTCTCAATAGCTTCAACCACCAGCCAAGGGTTTCGGCGCCGACAAAAAGGACCCCGAATCGATGGCCAACAGGGTAAAAAGAATGATTGAAATCTTGTGTAAGCTGATGGAAACCAAAAGGTGGGGGAGGCCGTGCAGCCTTCCGATACCCCTGCGGACTAGACGGCAATAGCCGCCTAAAGAACGACGAGTCAGAGCGGGAAAAAAGCAGTGGGAAGCAAAAAAACCACACCAAAGCTGGCTTGGAACGAATCGCTTTTCCTTTTAGTATCTCTTTTCGCTGAACCCTTGTCCGTGAAAATCCTGGAGTCCAAGTCCTAAGCCGCCTTCAAGTGGACCGGATCGCGGAGCCGAAAGGCCGGCAGATTGATGATTGGAAAAGTTGCAAGGTGTTCGGAATTTTCCTAGCTGTCGCTTCGCTTCTATGGAGAAGCTTGCTCCTGTTTGGCTGCTGTGATTCGATTGTGGTGGACAAAAGGTGCCTCAACAAGCTGCGTCGTGTCCTAGCGCCAACAGTTTCCCATCTGGAGGCATCAACTGGAATCCGTATATAAACCAAGGCGGCAGACGCGATGACCAGAGTCGGTCTCGATACCCTCTCACACAACACTTGCGATATTGCAAGACGATCAGCGTAACCTGCCATCTTCATCGACGTCGATTCTTCAAGGCCTGCAGAATGGCGTCTGTCGAGGCTCTCTGGAGCCATGTCAAGGCCGGGCTCGACGAGAAACAAGCCTCTGTTGCCGTCGCCGCCATGATCACGTTTCTCGTCCTTGTCTTCACGACCAGAGCAATCACTGGAAGTCCAGCAACAGTCGACGCAAGCGGAAAACACAAGATCCCGCCCTCCCCGAGCTACTGGATCCCCTTCATCGGACATGCTTTATCCATGGCTAGCGCTGGCTTTCTGCCCAGCCTGAGAGATCGGTTCTCAGAGGGCATCTTCACTTTGAAAATGGCCGGCAAGATGCATCACTTCATATACAAGCCTTCGCTGGCTGCGGCGCTGTTCAACCTGCACCGCCCTGCTGCCGAAGAGCAAATGCTCGCGAACCGCCTCCTCACCTCAACTTTTGGCGTGAGCAAGAAAGACGCAGCCATCTACAACAGCATCTTCCCAGAGGCCCTGGCTCTCTATAAGCACCTCAGCTCCGAGCCGGGGCTGAGCGAGGTGACCAACGCAGCTGTGTCGCAAGTCAAGCAGACCATCAACAGCTTTGTCACGTTCAGCCCGAACCCAATGGACCAGACCGAGTGGGAGAGGATGGCCGATGTCGACGTGATTGAGGAGAGCGGCCCCGACGGCCCCATTACCCAGGTCGACTTGATGGAGCTGACGAGGAACTATGTTGCAACAACAGCAATTCCGGGCATCTACGGCACCGACTTTGTTGAAAACTTTCCCGAGCTGTGGAAGTGGATGTGGATATACAACGAGGCATTTGTCCTGATGGCCACCGGCGTCCCGGCATGGGTTCCATGGCCGCGGCTTCAGCGTGGAAAGCTGGCCCGGAGACGCCTCCTGGGATATCTGTACGAGTTCAACGAGGCCATGGAGCAGCACATGGACGGGCAGGAAACCGACCCCAAGTGGCAGAACCTCGAAAATGTCAGCGAGCTGGTCAGGAGCAGGATTGCGCTCTTCCGAAAGCACGGCGTGTCGCTCGCCGGTCGTGCGTCCTTTGACCTGGCGCTGCTGTGGGCTTCGGTTGCGAATTCCAACCCGCTTATTCCATGGATGCTCTATGAACTGTACAGAGACCCTGTGCTTCTGGAGCAGGTTCGAGAAGAGATTGCGCCGTATGTCAGGGCCGTCCAGCCAAAGAATGAGTTTGGAGATGCCGTCTGGGTGCCGCCGGTGCTGGAAGACGCGGACATTGACGGGCTGATAACCAAATGCCCTCTTCTCAAGGCCTCGTACATTGAGACGCTGAGGGTATACTCTTGCGGATGGGCGATGAAGCTGATGTATAGCGACACGGTGCTGGAAGGCAAAGGCAAAGGAGGAGAGTCATACTTGTTGAAGAAGGGATCCTACGTCCATGTCCCTCAAGAGCTGCACCAGTCTGATCCAGCGTACTTTCCCAATCCAACTGAATGGCAGGCTGAGCGACATATTCGGGAGACAGTGGATGACAGCGGCAACAAAGTGCTGACGGCAGAGCTTGGGACAATGAGGCCATATGGTTAGTGCCCTCTCTCCGTTCCCCTCTGCCCCCTTATTCCTTTCAAAACATTGAGAAGTTCGTTTGCTGACTTCATTACCTTGAATAGGTGGCGGCCTGAAGATGTGCAAGGGAAGGCAATTTGCGCTGCGAGAGATGCTGCTGTATACAGCCGCCATCATCACCTTTTATGATATGCAGCCTCCCAAGGGGGGGCCATGGCCTGTTCCCCGGACAAGGAAACTGGTTGCAAACAAGCACCCGAAAAAGCCGCTCAAGGTCTGGATCAAGAGGAGAAAGCTGCCAGCGGAGGGCGAGGCAAGATGAGATGCATGAGGAGGGATGACTGAATACATGTAGTCAGGGCAGGATTTTGGCTGTATATCCGATATCATGAATACATATATATTTCTCGTTATGTCTTGTATGCCCGCAGTCGTGACACCAAAATCACTCCATTTTGTCAGTACGCCAATGTCAATCGGTTGGTATATAAGGTATCGATGCTTTGATTCGTCACCCGGATCGAGAGTCTTGTGGACAATTGGTAGGTAGGAGTTGAGTCCAACTGTGGAAATATGGACCGTGGCCGTCCGGGATGCCTCAGGTGTGAACGTGAGCGATGACACCATAGCGTCGCCGGCTCGCGAACCGGAGCCCGAGCCTCACCTCACACAAACGCCGCAACAACCAACCGTTGCCAATTCTGCGGCAATTTGCCGGCCACGCCCAGTTGCTGTGTTCAAGACTGGCATTGGAGCTGCCTCGAGCCTTGTGCGACCGCGACCTGCTGCTGCAGTTTCCGCCTCACGGACCTATCAAGGTGCCCGCCAGTCTCCAGCTTCGACCGACACGTGCGCACTTCGTCCCCCGCCAACAGCTGGAGCCCCAAAGCCGAAGCTGAAGCTGAAGCTGCCAGTCGAGACGACCTCGAACCAACCCCGACAGCGCCTCTCCAGTGATATTGATAGTCCGCATAGCCAGCATTCGGGATGGTTTCCCTTGCCGAGCGCCTTCGACAATGATACCCCGAATCCTGCCTCGCGCGGCGCTCGCCTGCCCGCGGTGCAGCGTCGCAAAGGCGCACAGCCTCCCGCCGTGGCTCCCGCAGAGGCCGATTGCGGCCGTCCAGCGCCCGTTGCGGACGTCGGCCGTCTCTCGCCGTGAGCAGACGCCGTCTCCGGTCCCCGAGTCGCTGAAACCTCCCTCGACGAGCTCAAAACCAACGGCCGCTGAGGCCGCTTCTGCTTCAGCTTCTGCGTCTGCTTCTGCTGCAAATGGTGCTCCCAAGGCGCCTGCAAAGAAGCCCAACAGCGATGTCCTTGCTTCTGTGGACAAGACGGCGACGGAGCAGCGCAAGGCCGACTGGGCCATCATGAAGGAGATGTCGCGCTATCTGTGGCCCAAGGGCGAGGTTGGCACCAAAGTGCGTGTCGGGCTGGCTGTCGCTCTGCTCATCGGCGCAAAGGTCCTCAACGTGCAGGTGCCCTTCTACTTCAAGAGCATTGTGGATTCGATGAACATTGATATTGCTGCGGTTGGCGGCACGGCAACGACGGTGGCGGGAGCCATGATCATCGCATACGGAGCCACCCGGATAGGCGCCACCGTGTTCCAGGAGCTGCGAAACGCCGTCTTCGCCTCGGTTGCGCAAAAGGCCATCCGGGGAGTTGCGCGGAACGTCTTCGATCACCTACTGCGGCTCGACTTGAGCTTCCACCTTTCCAAGCAGACGGGTGGCCTCACGCGGGCCATGGATCGCGGTACCAAGGGCATCAGCTTCCTCCTCACCAGCATGGTCTTTCATATTCTCCCGACGGCATTGGAAATCAGCATGGTGTGCGGCATCCTCACGTGGCAGTATGGCTTCAAGTTCGCAGCCGTGACAGCATTGACCATGGTCGGATACACGGCGTTTACCATCTGGACGACGGCTTGGAGGACAAAGTTCCGCAGACAGGCCAACGCTGCCGACAACCGAGCTTCGACAGTGGCCGTGGACTCGCTCATCAACTATGAGGCCGTCAAGTACTTCAATAATGAAAAGTTCGAGGTTTCGCGCTATGACAAGGCCTTGAGGGAATACGAGAAGAGCTCCATCAAGGTAGCAACCTCCTTGGCCTTCCTCAACAGTGGACAAAACATCATCTTTTCCACAGCTTTGACCGCCATGATGTACTTTGCCGCGGAGGGAGTCGCTGCGGGGACTCTGACTGTTGGAGATCTCGTCATGGTGAACCAGCTTGTGTTCCAGCTTTCCGTTCCTCTGAACTTCCTCGGCTCTGTGTACCGCGAACTACGGCAGTCTCTCCTGGACATGGAGACGCTGTTCAACCTGCAAAAGGTGAACGTCAACATTGTGGAGAAGCCCAACGCGAAGCCCCTGGCCTTGGTCAAGGGTGGAGAGATCAAGTTTGAAAACGTCAGCTTTGGATACCATCCTGAAAGGCCCATTCTCAAGGACCTCACGGTCACGATTCCCGCTGGAAAGAAGGTTGCTGTTGTCGGCCCCAGTGGCTGCGGCAAATCGACTCTCCTTAGACTCCTGTTCAGATACTATGATGTCCAGAGTGGTCGTATCCTTATTGACGACCAGGATATTCGGGATGTCACTGTCGACTCGCTTCGTAAGGCCATCGGTGTTGTTCCTCAGGATACCCCTCTCTTCAACGATACCGTCGAGCACAACATCCGCTATGGTATGATTGATGCTTCGCACGAACAAGTTGTCGCAGCCGCAAAGCGCGCTCGCATCCACGACATCATCGAGAAGTTCCCAGAAGGCTATCAGACCAAGGTCGGTGAGCGAGGCATGATGATCTCTGGCGGCGAGAAGCAGCGATTGGCAATGAGCAGACTGCTCCTCAAGGACCCTCCCTTGCTTTTCTTCGACGAGGCAACCAGCGCGCTGGACACGCACACTGAGCAGGCTTTGATGATGAACATCAACGGCATCCTTCGCGAAAAGGGACGCACAAGTGTCTTTGTAGCCCATAGGCTGCGGACCATTTTTGACTCGGACTTGATTATTGTACTCAAGGAGGGGCGAGTTGCGGAGATGGGCACCCATAGAGAGCTCATTGACCGTGCGGGCGTCTATGCTGAGCTCTGGAGTGGTAAGTTTTGTTGCTCTAGATTGTCGTTGTGATGAATGATATGCTGACAATCGGCTTTAGCTCAAGAAACCATGTTCAGTGAAAATGGTACTGAGGCCAAGGGAGCCAAGGAAGAGGATGTTGAAGATGAAGAGGTTGCTGAGAAGAAGAATTAGACGTCTAGTCTGGAAACGACAACAAGTTGAGCAGATGTGATGAGCACATGTTGTGATGTACTTGTGTATACCGATGTAAGGATGACAAAAAAGAAAGAAAACATACCTTGATACACATTTCGATAGACCATTGGCATCAGTGACCGTCTTTTCCTCTTCACAGGGCTTTTCTACAAGCATGTTCCGTGGTGGGTTTCAGGAATAGTGTGGACTGAAGAATGGCGTCTTTGATGGTAATCATTGGATTTGTCGAGTTTCGAAGAGTATCGGGTTGTCGGAAGATCTAGGCGCTCGTCTCGCTCGTCTTGTTGCTCGTATCGTTCGGCTCGTGGTTCTCGAAGTTCGAAGGGGTTCCTGATCTATATCCCTCTCTTCCTATGGCAGAGGCCGTCACGCCCACTGCCATCTTCATGCTGTGCCTTATGTGTATGTATGTATGTATGTATTATGTATGTATGTTTTTTATGTATTATCTCGGCCGTGGCGGTCATCGATCGATCGTGGAGGGGGTGCTATCTATACCAGCATGTGTTAGCCATTGTCACTGTTTCATGAAGCTGTCTGCGTTCTGTTCTGGCGCAATGCATATTCTTCTCCGTCCAAGATGCACAGGCCAGAGGTTTCTTTTTCTGGTTGTTCAACAGGCGAAACTGTCTCAAGGCCATGAGTGTGGCCCTCATGTCTGTGAACTGATGAGTAGTGCTAGCTGTCGCTGAGGATGCAACAACGCAGTAAGTTTTACACGCCAACTCGGGTATGAAATCAGAAAACACGCCATCAACGTCGGAAATTGTCGGTCACTTGTCAATCGTACGATGTTGCTTGAAATTCTCATGATCGCTGATATATTCTTTTCCTCATGACTTCGTCGTCTCTTTTCGTCGTATGTCTCGTGTATTGTAGACAAGAATGCCCCGTCCCCCGTCAGGATCTGGACATGCCGTGGAAGAGGCAATGCACCATATCATCGCTTCATTTCCTGGACTTTGTGGCTCCCTCTTTGGTACTGACAACAAGCGCCTCCAGAGCATCAGAAGCAGTTTGGGCACCTCCCAGTGAATTCAGTTCATCACCTAAAATCCTCGCTTTCTGAGAATAGCTGTTATCTGACAGAATTCTCTTCGCGGCTGTCTCGACTTGGCCTGGGGTTGGGTTGTCGGTTTTCAAGTCGATTCCGGCACCACACCAGGTAATTCGCGCGGCCGTGTCCTTTTTGTCCTCCGTTTGACCAGCACAAAGAAGAGGGACTCCATGTGAGAGTGCCTGGGTGATGCTTCCATAGCCGCCATTTGTGATGAGCAAGCATAACTGAGGCAGTAGTAGGTGATAAGGTAGCCAGTCTGCGTATCGAACGTTTGGTGCTTGTCCAACGTGATCTTCGACTTCTTTCCCGTGCGGCGATACAACGACGAGGAGGAGCGATGAATCGTCCTTGAGAGCCTGAACGGAGGGTATGATCAAGGAAGTAGGGTTCATGGCAAGCGTTCCTTGAGTGATTCCAACGACTCGCGAGTGCGGCACTACTTCTTCCCACCAAGATGGAAGCTGAGTAGATGTTCTTGGGGATGGTCTCACAAGAGGGCCGACATAAGTGACTCTTGTCTTGTGTTGCTCTGAGTTGGGGTCGTGGGAGAATTCGAGGCTTGGACAGGAAGCCTGGATGTGAAGAAAGGAACTGTACGTGAAGCATTCTGCCGGTTCTCCGAATGGAAGTCGTTTCAGTCCAAGTAATTTTCTCTGCCTGTTCAATACAGGAGCCAGGAACAAAGGAAGTAGGATCCATCGGTTGATGAGCTGCCGCAGTCCATTTCGAACAAGGCCCAGCCAAGAGGTAGGAGGACAGTCTCCCGACACCGGGAACGGAGCTGCTGCTGACGAAGTATAGAAAGGAATGACGCCTAGGGTTGCGTATACCGGTATTTCTCCAAGCTCATAGAGAGCGCGAGCTCCATGGGGAAACACATCGACGAGCAAAGCTTCTGCGGGGAAGTCTGCCAGAATAGCTCGATAGTCTGCAACTTGAGCCAGGAGACGAGACTCTAGTCGATGAAATTGCCGGTCAAGCAAACCAGTGGAATTCTCTCTGATAAACGGTGCGTCGACTGCGGCGATGGCTCGAGTCTCGATGAAGGTTGCTCCTGTAGCGAGGACGCGGGCTTTGTTGTCTGCACTGGCTAGCCAGACAACTTCATGGCCGCGGTCAACCAGGGCTTGTGCCACGGCTTGCATTGGGTAGACATGACCAGCTGGGAAGTGAGAATGAAGCAGAAACTTCATTTTTCTGGTTTAAAGAGAGTGTTTGTGTAGAGAATTTGAGTTGGAGTGGTGTCTTTGGAGTGTTTCAAGGTAAGGTAAAGTAAAGTGCAGGTCGCGGGGCTCTTGGTGGTGGTGCTGCACCTAAGGCTGACAGGCGGGCGAACGGTTAAGCTTGGTGGGTGTCGGGGAAACAGCGAGAGTTGGCTTGGGCTTGGAACAGAATATCAACACGAGTTTCAAGCTCCGTACTGCTCTACTTTTGTAGTCAGAGAAGGCTGCGATTTGCACTCCAAAACCAGCTGTTGGACAAGGGATTACGGGGAATGATAGACCAGGTATGCCGCGCAAGTCCCTAGGACTTCTTGGCCACTACCCTACAAAATGTAGAATGACAGACATTTGCAGATCGAGCCCAAAAGTAATCCTACTCTCTGAACATGGCATCTGCAAATCCAATAGTATAATGGTTGGATTTGGATACAAGTCTTACAAATCTCTGTCTCTGCCAGAAGTTGATATCTTTGAGCAATAGAGATTCCCGTTGCTCCTACTCCTTCTCACGAGGCTCACGGGGTGAATCAAGGGGGTTGGTGGTTACCTGCCGCTGTACACTGTTCGGCCATCTCTCTCGCCAAAGCTTCCGTCAATTCCATCTTGTCAAATAAAATCACCAATATCCTCTTCATCAAGACTTTTGACAGTCGGGCATTGCGCTCTGCACAAGCCGACCCAAGCTGGGCGAAGAAGTCAAAGAGAAATGTCATTCAAACAAACCGGGATTTTGGAAACCGATAGATACGTTTGGCAATATGGAAGGAACACAAAATCATAAGCAACACAAGGCACAATGAACTCAGCCTTGTCTCGAGGTGATGTTAGTCATGGGTATCCGAAGTTACGAATGCATAGCCACTGCACTAATCAACAAGGTACGCTCTGCGTGAACAACATGAAAGACTCAGCACCTCATGAACCGCCGTTCTCCCCAGATTCACAGCGAACATGTTGAATCAAGACAAACTTTCAAACAAGAAGAGCAAAGTTTAGAGCATTCTCAAGGCGGACCATCCAGTATTGCTTTCAATAGACCTCCTGCCGAACCAACCAAAGGACAAGGTATGTGTGCTGACTCTGTAGGTACTATCCCCATGCATGAAGCATCCGTAAAATCGTCCAAGCCCAGCCACCCTCTGTACACATTACGATGGGGGGGCATAGTATCCTCACAGTCAGCACGCATCGGCCTCAATAGACCTCCTGCCTCGCTGCCTGCTCCACTAGCCCCAACCGGCGAGAATGAGACGGGGGTACCAGGGACTGGATGATACTGTTCGAGGTCTGTATCATCCAGTACAAAAGTCGCCCCGTCTCTTTCTTGTGCCCGGCTTCTGCATCGCACGCGATCTCGTCTCCACCGCGGAATCACACATTGTCACACTTCATCGTGGATGGACAACCAATATCATTACAGCCAGTTTGCCTCAGCCTCAATAGACCTCCTGCAAAACTGACAGCTCCACTGGCTGCCCAACGACGATAACAATATCCCAGCCACTCTCAGCACGGCAGGTATAGAAAGAACCAGATCGACTCTCTTGATGTAAATGTTAGACGTGGCTTCCTCACAGCAGATGAACCTTGGCTTCAATAAACCTCCTGTCACATCGCTGCTCCACCACGCCCAAGACCAGGCTGAGCCACGTTGGCGAAGTCCTTCACTATGAAGTCGGTTAGTATCTCTACACATAGGAGGACTCAAGCCGGTGTTTTGAACAGGATATCAACTCACTGCTTATGCCCAGGCCTCAATAGACCTTCTGGCGCATGATCAAAGGGTAGTAGTAACATAGAGCGGGTGGGTAATATTCTGTCTTGCCGGGGACGCGATTGTGTTGATTCAAGTGTCTGGAGCAGCCTGTAACAGTAAGAAACAGAGTGGTGGTGAGCTTCTATCTTGCTAGAAGTCCGTTAGTTTTCCTTAGAGACCCAAAGAAGCAGTTTCAGAAGTGATGGCTTGACATACCTCTCTTTGGACTTCTCTCCGTGGTTATCAGAAGCTGCAAGGCAGTCCTGACAGATTCGAGGAATGAATATGTGAGGATGGGAAAGAATGCTCCGTTATGCAAAGGAGAGGGATCTCCTCTGATGTCGTTCGCGGCTTAATAGATCCTCAAGATGAAGAGAGGTCGATGAACAGTTCCTTGCTGAAAGGGCAGTAATTAGTATACAAAGGCCGCTTCGGACTGAGCTTAGTGGCACATGATCAAACGGGAGATAGACGAAAGGAGAACAGAGGAACAGGTATGGAATGTGAAGAAATGCCATCGAGCCAAGGGATGAAGCTGATATCGAACATTTCCGTACCGTAAATTGGGAGAGAGAACATGGAAAACTCCATGGAAAACTCCAACATAGCCTGGTTATCATGGGCTTGAGGGTAATCATCTCTTGTGCAGTCTGAATCGCGGCAAGTCGAGTTCTTGCGAGGCAGGAGGATGCAAAGGTAAAGCGCAGAGCGTCATAGCACACGCATGAGGATGACGAGGTCGAATAAAAGTAGAGAAGGACCATCTTGCGCGAGGATACAGCAGCAAGCGAGATGTTGTTTGGAGCCCAACGGCTACTTATGTTGTAAGGAGGCAAAGGGCAAAGAAGCACAGGCAAGTCTTGGAACAGGTGGAAGGTGCAGCATATTGCGGTGCGCTAGGGCACGTAGGGCGGGTTGGGAGACAGTGGAAGAGCAGGACTGGCGGACATGAATACAGGTATTCACGTTTGCAGCAACTCGAAAGCTGTGCAGCGAGGGAGATGGCAATAATAATAATTTTAGCATAGAGCTACAGTTGAAAACGCGAGCAAGCTGGTCTAGAGTAACAATACATTATCAGGTTCGAATACATGGGACACCATGCTGCCAATGGAGAGAAGATCGCGTGCATGGCACAGCCTGAGGTGCACTCCACCAAAACTCTGGCACCACTTCATCGTGACCACAGGATTCCTACATCGCTTCCATTCCAGAGCAATGAATACTACGTAGGTGCCTTCATAATTACAGTCTACGCAGGATTGCAGCGATAAATCTCGAAAAAGTGATATTCAGGGGCTACACACTAGAGCATCGCGGCGTCACTTTGAGTGCCATTCACAGCTGAGATCAAGGCACTGCATCGTCAACACCAAAAGAACTGTCAAGGCACATCAACATCTACCAAGTACTCTGCATTCTGCATGGCGGGCAGTGCGGCGTGGGCATCACCACGTCAACACACCAAAACCTCCTCGAGGCCAACCGAATCCCACAGAACATCATGGACGCGTCTCAACACCAATTCACCGCTCCTTCTACAATAAAGCAAACAGAATCTCTCCAATCACGAACGAGAACAAGCCAGAACAGAAACACAGCGACGTCATTGCGCTCACTCTGCCCTCAGATCAGGAGTGGCAGCCTGAGGAAGGAGGAAAGCTCACGTGAGGCCGCGAGCTGGAGGACCCACACCCTCCCCTATATAAACCTCTCCTGCTCCCGCCCAACCCTTCCTTCTTTTCTTTCTTTCTTTTCCTCTCATGCACCGCCCAATCCTCGGATTGTGATCTTACCCGGCTCAGACCGGGACTCCCGTCGCCTGGACCAAGTCCAGCACAGAACCCTTCGGGAGGCATCAAGTGCTTCGACCCAATGATTACATGTGGACAAGGCGAAGTCCACATGGGGGAACCCAGTCAGGGCAACAGGCGACTCCGGTCTGCCTGGCTCTGCCACTGGGATCTGACTTCAAAAGCGCAGAGCCTGAACCCACTCTGCCGGATGATGATTCCCCAATATGAGGGTCCAACTTTTTTCATTGAGCTCATGGCTACAAGCCTTGACTTGAAGAAGAAGATGCTCTGGTGACTGGGCAGCTGGGGACTTGGTGATGAACCGCGATGGTGTTTGCCCTAGGATCGCGAGTGGTCTCTCGAGAGAGGAGAGTCAAAGGTTCTCTGCAGTGTGCTGTGAGGCAGTGTCCATGGTTGATCGATGAGGATGCGATTCACCTACGCAGTGTCACTGCAGAGAAATTGGGATACCGTAGCGTCCGTATTTGACTCCCGAGTCTGTCTCGCGTCTTGAAGTTGCGAAGTGGTCTCGCGAGTCATCATTTGGGGCTGGTGATGCTCACACTCCCAGCCAGACTTTGCCAGGGCCTTTGCACACTTCAAGACTGGCCATGAACCTCTGCATAAGGAGCATCTCCTTCATCGCTAAATTACCCATCTCTGATATCGTGCTGACCCCTTTTTCTTGATGCTATTTTCCACCACTGTCTGTTCTTGAAAGCATCTATCGTGATCTGTCCCTTAGCAGCTAAACATCACGACCACAACGGGATTTGCTGTCCACGACGCAGGCAAGCTCTTGGTTCGAGTCAAGCAAAGATGAGCGTGGTTGACATCTATCTTCACGCGATACTTTCCCAATCCTCGTATCTTGATAGATTAGGAGCATAACAAGATGCCATCCACAGATTTGACAGCCGTGATGTGCTACGGCACGGCGAGAGGGTGAATGATGCCAGAAAGAAGGAGTCTTTAAGCGGGAATCAAAGCTTGTCTACGTGATGGCTTCGCGATACATGCTGGTAGAGGGCATACCACTCGTTCTGTGTCTTCATCGCGGAGCATCAGCGGCGACATTTGGTAGCTTGACTGCAGCCAAAAGATGGCTACATTGTCATTGATTTTACGCGTTTCTATGTATTCTCTCGTTGCCCATGTCCCCTTCCCCTGGCCAGCTTATCGACTCATTTGCTATGCCCACCTCTCGCTAACCTTTGGGCACTCCTCGCTTGTTGCCACCACGTAACTGAGCAGAAAGCGACTTTGGGACTACTTCATTGAACAAAGAAGCAACACTTCTGATGCTGGGAGCTGCTGAGCAGAGGACATACCGTGACCAACTCTTGCTTTGAAGGGACCTATTGTTCAGTGACTGAACGCTACAAACACGACAAGTTGAACAGGTCGATGGTTTTTGTATAGTGCTTGAACTTCGTGAATAGTCTGCATTAAGATTGTCCAGATTTCGTTTCATCTGGCCCAGCCAACAAGGTCAAGCGCCGTGGATTTTGCTGCCCCTGAAGTCATCTTGGCAGGTTGATGCTCTACGGTGAGACCGGAGAGATATTCGAATCTACGATTCCTTACCTCTAAATATTCCCACATCGAGAGCTCACGGCGTAGGTAACAGACTTCAAGACACTGTTGCTATAAATGACCTATAACGAGATGTATATTCGATGATGCTACCAATATGATGAGATCGCAGTAGGCGACTTTTGGAGCTCTTTCTGACTGTTGAGAAACTGCCTTCGAGACTCCGTCGCGACAGCGTAACTCAACATTTCGAGGACAATACGTGTATATCAATGACTTGGGCTGCAGGCATGTCTCGAAGAGAGTCGTTTCTTGTGGAACTCGGGCGATCTGTACACCGTTTCGTTGGAGTCGGCGAAGGGTTTCTGTTGATTTCGATGGCAAGAATGTCTGGGTCGGTTCTGCTAAGCGGGTAGCCAACTTTCGTCAGCATGCGCCTTGTTCGGGCTTGGCAAAAGGCAGAAGAGGGAGAATGAGCATGGCGAGCAAAATCTAATACGGCGGGTTGACTGACCAAAAACCTGAGCACGACTCGAGAATTTGTTGCGTAGAACCATGCCCGAATATGTGCGAGAACTCGCCGAAATCAGCGTCAAAAAGTCAGTTGATATGGGATCGCCGAGTGTGACAGAAACCATGGCGCTGCCCAAGACCCAGTCAGAGGTTGGCAAGGAGATAACGGCGTGGCAGAAAGGCTATGATTGTGAGGCAGAAAAAGGTATCTGTGGCCATGGTGGGCAAAGTCCAGTATGAACAGAATCAAGTTCCTCTGGGGCAGCTGGACAAAGGAAAACAGACAAGCCTGTTCAGAAGTCAAACAGAAGCGTACCCTATATTGGCATAAGACGTGGCTTCATGAGCGCCATTGCATTGCCAACGATTCCTCTCTGGTTCATATGCCTCTCTCTACGGTCTCCAACGGTAAAGTGCTCAAGCTTTCTTGAACATTCGTAGGTGGTCGTGGGAAGAATTCTTTCTCCTTTCCACTAGGTAGCCACTTCGTAAAGTCAAACAGGTACGGAGAACCTCAGCCTGAGTTCTTCAGATACTTTGTTATTAACTCTGTACACGTACAATTTACGCTGTCCACCCACTTTGCAATATTTTGGCACATCTGGGCTCATAGCAGCTCGAGGTCAGAGTTTCTATGATGTTTGGCGTGCTCTTCGAGGCGGTTCGAATCGAAAACGTTCGTCAGAGCGAACGACTACGGTAATCTCACTATGTGCTGAATTATCTGGGGCAGCTTTGCCATCTGATTGCTCTGCCACTGCTCCTCAAGATAACCAAAGCAGCAACTTAACAACAGTAATACAGCATTCTCAGCAAGCGCAAGATCAAAGGTACGTAAACACGAGGCAGACAACATCCCTTCAACTCGCTGTGACTGCTTCTGACATTCCAGTATGCAGAAGCATGACACCCAAATCTGATTGTCCTCCATTGCGACGATATCATGTGAATACTGGTGATGCCGCTGCCAAGTCTCGAAACCGATTCTCGACCACCCACAATTTTGTTGTTCATTACGCGTCGGCGAGACGCCAAATACTGTCCGATATCTACAAAGGAGGCTTGGCTACAAGGCTACATCTAGGAGAGGAGCGAGGCGGTGGAGAGGATGGTGACACCGCGAAGTGTAGGCGCCGGCAGTCGACATCAATAGTTGGCCACCTACGTCTCCGAGAACGAAGAACATAGCTTCCAATACTTTCACGATACATATGCAATATATGATCAAACGGGTCAACCTTGCATGAACATCATTACGACGTACAAGTTCCCCAGAATCTCCCAAGTGGCACATCTGGTATCTTGCCAGAGGAATATCAGGTTTGCATTGAAGACACTCAACCTCGAACGGAGCAAGCATTGTGTCTGCAGATATGGTGGCTTTGGACTGGAAATAGAAGATGCCAGTGCTGCCATCCTTTCAACGCTAGGTTTGGGTTTGAAATGTAGACCTTCATTTTGTCAGCCTTCTACGTCCGCTTACTGAGGCTATCGATACCCCCAAGTCTAATTCGATACTGTGGGTATGAAGGAGGCTATGCATTGCTGGTCTAGCGAAGCGACAGTATTTGAACGCGTCTGACTACGCGCTGATGCCCACTTGAGCCTTGAACTTGATCCAGGCCGTCTCTGAAGGAGCTGAACTCACGTTGTGTGCTTGAGGATAGCTCTTTTTAAAGGATGTTATGCCAGATGCCATCTAACTCTGGATCGTCCAAGTAGTAAGATGCTGTTAAAGTGATTTCAAGAATGTCTTCTCGCATATTGAAGAACACAACCACTGACTCTACCCGTAGTGATCATGTCCTTAATGCGTAAGAAGGCGTCCCAATAACGACACATTGTGGACTCGAAGGGGATTATGGGAACCATGACAAAGTCTCTTGGGAAAAAATCATCTGAAGAATGTTTTGACATGATGCGACAGTTTGGTTCTCCGTCGGATTCACTTTAGACGTGAGGAACAACAACTACGTCTACGAAACTTGCACTGTCGTAGTAAAGGCGTGCTTTTGAGTTTCTCTGAACTGTCCTCTACAGTCACGGCAAGTACTGATGTCACATTGCAAAGATGAACAGCAACGGCTTCAATTCAATCCCTTCATCCGCATCCCATGTCTAGACCCCAAATCAATATCCGATTCTCCGGCCAAACCCCCTCCCCTTCAAAGGTCGTCCAACGTCATGGGTTCCCCGACCTCATCCCCTTCGGGATAGGCCTCGACGAGCCAAGTGCTCGTTCTCATCTCCTCAAGCCGCAAATCGTCGATAGACGTGTTGGTTGGCCTCGCCAGCATCGTGATCTCCTGCGACAGCTCGATCACGATGCCGTCGTGCCCAGTGACACGAAGGACAGAGGCGAAATAGATCTGGAGGGCACCGCCCTCACGCCTCTCATCGTGCTCAATGAGGTTGCTGATACTTCTATCGATCCTTGTTGCCTGTGTGGCCCTCTCCTAGAGGACCTCAATCTGCTCGGCTGAGGAAAGAGGCTCTCCGTTGTCGTAATAAAACACCGTGGTGGTGTAGATCAGGCGACTAAGCGCCAGCGGCCTGGTCGTGATTGACTCCAGGGAGTCGAAGACTGCACAAAACTCCCTCGCAAACCGTTCTCCGGGGCTCATGGTGGAAGGATCCATATCGCGATCGTGAATGCTGAGATTGAGCTGGAAAAGAGATTAGCGGATCAACAGCAGAAGCCACTTTCTGGGTTTGGATTTCGTACAGATGAGATGATTTGCTTGGTAGGTAGGTTTGGCAGAGGGTATGGGGACTTGTTCTTGAAGGAAGAGTGTCAAGTCAAGGCTGATCCGAGTCGACTACCTGGCATCTATGTCTTATGTACGTTGTAGTTTCCCACCTGCTCAGAAACAACTCACTTTGATCGCTTACAGCCAGTATTGCGCTTTTGAATGGCTGGCGTTCCATGTGGCCTGTGTTGTCATTGGCGGTCATCGAGAGCATTGGTGGGCCTACGCAGACGGAAAATCTCGAGTCGACTGATGGACACTGATAGAATAGAGAGGATTGTATTTGGGCTATTACTTGGCAATGATTTGCCCATATTTCATGCGTTGTCGGATGTGAATAATATCTTGTCAACTCCATTCAGGAGGTCATCTTCCGAGGAGACGATCCGACTTTCCCTCGATAGCCGAGGCGAGCTCTGCCGCCTGGGGAGTGTTTCGTGTGGAAGACCATATCCCCAAATGTGAGATACCTACGTAGAACGCAGAGCATGAATGGAATTCAATAGGATGGGTCACAGAGATGAGGTAGTGGCATCTACGGCGATCAAGATCAAGATCAAGTTGCAGCCTCGAGGGCCATAGTACTTTATAAATTCGCGAACATAACAACCTCTGTCTTCCAAAGTAAGCTATTTTTTACGCTGAGTTGAAAAGAAATGTTACTCGGATGTTGGGAACTATGCTCATGCTCTATGACCAAGAATATGGGAGTGAACCACCGAAAAGGATGGAAGCTGTGAGGGTATTAGCGATCGACCCCCTCTTTCATTGACCTCGCTGAAGTCCTGACCGTCTGCCTATTCCCTGAGAGCTGTCTTGTTCGCGGGGATGCTCATCAAATGGTGCGGTATGATCTGTCGGCCTGCAGAGCTACCGTTTGGAAGAATGTTAAAGAACTGCCCATTCACGAGAAGAACTCAAGTTCTGCCTGAGCGCCGATCCGGCCATCTCTGTGCTTTTGGGTGCTCACAAACACGGATCTCGTCATGGAAGTGCTCCAGGCAACGTAGGCTGCCGCCACCCTGGCTTGGGTCTCACTTCCGGTTCTTCGCCTCAAGTCTCTTCTGGTTTTTCTCTCAACGGCTGCCTTCACGGCTTGGCTAAACGATCGCGTAAATTGGTGTCTTTCTGCGTATCAGGCACGGAATTTGATATCAAAGGGTCGCCCCAAAAGAGATCCCATCGGTTTCACAGTGACTCAACCTTTGCAAGCAGCTGGTCTCTGCAGTGGAAATTCTGTCAACACTGGACAGCGAGGTTCCACTCTCTCCCTTGACGCCGTGCTGCGACAGAATCAGCCCACATCTAGTAAAATCCGGGGAAAGTGTAATTCTTGCTGAATTTGGTTGCTGCTCGTGTTGTTCTGGTATTTTCCTGCGGTCGCAAAATGATATCTGATCTTCATGATGACAGATGGATGACATCACAAACTGGATGCCCATCAGCTCTCAAGACACCTTCGGATGCTCTTTTGAACCTCTGCTCTACGTAAGCCAATCAACAAACCATTTTTCTTACTTCTTCTGACAATCTAGTATTGACCCAACCATCACCAAAATGGTAGAGAAGACGACGGAGGACGACCAACACCAGCAGGCTTCTGCCGGTGAGAAGCACAAGACCGAGGCGGAAACGCCAGACCCTAAGCGGACCAAGGTTGAATCAGAGACGTCTGCCGATCAAGGCAAGGAGAATGACAAGGAGAACGACAAGAGAGAGGAGTCAAACACTCATCAGACGAAGAATAAAGAGCCGGAAGAGTCCAAGTCCGAGGTAAAATCTGAAAACGGCACCACCGGCAGAGCCAAAGCAGACAAAGGCAAAGACGCGCCCGCCAGCATCCTCGAAAAGGGCATCATTTATTTCTTCATCCGAGGCCGCGTGGACGTCGACAAGCCCGAGGAAGTGGACGACATTGCGCGAAGCTTCATCATCCTCAGGCCGATAGGTCATGACGCAAAGCTGAGCAAGCCGCCGCTGGCGGATGCTGGAAACACGCGGATTCTCGTCCTACCCAAAAAGGTGCTCCCTTCTAGTGGCAGAGACCGCTTCCTAGCGTTTGTCGACAAGACTGGCGCGTCATACGATGAGATCAAGGGACAATTTCTGGCTGGTGCGGATTACGAGACCAAGACCAAGGGCACCAGACACACGCCAGCAGCTACACCGGTGGGCGAAGGTGTCTATGCCATCACAAGTACTGGGCGCGAGAGCCATCTCGCGTACATGCTGACGATTCCGCAAGAGCTCGGCGAGGTGCAGAAGGACCTTGGTCTGAAGGAGCAAGGAAGCTTCATCATTAGCACCAAGAATCCAGAGTATCCGGCGCCTGCCTCTGCTCGTCTTCCCCAAGCACCAGAGTATCCGAAGAAGTAGGTGTCGATATCCGTTCGCTTCATGCGTGACCTTGTGATTGCTGACTTGGGTTTGCAGGATGCATGAGGAGTTTCATGAATATCGCTGGATTCCCACCCGGCCGCATCACCTCGACTATGCCAACACCCAGATCCTGATGATTGGAGAGTCGTCTGGTATTAAGAAAGCTTTGGGCGTTGAGGATGACGGGGGTAAACAGGCGAACAAGGAGGAGCCCCTTGAGGAGATGGAAGAGTTGGAAGAGCAGGACTTGAAGCGGATGCAGCAGCTGTCGGGAGACGACTCTGCATCAATCTACGCAGACTTGAAGGCTCATGCGGAAGATTACCCAAAGCTTCAGACCACCTTTTGAAGGTCTTGCAGCAGCGGGGTATTTCGTTTCAATAGCGCTCAGTTGATGACACTCGTAACGTTCAATATAAAAGTCAAGGTTGTTCATCGAAGCCTCAACGATAGGCGCCTTTTCTACCCAAGAACTACATGTCACAAGAAGACCTACCTACCTATGGAGGCAGGGACACATCCACGGTGTATTTTACATAGCCACCAATAAGGTACTCCGAAAATTGAACAAATTGCACCTACTGTCGAGCAAATCTGTTAAAGCATCAGAATCTGGGTTGATCGATCAAACAATTGTACCATGTAATTACATCAAGTCTGGTGAGCAACAAATCGGAAACTTTTGAATTATTTGTCCGGATCGATACTACCTCGGTACTGTGACTCTTCGACAAGACAAAGGTAGGCTATCCATCAGCTAATGACACCCGCAGAAATGATTCACGGGCCCTTTGTGCCAACATCCTGCCTCAATTGGTCTGGCTCAGCAGTTCGGATTGTTACCCATGGAACTTTTTGCGTTTCCTCCTAAAAGGTCAAGCTGGACGAGAGCGACTAGATCGAGAGATTGCCGGAGTAGCGCGGGGCACGAGGGTCTATCTCCATTTGGAACGACTGTGACTCACAAGTGTGATTGTTGGTAAAGGGGACAAGATGAGGGGAAGTTGTCGTCGAGATAGGGTAACCATTCATGAGGAGAAGGCGACACATTGGGACGAAAACCACACGATCTGAGGTATAAGAGAGACAAGATGAGGTTCAAGGGGAAGAATCACTCTCATCGACACAATCGACAAATTGCCCAAGAATGTCTTCACCCACTTCCTTCGAGCCCATACCGGCCACGGCGGCGGCAACCATTGCGAAATACCACATCAGCTCGCCCGACTACCCAGGCCACCTGGACATGGAAATCGGTCAAGCAGAGCACCGTATCAAATTCATCAACTTCTGGCAGCTGGCCCCCGGCAGCCGCGTCCTCGAAATCGGATGCGGCCAGGGCACCACGACCGCGGTCCTGGCCGAGGCTGTCGGATCCACGGGGCACGTCGATGCCGTAGATCCTGGGCCGCCAGAGTACGGAGCCCCCTGGACGCTTGCCCAGGCGCAGGAGCATCTCTCGGGCAGCGCGATTGGAGACCGCATCTCGTGGCACTTTGCCGACCCGGTTGATTTCCTGGCGGCGAACGCGGGCAAGACGTGGGACTATGTCGTCTTTGCGCACTGCATCTGGTACTTTGACTCGCCGGCAACGCTGACGAGGATGCTGGGCGCCTTGAAGGGCCGTGCAAAGGAGCTGCTGATTGCGGAATATGCGCTCAAAGCGACGGAGTTGAAGGCCCTGCCGCATGTCCTTGCCTCGGTGGCGAGGGCCACTCTCGAGGCTCACAATAAGGCCAGCGCAGCCAACATTCGGTGCTTGTCCAGCCCGGGCGCCATTGCTGATGCTGCGGGTGAGAATGGGTGGAAGCTCGATGAGGAGACTGTGGTGGTGCCTGGGGAGGGACTCATGGATGGCCACTGGGAGACGGGAAGTGTCAAGAGCACCCACTTTTTGAAGGAGATTGAGGAGAACGTCGAGGATCTGAAAGTCAAGGCGCTGTTGCGGTCGGCTAGAGATGGTGTTTTGGGGGCCTTGGAGACGGTGGGTGTGCAGAAGTCGTGGACTATGGATGTCTGGGTGGCCAAGTTTCATTAGGGATGAAGGCTGGGCAATGTATATATCGAATACTGCTGGCCTGATTATAAGAATGGTCATGTCGCAAGAGTCCAAGCAGAAACCAATCTATTAGCATCTAATCCTTCATATATCATCTATGAATAGGCAACGACAACTCCAGCCTCATGCATGATTGTTTGCACGCGTAGGTTTCATGGTCTGCTGACCCCTGGCTCGATCTCGGCTTTGTGAGTATCCATATATTCATCCTCGAAAGGCTTCGCTCCCAAACGCCACCAGCACATGGCAGACATGAGAGCTTCGTCCTTTTCTTTGCTCCCAAAGAGGACTTCGGAGGTGCCGTCTCCAAGGTGTGTGACTGAGCGATCCTAGAAAGATGCCGTTAGTGAACCGGCTCTAAAGGAGATATCTTAGAATGTTTTAGAAGAGGGTACCATACCAGCCCTAGAGTCAGCTTAATGACACCATCTGCCCAGAGGTTCTTGTATATGTGGCTAGGCGTCTTGCCTGCCACTGCAAGAAGGATATTTTCCGCCACGACGGTCGCCTGCCGCATCGCTGATCGTGCGTTTGGATTTGGGGTGTCGGTGTCGGCGACATCGCCGCATGCGTAGACGTTTGGCAGAGAATCGTCCGCTATCTGGAGGGTCGGCTTGATTTTGATGTGTCCTGAGGGCGAGATGGAGTCGGGAGAGAGATTGGAAAGCACGTCAGATAGTGGCCTCTGTCCTGTGCAGTTCATCTACCGCAACGCATTAGCTCAAGAACGCAGAGCAGTTTGAGTAACTTGTCAGAAGAAGTGCGCGTACGAAGAAATCACAGGTGATTGTTCGGCCAGACCGAAGGGTGACGGTCCCAGAGGTTGCGTCTTCATTAACAACACGGTCTTGAAGCACGAGTTCCACTCCCAGCCTTTCGAGCCCTTCGCGCGCGGCTTTCTGGAGACCTTGACCAAATCGGTGCATCACTGCGGCTCTGGAGTGAATCAGGACGATGTGCTTCTCTGGATAGAGAGCCTTGGCGTCTGTGGCGACTTCGACTCCTGCGGCGCCTCCTCCCACGACGACAACTGTCTTGGCTGCTTCGATGCGGTTCTGCATGCGTTGGAGAAGCTTCATTCCATCCAGCTTGTCCGTAGCATTGACTCGCGAAGGAAGGCCTTCCCTGACCCCCGAGCCGGTAGCGACAACTAAGAATTCGTAGGGAATCGCTTCGCCGCTATCCTGTAGCTTCACGGTTGCTTGGTCAATGTCGACAACCTTGTCCTTTACCCAGCGGTAAGAACCCTCTGGAGCGCCAGCCATGTAGCCTCCATATGGAATGAACGCCTTGTGTTCGTGGCCCTTGACAACGCAGAATCTCGGCAGCACCCAAGTGAAATGGAAATGGCTGTTTGGCTCGACGACTACGACTCGGTATGGGCTTCGGGGAGGTAGGCCCCCTGCAATGACCTGGGCCACTCGGTAGCCTGCAAAGGAAGCGCCGACAATGACAATGTTTCGAGTCCTCTCTTCGGCTGCTGAGGATCCTAGCCAATGGGCTTGTCGTCGTACGATGGCGGCTCGGACAGCGAGTCGTACCTCTGTCCATAGGAAGAGGAGGGCATAACCCACGATTTTGGTGTAAAGTTTCGTCTTCTCCAGCATCTCGGAAACATGAAAGAATGGTTCTTCTTACAAGCAAATACCATAGCAGTTGGGCTATTTCCCATATTGCCTGCGTACCACATCGTCCTTCTATAAGCCTGGACACGATCAAAAGGGGTGAAAATGCCGACATGCTTCAACGCCTTCTCCGGCCGATTGTGTCCGAGTCCGAGTCGGAGCTCCTGGACCCGCGCGTTAGAATCTCTCATCAGAGCCCAGCGTCTGCCTTGAAAAGCTCGGGAATGCCAAGGGCCCGACGCGGCGGACAGTGGGGAGGAGGAGATCGTTGGCTGTAGGCTTGACGCTAGCAGATGCTTCGTCAGGGATGATTCTCGATCGGTGTGGGCCAAGAGTCGTTATCTGATCATCTGATAAAAATGCTTTCGTCTTCCCGCGTTGCTGCCGACGGACATTGCCAGCGGACATTGTTTCGGAGTTGGCGGGCTTTTCCTGCTCTGGTGGCTTCTCTGACTGATTGCGCGATCCATGCAACTGTCACAATCCCTTTGATGCCATAGACCGATGGCCTGGAATGCGGCGTTCTTCTCATGAACCAGTGGGTGAAAGACACACGGAACAGTGGCCTCGTCTCTTGGTATTACTCTGCAGAGTTTGGTTAGGCTTTGGGGCTTCTGGTACGCGACAAGCAACCGGCAGCCGTTGACGCTGTCCATCACTCAGAACCACAGCGGCTGACCAGCGCCTTTGCCATGAACCAAAAAGCATCCATATACATTTCGATTTTTGAAGCAGAAAAAGGAGAAGTATCTACTAATTTGATTTTGATAGTAGTTGAACTAATAAGTCTGCATCACGGCCAAAGACTTCCCAAGTCAACTCTTAGAGGCGCGCAAATGACCTTCAAACGACTTCCCTCATCTCTCAACTTGTGGCGCCTCTGCTCATGGGTACCTACATACAATTTTCTGTCTCACGCAACCCATCCAGCCAAGCCAGCGTCAAACTGGACCCCTTACCTTACCTCACCTTACCCAGGCAACCCGGCCTTAGACTTTTGGCATTCCACATTCGATCAAGCCACTGCGAAACGGATTTTTGCTTGTTTTGTACAGATTGAAGGGCTACAGCGTACCTCAATAGGTACCTCGATAGGTATATCATGTCATACTCCGTACAAATTTCCCCCATGGCACGCTGTCAAGTATCACTAGATATTCCTTTTAACATTTAACTTGGGCAATACGAGGACTAACAATGGGTTTGAGGTACCGTTCCCGAAGCGCCACCGACCCGACAAGTATACTCTACCTGCCATTAGGGCCATTGTCCGCGCAGAAAGCATGTACCGGGTTCAAAGATAGAGGCCCCCATTTGGGCTTCCTCACGAGCGACATCCGCCGCCAACAGAAAAAAGTTGCCCAGATCCCGGTCGCGCTGTGGCTGTGAAGGGGGGGGAAAAGAGAAGAGAAAATAATAATAATCCGAAGCAAGAATTAGTAGCAGGATCGTGAACCACGACTCGGTCTCGTTCTACCGCGTCTTGCTTCTCATCTTCATCTTCGTTCTTCTTCTTCTTCTTCCTTCTCCTCTTCCTCCTCCTCTTCTCTCCGTTCGATCGTCTGACCCTGTGCAGCACGGCTTCCAAGGCCATGTGCAGGCAGTCATGGCGCTCTTCCCCAAGCCTGCGGAGACGCAGCAACTCGGGCTCTTCCTCCTGAACAAGCGCCTGATCCGCATCTTCCTCGGCGTCGCCTTCTTCGTCCTCGTCGTCCTCGGCCTCGTCTGGCGCCAGCAGCACGATGCCCTTCCCGTCCTGCCGCCGGCCCCGGGCTTCGACGAGCCGCCCGGCTTCTACCCGTACGAGACGGTCAGCGACTACTGGCCGGTGTCTCTCGATCCCACCGGCAAGTCGACCCAAGACCTCTGCGCAACGTTCCCCAAGCACATGCTCAGCCTCGTCCAGCCTGTCCTCAAGATGGGCCACGGCGAGGACCGCACCAAGCTCGACGCCCAGCTCGACAGCGTCAGCGCGTGCTTCCGCCCCGACGAGCTGCTCATCTTCTCCGACCTCGACGAGCGCATCCGCAACTTCACGGCCATTGACATCCTCGCCGGCCTTCCGCCCAAGTACTACGACCTCGAGTATAACCCGGACATTGGAAACTATCTCTTGCAGAAGGAATTGAGCCAGAATGGTACGCTGGACAAGGATCAGGAGGCGACGAAGAAGGTCAATGGCTGGATCATTGATCGCTTCAAGTTTCTGCCGCAGATTGAGCGTGCCTGGTTGATGCGGCCAAACAAGCCGTTTTACTTTTTCTACGAGACGGATACGTACGTACATGTGTGCTTCTGATGATTGTCTGCCGGCTTTGGGGGCACAGGGTAGTGCTAACCCTTCTCTTCGCTCTCCACAGATATGTCGTGTGGGATACAGTATACCGGTTCCTCTCCACGTTCGACCCCGACGTTCCCATCTACATGGGCTCTCCATCCCCCGGGCGGCACGACAGCAGTCGAGACAACCTCAAGACATGGTTCGCCAACGGCGGCCCCGGATTCGCCCTCAGCCGCGGAGCCGTCAAGGCGCTTCTCCGCCGCGACGTGGCACCGCATGGCCAATACAGCGGGCCGACCGTCAGCGAAGAGTGGCTTCCCCTGATCAAGGACGAGTGCTGCGGCGACAGCGTTGTCGGCTGGACGCTGTGGAACAATGGCGTGGCTCTGCAGGGATACTGGCCCATGTTCAACCCTCATCCGCTGCACGGTATTCCCTTTAGCGATCGCTACTGGTGCCAGCCCATCATGACGCTGCACAAGACGACGCCAAAGGACATGGTTGAGGTCTGGAAGTGGGAGTTTGGGCAGAGGAAGTTTAAGGTATGTTGTAACTTCACTCTGACACATCAAATGGCGAGATATGTCTAACATGTCTGGCTTCTTAGCGGCCCTTGCTATACGCCGATTATTGGAATTTCCATCGACCAGGAACCTCCGACACTCTGGACAACTGGGATAACGGAGACTGGGACGCCTCCAAGTCTGGCCCCGAACAAGGCATTGACTCGTTTGAGAAATGCGAGGAGGCCTGCAAGAAGGACGACAGCTGTGTCCAGTGGAACTGGAGGGGTAGAGATGAAAAAGTATGTGTTCTCGCAAGATCTTTCCGATACGGAGAGAAGCGTGAGCCGGAGCAGCGAGACGACAAGTGGGTGGACTACAAGTCCGGTTGGATCAAGGACAGGCTCGACAAATTCCGCCAGGAGAGGCAGTGCGAGGTGGTGGAGTGGGTTGGGCCAAGCATTACGCGGGTGTTTTGAGCATTGCTGGTTATCTCTTACGAAGGCGACGAAGCGCTGATACCCGTTGGCACGAGGGTTTCTACTTGGGTTATGAAGGACGCATTGGATGCTGCCACTTGGATGACTTTGACTGGCATTGGGGTTGGATATACCTGGACACTGTAGATTTAAATATCGTATATAAATTAGAGAATAGTTATTTATGCCCCGGGAGAGCGCAGCCGATCCTTGGGTATCATGATTTGATTAGAGGTGACGCTGGCTTTCTGGAAACCCCCATCACTTCCTCGCCTTTTAGTAAACGTAACGAAAGTAGGGGTTTTCTTTGTCTGTGAGATCCTGGAAGGCAAGCTTTGATCGCTCAGCCTCGTCTTCCGGCAAGGCCATCTTCTTCTTGTTCTCGGCTCGGAGGACAAAGTATAGCGTGATGGATGAAAGAATGCAAATGATGTAGCTGTACACAACATGTTAGCAAGAGCGCTCTCAATACGTCTCATCTTCATCAGCTTGATGGAAGCGTACCATATGATGAGGCCCAGCCACAAGGCGGGATAGTGTCGGTTCTTCGTCTGTGACCAAACCAGCTGAGGGCCAACAATGTTTCCAACGCAGTAGGCAACGAAGATTGTCGCCGCCATGAAGCTCTTCTTCGTGTGGCCCGCCACATTCGACATCCCTACGGTTATGATGAGACTGACGGTGCCGCCAAAGAAGCCCGTGATGGAGTAGCCAACGACGGGGGCGGCGGCGTGGAAGCTCCAGGTGCTCTTCCAGATGATGGCGCAGCCGGCGATGACGGGCAGACAGGTGAGGACGAGCATGATGATGCGGACGTTGTTCACCTTGGAGCCGATGTAGCCGGTGGCCAGGATGACGATGAAGCAGAGGCCGCCGAGGGGGAACTGGAAGAGGATCGAGTGGAGGCTGTCCCAGCCAAAGGTCGACACGATGAGGGGGCCGAAGCCGCTGACCGCGCCGTTGACCGTGTACGCAGAGGCCATCATCAGGAAGATCAGCCAGACTTTGACGTCCAGCACGGCCTCCTTGAGCTGAGAGGCCTTGAGCTTGGTGCACCGCACGCCAGTCTGTCCGTGGCGGAGCCTTTCCACGGCCGCAAACCGCTCCTCCTTGGTCAGGAACCAGGCCGACACGGGCGAGTTGGGCAGGGCAAAGCAAAAGAGGCCAAAGAGGAACGTCAGGGATCCGGCGAGCAGGTAGATGTACTGCCAGCGCTTGAGCCCGCCTCCCGTGATCTGGGCGAAGCCGTAGTTGAGGGCGCCGCCGATGATGGTGAACAAGCCCGTGCTGCTGAACCACCAGCTCTGGCGCAGCGACTGCTCCGACTGCGTGTAGTAGCTGGACACGATGCACATGAAGCCCGTGGGGATGATGCTCTCGACGAAGCCGAGGAAGAAGCGCTGCACGTACAGGCCCTGCCAGGAGGTGACGGCCGCCGTCAGCATGCAGATGGTCGCCCAGAGGATCACGACGGCGCCGAGGATGCGGCCGATGTCGAAGCGCTGCAGGGCAAAGGTCATGGGGTACAGGCCGCCCAGCATGCCGAAGTAGAAGAGCGACGTGGCCCAGCTGAGGCGGCGCGTGTCGACGGTTGGAGGGACGGTTGAGCTGTCGACGACGCTGAGATGGAGGTCGGTTGTCATGCCGAAGAGGGCGGCTGAGCCCAGGATGGCTTTGTCGTAGTAGACGAGGCCATCTATCAAAACAAGAGTCAGTACCTTACATATAGCTTCATATCGTGTTTCTCCGTCCAAGGCTTCAGAAGAGACGAAAAGCCTTGGAGAAGAGAAGAGATTGGAGGACTCACATCCGCATATCATTGCCGGCATCAGGAACCAGTCAATCTTCCTGATTGCTCTTGCGAGGACAACAGGATCGATTGTATGCTGCACTTCGCCCACCATCGCCACGGCCTCATCCTTGGCGGACGAGGCTTCATGTTGGTTGTTTGCCACTGCTTCCCCCATGGTGGTGGAACAGTATTCAGCTCTGGATTACCTCCGAGACTCACTCTCTATCACAGTCCCAATGAGACAAGAGCCACAAGAATATCAAGAAAAATCAACTCCAGAGAAGGAGAGAAAGACTGAGCGAAAAAAGAAAAAAGTTCTCATCCTGAAGAGTAGGGAAAAAAGAGCTCTCATACAAAGAGAGCCTAGCCTCTGTGATAGAGATGCGACTACTGGTGTTGGCGCGATAATTAGATCAACATACCCGACTGAGCTAAAGAGAAAATCAGGAAGCGAGCATCGAAAAGGATGAGCCTGTTGCGTCGTCATTGGTGGTTCGAGGGACGGATGGATCCGACAGTGTGGATCGGCTGGAGCTGAATCTTGATGAACCGTTGAGGATGATTTTCCAAGTGCCGGGAGAGTGAAAGAAACTATTGGATGCTTTGATGGTTTGATGGCTTGGAGCTTGGGCTGGAAGAGGCTGGAAGAGTTGAGTTCAGAACGGGGAGGCTCTTTGGAAACATGGATTGCACGTGGATGGGCGTCTACCTAATATGAGCCACAGATGAGGACGATGGGGCAACTTGTGTCTTATCAATCTAATCTAGTTGCTGCCCATGAGACTCTAAACTAACTAGGAACAGAATAAGGAAAGCAAAACATGTAAGAAGCCAGTCAAATAGACTAGAATGAAGAAGAAACCGAACAGAACAAATAATACGAGTAAACCGAGACAAAGGAGAAAAAGCACGAGAAAAAAAGAAAAGAGTATCAAAAGTCCCCGTTCATCCTGCAAGCGTATGCACGCGTCGAATCGTGCCATCCCGCTGTACATTGCCAAATCCTTCCTCCGAAGACTGGATAAAGCCAATCTTCTTCATATAACGCACGTTGCTGTGGACAGCCTTCTGGGACTGCTCGCACACATGCGTTCCCGCATTGGCCAGCGTTGCAAAGTCTCGCGGCAGACCGAGCTGACCGAGGAAGTGCTGCACCGGCCACAGGGGATGCGTGTTGCCAACCGTATTCATCGAGGCCAGGGCGCGTTCAGTCCATTCTTGCCAGGTAACCGGCTTGCACGGGGCGTCCAGCTCGGCATTGACACGGTCCCAGAAGTCGGACATTGTCATTCCTCTTGCCAGTAGGTTGAATGGCTTGATGGAATCGGCAAAGAGTGGACCGAGGACGTTCGATGCGACTACGCCCACGTCTTGCATGACCATCCAGTGATCAGATGCTTCCTCGGGGTAGGCCTGGATCGATGCCGCCGTAGAGACGACACGCCAGACAAAGTCGTCGACGTTGGAAACGCCATTCTCGGCCCTTCCGATGATACGACCGGGCTTGACTGTCGACACGCGGTTCTGTGTGCTGGGGAGGCTGTTGGCCATCTTCGTGATAACAGCTTCACAGACAAACTTGGACTGAGAGTAGCCATTGGAACCACTGAGAAGCGCTGCGGAAACGGCTGGGTTCTCTGCTGGATCCGTAAAGGCACCGCCCGACACAAAGACAAACTTGGGCTGGCACGGCGATGTGGCCGTTGCCATGAGCAGGTCGACAGTTGAGTTGACGTTGGGAGCGCTCAGCGTCTCATAGTTGGCGTTCCAGTTGACAGATGCTCCGTTGTGAATGATGGCATCGATGTTGGCTTCTGATTCTGACACTCCAGAGAGGCGCTGCCATTGTGCTTCTGTAAGACCGAGACGCGTCTTGGAGAGGTCGCCGAGCCAGATTTCCAGCTTCGCTTCATCTTCATCACGCCACCAGCCTGCAATCTTGGCCGTCTCTCTGATTCGATCCATCCCCTGTGCTAGTGTTTTCGAGCGGACATGGACAGCTATCGACCTGATTGCTGGATTTTCAACCAACCGTCTGAGAATCTCGGTGCCGAGGAAACCAGTAGCTCCGGTCAGGAAGACCGTGGCTTGGTCAGGCAGTGTAGTTGTGGGATTCTCAAGGAGGGCTCGCGGGTGCTGCATCCAGGGCGAGTTGGCAATCTCGTTAACCTTGGCCATGAGGTCGACTTGCGCATCTGGGTGATCTGCCTCTGCAGCCCCGTTCTCCGCGCTCTGGGAGATGAATTTGGCCATGTTGCTGATTGTCGTGTGCTTGCTGTTCAACAGGGTGCTCCCGAGGGACACTCCAAACTTGTCAAGGACAAGCCTCGAGACGTTGACGATGCGAATGGAGTCGCCGCCCAGCTGGTAAAAGTTGTCGTCCACGCTGATGCTTTCTCTGGGTAGTTCGAGGACATCTGCCCACTCTGCTCGGAGCCAGTGTTCGAGGTCTGTTGAGACGTCGCGGAAAGGTAGACGCTGGCCGGCCAAATGAACTGCCAGGTCTTCCGAAGAGAGACCTGCCGCCGTCTGCAGGAGTGCTTTTCTGTCAAGCTTTCCGGAGGTGTTGAGCGGCATGGACTCGACGGCAATGAAATACTGGGGAACCATATGACTCGGCAAGACAGTAGAGAGGTCTGAAGCCAGCTGGGAGAAGAGCTCCTGCAGCTTGCTGCTATGATTCAATACCCGTATGTTTGACGCATCGCTGGGGCTCGTGTCGCTGGAGAAGCTAACAAAGGCGACGAGGGACTCATGGGTGTCATGACGGATCTTGTCGACAACCGCATGTTCGACATCATGTGATTGGAGCTTAATTTGATACTCAATCTCACCCAACTCAATACGTTGGCCTCGAATCTTGACCTGCGTATCCTTGCGGCCGAGGTAATGAAGGCTTCCATCCGGGTTATATCGGACTAGATCGCCAGTCTTGTAGAACCGTCGTCTTCCAACGTCAACGGTATCAGGAAGCCACTTGACGTTACTTATGAATGCGTTGTTTGTCTTTTCTTCATCGTTAATGTAGCCACGAGACAAGGCATCTCCTTGTACCAGAAGCTCGCCAACGCACCCAATGGGAGTAAGTTCATCGTGGTTCTCTGGGTTGACAACCCAACAATGATGAGCAAACCCACGACCAATGGTAGTGGCTGATGTGGCATCGTCAGTGTATCGTTGGAGGCAGGACGCGACGCAGGTCTCAGTAGGTCCGTATGCGTTCCAAAGGCTGACGTTCTGACGCCACGAGTCCACAATGTCCCTGGATGGAGCTTCACCACCAAGTATCAGTGTCTTCAGCGAGGGTACCGTCTGTGGATCAAGTGTCTTCGCGAATGTCGGAGTCAGAAGGGCAGTGTTGACGTGGGCTTGCCCCATGAAGCTTGCCGCATGCTGGATGCGCTCCGCGTCGGTGGGAACGCACACAGTGCCTCCTGATATCAAGGTGGCGAAGATTTCGAGGATTGACGCATCAAACACATAGCTAGAGAATTGGAAGGTCCTCGAATCCCTAGTAACATGGATAACTTTGCACAGCCTGACGAGGAAGCTGGATATGGCCCTGTGTTCGATAATGACACCCTTGGGTTTTCCGGTCGAACCAGAGGTAAACAGGATGTACATGGCTTTGCTGGGACTGGACCTGGCAGCCTTGAGTTTCCGTGAGGCGGAGGCCCGACCATTTGGTCTTGAGAAAAAGGCCGACGAAAGCTCAATGTTGTTTCTGGTCATGCCCGCACACTCTTTGGCTGTACTAGGGGATACGATCATGTACTGGGCACTTGTTTCGTCGATCAAGGCTTGTCGTCGACTGAGCGGATGGCTCGGGTCTAGCGGTAGGAAGACACCGCCAGCCTTGATGATGCCCATCATGACAATGATGGACCACACGGATTTCTCATAGCAAAAGGGTACGATGGCTTCCGATTTGACGCCCAGTTGGATGAGATGCAAAGCTAGCTCGTCCGATAACTGATCGACTTCTGCATATGTCATGCTGCCGGCCGTTGAATACAGAGCCTCTTTATGCGGTATCTTTGCAACCTGCCTGGAGAACAAGTCATGGACGCAGGCTTCTATCGGTGCAATGTCGAAGCTGTTCCACTTGGTTGCCTGCTCAGTATCCCAGGGGCTCGCAGGGGAGAGTTCTGACAGTGTCTTGTCACCATTCTTCTGGAGCTGCTCCAGAACGTAGGAGAACTGCTCGGCCAGCGCGTTCACTTGAGAATGGTTGACGAGATCAGTTTGGTAGATGATACTCAGCTGGACATCGTTTTCGAGCAGCTGACACTGCACGACAAGCGGATAGCTGAAGTAGTCTCCAAGGAGCTCACCTTCAGCGAAGCCTTCCGCAGCCACGGGATAAAATACGGTGGATTCAGTCCCGCTGTCAGTTGGAGTGAACTGCTGAGCCGGCTGAACGATGAGGAGGTTGGTAAAGTTGCACGCCTCCTTGGCGTCAGTGCTGATTCTTGAGATGTTCGCCAGCCCGTACTGCTCGTGGGCGACCATCTCAAAGGCTTGATCTTGCATTGACTGAAGAAGGGCGGAAATCTTTTGCCGCTTGTCAAGCTGAACGCGTATAGGAACCGTAGCAAGAGCGAGACCAGGCATTTCGTCAATGCCCTGCACGGCAGCTTGTCGCCCAGACACGGTCGTGCCGAAGCAAATGTCATCGTCATGTTCGTACTGCGCCAGCAAGATCGCCCAAGCAGTGCGAATGATAGTAGCTCTGGTAATGGAGGAGCCCGACGGCCGCTGCAGGTGGACTGTCTTGTCTAGCATGCCGGCAATCTTTTGTGTGGTAGATGACGGCTTGTTTTGTGTAGCCACCACAGGGAACGTGCCGCGTTTGACGCCACGAAGTTGGGTAGACCAGTAGTCGCGGGAATTCTCCTGGTCGAGCTCCATGATGTACTTGACGAAGCTGGTATACGGGAGAATCGATGGCGGCTCTGTCTGGGAGTACATGGCGAGCAACGTTCGTAGCACAATGGACAACGTCCATCCATCGAAGATGGTGTGATGGATGTTGACTGCAAAGTATTGATCGCTGCCCTGCTTGATGATTGCAAATCGACACAGCGGCGACCCGTAAGTCATGGTGCAGTTCTCTTTGGATAGGAGGAATGAACGCAGATCGGTGTAAGTGGAAGGCCAGTGAACTGGCTCTTGAATCACAGCCTGGACTGCAGTGCTTCCCGAGAGGACGATCCGTGTGCGAAGGTTGCTGCAGTATCGAATAGTTTGCTCCCAGGCCAGTTTGAAGCGGTCAATATCCACATGTGGTGCAAGACGATAGACGTGTTTTGCGATATAGGATCCTGGCTGGCTGATGGTCAAGGCCATCAATCCTGTCTGAAGGTCTGTGCAAGGGTAGATATCTTCTATCTCGGCCAAGTCTGAAAGTTTACACTGCGTCTGCACAGCCCTCAGAGCGCTCTGTTTATCACTGGTCGGTATGAGGCCGAACCGTTCGACTTCGTGAGCCGTGGATGACGGAGAAGCGTCGAGCTGGATGGCCTCTGCCATCGCCGAGAGACGCGGGTAGTTGAATATCATTGCCACCGTGAGGCCAATGTTCTGTCGCTGGGCGAAGGAGACCAGCTCAATGGCACTGATTGAATCTCCGCCGAGATGGAGGAAGCTGTCGTGCTTGCCAATGGCTGATACATCGCTGATTTTGAGAACTTGGGCCCAAAGGCTCTGCAGCTCTAGCTCCATGGGAGTTGTAGGCGATACGTAGTCACTGGCGCTCGGTGTAAAGCGTAGGCGGTCTTGAACAGAGACACTTCGACCAAGCTCCACGAATGAGCGGCGATTCACCTTGCCTGAGGTTGTCTGTTCTGGTTTGCCTTCGAAGATCAAGTATGAAGAAGGAATCATGTACGAAGGTAAACTTTCTTCCAAGGCCAAATCAAGACGAGAGATGACGCTTTGAGCCTGTTCTGAAACTGTGTGCATCAACTGAAGAGCCTCTGACCGAGACGTCATCTCGTCGTCGGTATACCACAGGAATGCCAGAAGGATGTCGTGGGCATTCTCATCATCTGCCTTGAGGATGTCGACGATGACGGCCATGTTGTCAGGCAGTAGCTCATGGATGCGCGACTCAATCTCACCGAGCTCGACACGCTGGCCGTGTAGCTTGACTTGAGTATCCTTGCGGCCCATGTAGTCGAACGTGCCGTCGGCGTTGCGGCGGACCAAATCGCCTGTGCGATACACTCTCTTTCTTCCTCCTGGAAGCCAATCCACGTCTTCCATCCAACTGGCGGCAACTTCAGGGCTTACGTTCAAGTAGCCGCGGGCAAGCATAGGACCCTCGATAAGAAGCTCGCCAACACACCCCACAGGCACAAGCTGCCGAAGATTGCCTGGTTCAACGACCCAGAAGGCACTGGAAATAGGCCTTCCAAGGTTAGTCGATCGACCCAATTTGCCAACGGTGGGATTCCACGCGCAGATGGATGCCTCCGCCGGTCCATACAGACCATGTAGGTCGACGTGATGCACCCAGCGATCCGCGCACTTCTTGCTAATGGCCTCACCACCAAGGCACACCACTTTCATATCAGGGATATCAGTAGGAGATAAGAGGTCGGCAACTGTAGGAGTCAGGAAGACCCAGTTGGCCTTTGAAGACCGCATGGCACCCGCTAGGTCGTTCATCCTGTCGTGGTCAGATGGGATGCAGAGACAGGCTCCGCGCATCAAAGACACGAGACAGTCGAGGATGCCGACATCGAAGGTGTAGGCCGAAAATTGGAAGACTCGTGTACCCGGTCCAATGCCAAGGAGATTGCCGTATGCGTCGCTGGACGAGACCAGGTTTCTGTGTTCGATGACCATGCCCTTTGGTTTGCCTGTCGAGCCAGAGGTAAACAGGATCACGCTCGCATTATCGGGTCGTACATTGGAAATCACTGGTTTCGTTGGGCTAGGGAGCCCCGAAAGCATCTCCTCATCAACAAAGAAGACATCGACGCCAAGGCCCTCGAGCACTTTGCCACTAGTCGGGCTAGACATAGCGAGAGTGGCATGCGTGTCTTCAATGATGCCCTTCAGTCTGGCTGCCGGAGCGGCAGGGTCAAGAGGGACAAAAGCGCCGCCGGCCATTTCGATGGCCACCATGGCAATAACGGCCCAAGCTGACTTGGGGAAGCACAGAAGAACCAGGGTTTCAGGACCAACTCCGCGTTCCTGTAACTCGATTGCCAAGCGCGAAGCAAATGTTCCTACCTGGGAGTAGGTGAGTTCTGCATCCCACGACGCAATGGCAACATCATCTGGTCGAGACTGGATGTTTTCTTGAATGGCCCAGTGGGTACAAGTGTTGCTAGAAGGCTCCAAACGGCTGGACTCGACTGCTTGTTGGAGGTCCCAGGGGCTGAGAAGTGAGACTGAGCTCAGAGGCGCATTCACTGCTTCCTTCGCCACGAGTTGTTGAATGACGTGGTTCAAATGCGATGACAGAGCAATGACCCGAGCTTCCGACAGCACTGTAGAATCGTAGAAAAAGTTCAGTCTGAACTCTTCAGGATAGAGACTGCTGATGATCACGAGGGGATAGTTGAAGTAGCCGTCCATGGAGTCCATCGTGAGATCGCTTGCGGACGCGTCAACAACGAAGATACTCTCGCCATGATCGTCTCCAGCTCCATGTGCAGGGGGCTGGACAACTAAGAGACTCGAGAAATCGCAAACCTCCCTCGCTTCAGCGCTGACCTTGGCAATATTCTGCAAGCCATATTGCTCGTACGGGATCATGGATGTGCTCAGGCTCTGAATGTCTTGGACAAATCTTGATATAGGCGCCTGATTGTCTAGCCGGGCTCTGATGGGGACGGTGGCAATCATTGGGCCAGATATCATCTCAGCTCCTGGAATCGGGGCTTGACGGCCTGAAACCGTCGCTCCGAACACTGCCTCGCTACTGTCGCAGTATCGGGCAAGGACAATAGCCCACGCGGCTCGAAGAATCGACGCTTGCGTGATAGAAGTCTTCATGGATCTGGAGAATGGAATTGTTGAGCTGAACCGCTTGCTTTCCATGATGCCTGGGGCAGTTCGGCGAGATGGGAACGAAGCGCGCTTTGCACCAGCCAGTTCTTGTGTCCAGTACGATGCGACCTTGTCATTATCGAGCTCTTTCACGGATTTGATGAAAGAGGAGAAAGGTCGGACTTCGGGTGCGTACATGCCCTGGTAAGCTGAGAACAGCGCTGTGAACATGACTTTCATGGTCCAACCATCGTAAATGGAGTGGTGGGCTGACCACACAAAATAGTTTTCACCCTTCTCAGACACGATAGAGTACCAGCAGAGAGGAGTTCCGTAACCCATCTTCAGATTGCGCGACGATCCAGTCATTGACTCGAGGGTTTCATTGTCGGCAGGCACCCATTGACTGTCACGATCAAGGACTATCTGCGTCATGACGCCATCCAAGACGACAATCCGGGTTCGAAGATTGTCACAAATATCAACCACCGAGTCCCACGCAGCCCTGAACATGGGTATGTCCACAAAGCTGGAGAGATGATGGGCATAGGTAGCAACATAGGACCCTGGCTGCTTGGCGGTAAGGGCTATGAGGCCTTCTTGCAGAGAACTGCATGGATACGCATCCGTGATGGTTCGGTCCTTCGCCAGGCCGCACAATTTTCGGGCGTCCTCCCCGAGTACAAGGCGCTTCTGTGCTTCAGGCAACAGACTGAATGGCTCTGGAGGAGAGTCTGCTGGCTCCATACCATCTTGACTCAGAACAGCCTTTGCGGCTACAGCCAGTAGTCTGGGATCATCAAACACATCCTGTACAGTCAGAGTAATGCCCTCTTCCTTTGCTGTTGAGACAAGGTATATAGCCATTATCGAATCGCCTCCCAGCTGGAAGAAGGTGTCATCTCTGCCGATGGACTCCATTGGCAAGTTCATGATCTCAGCCCAGATCAACTGCAGGCGCTGCTCCATTTCGGTCTCTGGCTGCCGTTTTTCGCTGTGTAACAACGAATACATCGCTAGCTGATCCCTATCGAGAGTCGAGAGGTGCGTCTGCAGAAGCTTTCTATCCAGCTTGGTCGAAGCAATGAACGGCATGAAGGCACATGGGATGAACAAGGTCGGGATCATGTATCGGGGAAGGGCAATACCCAATTCCCCAACAAGGGCAATCAGCTGGTTCTGTAAGCTCTCGTCGGTGGATAAGAATAGAGTCTCCGAAGCATCGGTCTTGACGCCGGCTGTCTTCGTTTCGTCTGTGAAGCAAATGTAGGCAACAAGACTGGAGCCGTTGTCGCCCCTGACGACGTCAACAGCCACTTGACGCACACCGATCAGTGATTGTTGGATATTGTATTCGATTTCACTCAATTCAACACGCAATCCTCGAATCTTGATCTGCGTATCCTTGCGCGTTGAAAACTCGATTGTTCCGTCGGCATTATACCGACATAGATCGCCTGACTTGTAGAATCTGTTCCAGTGTGATTCGTCTGGACGGGGAGCCCACTCGGCAGCGGGCAGAATGCTGGTATTGGTGCGTTCCGGGTCTGCGAGATATTCCTGCAACAGAGTCGGGCCTTGAATAACGACTTCCCCAACCGTGCCAATAGGGGCAAGAAACCCAGAATCGGGATCGACAATCCAGCAAAAGCCGCCGACAGGGCGTCCCACAGTGAGAGGCGACTCGTCAACTGACTTCCACTCATGTAGAGTACTGAAGACACAAGTCTCAGCAGGTCCCCAGCCGTTGATGAGACGACGAACCTTTCCGAACCAGGCTGTCAACACATCGCGAGGAACTGCCTCGCCTGCAAGCAGTAGGACTTCCAGCCCAGGGACATCGTCCGGGTTTAGGGTCCGCACAAACGAAGGCGTCAAGAAAGCCCAGTTGACGTTCATGTCCTGCATAAACTTGGACAAATCATTCATCCTAGCATGCTCGGATGGAATGCATAGACAGGCGCCTGTGATAAGGGGAGCCACAATTTCTCCAATCGACAAGTCGAAAACGAAGGCTGCAAACTGTAGCATACGCACTTCCGGTCCAAGTCTGAGCCTCTTGGCAATCGCCTTCTGGCTTGTACACACGGACCCATGTTGCATTACGAGGCCCTTTGGCGTGCCGGTACTGCCAGAGGTAAAGAGGACGTAGGCAATATCGCCTGAAGAGGCTCTCTCTGTAGGGCCCTGTCGGCTGTTGACCTGTTTCTGAAGCTGCTTGTCGAATTCAGGCGTAATCTGGATCGCGGACTCGACGAGGGTGGAGCAAAGATCGCTATTGTCTGGCGAGCAGAGTGCAAACTTAGCCCGCGTTTGACTGACGACTTGTTGAAGACGCTGTAGGGGGTGTGATGGGTCCAAGGGAACCCAGGCCGCGCCAGTTTTGTTGATAGCCAGGATAGATACAAAATGCCAGACTGACTTCTCAAAGCATACGTGTATCAAGTCGTTTGTCTTGATCTCGTGTGTTTGTACCAGGTAATTTGCAAGTCGGTTAGCCGCCTGGTTCAGCTGGGCATAACTGAAGTCACCGTCCCAAGAGCGGATGGCCATGGCATCAGGACGTTGAGCAGCCTGATCTTCAACAAGGGTGTGGAAACAGGAATCAACGATCTCGGGGGTGTCCACATTGAACTTGCGTGATTGTTCGATATCCCACTGGGAGACGAGAGAGACATCACGTAGCATCTGGCTGGGCTTTGACTCAGCCAACTGGGCAATCACATGCTTCAGCTGCTCGGACAATGCGACGATTTGCTGCTCCGCAATGCAGTGAGGGTTGTAGATCAGGACGATTCTCATGAAGTCGTCGCTCAGATGGGCTTGGAGGACAAGCGGATATGAGAAATAGTTCTGCATTCCATCTGCGCTGTCATCTGTGTCCTCGACACCAACCAGAAGAGCATCTTCGCCAGTGTTTTCCAGATGTGAAAGCATCTTTAGAGGTTGAATAACCAATAGGCTGGTAAAGTCACAAGCTTCGTCGGCGTCTGGATTGAGCTTGCGAATACTCTGCAGGCCAAATTGTTCGAAAGGAATCGCGTCGCTTGCTCGTGTTTGGACTTCCTCCAGGAACTTTGTCGTCGGTTGATCATGGTCAAGATGGATCCGGACGGGTATAGTTGCAATCACTGGCCCAGGCATTTGTGTCAAGCCTGGGAGCGATGCTTGGCGCCCTGAAACCGTCGCGCCAAAGCAAACGTCGGTGCTATCGCAATAGCGAGCAAGGACTAGTGCCCAAGCGGCACGCACAATTGTAGCTGTTGTGATGGTGGTGTTGCTCTTGGAAAGTTCAAGTTCCGCTGTCATTGTACGCGAAGCTTCGGGCTTGCTTGTAGACGTAATTGGAACGGAGGGGAATGTCGCCTTTCGAGCGTTCTCAAGCTGCCTTGCCCAGAAATCGCCGGCGGCCTCGTGATCGAGTTCCATTGTGTACTTGATGAAGTGTGAGTAAGGAACCGTGGTGGCAGGCTCGAGACCCTTGTAGGCTCGGTGGAATTCCTCCAAGATGATAGACAATGTCCAGCCATCATAGACGGCGTGATGAAGGTTGAAAGAGAAATAGACTTCGTCACCGTCCTTGAAGATGGCAGATCGGCAGAGCCGTGAGCCGTAACCCATTTCCATGGTTCGGGTCTGCTGCAAATAGCTCCGAAGGGTCATTCGTTCTGTGGAATCCCAGACAGTATCTCCCTTCACAACGACCTGGAGGGAGATAGCACCCAGTCGGATGATTCTGGTACGCAGGTTAGGGAAACTATTGACAATCTGTTCCCATGCTGCCTTCAGAAGGCTAACATCCACATGAGACGGGATGCGATAGTTGTACTTGGCAATGTATGATCCAGGCTGCTTAACAGCCAATGCCATCAAACCTTCTTGCATCTTGGAACACGGATAGCAATCTTCAACCGCCATGTCTCGAGAAAGTTCGAGGCCGAACTCTTCAGCGCTTTCGGTGATCATATCGCGCTGTGGTTCATCAAGAAGAGCAAATGGTTCGATGGGGGTAAAAGCTTGAGAGCTTCCATCACTGATGAAAGAAGCTTTCGATGCAATAGACAACAGTCGACCGTCTTCGAAAATCTGACTGACTGTGAGCGCGACTCCTTGGTCACGAGCAGCAGCAACGAGCCGGATAGCCGCAATGGAATCACCGCCAATACTCAGGAAGCTGTCGTCACGACCAATCGTTTCCATAGGAATACCCAAGACATCAGCCCAGATGGCCTGTAGCTTGCCCTCCATAGGGGTTTGCGGCATGGTCTTTTTGCTATTCACCAGTGAATAGGCGGCCAGCTGGTCCTTCGTAAGGCTTGATGTAAGTCCTCGCAACGTCTTTCGATCCAGCTTGCCAGACGTGGCAGTTGGCATATGCTTGCATTGAATGAAGAGGGCGGGAACCATGTATTCTGGAAGCAGAACCTTGAGTTCGCCAACCATGGTTGCGAGACGCTGCTGTGTTTCTTCTCCCAAGACCATGAAGATATCATCGAGAGAATTACTCGAGACGTCGACAGTGGCATCGCCGAAGCAAAAGTAAGCAACCAGGTTTGAGACTGAGCCAGACTTGAAGACATCAACCACGACTTGATGGGCTTCGGGGAAGGTCTCCTTGATGCGATATTCAACTTCACCCAACTCCACACGAAGGCCGCGAATTTTAACTTGCGTATCCTTTCGCGAGTAGAACCTGATAGTGCCGTCAGGGTTGTAAGAACAAAGATCCCCGGACTTGTAAAAGCGAGTCCAGTGCTGCGTATCAGGATACATTGCCCAGTCAGGTCGACCTTCCAGGATTGCAGCCTTGCTCTTCTCGGCGTCGCCCAGATACTCGCGCAACAACGTGGGACCCTGCACAATAAGCTCACCAACAGTTCCAGTCGGCGCAAGTTTCCATGGATCTTCTGGATCAACAATCCAGCAGAACCCACCCACTGGCTTTCCAATCGTCAAAGCTGACTCTTCTGAAGATCTCCATTCGTGCATTGCGCTCATGACGCATGTCTCCGACGGGCCCCAAGCATTGAAGAATCTCACTTTTCCAATCCATTCTTCAAATAGGGCGCGTGGGACAGCCTCGCCACCAAGGGCTACCAATTCTACACTTGGCACATCCTCAGGCCTCAAGGTCTGTAGGAAGGACGGGGTAAGGAATAACCAATTGATGCCGGTGTCGTTAACGTACTCCTTCAGTCTGTTCATACGGTCTTCTTCGGACGGAATGCACACACAGGCACCGTACATCATGGCTGCGAGCATCTCGCTGATCGAATAGTCAAACACATAGGCAGCGAATTGCAGGATCTTGACACTTGGCGTGAACCCGAAGCGTTTGCCAGCAGCCATCTGACTCGTACAGAGGGCACCGTGTTCCATGATTAGGCCTTTGGGTACACCTGTGCTTCCAGAAGTGAACAAGACATAGGCGGCGTGCTTCGGAGTGACTAAAACGTCCGGACCTTGAGAGCTACTGAAGCCCTTCTTACAGAGATCAGAATCCAGGGAAGAAGAGACGACAACAACAGATGTAACTAATTGGGAGCATCTTTCCACATTGTCCTGAGACGCCAGTGCAACTCGCGCCTTTGTCTGGGCTGTTACCTGTTGATGGCGTTGCAGAGGGTGTGAGGGATCGATAGGGACCCAAGCGGCGCCGACTTTGTTGATTGCCAAGATGGCTACAGCATACCAGGCCGATTTGGTAAAGCACACTTGGACCAGGTCGTGAGCTTTGACTCCGATGTCCATGACTAGATGATGAGCCAGCCTGTTGGCTGCTTTGTTCAACTCGTCATAGGTAAGCACCTTATCCCAGCCCAGTATGGCAACAGCGTCTGGACGTATCTCTGCCTGGCACTCAATGAGATCGTGCAAGCAAGAGTCAATGATTTCCGGTGGATCTTCCCTGTTGGCCTTTTCTGCGAATTTGACATCCCAGTCGCAAGTCAGAGACAGATCTCCAAGCAGTGACTGCGGCTTGGCAATTAGCTGCCTCATGATGTGTTCCATCTGATGAGATATGGCCAGAACCTGAGACTCTGGCAAGACGTTCGAGTCATAGATGAACATCAACTTGATGTCTTCGCCCATGACGTGCCCCTGGATGACGAGAGGGTACGTGAAGTAATTCTGCAAAGAGCTTTCCTCTTGTGACTCAACCTCGACGGGCTGAAGCAGTGCATGCTCACCATTGATCAAGTGCTGCATCGGTTGAACAACCAACAAGCTCGAGAAGTTGCACACCTCTTGAGCCCTAGGACTGATTTTCTGGATTTCCTGGAGGCCAAACTGCTCGTAGGGAATCATCTTCAGGGCCTGGCTTTGTATGGTGTCAAGATAGTCCGAAACGCTCCGGTGCTTGTCTAATCGGACACGGATAGGCACGGTAGCAACAGCAGGCCCAGGCATATCGGGCAATCCTGGAACAGGGGCTTGGCGGCCAGAGACAGTAGCACCGAAGCAGACATCATCCGTCTCACAGTATCTTGCGAGGAGCATTGCCCATGCAGCCCGAATGACCGTAGCTTTGGTGGCCGACAAGTCGGTCATATTGGGCAACTGCATACCTCGCTCCAGGCTTTTGCTAGAGTTCGAGCTGGTCTTTGAGAGCGGAGGATACGCGGCCCGGCTTGCACCGTCAAGCTGTGCCCCCCAATAGTTTCTTGTCTCTTCGTGATTGAGGTTGCCGACGTATGCAACGAACCTGTTGTACGATTGTAGAGACGGCGGGGACCGGCCATCATACATTGAATGAAGGACGTCCATCATGAGACGCATTGTCCAACCGTCAAAGATGGAGTGGTGCAAAGCCCACACAAAGTAGACCTCGTCCCCATCCATGACAATCGCACCTCGACTCAATCGCGAGCCATAAGCCATGTTTGACGAACCTAGAGCGTGCATGTACGACTGCAGCTCCTGTCCTTGTACTTCATCCCATGCGAAATCATTCTCAAGGACGAGTTGGACGGTTTGGCTCCCGACCATAACAACTCTTGTGCGCAAGTTGTCGCAGAGTTTTACCATATCTTCAAATGCAGATCGGAACCTCAAAACGTCGACAGTACGACCGAGGCGGTAGACGAATTTTGCAACATAGCTTCCAGGCTGTTTCTCTGTAAGAGCCAGAAGACCTTCCTGCATCTTGGTCGAAGGGTAAGCATCTCGAAGGACAACATCATCAGCCAAGTGGTAATTTTGTCGCAAATCTTGGCTAGAAAGTAATTGCTGGGTTTGTTCATCGATGAGGCCAAATTGGGGGATTTCTGCAGCTTGACCGCTTCTCGTGAGGCTGATCGCCTTCGCGGCAACGGCTAATAGCCTGGGGTCATCAAAGATATCCGCCACCGAAAGCCCAATGTTGGAGTTCTGAGCAGCAGTGACGAAGTGAATGGCGATGATTGAATCGCCACCAATCTGCAGGAAGCTGTCATCCCGACCAATGGATGTAGCAGGGACGTTCAGTAGCTCGGCCCAAATGAGCTGTATCCGTTTTTCCATCTCCGTCTCCGGACCCTGCTTCTCCAGGTCGGAGAGCGTATACTTGGATAGATCCTCAAGGCTTAGAGAAGACGCCATAGCCTTCAGCTTCTTGCGATCTAGCTTGTCAGAGGTTGTGGATGGAAGGTACTTGCAAGGGACGAATATTGACGGGACCATATAGGGGGGTAGAGTAGCCTTCAGACGTCCTTCCAAGGCTCTGAAAGCCTTCTGCATGCGAGAGGTCGGTTGTAGGAACACTTCACCGCTCGATCCACTACTCTCAATGTCTGGCTGCTCGATTCCAGACTTGAAGCTGACAAAAGCTATGAGACTTGCGCCAGTAGTGCTCTTCAAGACTTCAACAGCAGCCTCGCAGACATCATCCAGCTTGTCGCGGATATGATGCTCAATATCTCCAATCTCGACCCGGAAGCCGCGTATCTTGACTTGCGTATCCCTGCGGCCACCGAAGACAAGGTTGCCATCAGAGTTGTAGAAGCATAGATCACCAGTTCGGTAGAGTCGGTTCCAGTGTTGGGCATCTGGTTGAGGCGCCCAGCTGGGTCTGGGTATAAGGGCAGCCTTTGTTCGTTCGGGCTCATCCAGATATTCACGTAGTAGTGTTGGGCCCTGGATAGCCACCTCTCCCATTGTGCCGAATGGCGCAAGGGACTGAGGCATCTCAGGATCGACAATCCAGCAGAAGCCGCCCACCGGACGGCCGATAACCAGCGACGAAGTCTCAGCAGACGTCCACTCATGCACAGCACTGATGACACAGGCCTCTGCAGGGCCCCAGGCGTTGATCAGTCGCACTTTTCCAAACCATGTGAGGCACAAGTCCTGGGGGACAGCTTCACCACCTAGTAAAAGGAGTTCTAGACTAGGGACGTCTGCGGGCTGGATTGTGCGGGCGAATACGGGTGTGAGGAAAGCCCAATTAATTTGACGCTTTCGAATGAAAGTCGCAATATTCTCCATGCGTTCTCGGTCCGAGGGAATGCAAACACAAGCTCCGGAGATCAGTGGTCCAATAGATTCTCCGAGAGACATGTCGAAAACGTAGGAAGCAAATTGCATGATTCGCACACTCGAGGTCATCTTGAGTCTGGTAGCAAGAGCCGTTTGGCTGGTGCTGAGTGATTGGTGCTCTATAACAAAACCCTTTGGCGTTCCAGTACTGCCAGAGGTAAACAGAATGTAGGCAGGACTGCGAGGCGATATTGCGAGCGGTTTGAATGGTTCTGACACAGAACGGCCCAGTTGTTGATCCAGCTCAGCCGTGACTTCGACCACGTCTGTGACGAGTTTGGCACAGAGTTCGGCATTACTGGGTGATACCAACGCCAGGCGAGCCTTGGTCTGGAGAACAATCTGGCGCAAACGCGCTTCGGGCTGGGATGGCTCCAAGGGAACCCAAGCAGCTCCAGCCTTGTTGATCGCGAATATTGACACGAAATGCCAAGCAGACTTCCCAAAGCAGACACTGACAAAATCACCAGGCTTGACACCATGACTGTGGATGAGATGGTATGCTAGTCTGTCCGAAGCGGCAGCCAAGTCGCTGTACGTGAGTTCCGCATCGCATGCCAAGATTGCTGGTGCTTGTGGGGAGATCTGAGCTTGTTTGTCAATCAACTCATGCACGCATGAACTGATAATCTCCGGCACCTCGCTATTGACAGCTAAAGCCAATTCAAGGTCGTGAGATGAAGCGATCAAGATAGACTCGAGGGAAGTGCCAGCGCCCGAAGCGAGCTGGTGAATGACATGGCCAAGCTGTTCGGATAAGGCTTGAACCTGGCGCTCTGTCAAAACATTTCGATCGTATGCCACTGCAATTTTTACCTTATCACCATACAAGTGGCCTTGTACAATCAGGGGATAGTTGAAGAAGTTGTTCAGGGAGTCAGAGAGACCTTCGGTCACCTCTGCAGCAGAAAGCAGTTCCTTGCTCTCCTCGCTGTTGGCAATGTGGCGTATGGGCTGGACGACCAGCAAACTTGAGAACTGGCACGCTTCATAGGCGTCTCTGCTGAGTTTCGTGATGTTCTGTAGACCGAATTGTTCGTACGGAATCATTCCTACTGCGCCCTGTTGGACGCTCTGTAAGAAATCTGATACGGGCTGTTGACGATCCAGTCTGACTCGTACAGGAACCGTCGCAATCACCGGCCCTACCATGTCAACGATTCCAGGAACGGGAGCCTGACGGCCTGAGGTGGCGATGCCGAAGCATACATCGTCAGTGTCACAATATCTCGCAAGGACAATGGCCCAGGCGGATCGAATGACGGTTGCTAACGTCACATTGAGTTTGCTGGCATCGACAAAGCCAATTGGTGTTTCCAAAACACAAGTAGCAACTACTTTGTCGTGGGTGTTATGCAGCGAAGGCAATTGTGCTGGCTTGGCATCATGTAGAGCATCTCTCCAATAAGCAGAGGCAGCCTCCTCATCTATCTGCAAAAGATACTGGATAAAACGAGAGTAAGGAGTCAAGACAGGAGTTTCAAGGCCGAAGTACGCTTTGTGCAAGATGCCCAGGATAACTTGTGTGGACAGGCCGTCGAAAACTGTATGATGCATGGCCCAGAAAAAGAACACACTCCGCTGCTCGTCTTCAACAAACGCAAATTGACACAATGCTGAACCGTATGTCATTTTGATCGTCTGAGCATATCGTAGTACAGCTTGTAGATCGTGATACGGTAGCGGCTCTGAACTCGACTCGGGATTCAGTACGATTTGGAATGTCGACTTGGCCGATGTGTTGATGATTCTGCTGCGCAAACTGGCACAAATATGCATAGTCTGCTTCCAAGCTGACTTGAAACGAGCCACATCGACGTGGTCAGGAAGGCGGTAGAGATATTTGGCGACGTAACTGCCAGGTTGCTTGACGGATAACGCCATTAAGCCCTCTTGAAGCTTGGTACAAGGGTAAGAGTCTTCGATGATAGCACTGTCAGGCAGCGAGCACTGATCTCGGGCTTCAGCCAGGATGGTACTGGACTCCCCTGCCGGAAGCATATCGAACGGCCGGATCTCACTGTATACAGTCAACTCATCCTCGACGATGGCGCTGGCCATTTGCTCGAGACGAGGAGATTGAAAAATCGTCGCGACTGTCAGATCGAGACCTTGCAGTTGGGCTTTCGACACCAGCTGAATAGCAGATATCGAATCGCCACCGAGGCGTAAGAAGCTGTCGTTCTTGCAAATATCATCAGGTTCAATACGGAGAATCTGTGCCCATAGCTCGCGTAACTTGAATTCCATGGGTGTAGTTGGGAGCACGCGGAAGCTGGTATCAGGAGCAAAGCGCAGACGCTCTTGAGCAGTGATATGCTGGGCTTGGCCAGTCAAAGACCGGCGATTGATCTTGCCCGTTGTGGTTTGCTCCGGCTTCCCACTGAAGAGGAGGTAAGAGGACGGAATCATGTATGAGGGCAAAATTGTGTTCAGAGACGTATCCAAGTGCAAAACCATGGCTCGCGCTTCATCCGATACGGTGTCCACGAGACGGGCTGGCGAGGCAGAGCTTCCATCAGAGTTCCAGATGAAAGCCAACAAGGTAGCCGGGGCGTCATTGTCTTTAACAACGTCCACAATCGCAGCCATGTTTTGCGGCAAGAACTCCTGAATTCGGGTCTCAATCTCTCCCAGCTCGACACGCTGACCGTGAAGCTTAACCTGGGTATCTTTGCGGCCGATGTAGTCGAACGTACCATCCGCATTCCGCCTGACGAGATCACCGGTTCGATAAGCTCTCCTAGGTCGGTTGTCACCAGGAAGCCAGTCAACGCCTTCAAGCCAGTTGGCGGCGACCTCGGCCGTCACATTCAGATACCCCCGAGCAAGCATTGGACCCTCGATAAGAAGTTCACCAATACAGCCGATTGGCACCAGTGATTTCGGGTCATTGACATTAACAACCCAAAACGCACTGGATATGGGGTGTCCGAGATTCGTGGGGCGCCCTGATCTCCCTACTACCGAGTTCCATGCACAGATAGACGCTTCGGCTGGGCCATAGAGGCCATGCAGGCTCACATGGCCAACCCACCTGTCAGCACACTTCTTGGTAATGGCTTCGCCACCCAGACAGACAGTCTTCAAAGTAGGGACTTCCACCGGGTTGAGGAGGTCTGCAACAGTTGGCGTGAGGAATACCCAATCGGCTTTAGACGCAGTAATGGCGGCCGCAAGGTTGTTCAGACGGTCATGATCGGATGGAATGCAGATGCAGGCACCTCTCATCAGCGTCACAAGACAATCCAGGACACCAACGTCGAACGTGTATGCGGAGAATTGGAACACCCGGGTGCCGGCTTCAATCTTCAAATCGGCACCGTAGGCATCGCTCGAGGAACAGATACTTCTGTGCTCAATAATCATGCCCTTTGGCTTGCCAGTGCTACCAGATGTAAAGAGGATGACGCTGGCGTTGGTAGGCCTAGCCTCTGACCGCAGGTCGAACTCGGCTGGCAGCTCGGAGATACTTTGATCGTCCACTGTAACAGCTTTCATGCCAAGTGACTGAAGTAATCCTTGACACTCTGAGCTGGTTATAGCCAGCGTAGCTCCCGTATCCTGGAGAATTCCTTGTAATCTGGCTGGCGAGGCACCAGGATCGAGGGGAATAAAGGCACCTCCGGCCATTTGAACAGCCACCATAGCGACCACAGCCCACTTCGATTTGTGGAAGCAGAGAGGGACCAATGACTCAGGTCCAACATCAAGCTCTTGCAATCTTGCAGCTAAGCGCGCGACATGTTTTCCAAGCTGAGCATAGGTCAGGTCTCCATCCCATGAGGAGATAGCGATCTGGTCAGGCTGTAATCTGACTTGGTCTTGGATCAACCAGTGTGTGCATGATTCCGTTGCAGGGCGAAGACGAGACGCATCGACGGCCTTTTGCAGTTCCCACGAGCCGATCAGGGAAATATCCTTCTGCATGCCGCTGTTATTGAGAAGCTGGTGTGTGACATGCTCTATGTGATGAGACAACGCTTCTATCTGGTCCTTGCCAAGGACATCGGAGTTGTAAAAGAGCCGCTGCTCAATAGCCTTCTCGCCAATGCCACTGATGATGACGAGAGGGTAGTTGAAATAGCCTTGCATAGCCTTTTCCGTCTCGTCCTGTTCCGTCTCGCTGTGTGAGAGAATTGCCTTTGAGTCATCCCCGCCGGCAGGATCATGAGCTGGTGGTTGAATGACAAGGAGACTGGAAAATTCACAAGCCTCCTTCGCATCAGAACTAAGCTTGGCAATATTCTGCAATCCGAGCTGCTCATAGGGAATCATGGAGGATGCTTGTGATTGAACATCACTCAAAAACTGAGAAACAGGGCCGTTCTTATCGAGTCGGACACGAACTGGAACAGTTGCGATCATCGGCCCGACGATTGATTCAACACCCTGGACAGGGGCCTGTCTGCCGGAGACGGTTGTACCAAAAGTGACATCGTCGGTATCGCAATACCGGGCAAGGACGACTGCCCAAGCAGCCCGAACAACTGTGGCCTTTGTTACAGGGATATTCAAGGTCTCTGGTAGCACAATGGTCGAATGGTACACATCCGTCCTGGCCGCGGAGATGGAGCGTTGGCTGGTCGGGAATTCTGCCCGCTTTGACCCAGCTAGCTCCTTGGTCCAGAATTCTGCGGCCTTTCCGGTGTCAATATTCCTGTAGTAGTTGATGAAGGAGGAATAAGGCCGAACAGGAGACAGGGAATCGCCATAGTAGGCTGAATACAGGGTGCTGAATAGGATCCGCATCGTCCAGCCATCGTAGATGGAGTGATGGGCTGACCAGACGAAATAATCGCTGTCACCATCATGAACGATAGCACAGGAAGAGAGAGCCGTTCCATATGTCATCTTCAAGTTCTCGGATGAATCAAGAACTGAGGACAAAGTCTGATTCTCCGTAGATCGCCACTGGTTTCCACCTCGAACGACGATTTGAACAGACTCCCCATCCAAGTGAATGATGCGAGTGCGGAGGTTGGAGCAGATATCGGACATCTGGTTCCAGGCAGCAACAAATCGCGAGATATCGACATGCCTAGGTAACCGGAACACATAGTTCGCCACGTAAGATCCAGGCTGTTTAGCAGTGAGAGCCATCAGACCCTCTTGTAGTGAAGTACAAGGGTAGCAGTCTTCAATCACCTGCTCTTCGGATAAGCAGCATTGTTTGCGAACATCATCACTAAAGACTGCATCCCTCAGTCTGTCGGTTACCATGCTAAGTGGCGCGACATGAGTTTCCAACTGGTCAGTTGTCTTCGTAGCCTTCAATGACAGAGCCACCAATCTGGGGTCATCAAACACATCCTTCACCTGAAAGGAAATTCCCATTTCTCGGGCGCGAGAGGCCAACTGAATGGCCAAGATGGAGTCTCCGCCAACCTGCAAGAAACTGTCGTCTCGGCCAATGGAAGCAGCAGGGATGCCCAAAACATCTGCCCAAAGAGCTTGAAGTTGAATTTCCATCTCTGTTTCGGGCTCGCGTTTCTGGCTGTTGAGGAGAGCGTAAGCATTCCGCTGCTCGTCATTCAGCGAGTCCATCAGGTGGCGCAGAGTCTTTCTGTCAAGCTTGGTGGACGTAATGGAAGGCATAAATCTGCAAGGGATGAAGAGAGAAGGAATCATGTAAGTAGGCAACGCGATCCGGAGCTCGCCAAGCATGATGGCAATCCTTTGGCGAAGGTCAGTCGTGATGGCTGCAAATAAGCCATCTGCAGTGAATAGTTCATCCGCAGATGGATTCTTCATCTCGTCACTGAAGCAAATGTAAGCGACGAGATTCGACCGACCCTCCTTTTGGTACACGTCGACAACGACTTGTCGCACGCCGTCCAGAATCTCGCGAACATAATGCTCAACTTCCCCGAGTTCGACCCTTAGGCCACGGATCTTGATCTGCGTGTCCTTGCGACTGCTGAAAACAATTGTGCCGTCGGGACCATAGTACCCAAGGTCACCAGACTTATAGAACTTATTCCAATTCTTGGAGTCCGGCCGCGGCGCCCATGTTGGCAGAGAGTATACAGTTGAGTCCTTTGTGCGTTCGACATCGGCAAGGTACTCGCGTAGGATCGTGGGACCCTGTATGACAATCTCTCCAAGTGTTCCTGTCGGAGTGAGACGCTGGGGATCTTCCGGGTTGACGATCCAGCAGAACCCTCCAACGGGGCGGCCAACGACAAGTGGTGATTCATCTACAGAAGACCATTCATGAAGTGTGCTGAAGCAACATGTCTCAGCAGGACCCCAGCCATTGACAAGACGGACTTTGCCAAACCAAGTGGTCAGCACGTCCCGAGGCACTGCTTCACCGGCTAAGAGCAAAAGCTGCAGAGCAGGCATGTCTTCCGGAACCAGGGTCCTCACAAAGGCCGGCGTTAGATACGCCCAGGTAACCTTCGTGTCGTTGACAAATTCCTTCAATCCGTTCATTCGAGTGTCCTCTGATGGAACACAGATGCATGCACCGGAAATCAGAGGCCCGATGATTTCACCAATAGAGAGATCGAACACGAAAGCCGCAAACTGTAGCATCCGGACCTCAGACGTCAGGTTGAGCCTCTTGGCTATGGCCGTCTGGCTTGTGCAAACAGCACCATGTTCCATCACTAGGCCCTTCGGTTTGCCTGTGCTTCCAGACGTAAAGAGCACGTACACCGCGTGATTCGGCGTAACGGCAACAGCTGGACCTTCGTCGCCATTTTCCGTGACGGCCAATCTCTGGTCGAGCTTATCATCAAGTCGAACGACGTTCTCAAGAAGGGTTGAGCACAGCTTTTCATTGCGTGCCGACGACAACACAAGGGTCGCCCGCGTCTGGTCGACCACTTGCCGTAGCCTTTGCTCTGGATACGAGGGATCCAATGGAACCCACGCCGCACCCGCCTTATTGATGGCAACAATTGCAACAAAGTGCCAAAGAGACTTTTCAAAGCACACATGAACAAGGTCGTCAGGCCGAATGTCATAGTTCTTCACAAGATGACGCGCCAGTCGATTTGCAGATTTGTTGAGTTGGCTATAGGTTAAGTCGCCGTCCCAGGCAGACACTGCCAAGGCGTTTGGCGCCCGGTGGGCCTGGGCTTCAATGAGCTTGTGGACGCAGGAGTCGATTATCTCTGGCACTTCAGAGTTGAACTCAACAGACTGCTTAACATCCCACTCAGACGTGATAGAGAGGTCTTTCAGCAATAGGTCGGGATGTGAAGCCAGCTGAGAAACAACATGCTGGAACTGATGCGAGAGCGTAATAAGCTGCTGTTCAGAGAGAGAGAACTTGTTGTAGATGAAGACAAGCTTGTCCCCATCATCATGAAGGTGAGCTTGGATGACGAGAGGGTAAGTGAAATAGCTTTCTAGTGCTTCGTCCGCCGACTCATCGGACCGCGCAACAAGGAGGGCATCGCCAGCTCCATTGATGTGCGACAGAATCTGCCTTGGTTGAATCACAAGCAAGCTTGAAAAGTCACAGGCGTCTTTAGCATCGTCGCTCAACTTGGCAATGTTGTGCAGACCGAACTGCTCATATGCAACCATTTCCATTGCCTGTGACTGAATGTCCTCTAGGAAGTCGGAGATCGGTTTGCCACCATCTTCAAGATGGATTCGAACGGGAATCGTCGCAATGACTGGACCAGGCATTTCGGCCAAGCCAGGAACTGGCGCTTGCCGGCCCGACACCGTTGTACCAAAACAAATATCGTTGGCATCACAGTAGCGAGCCAGTACGATTGCCCAGGCAGCGCGCAAAATGGTTGCCTTTGTAGTACCAGCGGAAATCTTGGGAATTTGCATCTCCGACTCGAGGTATCCCGTGCTGTTCGCGTTGGCTGGCTGCTCGCCTGGAGTGAGACGGTTGGGATAGCTTGCCTTCTTTGCGTTGCGAAGTTGGCTAAGCCAATACTCGCTTGCCGATGCTTGATCCGAATCGAGAGTATACTGGATGAACCGGGAATATGGACTGAGTTCGGCAACCGCATCGCCGTGATATGCGCTATCCAGCGTCTCGAGCACCAGACGCATTGTCCAGCCGTCAAAGACCGCGTGATGCATAGTCAAGATGAAGCGAGTGCTCCCATCTTGGGTAATCAGAGCATAACGACACAGTCGGGAACCATATTCCATCCTAATATCGCGTGAAGCCTCAAGGAAGCCATCCAAAGAGCCCTCTTGCGTGGACTCCCACTCGAAATCGTTCTGGAGCACAACCTGGATAGAGGCTCCGTCGATATTCAGGATTCGAGTCCGCAGGTTGGGACACATCTCAACCGTTCTTTGCCACGCAGCCTTGAAGCTGTCAATGTCAGCCGATTTAGAAAGGCGGTAGTGGAATGTGCCAATGTAAGAGCCCGGCTTTTGCACAGCTAGGGCCATTAGACCTTCTTGAAGCTTCGAGCAAGGGAATGCATCTTCGATACTCATACTATGGCTCAAGCCAAGGCAAGATTTGGCTTCGTCTGTTTGAAGGAAGTCCAACTCAGCTTCTTCCAGCATACCAAACGGTTCAACGTCGCCGAAGTCATCGTCATCATCAGCGATGACTTCGGCTTTCGCGGCCACACTGAGAAGGCGAGCATCTTGGAACACGTCCCTGGCGCTGATACTGATGCCGCTCTCACGAGCTGCAGAGACGAGCAAGATGACTGACATCGAATCGCCTCCAATCTGGAGGAAGTTATCATCCCTTCCAATCGATTCGGCTGGGATATGCAAAATGTCAGCCCAGACTTGCTGCAATCTTGCCTCCATTGTCGTTTCGAGAGCACGTTTAGTACTTCCGACGAGGGAGTACTGTTCGAACTGCTCTCTAGACAGCGACGTGGCCATCTGCACAAGGAGCTTCCGGTCTAGCTTGGTTGACGTTCCAATCGGCATATGTTGACAGGGGATGAAAGTTGTGGGAATCATATAAGGCGGTAGAACACCTTTGAGAAGAGAGATCAAATCATGGATTTGAGGCGCAGCATTGTTATCCAAGGGTGCGAATATCGCCTTTCCGTCAGGGCCTGTTCCAAGATGGGAAGAAAGAGTCTCGTTGCTGAAGCTGTAAAAAGCTACTAGTTGAGACGCTTCGTCCCGCTTCATAACGTCGACCGCGACTTGGCGAGCACCAGAAAGGTTCGTGATGATCTGTTGCTCAATCTCGTGCAACTCGATACGAAGTCCACGGATCTTGACCTGGGTATCTTTACGACCAGCAAACTCGATTGTACCATCTGGATTGTAATGTCCCAGGTCTCCAGTTCTATAGAAGCGATCCCAGCCTCTCAATTCACGATTGGGTACCCAATACGGAAGAGAAGACACAATGACCTCGTCGGTCTTGGCTGGATTAGCCAGGTATTCCCTGAAGAGAGTTGGGCCCTGGTAGACAATTTCGCCAACACATCCGGTGGGAACAAGTTTCCTGGGATCGTTTGGATCTACGATCCACCAATTACCCAAGATAGACCGCCCAATGGTCCTGGGAGAGTCGTTTGGACCAGTCCATGGATGGAGGGAAGCGATGACACATGTCTCTGTTGGACCCCAGGCATTGTATAGCCGTAGCTTTCCGAACCACGTTGATACAATATCTGACGCGGCAGCCTCGCCTCCCACAAGAAGTACTTGAAGGCAAGGTATGTCTTCCGGCTTCAAGCTACGCGCAACAGTTGGGGTAGCGAATGCGGCGTTTACAGAAGCTTTGACCATGTAGCCTGTCAGGTTGTTCATCTGTTCGTCCCAAGATGGCATACATATGCAGCCACCGACAAGCAGCGTTGCGATAATTTCGAAGATGCACGCGTCGAAGACAAAGGAAGCAAACTGGAGCGTTCTGGATTGATCTGTGAGGCCAACGTTGAGAGCTAAGGCCGTCTGCGATGTACACAAGGACCCGTGTTCGATGACGACGCCCTTGGGCATGCCTGTTGTTCCGGATGTGAAGATGATGTAGGCAGCATCTGATGGAGAGACGTCGACATTGGGTCGGTGCTTAAGCACGTCCTTTGTAGACAAGGCCTGGTCCAACCTAGATGACACCTCGAGAACGAAAGGCGTCAGATTGGTACACTTTGATGTGTTTGTCGGAGAAGCCAAGATCAGCTCCGCGCCAGTCTGCGAGATGATCTGCTGGTACCGCTGAACAGGATGAGTGGGATCAAGTGGCGACCAGGTCGCGCCAGCTTTGTTGATGGCCAAGATGGCGACGATATACCAAGCTGACTTGTCAAAACAGACGTGTACAACATCGCCCTTCTTGACGTGGAAGTTGTTGATCAGGTGATGCGATAACCTATTGGCGCAAATATCCAGCTGTTGGTACGTGAAACGGGCGTCGCAAGCATCTACGGCGAGTGTGGCCGGATGCTTGAGCGTCTCGTCTTCAATCAGAGAGTGGACGCATCGCTCGATAGTCGTGGGTGGGACTCCGTTGGCTGAGGCGGCAAAGTCGACTTCCCAAGGCACCTCAGCGAGCATTTGCGACAGTGACTGATTGGGAGAAACAAGAAGCTGTTCAAACACATGCTTGAAGGCGTGAGAGAGACCTTGCACCTGATGTTCAGGCACGACTGATGGATCGTAATACAGATCGAGGTCGACGCTATCGTCAGCCAGCATGCATTGAGCAACCAGGGGATAGCTCAGATAACCCTGGAGCATTTCCACTTTGCTGCTTCCCTCAAGGTCTGTTGCGAAGCTGAGCAGGTTGCTCTCGTGAGTCAGTTTTTGCACCGGCTGCACAACGACCAATGACTTGAAGTCACAAGCGGCCTTGGCTGCATCGTTGAGGTTCGAGATGTTCTTCAGCCCGAATTGCTCATGTGGAATCATGTCAAAGGCTTGGTTCTGGACACTTCGTAAGAATGTCGATACAGACTGCTGGTCGTCTATCTGGACACGAATCGGCACAGTAGCGACAACGAGGCCAGGGATGGACTCCAGGCCAGGGACTGCAGCTTGACGGCCAGAAACACTTGAGCCAAAGCACACATCATTGACACCGCTATATCTGGCCAGCACAATAGCCCAAGCAGCTCGTATAATCGCAGCTTTTGTGATGGAGCTGTTGGACGATTGTCGGATTCCGACGGTGATTGACTGAAGCCTCGTTTGTTTCGACTCGATTTTGCCGCCCTCGCTCACCGTTGGAAAGCTCATGGGCTTGGCACCCTCCAACTGAGAAGTCCAAAATTCGGCTGAGATATCAGAATCAATACCCATGATATACTTGACGAATCGAGAGTACGGGTAAAGCGGAGAGACATCCAATGCAGTGTAATAGCTCTGCAAAGTGCTGAGCATCAGCGGAACTGACCAGCCATCGTAAATTGAATGGTGTAGCCGGAGGCAGAAGTAATTGGCGCCATCATGCTCAATCAGAGAGTAGTCACACAGCGGCAAGCCATAATCAACTTCAAGGTCTTGCTGGCCATGGCTTGGCAACATCGTCTTCTCCTCGTCATTCCAGCGACAGCCGTTTCTGACAACGACTTGGATGGTGCTGTTATTTATGACGATGATACGGGTTCGCAAGTTTGCACACGCTTCCACGGTTCGGTTCCATGCGGCGATAAAGCGTGAAACGTCGGTACCCTCTCCAAGGCGGTAGCGGAACCTGGCTATATACGCGCCTGGTTGCTTCAAAGTTGTATTCAAGAGGCCCTCTTGGAGCGGAGTGCAAGGGTAGGCATCTTCAATAGCTTGGCCCTCCGTCAGTTTGCATTGAAGTTCTGCATCGCCCCCTGATATAGCCTTGTGGATAGACTGGGGTACCAAGCTGAATGGCGGAACTTCATCAGATGATATGACGTGGCCGTCAGCCAGAGCCATTTTGGTGGCAACAGCATGTAGCCTTGGGTCGTCGGAGATGTCCGTGACAGAGATGGGGAAGCCAATCTTTCGAGCTATCGAAACCAGTTGGATTGCAACAACTGAATCACCGCCGATCTGGAAGAAGTTGTCATGACGACCGATGGATTCGGCAGGAATACTTAGCACTTCTGCCCATAGAGACTGAAGCAGCAATTCCATCTCGGTTGATGGGGGTTCCTTGGCAGCGTCGGTTAACGAGTAACCGGTAAGTTGGTCTCGATCAAGCATAGCTGTGAACTGTCGGAGCGACTTTCTGTCCAGCTTGACGGAGGTGATGGACGGCATGAACTTGCAGGTAATGAACAGCGTCGGTATCATGTAAAGTGGCAGGCTTGTCCTCAGCTGTGCCACTGCCTCGGATATCAATCGTTGCGTGTCATCTGTGAGCGGCGCAAAGACTTCGTCAGCTGTCGCGGTGGAAGAAATCTTTCTGAGTTCCGAAGTGAAGCAGATGTACGCGACCAGAGTATGGCCATTGTCAGTGTTGACGACTTCCACTGCAACTTGATGGATGGACAAAGCTTGTGAAATGCGATGCTCAATCTCCCCAGCCTCAATTCTCTGACCTCGGATCTTGATTTGCGTGTCCCTGCGAGAACAGTACTGGATGGTGCCGTCCGGGTTATAATAGCAAAGGTCACCCGTCTTATACAGTCGGTTCCAGCCAACAAGCCCTTGACGAGGAACCCAGCTTGGCATATCTGTAACGACTGCCTCCTTGGTTTTGTCGGGAGCTGCAAGGTACTCACGGAGGAGCGTTGGACCCTGGACAACAAGTTCCCCCACAACACCGATGGCGGCTAGCTGGCTGGTATGCTTCGAATCAACAATCCAACAGCAGCTGCCCACCGGCTTACCAATTTTGAGATACGACTCTTCTGCAGACTGCCACTCATGTGTACTGCTGATCACGCAGGTTTCTGTCGGTCCCCAGCCGTTGATAAGGCGCACCTTGCCAATCCACGTGTTGAAGATGTCCAGAGTGGGAGCTTCTCCGGTAACGACGAGTGCTTCTAAGCTCTGTGCATCCTCAGGACTTAGTGTCCGTAGGAAAGAAGGTGTAAGCAAAGTCCAATTGACGGAGTTCTGGTTAATGAAGGTAGCGAGGTCGTTCATCCTTGTCCAGTCCGACGGAATACAGACACAGGCGCCTAACATCAGCGTCGCAAAGATCTCTGTGACTGAGGGGTCAAAGGTAAACGCTGTGAATTGGAGCATTCGGTCATTGCTTTTCAGGCCGAATCTCTTTGACAACGCGGTCTGACTGGTGCACACAGCGGCATGCTCTAGGACGATGCCCTTTGGAGTACCTGTCGAACCAGACGTGAACAGGACATATGCGGCGTTGCGAGGAGTTACCGGAATACTCGGGTTATCTGAACTGATACCCTTGCTAACCAGCTGATCATCACTCGCGCTGTTCACTTCGAGCACACGCTCGACGACCTTTCCACATAAAGCCGCATTGCCTGACGAGGCCAACGCAAGCTTCGCACCTGTCTGGCTGACAATTTGTCGAAGCCGCTGTTCGGGATGTGAGGGATCGAAGGGAACCCAAGCTGCACCAGCTTTGTTGATGGCTAAGACCGATATCACATGCCAGATGGACTTCTCAAAGCACACGTGGACGAGATCCTCTATTTGGAGAGAGTACCTGTCTATCAGATGATGGGATAAGCGGTTGGCGGCACTGTTGAGTTGGCTGTAGGTAAGCTCTCCATCCCAAGCAGAAACAGCAATTGCGTCAGGACGTTGTTCAGCTTGAGCCTCGATAAGTGTGTGGATGCATGAGTCGATGAAGTCAGGTATCTCTTGGTTGAAGCTGATGGCCTTTTCCAGGTCCCAGGAGGAGGCAAGTGTTACCGCTCTTAGGGGTGCGAAGCGCAGCGACGTAAGCTGACAGACAACATGGCTCAATTGGTGAGCAAGTGCTTCAGCCTGAGCCTCAACAAGCGCGTTAGACTTGTAGATGATGGATAGTCTGACGGAGTCATCGCCAAGATGTGCTTGAACAACGAGTGGAAAGCTGTAGAACTTGTGAACCATGTCGGCTGGACTTTCAACTTCGACGTCTGCGGTCACAAGGACGTTGTCACCCTCCTCGTTCTCTGTCTCCGTTGGCTGGATAAGCAGGAGACTCGAGAACTGGCAAGCTTGTTTGGCATCAGGACCAAGCTTCGCAATATTCTGCAAGCCGTATTGCTCAAATGAGATCATTTCCAGTGCCTGATCTTGTACAGCCTCAAGGAAGCAAGACACAGATTGATCAAAGTCCAAGCGAACTCGAACTGGAACAGTGGCAAGGGTAGGCCCAACCATGTCGATAACGTCGGGGACCGGCGCTTGGCGACCCGATAGAGACATTCCAAAGCAGACATCGTCAGTACTGCAATATCGAGATAGTACCAGAGCCCAAGCAGCTCGGATCAATGTTGCAGTCGTTATGTTTGACTTGGGCATCTTGGGTAGGTCAACAACTTTCTCGAGAATGCTTGTGGTAGTCTCAGAGTTCGGGATACCATTCGTGGCTGGGAAGTTGGAGTGCTCGCAGTTCTCGAGCTGCGCGTTCCAATACCGTCCAGCATTGTCAACATCCAGAGATTTGACATATTGGATAAAGCGAGCATACGAGGGAAGAGGCGACACTTCAAGGCCAGAGTAAACCTTCTGCAGCACGGTGAAAATGTTTCGGTTGGACAAGCCATCAAATACAGCGTGATGAACCGACCAAAAGAAGAAGCATCGCCCATCATTTTGTTTAACAATGGTACCAAGTGAGAGCCTCAATGCGTAGCCCATCTCAACAGAGCGGTGCAACTGAATAGCTTCTTCGACATCTCGTCCATCAACAGCGGGTTCGTCGTTAAGAACCACTTGGATGGGCGTCTCATTGACGTAAACAATCCGTGTGCGCAGGCTGGTGCAGATTTCAACAGTTTTCGCCCACGCTGTTTTGAAGGAATCGACGTTGACATGATCGGGAAGGCGATAGACAAACTTCGCAATGTATGAGCGAGGCTGCTTGACGGCCAGGGCCATGAGGCCTTCCTGTAGGCTCGTACATGGATAGGCATCGACAGCGTGCGACAATGAGCCTTGGTCACGCACAGCCTGGATGATCGCCTCTTTAGGAATACTAGAGACCAACTTGAATGGCTGTATGTCATCGACGAGAGAGTTGGCGGTCACAGAGACAGCGTGGGCCATTTGTTCCAGCTGTGGTTTGTGGAAGATGGTAGCCACACTCAGAGCAAGACCATGCTTCTGAGCGAGCGTGACAAGCCGGATTGCACTGATGGAATCGCCACCAATGCGCATGAAACTGTCCCGTTTGCTGATATCTTCAGCGTTCACGTGGAGAACCTCTGCCCAGAGATCGCGGAGTTTGAACTCCATGGGCTCTGTCGGCGTTTCCTTCTCTTCATTACCAGGACCAAAACGTGACCGATCATCGTAGGAGATATTCTGAGCCAGCTCAAGGAGAGAACGTCTGTCGACTTTTCCAGATGTGGTTTGATTCGGTTTGCCGTGGAAAATGAGATAGCATGAGGGAATCATATGTGATGGCAGAGTAGTGGACAAAGACATGTCTACATCGGAAATCAAGATACGCTGCTCGTCGGATAGGCTACCGATGAGTTCCAAGGGCGAGGGGCTGTTGGATGTCGCGCTGTCGGTGTACCATAAGAAAGCCATGAGGCTGTCTTGCCGTTGCTCATCGACAGATTTGACAACATCAATAATGGCAGACATCCCAGCTGGAAGAACTTGATGAAGCTGGTGTTCGATCTCGCCGAGTTCCACGCGCTGGCCATGGAGCTTGACCTGCGTATCTTTACGACCGATATAGTCGAAAGTCCCATCAGCGTTTCGGCGCACCAAGTCGCCAGTTCGATAGGCTCTGTTCGGAAAGTCATGAGGCAGCCAGCCTGCTGTGAAGTATTCGATCCAATTGGCAGCTTGCTTTTCATCGACATTGAGGTAGCCCCGGGCAAGCAATGAACCCTGGATTAGCAACTCTCCGATGCATCCAACAGGGGCGAGCCTGTGAATATCGGTAGGCTCAACAACCCAGAAAGCACTTGCAAGCGGCTTCCCTAGATTAGTTGACTTGCCGGACCGGCCCACGGTAGGGTTCCAGGCACATATAGAGGCCTCAGCAGGGCCGTAGAGGCCGTGTAGCTCAACGTGGTCTTTCCATCTGGCAGCAGTCTTCTGGTTGATCGCCTCTCCGCCCAGACACACTACACGAAGTGTCGGTACGTCGGCAGGATTGAGGAGGTCAGCAACCGTAGGCGTCAGGAATACCCAATTTGCTTGAGTCTTGTTGATGGCACCAGATAGGTCGTTGAGTCGATCCTCTTCTGAAGGGATACAGAGGCAACCGCCACGCATGAGTGTAACGAGAGTATCTAGAATACCGACGTCGAACGTGTAGGCTGAAAACTGAAAAACGCGGCTACCAGGTCCAATCAGCAGGTCAGAACCATATGCATTTGCCGAAGAGCAGAGGGTATCATGCTGAATGACCATGCCCTTCGGTCGACCTGTACTGCCAGATGTGAAAAGAACAACGGCTGCATCAGACGGGCAGTCAGTTTGCTGTACTGGAGTAGCAGCCTCAGGCAAGGTGGCAACAAAAGAATCATCGATAACGACAACAGGAATGTCAAGGCCTGACATAACCGATGCGCAGCACGGGCTTGTCAGAGCAATTGTCGCCTTAATGTCGTCGAGCACACTGCTGATTCGTGTCCGTGGTGCCTTCGGGTCAAGCGGAACGAAAGCACCACCCGCCAGTTCCACAGCGACCATCGTCACGACGGCCCAGACGGACTTGGGGAAACATATAGGCACAAAGGTCTCGCGCCCTATGCCAAGCTGTCGTAGCTTAGCTGCCAGGCGGGTGACCAAGCTTCCAAGCTCACTATAGGTAAGCTCGCCGTCCCATGAGACTACAGCTGGAGAGGTGGGATAGGTGCGGATCGCATCTTGAATAAGCCAGTGAGTGCAAGACTGGACGGGAAGCTTCAGTGTCTGGCAATCCCTAGCATGCTTCACGTCCCAGTCGCTCACTAGAGAGATATCTCCGAGACAAACATCGTTGGCAAGCTGCTGAACAACATGCTCGATCTGGTAAGAGAGGGCTTCAACTTGCTTTTCGGCCAGCACTCCTGGATTGAAGAACAAGCGCTGCTCAACGTTGTCGCCGGCTATCCCGTAGATGAGAACAAGAGGATAGTTAAAGTATGAGTCCATCGTGTCTTCGGTCAGGGCACTTTCAGCTTCCCCAGCAAGAAGTATGGCCTCCTCGGAGTCCGCTTGAGATGAAGCGGGAGGCTGGATAACGAGCAAGCTAGAAAAACTGCATGCTTCCCTTGCATCAGAGCTGACATTGGCGATATTCTGTATTCCATATTGTTCATAGGGAATCACGTCTGTCGTCTGATTCTGAACGCCAAGAAGGAATTCGGAAGTTTTCATCTGGCTATCAAGATGAACACGGACCGGGATAGTGGCAATTGCTAGTCCAGGCATTGCTTCTAAGCCCGGAACTGGCGCTTGGCGACCAGACACGGTCGTGCCAAAGGTGAGATCATCACTGTCGCAGTAACGTGCAAGAACAATCGCCCAGGCCGCACGCAAGATAGATGCTTTAGTGATGGATGACCTTTCCCTTACAGGGAGAGCAATGGTTCTCCGGTGTACCTGGGTAGGCTGGCCATCAGTTCCCATGTTGGTACCGTTGAGAGGAGGGAATGAGGCCCGCTTTGAGCCCTGAAGTTCGTTAGCCCAGAAGTTCGTGGCAGCATCATGATCGAGAGACAATGTGTATTTGACGAAGGCGTTGTATGCCTGCAGCGGTGATGGCTCTACGTTTCTGTAGATGCTCTCCAGGGTACTCAGAATGAGACGAATGGTCCAACCATCGTAAATGGCATGATGAGCTGACCAGACAAAGTAGCTGGTGTCTGCTTCCTGCACTGTTGCGTACCAACAGAGAGGCGTACCATAGCTCATTTGAAGGCCTCGGTCCGAGCGGACAAGGGAAGAGAGTGTCTCCTTGTCGGTTGCCTCCCAGGAGGCTGGGTCCTTTAGAAGGACCTGGATCGATGAATCATCAAAGAGAATGATTCTTGTGCGTAAAGCGCCGCAAAGCTCGACAGTCTTCATCCACGCGGCTTTGAAGCGACCTATATCGACTTGGCTGGCCAGCCTGTATACATATTTAGCAACATATGACCCCCGCTGCTTCACAGAGAGTGCCATGAGACCCTCTTGGATTGAAGTAGCAGGATAGGCGTCATCAATGGCACTCTGTGCAATGCCACATTGCTCAGCTGCTTGCATGACGATTGCGTCTCGAGTCGGCGGCGGCAGAAGACTGAATGGCGCAATTTGGTTGTCCCTCCCCTCAGCTTTACCACTGAAGACCGCCTTCGCAGCTATTGCGAGTAACCTGGAATCGTCAAAGACGTCTTTCACACTGATGACCAGGCCCTCAGCCCGCGCTGTAGACACCAGGTGTATAGCAGAGATCGAATCTCCGCCAATCTGCAAGAAGCTGTCATCGCGACCGATTGAATCAGCCGGTATGCTCAGAATAGATGCCCAGAGTGATTGGAACTTTCGCTCCATGTCCGTCTCAGGGGGTCTCTTGTTATCATCAGAAAGCGAATACATAGAGATTTGATCCTGGGTCAGGAGAGAGGCAACTTGACGAAGCGCCGTCCTGTCGAGTTTTGTCGATGTGATGGAAGGCATATACCTGCAAACGATGAAAAGGGTCGGAATCATGTAGTTTGGAATGGACACCCTCAATTTGCCGACCATAGCAGCTAGTAAGGGTCGAACTTCGACTGTTATAGGCATGAGAATGTCGTCCATGCTATTCTCTGAGCTCGTCGAGGAGCGAGTCTCTTCAGTGAAGCAAAGGTACGAGACCAAGCGGGAGCCACCATCGGATGTCGAGATGTCAACGGCTACCTGGCAAATGCCTTCCAGGCTCTCGCGAATCCGGTATTCAACTTCGCTAAGTTCGACACGTAAGCCGCGGATCTTGACTTGAGTATCTCTGCGACTACAAAACTCGATTGTCCCGTCCGGATTGTACATGGCCAAATCTCCTGATTTATAGAAGCGTGTCCACTGCGATGCCTTTTGCAGCGCCCAATCGGGCAAACACGTTACCGTTGAGGATGCTGTTCGTTCAGCGTCATCCAGGTATTCGCGAAGGAGCGTTGGGCCTTGCAGCATGATTTCACCCACGGTTCCAATCGGGGCCAGCTGGTCAGAACGCTCAGGGTCCACGATCCAGCAGAAAGCCCCAACTGGCCTACCCACCGTCAATGGAGAATCCTGAGGCTGCCATTCATGCAGCGTACTGAACACGCATGTTTCAGCTGGACCCCAGCCGCTGATGAATCGCAACTTGCCAACCCAAACGTCAAAGACATCTCGAGGAGTGACCTCTCCACACAGCAGCAGTAGCTCCAGTCCTGGGACATCTTCCGGCTTGAGAACGCGAACAAATGAAGGCGTTAGGTATGCCCAGTTGACACTAGCATCCCTGATGAAGCCAGCAACGTCGTTCATGCGGGCCTGCTCTGAAGGAACACAAACACAGGCACCAGAGATAAGTGGTGCAACTATTTCTCCGATAGAGAGATCGAACACGAACGCCGCAAATTGAAGCATCCGGACCTTGGAATGGAGGCCCAGCCTGCGAACAATGGCTCTCTGACTGCTGCAGACGGATCGATGTTCCATAACGAGACCTTTCGGGACGCCGGTGCTACCCGATGTAAACAGGACATAAGCTGCGTTAGCAGGCGAAACCTTGGTGGTCGGCGGGTTCTGACTGAAAGCAGCACCATTGCGTGATAGTTGTTGATCTAGAGAAGCAGAAACCTCAATGACAATTGGTATCAGATCCTTGCAAAGAGAGGCGTGAGATTCAGATATCAACACCATCTGAGCCTTCGTTTGCTTGACAATCTGACCGAGCCGTTCCAGTGGATGAGAGGGGTCAAGAGGAACCCATGCGGCGCCGGCCTTGTTGATAGCCAAAATGGACACGAAATACCAAGCCGACTTCTCGAAACACACATGGATGAGTTCGTCCGGCTTAATCGCGTGCTGAGATATAAGATGATATGCTAAGCGATTCGCTGCAGTGTCCAGCTCGGCGTATGTGAAGCTACCGTCCCATGCGCAGATCGCCATGGCGTCAGGTGTCTGACGGGCTTGACGCTCAAAGAGCTGATGAAAGCAGCCATCGACGGCTTCTGGCACCTCGGAATTGAACTTCATCGCCTGTTGAAGGTCCCATGAGGATGTCGTTGCGATGGAGCCAACATTTGACTGCAACTTGAGGACAAGCTCCCTTGCAACATGGTGGAATTGGTGCGATAACGCGACAATTTGCTCTTCGGGCAGGATGGCAGAGTTGTAGATGAGAACGAGTTCCGTCGATTCATCGTACAGATGCCCCTGAACAACGAGGGGATAACTGAAGTAGTTTTGAAGAGCATACTCTCCTGTCTCAACCTTCCCATCAGCTGCAATGAGGATAGCGTCTTGGTCACCAGCAGGGTCCAAGGCTTCCTTCGGCTGAACAACTAGCAAGCTAGAGAAGTCGCAGGCCTCCTTAGCACAAGCATGCAGTTTGCTGATGTTCTGCAGACCAAACTGTTCAAATTCGACCATCGCCAGGGCTTGTTCTTGGACCTCCTGCAGGAAGGCGGCGACCGATTTCTGTTGAGGCACTCGGATTCGTAATGGAACTGTCGCAATGGCTGGGCCTGGCATGTCTATTATGCCACTCACCGGGGCTTGTCGACCGGAAATTGTTGTTCCAAAGCAGATATCGTCTGTCTCGCAATAACGGGTAAGAAGTAAGGCCCATGTAGCACGAAGAATTGTAGCCCTTGTGAAGCCAGTTGCGCTCAGATCTGGAAGTTTGATATTCGTCACCATTGACCGATAGCCGTTTGAATACTCAGGAAGCTTCCCGCTCGTATTGGGGGGGAACGAGGCCTTCTTGGCATCCCAAAGCTGTTCCACCCAGTAGTCAGCAGCAGATTGGGGGTTGATAGCCAAGGTGTATTCAATGAAACGAGAATAGGGCGTCAAAGCTGTGGTCTTCATTCCCTTATACACGTTATCGAGCGTGGCGAGGACAACTCGTATAGACCAGCCATCGAAGATAGCGTGGTGCATGGTCCAGATGAAGTGCGTCTGGTTGTTCTCGTCCTTAATCAACGCATATCGGCAAAGGCGAGATCCATACTCAACTTCCAGATGCTCAATTGACTGAAGGTAAGACTTCAAAGTCATACCCTTCGTATCGTCCCAAGTGTAGTCGCTTATGACTACCTGAACCGACGAGCCCTTGAGGTGAACAACTCTTGTTCGCAGGATGCCGCATAGCCGTACAGTCTTGTCCCAGGCGGCTTTGAAGGCGGAGGGATCCACGTTCTCTGCTAAGCGGTAGTGAAAGCTCGTGATATACGATCCAGGCTGTTTCACTGCCAGGACCATAAGACCTTCTTGCAGGTTTGTGCACGGATAGCCGTCCTCAATCTTCATCGAGCGAGTCAATTTCAGCTCCTTTCTCAATCGCGGCGCCAAGAGGGCGTCTCGAATGTGCGGCTCCAATAACGCAAACGGCTTTGCAGAAATGGCGGAATTGGCGGAGCTAGAGTCAACTTCGATAGGCGCTGCGTTCAAAGCGACAGAGGAAAGTCGAGAATCCTTGAAGATATCGTTCGCTCGAAGCTCGATACCATGCTCGCGGGCCAGGGCAATGAGGCGAATAATGGCTATGGAATCGCCACCGATTGCCAAGAAACTGTCATGCCTTCCAATCGATTCAGCAGGGACTTTGAGAACATCGGCCCAAAGCTGCTGCAAACTGTGCTCCATTGGGGTCTCTGGACTGGACTTGGCCTCGGTCACCGCATACAGGGAGTATTGCTCAAAGGCCTGCCTATCCAATGCCGCAGCAAGACGACGCAAGAGTTTCCTGTCCATCTTGGAGGATGTCACGAGTGGCATCTTCTTGCAAGGAATGAAGAAGGTAGGTACCATGTAGCTTGGAAGAGCAGAAGCCAAGAAACCGTGCATCGCCTCTAAATCGCTCCTCAGATCTGCCGTCGACGGAAGGAAGATATCTTCCGTTGCCACATCACCAGTCATGCTAGCCGGAATGGTATCCGTATTCTGACAGATAAAGGCAACTAGATGAGTACCAGCTTCGAACTTGAGCGCTTCAACAGCGACTTGGCATGGACCTTCCAAGTTGTTCCGAATGTGGTGTTCGATCTCACCCAATTCGACACGGAGACCGCGGATCTTGATCTGACCATCTTTGCGACTATTGTATCTAATGGTGCCGTCTGCGTTATAGGTAGCCAGATCTCCAGACTTGTAGAATCGACCAAACACCTCGCGGTTGGGAACCCAGTGAGGAAGCGAGGTAACAGTGGCGGCAGCCGTTTTCTCCGGGTTCTCCAAATATTCGAGAAGCAGGTTGGGCCCTTGGACCACGATTTCACCAACGGTGCCTACTGGGCTTAGCTGATGAGGGTCATTAGGGTTGACGATCCAGCAGTTTCCACAAATTGGGCGTCCAATGGTCAGATGAGAGAGTTCAGTAGCTGTGTATTCATGTACCATGGCGATGACCGTTGTTTCCGTTGGGCCCCAGACGTTGAACAGCCGCACCTTACCGAGCCAACTGTTGACGACTTCTTTGCTTGGAGCCTCACCACCAAGAGTCACAAGCTCTAAGCAAGGCACGTCTTCCGGTCTGATAATGCTGGCCACTGACGGTGTCAGGAATGCCCAGGTAACGTTCCTTTCGCGTATGAAAGCTGGCAATGAATTCATCTGTGTATCCCATGAAGGGATGCAAACACAGGCGCCTGAAATAAGGGGACTGTAGATCTCAAAAAGTGAGGCATCGAACACGAAAGAGGAGAATTGAAGCATCCTGACACCGTCATGCATCTCGAGTCTCTGACTCAAAGCGACTTGGCTGCTGCAGATAGCGCGGTGCTGAATCACGACACCTTTGGGAACCCCTGTGGATCCAGAGGTGAAGATGATGTATGCGACATCATCGGGGCTGACCTTCACACTGGGCTTAACCGCATCATTGAGTGGTAGCCTGGACATGAACTCTCCGTTGACCTCGAGGACACTGGTGGTCACGCCCATGAGCTTGGGCACGTTTGCAAGGGAACAAAGAGCCAAAGTTGCCTTGGTCTGACCAACGATATTCTGATGACGATCCGTTGGATGTGCTGGATCAAGAGGCACCCAAGCGGCACCAATCTTGTTGATTGCTAGGATCGCCACAATAAACCAGGCGGATTTGTCGAAGCAGACTATGACTAGGTCACCAGCCTTCACTTTGAGCGTGCTCAGGAGATACGTCGCCAGCTTGTCGGCATTTTCATCAAGTTCGGAATAAGTGAAATCAGCGTCCCAAGAAGAGACCGCAGGAGACTCAGGGTTCAGTTTTGTTCGCTGTTCAATCAGCGTGTGAATGCATGACTCAACAACGAGAGGTTTGTCGGGGTTGGAGGCGTGAGCAAAGTCAATACCCCATTGACTAGTCATTGACAAATTTCCGAGCGGCTCCTTATACCGAAGGTTCAGCTCCTGCAAGACATGCTCGAACTGGTTGCATAGACCCTGAAGCTGAAGATCGGAGAGTACATCAGCATCGTAGTACAGCGTCATGACAGCCTGGTCCTGCATCAAATCACATTCTACCGTCAAAGGATAGTTGAAGAAGTCCTCTATCCAATTCTCAATGCTTGTTTCATCATTGGAATCAGTGGTGAAGAGCTCTCCCTGGGACTTTCCGATCTCATGTTGTCTCGACTGGACAACAAACAAGCTGGTGAAGTCGGTTGCGTGTTTGGCACTATCACTGAGCTTCGATATGTTCTGAAGGCCAAACTGTTCATAAGCCACCATCTCGGAGGCCTGCGTCTGGATATTCTGCAGATATTCGGAAACATGTTGTGAACGATCTAGACGAACTCTCACAGGGACTGTTGCAATCGTTGGGCCAGCGATGTTGACGAGGTCCTGAACAGGCGCCTGTCGACCTGACGTAGTTGCGCCGAAGCAAATATCTTCGCCTTCACAGTACATGCTGAGGACAAGCGCCCAAGCGCCTCGAAGTACAGAGGCTTTTGTGACAGAGGAGTTGGGTTGAGTTGGTACCGCTAGCTTTCTCTTCATGATCTGAGTCTTCTGAGCCGTTGACGTCTTGTTGCCAGTTGTGACTTTGGCGGGTGGGAATGAAGCCCTCTGAGCACCTTCTAGCTCCATAAGCCAGTAGTCCTTAGCCGCCTTTGGATCAAGCTGTGACAGGTATTGCACAAAATTGGCGAATGGGCGAATGGGCGGAAGAGGCTCCTGTGCATACAGCCGTTGGAGAACGTCAAGTTTGATCTGCATTGTCCAGCCATCGAAGATAGCATGATGGGCAACCCAAATAAAGTACGTCGACCCGTTTGAACAACTCAGGATTGCATGCCGCGAAAGTCGCGAGCCATAGCCCATATTGAGGCTGGTCAACCCCTTCATGTAGGACTGGAGGGTTTGACCATCAGTCTCTTCCCATAAGCCATCATGCGAGACCACAGCCTGTAGTGATACATCTCCGTGCTGAACGATCCTCGTCCTCAAACTACTACAGGCCTTGATGGTACGTTCCCAGGAGTCCTTGAAACGATCAAGATCAACGCCGTCCGCCAGTTTATATGCCCGTCTGGCAATGTAGGAGCCTGGACGCGTCGCAGTCAAAGCCATGAGACCCTCTTGCAGCGGCGTACAAGGGATTATGTCTTCAAGTTCTTGTTCGTTCGCAAGTCCACACTGCCGCCGAATCGAGGCGTGTAAAGACTCCACCTCTGTCGCTTCAATCATGCTGAACGGTTGAGCGTCAGTATGCTGTGACTGCCTGATGGTCATGCAGGCAGCCATTGAAGCCAGTTGAGGCTCTTTGAAGATGTTTGCAATGGGAAGCAGGATGTCCTCTCGTGCAGCAAGGTTCGAAAGATGGATTGCGGAGATGGAATCACCCCCAACCTCGAAAAAGTTGTCGAATTTGGAGATATCTTCTGTATCGATCTTGAGCACTTGAGCCCAGAGACTCTGAATCTTGAGCTCCATTTCCGTCGTGGGTGGGACTTTGTCTTGGCGTGCAATGGAAAAGCTAGATATTCTTTCGCGAGGCATGCTGGTTGCGAGTTCACGCAGAGTTCTTCTGTCGATCTTGTTTGACGATGTATGAGGCACATCTCTCATTGGGAAGATGATGCTGGGAATCATGTAGCCTGGTAGGACACGTCGAAGCTCCTGGATGAGGGCCTGGAAGGAAGAGACGTATATCTCATTGCTGATAAATTCGGCATAAGGATCCTCAGCATCCGTCGGGGTATTATCGCACAAGTAGTTGTGGAATGTGACAAAGGCAATGATCATCTTGCCTGCTTCACGCTCAATGAGATCCACCACAACATGCTGTACATCTGCAAGGTTTGCTTTGATGTGGTATTCAATCTCACCGAGCTCCAGTCGCTGACCACGTAACTTGACTTGCGTGTCTTGTCGTCCGAAGAACTCCACCGTTCCGTCGGGGTTGAATCTCGCGAGATCACCAGTCTTGTAGGCTATTGGTCTATCACTCTCTGTTTGAGTAGGCAGCCAGTCAAGGGAATCGACAAAGGAGGCTTTGGTCTTCTCCTCGTTGTTGATATAGCCACGCGCAATTGCATGGCCCTCAACAAGTAGTTCACCAACACATCCCACTGGCGTAAGGCGATCATGGTTGTCCGGCTCCACGATGAACAGCCGGTGAGTAAATGGACGTCCAATAGTCATGGGTGAGTCGTCCTGAGACTTGAAGGGGTGGCCAGCACAATTGACACAAGCTTCCGCAGGTCCATAGGCATTTATCAGCTCAACTCTCCCGTGCCATGTTTTGAGGATATCCTTCGTGGTAGCCTCTCCGCCGATAGCGACTGTCTGTAGAGTGGGGAGAGTATCGGGATCGAGAGTTCTGATGAATGATGGCGTCAAGCACGCCAAGGTGACTCGTGCTTTAGTCATAAAGCGCCATGCTCTGTCCATCCTCTCGGTTTCTGTAGGAATACAGAGCGTAGCTCCAAGGATGAGAGTCAGGAAGATATCCAACACGCTAACGTCAAAGACGTAGCTCGCGAATTGGAAGACTCGTGAAGACTTCTTGAAATTGAACATATCAGAATGCTTCAACAGCGAAGTGCAAGCCGCCGAGTGCGTGACGAGCAAGCCTTTTGGCTTTCCCGTAGAGCCAGAAGTGTACAGAACATACGCAGCGTTATGAGGCTCCGGTTTCTTGTAGTTACTCAGCGAATGATAGTCCACAGGCGTCTCGGGAGCAAGTGCTAACAATGAGGAAGACACCTGGATGGTGTGCGGCGCCATGCTTTCACAAGATGCCGCCATCGATGGCGAGGAGACTATCACTTTAGCATTCACCTCCTGAACCAAGGCTTGCCTTCGTGATTCTGGATGTGTAGGATCAAGAGGCATGTATGCACCACCCGCCTTCAAGATACCAATCATTCCAACCACAGCCCAGATGGACTTTTGCATGCAGATGGGCACAATTGTCTCAGGCTGGACGTTGTATTGCAAAAGCTGACTTGCAACATGATCAGACAGGCGATCCAAGGCAGCGTACGTGAGCGATCCTTCGGTAGAGAACAAGGCCTCATCATCGGGGCATAATTTAGCCCGCTGAGAGATTAGGTCATGCATACAGTGTTTTTGGACCACAATCTCGTGAGAGTTCCAGTCCAAGCTCTGCTGAAGATCCCACGGGCTTGCTCTGGATACATCTCGAAGAAGCGTTCTCTTGTCCAGAGATGCAAGTTGTTGAATGATATGGTCGAGCTGGTTGGATAACGCAAGCACTTGGAACTCGGAAATAACGTCTGCATCATATACAAACTCAAGCTCGACGCTGTCATCCCCCAGGTGGCATTGGAGGATAAGAGGATAATTGTAGTAGTCTTCCATCGACTGCCATGCCAAACGCTGTTCCTCCCTGGTGGAGATAAGGATCGCTTCGTTTCCGTTGGAACCGGTTGTCAGGTCCTTTGGCTGAACAACCATGAGACTGGTAAAATTGCATGCGTCCTTTGCATCAGAGCCAATTCTGGCTATGTTCTGTAGCCCGAATTGCTCATGTGCCACCATATCATTCGATTGCTTCTGAACATCACGAAGAAAGTCGGACAGTGACTGATCGGGGTTCAGCCGAACTCGGACTGGGAGCGTCGAAACAACCAGGCCAAGAACGCTCTCCACACCGACAAGAGGAGCGTTGCGACCAGAAACGGAGGCACCAAAGCAAATGTCATCTGTGCTGCAGTATCTTGCAAGGAGCATAGCCCACGCAGCTCGTAGATAGGTCGCTCTCGTAATAGTCCCGTTTGTCGTCTGTGGTATCTTAACCTCTTTCGCTGAGATTTGAACGTTTCTCTTGCTTTTGGCAACTGCTATATCGTCTCTTGGTAAAGGAAACACAGCACGTCTCGCTCCATCCATTTGTGCCTTCCAGTACGTCTTCGAAGTCTCAAAGTCGAGTTGCAGCGTGTACCGCACGAACGCCGAGTAGGGGGCCAGTCTCGGCACTTCACTGTCTCTGTAGATCGCGTGCAACGCCTGGACCATGAGAGCCAGAGTCCACCCATCAAAGATTAAATGGTGCATGATTGCAACGAAATAGCAATCGCTATTGTCACCATGGACGAGTGCAAAGCGGGCGAGCCGTGATCCGTAGGACATGCGGATACTATTCGCTTGTCTCAAAAAGACGTCTATGCCTTGATTGTCTGTGACTTCCCATTGCGCAGGTTCTTTGACGATGACCTGGATAGAGTCCAGGCTGCTGAGCTGGACGATCCTGGTGCGCAAATTGCTGCAAACGGCAACTGTTCGCTCCCAAGACGCCTTGAAGTGACCGATGTCGACATGCCTCGGAACCTTAAACACCATCTTCGAAACGTATGCTCCCGGTTGTTTCGTGGTCAGCGCCATCAGTCCTTCCTGTAGTTTAGTACAAGGGAACGCATCGTCGACTGCATCCCAACTGGGCAAGCCGCACAGCTTAAGCAGTTCATCTTGCATCACTGAGTCGATCTGGCCGGGCTCAAGAAGGCCAAATGGCGCTACAATTGGAGCCGAATGGGAGTCTCCGTCGGCAGAAGTTGCGATGGCAGCCACTCGCCACAGTCGTGGATCGTCGAAGACATCCTGGACAGAGAGAGATATCCCAGCCTGGCGGGCATCGGCCACAAAATGGATCACAGCAATTGAATCACCGCCAATCTGCAAGAAGCTATCGTCTCTTCCAATGGCTTCCAGTGGCATTTTCAGCCGTTTCGCCCAAAGCGCTTGCAACTTGCTCTCCATTGCCGTTTCTGGTGGGTTCTTGACAGTATCAACAAGCGAGTAGGTGGACAGGCCGTCGGGACCCAGCAATTCGATCTGGTTCTTCAACGTACGCCTGTCCAGCTTGGTCGACGTAATCGATGGCATGTATTTGCATGGCACGAAGAATGACGGTATCATGTATCTTGGAAGATTCACGGATAGGTGACCAATCATGCTGACGATCTGGCTCTTCAACTGGCTGGTGACAGGGAGGAACATTGCGGCGCCTTCATCGGCCGCGGCGTTAACTGTCGTCACCATTCTTGTTTCATTGCTGAAGCAAAAGAAGGCAATCAAGCTTGAACCACCATCGGTGGTGACCATGTCCACCCCAACCTGGCAGACTCCTTCAAGGGATGCCTTGATCTGGTGCTCTACCTCTCCCAACTCGACTCGAAGACCTCGGATCTTGATTTGGGTGTCTTTTCGTGTGACAAAGACGAGAGTTCCATCCGGATTGTATTTACACAAATCGCCAGACTTGTAGAATCGATTCCAATCCGCTAGATTACGGTAGGGCGCCCAGTCCGGCAGTGACCTGACCGTCGCCGCTTCAGTCTTTTCAGGATCCGCCAGATATTCTTTGAGCAACGTTGGCCCCTGGATGACAACTTCACCCACGGTTCCAATAGGTGCTAGAACGTGTGGGTTTTCGGGGTCGACAAGCCAACAGAAGCCACCCACAGGTCTGCCGATGGTCAAAGAGGATTCGTCAAGCGATGTCCATTCGTGCAGTGTACTGAACACGCACGTCTCGGCTGGTCCCCATCCATTAACAAGACGGACCTTGCCAAACCATGTCTCTAGCACATCACGTCCTACAGCCTCGCCTGCAAGCAGCATCAGATCGAGACCAGGGAGGGTGTCCGGGTTAAGCGTGCGGGAGAATGAAGGAGTAAGGTAAACCCAGTTGATCTTCATGTCGCGTATGTACTCAACGAGCCCATTCATTCGAACCTCTTCAGACGGCACACATATGGTAGCTCCGGCAACCCATGGACCGACAATCTCGCCAATTGACATGTCAAAGACGTATGATGCAAATTGAAGCATTCTGATATCCGACGTCATGCCTAGCCTTCTGACAGCGGACGTTTGGCTCGTGCAAACAGCCTGATGCTGCATGACAAAGCCTTTGGGGGTCCCAGTGCTTCCAGAGGTAAAAAGCACATAAGCGGCAGCGCTCGGGGACACTCGAGGCAGTCCCTTGCTACCTCGTCTCTCCGCAATCAGCATGTCGTCAAGATCAGCAGAGACCTCAATGATATGCTCAACCAGTTCAGAGCAAAGAGCAGCATTGCTGGACGAAGTCAACGCAAGTTTTGCATTAGTTCGCGCGACGATTTGCTTTTGGCGTTGGACCGGGTGAGACGGGTCGAGAGGGGCCCAAGCAGCTCCAGCTTTGTTAATCGCCAGGATGGAGATCATGAACCATGCTGACTTTTCAAAGCAAACGTGAACGAGATCGCCCAGTTGCACCTGAGCCGCAGAGTTGCTGATCAGATAGTGAGCAAGTCTATCAGCGGCAAGGTTCAGCTGTTCATATGTCAATGTCATGTCCCATGCACAGACGGCAGTAGCATCTGGTCGCTTGAGGGCATGGCGTTCAATGATCTCGTGAAGGCATGAGGAAACAATTTCAGGCTCTTCACTGTTCCATTCCCTGACACGTTGCAAATCCCATTGGCTGGATGAAGTGACAGACTTCAGAGGTATATCATCTGGCTGAAGAAGCTGCTGGATAACGTGTTCGAAATGATGGAATAACGCTCCCAGCTGGTCCTCATTCAAGATGTCATCATAATAGGTGAACTCGAGATCAATGGCATCATTTCCAAGTCGGGTTTGCAGAACCAATGGATAATTGAAATAGTTGCGCATGGCTTCCTCCGAAATCGTCTTCTCCACCGGGCCTTGCTGGAGGATCGAGTTCAAGGAAGAGCAGGCCACTGAAGAGAGATGCTGGGTTGGTTGAATTACCAATAAATTGGCAAAATCACACACTTCCTTTGCATTCGGGCCAAGTTTGGAGATGTTCTGTAACCCGTACTGTTCGTGAGCAACCATGTGAGACGCGTGCGACTGAATGTGCTGCAGGAACTCAGAGATGAGCATGTCGCGCTTCACATGAATGCGCACAGGTACCGTGGCGATCATCGGACCAGGAATCTCGTTCAAGCCGGGAACGGGGGCTTGTCGGCCAGAGAGCGTCATACCAAAGCAAACATCGTCAGAGCCGCAGTACTGAGCAAGAACAAGTGCCCAGGCAGCGCGGATAATGGTAGCGGTTGTGATCGATGCTTTGGAGTTGCGGAACGGCATGGACTTCGTGAAGACGCGATCCCGAGATGTTGGAGATATAGAAGCAACAGGGAACTGGGACCGTTGTGCACCATCCAGTTCTTTCCTCCAGTACTCGCGGGAACGGTTAGAGTCGAGCGATCCAATGTACCGAATGAAGTTCGAATATGGCGGCGGGGGTTCAATTGAGTGCATGCTGTGATAGGCATTCTGAAGGGAATCGAGAACAATCTTCATGCTCAGACCGTCAAAAACCGCGTGGTGAACGATCCAGACAAAGTAGATATCGCCGTTCTCTTGATGCAAGAGTGTACTCCGACTAAGGCAATCTCCGTAGCTCATAGTAAAACTGCGAGACTCCTTCAGATATTCGTTCACGTCGACATTGTACACTGGAGCATCCCATGCAGTGTCAGTGGCAACCACAAATTGCCAGGCTTGCGAGTTGACCAGAACAATCCTCGACCGAAGACTGCCACAGTGTTTGACGACTGTGTCCCAGGAGACCCTGAACCGATCAAGGTCAACATGCGGCATGACTTTATAAACTTGTCGATGAATGTACGATCCAGGTTGCCTGAGTCCCAGTGCCATGAATCCCTCTTGCAGTGTGGTGCAAGGGTATATATCCTCCAGTGCTTCAGCAGCGAGACGGCATTGTCTCTGGATGTTCAATTCGACATCGTCCCTATCCTCGCTAGAAATCAAGCTGAACGGTTTAGCGTTGTTGATTTCCTCAGCATCGTCGATCACCGCAACAGCAGCCATGCGTACAAGCTCGGGATTCTCCGTCACATCCGTCGGTGACAGACGGATTCCATGTCGATAGGCAGCCGTTGCAAGCTCAGTTGTGGTAAGGGAATCGCCACCGAGAAGAAAGAAGTTGTGGTGCTTGCCAATATCCTCAACGCGGATTTGGATGACGTTGCGAAGTACATCTGCCCAAATGGCCCGCAAGATGAGCTCCAAGTCCGTCTCTGGTGTCTCGTCGGCCGAGAGGTTGCAAGGCGTTCTTGACGCGGATCTCTTGAGGATCTGTGCTCGCCTATCCTTTGCAGACAAGTGCATCTTGTTCGCATCCGCAAGGTCGCTGTCATTGTCATCGCCGTAGTTCCATGGGTAACGGGGCAGGCCAGAGAGTGCTTGTCCCGTAAACAAGGTGTCCAGGCTCAAAGCCACAGAGTTCTGCCAGAGGCGGCCAATCGCCGAGAGAAGGCTCGCCAAGCAGTCCGTCTCTCTGGACTGAGATGAGATGTAGTTGCAAGACAGACTGGCAGCAGAGCAGATTTGGGATAGCGGACCAGACAGAGTGGAGTGAGGTCCAATCTCAAGGAAAAGACCATGTGTAGGAGTGGTGTCGAGAATGGACATGACTGCAGAAGAGAAGCGGACGGGAGAAACCAGGTTATTGACAAAGTAATGGGGGCCAAAGTCCTTGGCAGAGGTCAGGATTGTGTTGCTGACACTCGACATGAAGACGGCATTCCGCGTTGTTTGCTGCGTCGAAGTGATTCCTTCGCTTTGTAGAAGGCGCAGAAATTCGGCAGAGACTGTTTCCATGTGGTGGGAATGGAAAGCTGTGTCGACACGCAACTTCCGCGTGGTAACTTGTGGTCTGGACAGCTGGATCGAAGCCATGATATCCTCCACGACGCCGCGGTCGCCAGAGATTGTCGTGCTCGTCGGGCTGTTTTCGCAGGCCACTACGGCTCCATCCCGCAGGAACTCTCTTGTCTCTTCAGCGCTGAGGCCGGCCACCGCCATAGCCCCGTCGCATACGCTCATCGCAGCGGCATAGCCATAGTAATAGGCCACGACGGTTGCCTCCTTCAGGTTCAGGTAGCCTGCCGCGTAGGCTGCGGCAATCTCACCACTGGAGTGGCCAACGACAGCTTCCGCCTTGAGTCCGAGTCGCTCGTACTGATGAAAGAGTGCGACCTGTAGAGCGGTCGAGACCACACAAGCCGTTTCAACAGAGTTGATCCGACAAAGAGGGTCGCTGGCTGATCGCTGGATCTCCTCCTCGATCGTCCAGGAGGGTGGCGTTTTCAGTTGACGCAAGATGCTATCCATACTCTTGATGTCATTTCTGAACGCATCGATCCGAAGAAGCTCTTTTCCCATGCCTGCCCATTGCGCTCCTTGACCACTGAACACCATCGTGATAGACGGGGGAGCAACTGGGCATTTGGCGGGGCTCGCTGTGCTGAGGCATACGCCATCGTTTCCAATGATAGAAAATGCTCGGTGATCAAGAGCTTCTCGGCGAATAGCTCGAGTGTAGGCAATGTCAGAGACGAGATGCGGGTTCGATCTGGCGAAGTCGTGGTGAAGCTGCATCTGCTGGTTGAGAGACGTCACGTTGTTTGCAGAGAACAACACCAGCTGTGGCCCAGCAGCATCGTTGCTTGCCGGGGATTCATGCTGCCGATGCGGCTCAATGACGAAGTGAGATTCATGCCCGGATTTTCCAGCGAAGTTGATGCGGATTCTTTGAGCTCGACCAGAGGGAAGGTCGAGGTGCTTCTGGCTTGGTGTTTCATCTGCTGGCTTAGGTAAGCGCTGGACGTTGACAACAACAACAGCTGGCGGCAAACAAAAACACTGTTGACTCAAATTCTTACCCTTTGATAGAGTGGTGGCTGAATACAGGACGTCCTGATGCTCCAAAGAGGCCATGGCTTTGATCAGACTGACGAGGCCAGATGCACTCTTCAGATCGCCCTGGTCAGGCTGAGAGGAGCTCCCAGCGATAAGGACATCGGAACACTGCATGACCACTGTTAGTTTCACAGACTCTTCTTCCGTGTTCAAATCTTACAATCCATCTGGATGGGGAAAGGAGACTCACTTCAACGACTTCAGCATCACTCGAATCCGAACTGGCAGCGCGGATGACGGCCTGAATAGGATTTCCATCGCGGACTGCATCGCTCAGCGGCTTGATGAACACTGCAACAACCGCTTCTCCCTCGAGATCATCCGCAGTCGCCCCGGTGGCGATGAGGTTGATGCCCGCAACGAGAGCGGCTTGGGCGCTGCCGTTTCTGACAGCCTTGCAGGCTTCATCAAGTGTCACCAGCGAGGCAGAGTCTTCAGCATCCTCAATAGTTAGGCTGAAGAGTATGGATGGTTAGCCTCCGCGTGTTGCTTCAACTAGAGCCCATTTAAGACTACTCACCTCGGTCCGCGGAATTCAAACTGCTTGGACACAAGCTCAACCGTCGAGGCATTTCCCTTCTCCCTGGCCTCTACGTCCTTTCGGCCAGGCATCGCCACGTAGCAAGCCACGGAAGCCTTTTCGCCGCGATAGTTGACCTCACACGCGTCCTCGAGACACTCGTGGACGACCTCAAACAGCTTCTGAGAATACGGATCACTGTCGATTCGCCCATCAGCTGCCATTGTGAAGAACCGCGCGTCAAACGCGCTCAAGCTTCTGTTCAGTTGGCCGCTCTTCTGAGCATTTGACGCAGACCCTTCGGCAACCAGACCACCGACCAATGCTTGCCAGAACTCTTCGATGCTGTGAATACCACCAGCAAGGCGGAGTCCAACGCCGCAAATCGCGACGTCAATCTGCTTTGCAGTATTGCCGCATTGATGCTTGGAGCTTTCGATAGAGCCATTGGTACTACCTCTAGCTCCTGGCTCTTCAGCCGGAGACTTGATTCCAGTCATATTAAAAGATTGTAGAAAGTACTTTTGTACAAGACCGAATAATAAAATAACTAAACTTTTCAACAGGAATTGAGCATGTACCGACGAAGTTGCCTTGGCCGTGCAGCTGTGTGGGAGGCAGGCCGTTATAAGAGAATGTCTCTCCTCAAGGATCGGCAATGCACACTCCGGCTCCTACTAATACTTATGACAGTATTACCTACACACAGTGGCACAATATGTAGCCAATGATTGCAGCATGGCTGTTAAGTCAATGTCTCACAGAGTTTTCAACACTTACGTGTAGTATGCAGCTTTACCCGAGTTCACGGGGAGGGCCCCCTGTCGACTTACCGCCATTGTCCCACCTATCAAAACACCATTCTCTCAACTTCGGCCAGGGATCCAGGCTATTATCAGCTACGTATCATTAAAGGTAATGGTATGGCATATACAGAGTCGGGGCAGACGTTGCCTCATCGTTGAGGATGGACATCATCATCAGCCGCCGACGCCACCAGCTCAAGGCCACATGTAGTTCTGGCTGTGACTTGATGTTTCAGTGCGGATGCATAGGTATACAGAGTATTGATCCGTCGATCTTACATACTACGAGCAAATAGTAGCTGCTGGCGTTTGTTGTTTGGACGCCTGTAGAACAGCCATTGTCAAGAACTTGGATCTCCTAGGAGAGGGAGGGAGACTTGGCGCTTACCAACGGGCTACAGCCAGCCTCACCGTTGGAAAAAGAAATAAAGAGAGACGGAAAGTGGAAACCGCAATTGCAATTCAGCAGGACTAGAGATGGTCCAGATCCTATAGGCTGGGGAAACACGATACCCCTGCGTAAGTGCTTGGCTCCCTAGTCCATCCGCATCTTGCATGACAGGAACCAGATTTACCGATTTCGACTACACCAACCTACCCTTGAATACTAATAGTATATCATTCATTCTGAGTTGATGGAAGGGTGATATATTATATGCCTGGATTTAGAAGAATATTTTCGCAGCATCAAGCCGGCACACGCAGAAATGCTTCTCAAGACTGCCAATTTGAGCACGGATAGGGTCTATGCACATGTAACGCTCCTGTATACCTATTCCTTCGTAAGGTAAGCTTCTATATTTACTGGTGCTACCATGGCGCAATCCAGACAACATTGTTGTACAGCAGCGGCTGAGCTGAAATGAGCCGCCAAGAGTCTCCCTCCATGCGATGGGCCAAGCGGACGCAACCTGGCAGACCCCCTTGCATCTTCTTTGCCGCCACAACATGAAGTCATCAGGATCTCGTACGTGTACAGCAGTAGGGCGGGCAGCGGACATCCCTGCGTTCTCTGATTGGTAACTCAAATGCTGTGGCTCACGCCGGAGTACGTTGATCGACTTCTTGCTTCTCTCCCAGCTAGTATATATTGCCCGGCAGGGGCGGCATTGGAGGCATCAATTTCCACTGAGTGTTGATGTTCCCGCCATCTGTTCTGCCGATCCCATCATCCTTTGCTGCTCACCGGTGAGGCATTATATAAGCCTTGCAGTCGTTGGGCTCATATTACATGAGATGGAGATGTTCATCCCCTTATCACCTGCAGTGGTTGATATGGTCACAGCATGATTAGGATTCAAGTAATAACATCCGCCAATCAAACGGGCCATTGCTGACCGTCTGTCGAATTCCTGAGTTCCTCCTATATGCATGAACTGCGAGAAAACAGGATCTTGGATCAAACAGGCAACTGAGACGGAGAGGAATGGCACATTCGTCTTCATGAGCATGTTGTTGGGGGCGCAAAGGTGCCAACGCTGTCAACTCCTGTCACGAGTTGCTCTGCCCCTTCAATCAATGCCTCTCACGAGTGAACTGAGCTGCCAACTGAAGAGACAGGCATACAAGTTTGTCTGCCTAGCACGCCGGATCTACCCGTTATTCCCTCGCCACTTGCACAGTCTCAAACATCATTTTTACTTAATCTTGCACAAATTGTCTCCGTTGTAAGTCAATAACATGTCACAAAGAGTTGCCAATTGGCCATCTTGCCCTTGTCTGTCGCCATTTGTCTCGGAACTCGGAAATGCCTCATTGACAAGACCAACTTCATACGTAGAGGGATGGCCTTACGTCCGACATTGCACACTGGTCAAAGCAACACATGAGCATGTTGGGCATATAAGCCACAAGGAGCTGATGTGAACTCAAGGTTGTGATCTGCGAGGTGGTGCTGTGATGTCTGAATCCCTCCCAGGAGAGTGCAACCTCGATTCATCCAAGACAGCTAGCTACCTATTTCTGCTCCATCTTTCGAAGCAAGGCAAAACTCGTCTCCATAGTATTTGCATACCTGGTCCATGAATGGGCGACCTAGCAGATCCAACGTGCATCCGTAAATGGCCAATGATTGGGTTGGCTTGATATATGTCGGCTATAGGGGGCTTTCGCCCTGCATAAGGCTACGTGTAAGTCTTGAAGTTGATCCCCGTACTTTAGGGCATGAGAAGAACAAGCAGTCTCCGAGTGGTGCCCTCGTGCTTAGTCGGGGCAAGTCTGACCTCTGTATCCCCGAATTATCTGTGACTTGTCGTTCCGTCCATCTTACATCAGTTGAGTTTGGAGTCTGAATTGGATCCCCAATATCTCAAAATCCTTTGCCGAGACTTTTGCGGGTTTACCAATTGAGTGGCAAGCCACCCTGGAAGCCGTTGGTCAGGGCGGCTTGTCTAACACCGGAGCCGCTCGCCCTTTGGTCGGCGGTCCGAATGTGAGACATGCAGTAGCGCAGCCATCGGCATGGTAAGCGTAATAACCAAGCAAGGCAAGGAATAAAGTCACAGTTTGAGAGGCAATTTTCAGGCAGCGGTGATTCGCTTGGCACTTGAGTAACCGGACTGTTGAGTTGCCTCCCCATCGATCATCGCAACTAGCGGGGACAAGAAGGCGATGGTAGGAGTAACGGGATGTGAAAGACGGGAGAATGGTGAGACACCAGGAGTAACTTGCTGGTATCTCTGAGTGACTGGTCAATTAATTGCTAAGGGCTTGAGATGGACTTTTGCGTTCTTTCGGGTCACATTCGTGATGTTGTCATCTTCTGTTGGATCTGTTGTAGCCCTACCCTACATTTCGGACGTCTGTCAGGGGGGCGCGAACATCACAACTGGTGCCACAAAATGCCTCTACACTGACCATCTCGTCATGACAAGAGTCCATCGTATTAAGGTCCTGTAAGCCGAATAATAATTGTAGTTATTCATAAGGTTATTTGCGTAAGCCAAGTTCCGGCATACTGGGTACTGTACCCACATGTAGGTGATACACCGAGATATAACGTATGCGCGCGAGTAATCTTACTCTCTGCTGATGATCAACGTCCGTGCCAGTACCTTGTATGGAATACGTAGAGCAGACACGTTTGATGACCTCGTACAATTATACATTCTACAGAAGTGACTGAGACAGCTGTAACACAGCGCCCAGCAACCAGGTATGCGTATGCGTTGTGCTTCGGTAGCGAGAGAGAGAGAGAGAGAGAGAGAGAGAAAGGGGAGAAGGAGAGATATCGTGGGGCATACGGGAGTAGCTGTTGAAGGTTCAAGTTACACCTCAAAGCAGCATACGTAGAATGCCCTGTGCCTTTGCATGTCCTACTCATGCGCAAGCGTTCGTTCGTTTGGCAGTACCTGACACGAGACTGGCTTCATGATAACATCACCGAAGAAAGAAAGAGGACAAGACCAAGGAGCCAGACATGCATTCTTCGTTGATGTCCAACCATTAGGGCATTAGTTTTGTGCACCAGCCTCAAAATGTGATCTCTTATAGCATCATCTTTACATGCCGCAAAGAGCTTGCAACCCACTGGACATTTTCTTCTCTCTCTCATATCACTATAGACCTCATCTTTTCATCCTGCCTCAAAACAACCCATGCGTCTTTCTTATAATGTTAGCGGACGTTTGTTCCTCGTATACAATGTGCAGAACAATGCTAGAGTTTCAAGAGCCTTCTTATCTAGGCTTCACTTTGGCATATCCCATGCCCAGGAAACATGGCTGCTAGCGAATAGATCACTCGGCTACCATGACAAATTCATGTAAACGTTGAGGTTTGTTGCCGATAACGTCGTGAAGTGAAGCAATTCTGTAGGAATGGTCTGATTTATGAGCATCTTATGCAAGCTTCTCGGCGGGCAACAAGTTTCTTTCACGCGTCTCTCCTCGGCAACACAAACATCAAACGGAGTCATCAACCCACTCCAAGAAAAGAAGAAGCTCAAAGTCAGATGTAGAAAAAGGGTGACTTGTAAAGTGAACGTCAGATAAATGATCCATAATGCCTTCATAAGCCGTTCTTCTCGGTATCATCGCCTCCCTCGTGCGAGAGGGGATGCCGCGGCGGAATTTGTGCGATCGCACACTGACATGAATCAACTTATATTACTCCATGCTAAATAAACATAATGCAACAAGATGGCACAAAACTTGCAGACATCCTCTGCCATGCTACCTTCTCTGCTAAAAGCATAATATTGACTGCCGTGTATCCTGCCTCTATGTATCTACTAAATTTCTCGATTGCCTCCTCAGAGGATATCTTATGCGGAAAGGATTATTTGCACCAGCATCAAGGTTTGGACTCAAAATTGGCAGTCTCATCATCTGTAGGGATAGAACTATCCTTGGTTTCGCCTCGACCGAAAATGAAGCCAGGGTGGCCAACACAAAGGCAGAAAGCAGCGACGACGATCAACCTGAGGCAACCATTAGCTCCAAGCTGCAGACGCACAAAGACTGGACAGACGAGACTTACACTCCTTCAAGGCCGATGAAGAGGCCCTGATCCGTGATTAGATCAGAATGAACATAGCCCTTGCTCAGCTCGTAACATCGGTAGATGCAACGCGTAAAGATCAAGAGGATAGCGGCGCCAAGGAATCCGAAGAAGATGCGCATCCTCTGTCCCAAAGGCGCCGACTTCTTCTTTCGCACATAGCGAGTCACGTAGTCGACAAACAGGAGGCTGAAGAAGAAGAGACCGGCGACTTGGAGCGCCAGACCTGCCATGGCAATGTCCACTCCGTTTTGGCTAGAACCAGAGCTAATTGTAGACAGAGCACCTCCGGCGGCCTGGAGAATGAGGCAGACAATGTCGAGAGGGATGAAGATCCAATAGAAGAGCTCGGGCTTGATGCGTGAGATGTCGGGAGCTAAGAAGTTGATGCTATCTCAGATGTCAGCAAGTGTCCAACCACGAGTGAGCTCAAGTGAGGATCTCACGTTTTGGATAAAGTAATGTATATCCCGGCCGTATAGAACACGGGACCGATGGTAATAAGGACAATCTGGTCCATGAAGCCGCCAAACGAGAAAGGGTTGTTGTAGAGAACCAGCCGTCCCGCATATCCTCCAATCTCAACTAGGCAGCCAAAGATCATGAGGCCCATGAAATTCCACTGGCGCCATCGGATGCCGAGGATGATGTGGACGGAGATGGCAATGGCAAAAAGGGCGATGAAGACGGAGTTGGCGGCAATTGAAGGGCGGTATTTGTAGACGCTCCATTCGATGGGACAGACGTCGAGCGTGCAGTTTGCCTGCGGACCAAAGACGACGTAGCCGCCGGGTGTCCCTGGCAACCCCTTAGGCGGTGTTGACATGGCTGACGGCGTTGAGGTCGAGCTGCGGTAGTTGGCGACAAAGTTTTCTTCGCTAGGAGGGGCGAGGATGGCTTTGTGGTAACAGAAGATGGTACTTCTTGAAGCTTTTTCAAGAGAAGGGAGCTAGGACACGACAAGTTTGAAGAGGACTAAAATGCAGGAGAATTGACAAAAAAGTAAAGACTGCTGAGGGTGAAGGCTGTGCCCGAATGTTGGGACACCTAGATGATGGCGCTCGGTATATGTATTTCGAGATCGTGTCTTGACTAGGTAATCGGATTTTTGCACGGCATCAAAACGGAGCAACGGCGTAACAGGAGGCAAAATCGAGAGCTGAAGTAATGACTATGATAAATGAACGTGGCGCGTCTGCCCTTGGGAACGATGGTATGGATGGCAGAGAAGATAATTTGTTTAGAGGATGAGTGTTAGGAAAATTCCTTTTTAATTGTGTTTGCTTTCGTTTCGAAATATTGTATGGTCGAGTTGCGCCGATACTCCTGAACGGAGGAACGGAGTAACTCCTGTTGTAGGGTCTAGTTCGGGATAGCTTCGTCAGCTTGCAGCTATGCAGCCCGAGGATAGATATCGATGAGAGGCCTTTTGAACTCTATCCTTTGTTAGTGGACGTCTAGTTTTATCTGTCTAACCGATGATGAGTCTCTCGGGACATGATTCCTCATTGACAGATGCCGGTTTAACATCGATTGATGATACCGCGAAGACGCCTGAATCTCTGGCTCACAACACTATGGCTTCACGAGGAACGGGAATAACGGAGCAATACGGAATTCGTTGCCCTTCGAATCAGTTGCCTATTCGAACAACTGAGTGGGTCTGGCCAGCAGGATGGATTGGTTGTGTTTTCTCGATTCCTGGAGGCGATCTGGCAGCCCGTTTCAGCTGCTCACGCCACGGACTTGTTCAATACGAACCCAACTACTATACAACACTACCTATGCTGTATCCGTACGCGTGTCCCTGTTCAAAAACCTTCAGGTAGACTGGTGTCTTGATCTCGTTGGCTGGTCCTGAATGGTGGTCTCGTGGAGATATCGCCAGCACGGAGAAATCCTTTGACTTTGGCATCCGGTTTGCGATGATGACGACGCAGGATCGGTGCGGCTGAAGCCAAGGACCGTGCCCGTTTAGCCATCATGGAGTGCACGCAACGGTATTGAACGGAGCCGGTTTTGGCATCATACTGCGAGTTGGCTGTTGCATCGATTGATGGACTGATACTAGTATCTGGGTCGGTATGTTTGGTTGCGTTGGCGCCTCTCAATCGTCGCTTGTTGTTGACTCGCAGCATCAAGCCTAATCAAGCATTGTCGAGAGCATCGAAGGATTGCGGCTGAAGACGGTCGCGTCTTGTGCCTGTGAGGTGACATGGCGTTCGGGAAGATCCGGCTGATTCCGAACTTGCCAGGTTCAAGCAGTCTTGAGCCAACAAGCCAACATGCTTTGCCGACTGTTCGCCTTGCTACTACCTACCTCTGACCTTCACCCTCTGACCTTCGCCTTCTCACCTTCACCCTCACATTTCAACATCGACCCAATCACTCAGCATTTGGAACACCAGGCACGCACCACCATGAATCGTGCTTCTCGTCGACTGATCTGGAAGGTTTCCAAATTTGGAGCGGAAAACCACATATGTCTTCGCTGCCGCCACTATCAAGCAAGTGCTGACCTCTATGCTCGTTATCGAGATCCAGCTGAACCGGACCGAGTACCAAAGATTTCGATGACCTTCTGAAGCATCCCTATTGCCCATTCCATGGGGAGTGGCAACGCTACGGGGGCTACGGGGCTCTACCTAGTGCCTTGCAGAATTGTCTGCTTCTCGAACCAGCAAACGGGCTCGGAGAGCATGCAGGCATGATCGATCTCACCCGCACTCTCTAACGCCAAGTTGCAACCATTTTCCGACCGAAGTGTTCACATGGTGGGTCATCGAATGTTTCAGTAAGAGAACGGAGATGCCAGGGTTCAACCGAAAGGCAACCTGCTTGCCAATGTTTGCTGGTGGCTTGGGATCGTAGGAGGCTCCTAGCGAACAGTGACCTCTGACAACTGCACGACCTTGTACTCCGTTGCGGTGCCTGCATGCAGCGTGCTCCTGTGTACGCGGTCGAGCAAAAGTTGTATTCCATCGAGACGATGTCTGAGGAGCTCATGATGAGTGACATACTACAGTGAAACTCACGCCTTGGCCTTGCGCGCACTGGCTGGCGCAATCAATGACCCGGTTGTTGTTTTGGTTTTCCCAGGGCTGCGTTGTGTTACGAGTAGACCTCATGAGCTGCGGCCATCACAGGGTGGCCGGAAGGACTGTCATCCTGCGTAGCCTCCTCGCTCAAGATTGGCTTGTACGCCTCTGGACCATGTCTGTTCCATAGCCAGTCTCTGGAGAGTGTTCATCGGCAGCTGTTGGGTTTCGACTCAAGCGTCTCTCGAGCGCCCAGTACTCTTCCGAGGCAGATTCCATTATCCCTCATCGACGTTTCGTATGTGTATCCTGTTCCACCAGACAGACATTCAATACTTGGGCCCATTGAATCAACACAGTGAAACATGGCGAGTGGGTGATCATGTGTATGCAACTTAATCTGGTCTTGATCAGAGCTGTCACATTTCGTAGCGATTGAGGCTGCATTCAATGAGACTTGCCTCAAAGGATGATGACGGCCAACACTTAATCATGGAGCTCTGGGTAAGGGTACGGAACAAAAGAAAAGAAATTAGAGAGAAAAAAAAAACAAGCGCTTACAGATCAACGTTCAGTGCCGAACATGGGCCTCGGCTCGGCACCCGGCAGCTTTGATCTCGAGATTTGCTTCCCGTCATCTGCCATCATTATTAATAAACAGAGAGAGTGGAACAAGAGGGAAAAAGGAGACCGGCAGCTGTCCCCCATACAATGCCTCCAATAAGAATATTCTAGAATGATGTCAGTTTGTCTGCCAGCACAAAGTGGCAACTTTGAATCGTGCCCGTTCACTTTGGGTCTGTGACGTTTGCAAAGCCATGAATGTCAGCCACAAGATACAATGTAATACGAGTACACGGTTCTGCCATCTTCGGAGTTCTCTCTTCAAGATCATTCCACGTCAGATGATCACTCTCTAGAGTCTGCCTTACAGTAGTCGCCCGATAAGTGAATTGACCAGTCTGAGTAACCTCAGCCCCCAAACAGTAGGTACATGTACTGTAGATATCTGTTAAACTCGCACGTTTGCCATCCACTTGGCATGGCCAATCGGTCGCCATTCGTTTTCAATACTAGTAGTAACAGCGACTCGAACAAGTCTAAAGCGCGGAAAAGGCGCAGAAGCCGGTGCGGACGAGCCCCTCGATTTCCACACATAAAAAGTTCATTTCCACACATAATTAAACCGCATCTGGCAAGGTCGGCCCCCTATAGTAATTCTGTGTGGAAAATACATACTGTCATCCTTGTTAATTATTGTCAGAAGTTCTTTTTAGTAGTGAAAATGCTATAGCCTAGCATGTGACACAGTGATATATCTTTAAGCTAGCTAGCCTAGCTTCCAGCCGCCATAAAACACCAAAAAACACACTATCAGCACTAAAAAGCAGCCACAACTTTAGTTATTAATTTCTATTGCCGTCTTTATAATAACTATTATAATTTTTATATCCCCAGGATTATTAAGATAAGCTCTATTTACTAGTAAACTTTTAAGTCTCTAGAAGCTGGCTATAACGCTCTGCAAGATGCCTAAGCTAATAACAGTTTTATGGTCTCTAAGGCTTAAACGACCCGCGATCCTAAGGGCTGCCTTAACTGCTGTTATATTATTTATAAGCATGGCAGCAACTATCGCTAACAAGGCAATAGAAAAACGGCTAATAAGACGTTAACTAAGAAGTCTAGTTACCTGTTTTCTCTAACTATTGCTTAGCAGACTTAGGCCTCTTCCTGGATTATTAAACCTACAGATTTACAGCACAATTATAATCCTCTTAAAGATCTAATTCTCTCTTCCTATCTCCGCAGGAAATCTCACAAAGCCTTCAGCCTTAACCAACTTAACAACCTTATCGCTACCCAGTTAAAGAACCCTTTATCTACTAGAGAGACTATTACCACTAAAATTAGCAGGGAGCATCCCTAAGTCTTAATTATTAAAAAAGACATTTAGTTATATTAGCGTGAGCTTTATCTAGGGCAGTATGGCCCTTACACCTCTACACAGGCCTTCCTTAAGCTGCTTGAAAATAACAATCGGATATACCACTTTACTGTTAATCGTAATGACAAAGGTCAATTACATAGGTTTTTTTAGACCTATAAAAATAATATAAACAACTAGAAACAGAACCTAGAACTCCTTAGCATAAATAACACCTATAAGGTAAACAGATTCAATATGCCTCTGCTCTAGATCATAAGGACAACAGCGCTGCACACAAACTTCAACGCTAGCTTCAGGTTAGCGGCAAAGGAAGATACAGATGCCTTTATTTAAATGCTTCAACAGCTTAAGGATGCAGCAGCTAAGGCTGGAATCCCTAATCCACACGTTATTATCACAGACTTTAACCAAGCTTTAAAGAATGCCCTAACTATTATCTTTAATCTTAGTCAACAGCAAATTTATACATAGCATATAATAAAGAATGTTATTCTTTATATAAAGAAGAACTGGATTAAAAGTCTCGCCAGTTATGCAATTATAGGCAACGCTAAGGAAGATAAAGCTTATAAGGCTGCTGGCCTTACCCTTAATCCTGCTATACAGCAAGAGGATAATATCCATAACACAATCCAGCAGAAAATAGCTAATAAAGCTATTAAAGAGGCCATACAGCAAGCGACACAACTTCTTAAAGAGGCTACTACATCCACAACAAGGTCACTTTCTACATAAAATAGCTAGGAAGATATAGCTAATAGCATCCACAAAGCTTAGATAGAAGTCATACAGGCTAAGTCAGAAGATAAATTTTTTACCCTCTTTACAGCCCTCTAGCGCATGTTTTCCAGCCAGCCAAGTGCGTTCTAAGATACCTCTTTTTTACTATATAACACACTAACCTAAAGGTCACAGAGATCATAAACTATCTTCTCGCAACCTATATCCTAAAGCGGCTTTAATTTACTCATTTTACTATATCTCAGTATCAAAATTACAGCATTACAGTAACATCTCACACAGAGAGCTCACACGCATAATTAAAGGTACTCCTAAAAAATAGATTTACTAATCTATATTAACTATAACAGCATATCTAGCAGCTTTCTAAGCAGCAGCAGCAGCATTTTAAGCATAGGTTCTATCACAAAGTAACCCACCGCCAGATTCAATAAATCAACAAACCAGCATTTGCCTATTTACTGCAAAAAGTCAGCTAGCACACGCTAAATCAGCTCCAGGAGCAATTATCGCTAACAAAAAACAACCTTTAAGGGAAACGGCAACTTAAGGCTTATACAAAGTTATTCTCCAAGCAGTAGGGATTACCCTATTACCATATAATTTTAGCTATACTGCAAGTAAGAGAGTCTCTTTAGCTATCTCACCTAAATAACCACTAGGTCCTAAAAGGCACTACAGTAAGTTTAACACCAGGAATCTATAATCATAATGCTAATTCTAGCTTCAAGTCCAAGCAACAAGCCTAACTCAACCTAACTTACAAGCCCAATCCCATATAAGTCCCTTTACAACAGGCACCTTCCAACCACCTAATGCCTTTAGTATTAAATACAGGCAGAATTCTTAGCCATTAGGAGGCTGCTGATAAATAATCCAGTTAAGCTGCTATATCTATACAATTAAAGCCGCAAGCTTAAAATCCCAGCGTCGGTAGGATTTAGAAGAGTACCAGCCAAAGGGTAACAAATATTTAGCTTCAGGGCCAATTCCAGCAGATACAGGAGCTGCTAATAATAACGCTTCTGTTAACACAATAATCATTACAATAGCATTATTTCACACCTGCAGCATTATAGGTGCCGCCCTCAGCCTAAGCTATAGGAAGCTATTAGACATAGCTAACATTCTAGCAGCTTCCTCATGCTTCTAAAAGTATTCCTATATATAATTTTACTAAAGAGATATAAAATCCAGCACCGCTAAGCTTATCACAAGCTCTAGCTTATTAATTTAATTTCCGCCCTTAGCAGCCGCCGGCGCTGCAATAGCTGCACTTTTTAATAGCCTAGGATTAATAAAGACTTTTAATGATAATTAATGAGGATGACAGTATGTATTTTCTACACAGAATTACTATAGGGGGCCGACCTTGCCAGATGCGGTTTAATTATGTGTGGAAATGAACTTTTTATGTGTGGAAATCGAGGGGCTCGGTGCGGACGGGGAGCTTTTCTGGATCTGTCTCTTCACCGAGACTATCTTTCCGCGAGGGTTGCATGTACGGAGCATCGAGGACAGCCCCCAACATTTTCCTCTGGGCTGTGCTACTCCCTGTAGTATCAAAGTCTGCCGAGCGTTACAGCGCGGTGCATTGCATGAGCAGATCACGATGCTCATGCATCGTATCCCCTATTGTAGATCGAAGTTCTTTCCCACCTCCCTGGTTCGTCTCTGTTGCTCGTAGCGGTAGTTGTCCCGGGCTCCAGCCCCTGCTGAACCCATGTTGCTCCGGCCGCCGCTCCTTCGACACCGAAAAGAATAATAGAGAAAAACCAAAAAAAAAAAGCACCTCGGCATCCCGTCCCATTCCCAGCCCTTCCCATCATGCAGCCACGGGATCTAAGGGTAGTGGGCAGCCCTTGCAGCCCGGCCTCTTTGCTCAATCCAGGGCTCGGCCGAGAAGCCCCAGAGGATGCCCTCAGCTCCGGGGCTGCACAGCGCCGGCGAGGGCGAGACTCCGCACCGGAGGAATATCCCCATTGCGATAGATGGCGGGCCTCTAGTAGTGAAGAGAGGTTGCTCTATGGGGAGTTTCGGCCGCCGGTTACGTAGGGGCTTTTTCTCCCCCTTCTCTGCCTTTCCACCTTTTCCTCTTCCCTTGTGGCTGGCTGGCTCTTTCTTTTGCCTTCTTTCTTAGCTTTCCCCCCCCCTCGTGTCCTTGCATCATCATCGGGCCTTTGAAGACTTTCTCGATCGGCGCTGCGGCTCCGGACCGACGACAAGCCAGAAGCCAATGCCAATGCAGGAGGTCCCCATCCATGTCCGAGGCACGGACAACAGCCCCGAAAGCTCCAGTACAGAGCTGATGCGTGTAGTGGCACGCCAAAAGACAGGTACTCGTACAGCACCAGAATGGATGGCGGGTCTCCGTGGACTCTCGCGGGTCGGAATCTCCATGTTTCCTTTGTTTCAGAAGTTCTGAAGCCCTAGTGCAATGGAGCAAACAGCCGTTTTGAGGCTGTCGCCGTCGACGGCTGCTAAACCGCTAGCTGGAGGGCCGGCCGTTGTTTGGGACCCGGATGGACTCGAGTAGCAGGTATAAAGGCGGCTTTGGTGACGCCTTTTTGAATTCACAGACTACTATATCTATATCTACCTACTACCTATCTATATCATCCATCTCGACTCCTTAGTACAGCATTCTCCTCCTTACATCATATCCGCCAACATCAACCGTCATCCGCATACATCCTTCAACATGACCGTGAACAACCTCTCCATCGTCCTGGCCGAGCGGCCTACCGATGACATCGTCCCCGGCACAACCTTTGCTCAGAAGATTACTCCTGCTCCCACACCCGCAGACCTCAAGGATGGCGAGATCCTCGTCGAGGCTCTCTACCTCTCTCTGGACCCGGCCATGCGAGGCTGGCTGCAAGGTAATGCCGCCCCCCTCCCCCATCAAACAAATTATAATCTTTTCTCGACCTTGTTCTTGTCCTAACACATTCCTTCCAGACACTCGCTCTTACCTCCCTCCCGTCCAGATCGGCGAGGTCATGCGCGGCGCCTCCATCTGCCGCGTCCTCGCCTCCAAGAGCAAGCAGGCCGCCGCTGGCGACTTCGTCTGCGGCTTCACCGGCTGGACCCAGTACGCCATCCTCCGCGAGGGCTCCTTCGAGCCGTCCTCCAACTACCCCGGCCTGCGCGACCCCAAGGACATGCTCTCCGTCCTCGGCATGACTGGCATCACCGCCTGGGTCGGCATGACCAAGATTGGCGAGCCCAAGGCTGGTGAGACGGTTGTCGTGTCCGGTGCCGCGGGTGCCACCGGCAGCGTCGCCGGCCAGATTGCCAAGCTCAAGGGCGCTCGCGTCGTTGGCCTTGCTGGCAGCGACGCAAAGTGCAAGTGGCTGGTTGAGGAGCTCGGATTCGACGTTGCCATCAACTACAAGGATGCCGACTTCAAGCAGAAGCTCGCCGAGGCTACTCCCAACTACATTGACGTCTACTTTGACAATGGTAAGCACATTTCAAAAACTTCGGCTCCCCGGTTTCTCATGATATAATGACCTGTCGCTAACAACATGTCTCCAATGTTCAGTCGGTGGCGAGATCCTCAACGCCTGCCTGGCCCGCGCAAAGGAGCACGCCCGCTTCGTCATGTGCGGCGGCATCAGCCAGTACAACACGTCCAAGCCCCAGGGCCCCAGCAACATCACCAAGATCATCACCATGCGCATCAAGATGCAGGGCTTCATTGTCTTCGACCACATCAAGGACTACCCCAAGGCCCGCCAGGAGCTCTCTCAGTGGATGGCCGAGGGCAAGATCAAGAAGACGGAGCACATCCTCAAGGGTGGCCTGCAGGTGGCCGAGCAGGGCCTTGTTGGCCTGTACAAGGGTACCAACACCGGCAAGCTGCTGGTCGAGGTCAAGAACCCGGACGAGCCTCCTTCCAAGCTGTAAAGGCGTGATGATGGATAGAGATGGAAGAGGAAATACCCCAGAGTTTTATGAGTTCTATGATGCACAGATTTGTATATAGTTCTGTATGACCCAGATAAACGCATCGGTAGACAGCGGATAATGTTTATTTCGCGTTTGATTCCAATGCCCACAAACGCTAGAAATACGTGATGAAAGAAGGAAGAAGGAAGAAGTACATTGAAGAGCCGTGTCCGTTATGCAGTCTAGAAGTCGTCCGTCTTCTTGGGGCCTGGATAACACCACCATTCCCTCCCTCACGATGCCGAATACCAAGAGATTCAATACTGCGCCCAACCTGTGTGCCAACATAGCACCTGCTGTTGCCAACCGGTACATGCTCATAAGTTGCTTTTCACGTAGCCTCACTCACAGGCCGCCACATCTGGCTCTTGTCCGAACCCGGCGAAGGCGGCCCAAGATCGCAGACGTCCTTACACGGATCACACATGATGACACACCTCTTCACCTCCGGATCGATGACAAACACGCGGTTCTTGCAGTCCTGCTTACTGTTCCCGTTCTTCTCGTCCATGCCATATCGCACCATCAGCCGCTCGGGATCTTCATTGGTAAAGTAGCCCAGGCACATGGGGCCTTCTCGGAGGTACGTATTGACGTAGAGAATGTGGCCGCCGTGCTTCTGCATCGCTTCGCTCTCGCGTTGGCCAAAGACGTTGTTCCTCATTCTGCACGCTGGATCATGGCATTGGCAGAGGGTGACGGTGATGCGGAACGTGCACATGGTGTTTGGTTTGTCTGAAGCGAATGCTCGAAGCGTTGAGATGGGAGAGGAGCCAAGGCGCTGGCTTTGGTATATGTTATATATCTGGCTGGGTTGATGGATCGCATTCTGCTTCTAGAGGTTCAAGAATGAAGGACAGAAAACAAGCCTGGACATATGCTGATGGCCAGATAGTGACTGGCATCACCGATCTCGAGGCTTGTGAAACAATAACAGTGAACAAGTGTCGCCATCAGTCCGTGACAGTCATCCCTCGCCTTCTCTGACGCCAGCTCCTCACCGACGGCGACACCGTGTCACTCTGAACCTCTTTCCACATGAAGAGTCCATCAGAATCTGGAGCTCAAGCCGGCACCTCCATTCACGCAGCAATGCCGGCTTCCTTCTCAATCTCCTCCTTGCTCCAGCTCCATTTGTCCTGCAGCTCCTTGTCCAGGGACTTTTCGATAACGTCCTTCCCCCACCACTCACCCCAGCTCGTCAGGAAGATCTGGTCGGGATCGCTGGGGAAATCCGATCGGGTGAATGCCGCCAGGATGCTTTGCGCCCCTACGATGAGAATGATGATGTTAGCTTCCCACTCGAGCTTCACCTACCTATTGCTTTAGTATGAGGGGGGTGCAGGGCAAGCAAACGCACCTGTAGCGACGGGCTTCGCGTCAGCCATGTCCATCGTCAGCTTGAGTCCATTGCCTCGGCCAAGACCAGTGCCTGGGATCAAGCCCGGCGAAACGGCCACGACGTCGCATTGGCCGGCCAGCTGACGGCGCCACCAGTGGGCGTTCAGCAGCTGGACGAATTTCGAGGCGCAGTAGACGTCCTGCCCATTGGCACCAGAGGCGCCCTTGAGTGTATCTTCCAGGGTGCCTTATGAAATTGTGAGAAACAGCTGAGATTAGCATGACTCAAAAAAGATGGCAAGGTACTTGCAATGAGACGACTCGAGAGTCACTTACTGGGGTCGGTGATTCGACGAATCGCGCCGGAAGAAACAAAGACGATGCGAGACTTTGATTCAACGAGCTTCTCCCTCAACAGATGCGTAAGATAGTGCTGCGCTGTCGTAGCAAACATCAGCTCGCTGCCCAGAATCAACCTCGCCATCACACACACAAAGAGAGAGAAACTCACAGAAATGATTCACAACCAGCGCCTCGCACCATCGCCAGCCGGGAGGACCAGGCTTCTCCGCGCCATTGGAAATCGCCGCATTCAACAAGAGGTAGTCAATCTTGTCGCCGCCAATCTTCTCCAGCACCTGCTGCGAAAAGGTCTTGACGGTCCGCACGTCTGAGAGCTCCAGCGGCAGCACGGTCACGGCGTGGCCTGAGCGGTCGTAGCCCAGGGCGTCGTAGGCGGCAATGGTGCTCTGGGTGTTGCGCGCGCCGAGGATGACTTTGTAGGGCTGGGTTTGCTGGAGGAGAAGCTGCTTGATGGCTTCGAAGCCCTGTGTGGTGGATTGGAAAAATTAGTTGGATGAGAGGGGGAATGAATTGCTTGCAGAGACTCTGGGAACTCACAAGGCCTGAGGACACGCCTGTGGCGACGACGGTCTTTGCGACGGAACCCATGATTTCACTGGTGACGACGATCTTGTTTGTACTCTTGGTGTTGATGTCGGGCTAGGTAGTAGTAGTTGACTGGCTTAGAAGTGCTCGCCTGAATCTTTGGAGAAATGCTGATGATCGTCAAGCAGTGGCCTCGAATCAAGCAAGATAACCCTAAAGCTGATATATATTTCTTTCTACTTCAACAAGGGTTCTCCTCAATCATCATTAAATGGACGGAGAAGACTATAAAATCCATTCACTCATAGCAGCATCACTTCCCCCTATCGGCCTTTAGCAACTTTAAGCCCGGCCTGTCGCCATGCCTCTCTTATTCATCCTTCCCCACCTCGCAGCGACTTCCGAATCCTTCAGCAGCAGCATCATCGTTCACGACTGCCTGAATCCAGTTTGCCGGCTCTTGTGATTTGTAATGAAGGAGGCGGGCGGAGAGAGTTGGGGAATGGATCTATGATTGTAATAATGAGGCGCTTCCTCTTTGTGTCCAATCATTCCAGACACTTGGAGCGGGGTGGGCCTTTTTCTCCGCTTGCTGGGAATTGCCTTGAAGCAGCGGGATATTCCATCTCTCAGCTGCTGAATGTCCCGTTCAGCTGTCAGATGGTCAACTGGCGCTTGTCATGTTGTTTCTGTTATTCTTCATCCTGAAAGGCACTTGTTGTTTCTGTCATTATTTGCTCTGTTGGACATGAACTCGGTGATGAAATCTCTAGGTACACAACTGACAAGTGAGGAAAAGTGAGGGCAAATACCTCAATTCTAAGCAATCCAGCCCTTCCTCGTTGTAGCTGCTCCATGTAGCATAAACTCACATATGGGGTGCCACATCGCCCTGCCTTGAGCAATGTTTAAAAATACAGTCTCAAGAGGAGCCAACGCAAAGCACGCCAGACACATGCATGCTCCCATCTTCTAACCTTGCCCTCTATTAACCTCTGTGGGCTTATGTATACGCCAAGCCAATCACTGAGACACTACCTACGCATGTGCTTATAATATAAGGGGAGCCTAGATGCAGTTACACAGAGGCTGGAAATAAAGACAAAGACAGTTATATATACATGTAGGTAACCTGATCACTCCATAACATCACAAGGTGCTACGAGGACTAGGCTTTAAGGTAAGATACAGTAAAATAGTGAATATATACATAATATATATCCAAAGTGGCTTTGGTAATTACACATATGAGTTGATCAGCCAACTTGGGTAATTAAACTCCATAGAGTACTTGCTTGGCACTTATTGATTCATACTGACACCTTATTCTTAAGCTCTCGGAGCTCGTTCATAATTCTATAAGGCTGGCTATTCCACTCATAAACCTCCTGGGGAATTGCGTTGTTGCGGGCCGCCTTGCGGGCCTCAATAAAGGCCTGGGACACAGGCGCTCTCACCGAGCTGCTTCCCGGCTGGGCTTTGCCCATATAGTAGTACGAGTATCTGGTGAACTCAGGCCGGCCATGGCCACCAGCATGGAAATAGACAATGCCCGGCGAAAAGGAGCGGTCGCTCATGCCCTGGAGACCGCGGACGACAGGTACCCAGACCTGGATCAGGCGTGTCATCTCATACTCGGCCTCGGTGATAACAGCCTGAGTCAAGCCTCGGTGCCACCTGTCCATCGTGAGCTTGCACTGCACGGCGGCGTGCAAACTGCGGTAGAGGGATAGGACGGCGGCGCCGTCGCAGTCATGGGCGCGCTCTGGGATAAGGGCGTGCAGCGTCTCGATGGCCTTGCGTGAGTCTTCAATCAGGTTGACGATGTGGCCAATGTCAACGCCCGTCAGCGGGTATGTATTAGCATAAGGCAGCACATCGTGGTAGAAGCCCTGCTGGACGGCCATGACCGAATTGAGGGCGGCTTGGACCTCTTTCTGGTTGATGTGTTGCTTGATCTCGGCAGTTGCATGCGTGATCATCCCGTCAACTATTCACAGCTGATCAGCGGATCCAGAGGTGCTGTTATCAGCGAGTACCAGCGACCAGGACGTACCGGCGCGGATGATCTGCGTGACCATGGCCTGTTGCTGGGCTGCGTTCTCCTTGGCCTTCTCTATCTCCGAGTAGATGTTCCAGACGAATCCAACGACAGCAAAGACGTTGCCGACACCATCGATGATCTCTCTGTATTCTTCCACAAAGCTGGTCACCCCAGTTACGTAGGGCTCTATCGCTCCCCACTGCTGCAGCGCTTCCGCCTGACTGATGATCTTTTCGCTGAGTGCCTTGTCGTCCGCCATCGTGGGCCAATGCTGGTATTATCAATGCGGGCGATCTGTATATGATGCTAAGCTTTGAGGCTCGGGTTCAAACAGACTGGGGATCGTGACCAACGCAGTGCTGCGGCTTTTAGACGACATAAAGTGGAAAGACATCCTGGTAGTTAGGAGACGAGGAATAGATATGTACTCGTAGTGTGTGCAGCAGCACAATTCTTCTGCCCATCGAATTAAGCTTCTCGCGTTCAGCTTTTCTCAGCTGACAACGGGAGCAGGACTAAGATATAGGCCTACCGTCAGAGGTGATGATGTTATAACACAAGCGGGTTGGTCGACCCAATCAGATCTTGTATTCAATTACTATTCTCTGCAGTAAAGCTTAGCCTATCAGCCTCCATTCCTTACCTCGAGGTTGAAAACACTGGTAACAAATGTTATGGCCTTATGGCTTAGCTTCCTGTAGCATTAGGGTTGTGCCATTGAACCGTGACACTTCATGAACAGGGGCGTTTCAATGCTTCTAAGCCTTGAATACCTACGTACATACCTCGCATACCTATCAGCTCCGTACCTAACCAGGTACCTAAGGTAGGTAGGTACCAGGTAAGTAGGTATCAGGTAAGTACCTAGTCGGCGTTGATCCTTGAAGGCGCATCTCTATTGATCGCTGAAATGCCTTCCTTCAGCGAGGCTCCGAAATGACGAGCCAGGACAAGATTCCTTGTTCAGGAAGAGGGACAAAGGAGAGACAACTTCTATAAACGTCAATTGCCATTTTCCACACCGTATCTAGAATACCTAAGGTATGGAATGAAACTGCCGCGCCGAATCCTTCCTGCCATAAGGCAAACACAAAAGAGCCTCTTGTCTCGCTAAATCAACACGTCTAAACCGCCTCAGCAAACGCTGTATGTACACCACAGAATCTCTTTCTCACCATATACATTCCAAAGGCCTCCTCCTCAGTCCTCATCCCCTCGTAACTGTCGAACAGCACCACGCCATCTTTAGAAAAGCCCCCATGTCTCCCCCCTCTTGTACACTCCAGCTCCGTCCGTCTGGAGTGGCGGAAAGTACTGCTCAGGCCCTACCCTGCAAGTCACATCCTGTGCAGGCAGCGAGCCGCTGACAAAATACTCCTTGACATAGCTGTTTGCACATGCGGAATTCTGGTAAAAGGTGCAGTGTCCGTAAGCCTCCAGCGTCACCATCCGCGAATCCGCAAAAGCCGTCAGCGCCGACTTGGCGGAATCCAGCGAGCAGACGGGGTCGTATTGGTTGGACATGACCAGCAGCGGATGCTTGGTCTTGACCCCTTCCCTCGGGACGTAACCGTGCGTCTTGGGAATCACCCAGTGAGCCTTGGCCCAGTAGAACGAGTTGGCCGCGTACATGAAGGGATTCATGACGTAAAAGGGCTCGAGCGTCTTGATCATCTCCTGGTTGGTCTGCGGCCAAAAGTCCTTGCCCGACAGCCCGTCGTTTAGTCGATAAAAGTAAATGGCCTCCCAGGGGGTCACGCCCGTGTTGCTGTACGACTGCGAGCCTCCCCACACCTCAAAGGCCATCGTCGCGTTGCCCACCATGGCATCGAGCAGGGCGATGGCGAGGGGCTGCCAGATGACGCTCTTGTAGAGAGAAGGCAGGATGACGGTGAACCACAGGTAGGCGTAGTTGACAGTGCCAAAGTTTGTCTTGTCAACGTAGACGGTCATCTCGTCGTACTTGATCTTGGTGCCAAAGTTCTCCACCATCTCGTTGAGCACGTCGGGGCTCTTCGACAGCTCGGCCAGAGGGCACGCCTCCACGCCGGCCTTGACGCACTCGTCAAAGAAGCCCCAGAAGACCCTCTTGCCGTCTTGGTAGTCCTTCCACGGCAGGGTGCTGTTGTACCACTCGAGCTGGTCGACGACTCCATCAATCACCATGCGTGCTGTTCGGTTGGGGAAGAGACCGGCGTAGGTCTGGCCGATGAGCGTGCCGTAGCTCTGGCCCCAAAAGTACATGTCCTCTTGGCCAATGGCGTCCAGGATGCTGTTCATGTCGGCGGCAACCTGCGGTGTGTTGATGTACTTGCCGTGCTCGCCGGATGTCTGGGCACACGTTTTGGCAAAGTTGGGGGCCCAGCCGCCCATGAAAGGGGCATCGGTGACCAGGTTATCCAGCGGGACTTTGCTCATGCTCTTTCGTATGGCGTCCGTAGCATAACACGAGCCCAGTGGCGTAGACCCGTTAATGCCTCGAGGGTCAAAAGCAATGATGTTGAACTCCTCCCCAACGATGGATATCAGCTCAGAGGACAGACCGTAGAAGCTGCCCACGCCGCTCGCCCCGGGGCCCCCTGGGTTGTAAAGAATGTTCTTTGAGCAAGCCGTGGTGTTGTGGCCGCGGATTCGGATCATGGAAAGATCAAATGTCTTGTTTCCAGAGTTCTGGCGGTCGAACTGATCCATCGGTACCTTCATGGTACTGCATTCCAACAGGTGGCCAGTGGCACTGCCACATGGTGTCCACGATATCTTCTCTCCCGGATAGGTGACAGTTCCATTATCGCGGCGGTGACGAGGTCGGAAAGAAGCTGCTTGAGCTTGTACGAAGAGGCTAGGCAGGGCCAGCATACAAGACAGGATTGCCCCCTTGGACAAAGAGGATGTGCTGCTCCCGCCGCTCGTTGTCAGGATAGGCGTCCGCATCTTAACGATAATCGAAAGGCTTCGTAGAGTCGGTATGAATCCGAGTCGATCCCCGAGTGTTCTAGAAGAGGCTCAAAATTTCGAGGCAATCTGAAAATGTCCCCAGCCGGTTTACCAACAGGATCCGGGAGAAGCTGTGCTTTGTGCAATCGCCGCCATCGGTCCATTCACCGTTGCCTTTGGTAGATATTTTATATCCATCAGCCACAATGGGGAAGCACAGATGGATCGACGGCACCAATCAATCTCGTTGCCGGCAACCCGATTGCTGTGAGAGGGCAGGAAACAAACGGGAGATGAAAGGCATGCGAGACGTGGAACATTCATCGATACACCCCCCAAGCGGTAAAGAAACTGGGTCCATTCACGCATGTTTGGTGTTCCTTGCCATGAACAATGACATAATTGGCCTTCGACACGTTCGTTAGAAACGATGCCATCATCGACGGAGCGATAATGCCAGGCTAACGCAAGTGTGAGTAGCCATAGCTACAAGTGCACGGGTTGATAAAACTTGCAACCGTCACCTCGATAATTATCACAAACTGAACGTTCAAGATGGTGTTGGTAGATAGGCCAAAAGGTCATCTCTGAACAACATCGTAGTAGTTCAGAGGCATGTCGTAGCTGTCATTCACGGGACCAGAAGGCAGCTAGATGGCCTCAAGCCGGCTACTGCACCCGGACTTGAATCGCTCCCAGTAGTTCAATGATCGAAGCCATGGGGTCCATGAGAGCGATAAGGCATCTTCAGCAGATAAGAATGTGTTGTAGGGCATTGGAGGCGTGTATTTCGCCAAGATTCCAGCTGCTACAGTTCAGTTTAGTGGGAAAGGGGGGGTGAGGTGGAAGCAAAGAGGCTCTAGCACCCGAGGATCCGGAAACGGTGACACACGCAGCCACATCCACCACTGGCGCCGTTGTATGATGTAAAACACATGCCTGGAAATGAACGTGGCTGTGGGATTTGTTTGGGTAATGGGGGTCAATGTATGACAAAGGGGAGTGAACGGGGGAGTCAAGGCAGCGGTGCAACAGGTCCCGCATGAGGTGTATGAGTTGACAGCATGTCTTTGAAGGCACGTGTACATCTGTGTACGATGTTGTTCAGTTTGTGTTGTTTTAGATGCGTATACTAGCCTGATGGCTTTGGTAGGTAGCAGATTGACACTTGACTGCATCACGGATGTGAGACATGATCATGGCGGGTAGGTCCCCATTGTGAGCATCGGAATGATGCTGCCGGCTGCCTCCCAAGCAGGTCGATATCGGAAGCCGACAGGGGAGCTAATGAAGGGCTATGACATGTTAGACACGGACAACAAGAGAGTCGAGATGTTTGGCATGCCCATTGGGACCCCGAGGCGGTCAAAAGCCCTCAATCACTGCATCCTCATGCCAAGCTTCAGGTATCAAAGACGGGGTATAGCAAGTCCAGTGCTCTGGGTCACCGGACCAGCTCTCTGTCACGGATTCGCTTCTGCTCCGCGCATACCCAAAGGTTCAACGGCTGGAGACACAATTATGATGCCACCTCGAGTCCCGTGATGAGACTCGGGCGCTCTCAGGGCTGCAGGACTGAACTCCGCCTTGGCTCGGCCGAAACGTTGCCTCGTCACGCGATGACAATTGGGAGAACAATAAGACGATCTGCAACAGCGCATAGGGCTGTGTTCAATTATTTGCTCTGCGCTGGGACCAGTCAGTGGCCTTTGCGGCTGCGATGGAGACTATTGAGTCCATTCAGTCTTTGACCGTGCTCTCTGTCAGCCTTGAAAACCAGGAATCCGTCTTGTACAGCCCGTGTATGTAAGGCATCTCCAGGTAGTGAGTTTCGAAAGAGACAGCTCAACATCTACCGAAGTTATGTCATGCATGCGACTCCAACAACATCAACTTGCCGAAAGCTGTTGGCCGAACCTATCATTGAATGCCCACCTCGTCGCTTTCCATCATCATTGCCCCAAAGAGGGAATAACAAAGCAGCCATTGGTTTACCTTTGCAAGATCCAGCCTAGAAACAAAAGTTCCAGCACGGTTCAGCGAGCAACAAAGCTTGGAAAGCTTGAACAGAGTCGTATCGTTGTTTTATCTGATGTATGGCCTGTCACCTGTCTTCTTCTCCTAAGAACTCTAGCATCATGACCAAGGCCTTAGCGATAGAATTACCCTCACTGTAGTTCCTTCATCTCATCCCCCATTTCGCAATCCTCTCCTCCAATAACCGAAGAATTTTCAAACCACTGCCCATCAAAGAGTTGCCCCATGACCGTTTCGACCCCTCGTTTCGAGATCATCAACAACAATCTTCTACCTAACATACCTACATATCGTCTCATCTATTCGTACTTCAGAAACACTGTCGTCATCCTCTTCTCTTCACAACTCCAAGATGGCCAAGAGCCCTTGTCACACCTCTGCCCTTCTACTGATGCCTCCAACGTCGACTGTATGTGATAGCCTGTGTCACTGCTTCGAGAAGGTACCTGATAACATGTACAAGAAGAAGTACCTGGCCCAACAGGCTTAAAGTACAGCAAACGGACAAGAAGTCCCCAGCATAAAGTCACTTGTTCGTGCCTCAATAGGGCCGAGGCACCATGCTCTTTGTACTCCGGTTCGCCGTCCACTATACGAATTCACAAACACATGGCCATCTTGTCCAAACTGCATGTATCCTACGGAACATCGCGGCCTCAACTCCGGCCTGCACTGTCCCGAAGCTTCAGTCGCTGGCAAGGGGACAAAGAATGGCAGCGACCAACCGAGCTTCTGGATGATTTCCGCTTTTGTCAACCGCCTCTTCGTTGCATCCACAACACAAACGTGTGCCATAAGCATACCTTTCTGCTTGACGTGCTTCCCCTTATGACAAATGGCAGCATCAGGTCACACCCAGAGCGCCACATCTTCGGGCGTTAAGTCTGCGAGGTCCACCGTTCCACAACAATCACGAGATATTTACTTAATTGCCAAGTCTCCTAAGATCTTGGAGCATGACGGTATGGCCTCTTGTGAGGGGCTACAGATAATGAATGGTCACCACAGACTTGTGATTCAACGCCGTCTATTTTCTCACGAAACCCGGACCATGCTCGACGATAGATCACTTATGCAAAGGTGGCGAGACCCGGAGACCCAGGTCGAGCGCAATGAGTCCCTCGCTCTCAGATTGGACAAGAGAGAAGACAACGACCGAGACAAACAAAATAGGCCTCGACTAAACCAGCAGACTTACCAAACCGCGGGCGTCTCTGTGTTATAGTCGCAGTCGAAGACAACCTTTGGCCGTCCGATTGGTCCGCGGAGAGACGGTCCCAATGGTTAAATAAGAGGTTGAAATTACGTGCATGAAAGTCCTACATATGCATCCATGCCCACCCTTGATGCCACGGTACCAGTCCAGCACAGTGCACATGGACCCCAACGCAACATGGCCCGATTTCGGATAGCCCTCCGGACGAGATGGAGGCACTCGGGCAGCTGACTTTGCTCCTCCATGAAGTGACAGGGTCTAGTAACCCCTTCTCACGCTCTCGACAGTAGACCACTGCCTGTCGTCGTCAACCTGGTTCTTTTAGCGGCTGTCAAATGCTTGTCTGCCCACGGAGACAAGACGGCATCTACGTGCGTCGTCTGTACGCACATATTGACCTATCAGAACTCTACGCCTCCAAGGACAAGCGTGACAGCCGTGAGAGCTCGGGTGGTACTCACCGGCAGCCAGAGGAGCTGAACCGTGTGCGAGGCCCTGTACATAGTACTGATGGGTTTTGTACTCTGTCCTGCGACACGCACGAGGCGTGTTGGCTACACGTGGGTCAGTTGAAGAGCCCGTTTGCCTTGCGGCGGTGTCACCAAGCAGGGAAGAGGGGAGCCGAGCAGCTGAAGAGTGATCTCGCCAGACGAGTCAGATTCTTATAAATCTCCACATGGAGGGGGGGGGACTCGACTGAATGGTCCCAACAGCCATCAGGTATTACAATCTGACAGCTCTTGACAAGGCCACATCTGCCCAACCCTGACTACAACGCACGACCAGCTAATCAGAGAAAAGGGAACAATGGTTAGCCGTGATAACGAGCTTCGTAGCTCGGCCCTTATCTTGGGTCGTTGTCGCGTGGCCCCGTTTGCACACGCGCGGTGTCCCAGTTCGGTGGGAAAAGTTGGTGTATGTACGACCTGTTCTGAGGGAGAGGGCCCATCAGCTCACTTACACGGACGGTTCACGTCCAAGGCACAAACGGCATATTGCGGACGGCCGGCAAAGGCCTGTCTTGCTGGTAGGACAAGTGATGAAACGACATCGTAATTTGGATCTGCGCCCTGGTGTGACGGAGTCGACTGACAGGACAGGCGGACTTCTGCTCCCCCCCCCCCCCCCCCCCTTATTATCGTTCTATGTTGCTCACTCAACCTTTGGCCCGCAAATGGAATTTTGTCTAGGTAGGTATTGATGATAGACGCTTCTCAAGGTACCTGAATATGCCATAGAAACCGCAATCCTCTTCCTCTACTTCAAGGTATGCTGCAAAACACCCCTCGTATCTATTCAAGAAAGCATGCGTGTCCTTTGCCCATTGCCCCATTGCCCCGGTATCGATATAGACACATACACAGACCGCTCGCGCATAGAGCACATAAAACGCCTTCTTCTCCTCGTCTGGTTCCATCGCCGAACCTCCGTTACTCCATTCCGCCTCCTACCCAGCCATCGCCCAAAAGTCCCCAAAGATGCCCTGGAGCCGGCCTCGGTAAAAGCCTCGCCCCAGTTTCTATTATCCGTTGATGAATTTCCCTCTCCGTTCTCCCATCTGCAAAGTTCCTGGGAGATTACAGTGCCTCCTGCACGACATAGTACTACCAGCACACCAAAGGCTGCTGATCCGCACGCGCGAATAATACCACAAAAGAGTGACATCAAATGGTCCATCGACCTACATGTACTGCCACAGTCCGTGTTCGCCTGGACCTTTCCAGGGGTTTCACACCTTGTTGTTGTACACGCTACCGTCCACGTAGTTGACCAGCTCCCTGACGGGATCGAGCTGCTCGAGGCCGCCCCCAAAGGCCATGCCCTTCTTCATGACGCGCCTGTAGTTGAGCCCCGGGCTGACCTTGCCCAGCACGTAGCCGCGCCTCGTCTCGACGCGGGAGGGCACGGGGATGCTCCGGCCGACGACGGCCTCCATGCCCTGCCAGGCAAAGGTGATGGCCTCCTTGGCGTCGGCCGGGATGCCCGCCTCGTCGAGCATGACGAACTTGGTGTCCGGGAAGGACGCCTTGAGGTGGTCGAGGATGTTTGGGTTCTTGGCGCCGCCGCCGCACATGTACACCTCGGCCAGCGGGCCGTACTGCGTGGGCATGTATCGCCTGTAGTGGTCGACAATGGCCTGTGCGGTGATGCGCGTGATGGTGGCGACGACGTCGTTGGGCGACATGCCGCTGGCGATGCCGCGCTCAATGAGCTCGTGCGCGATGGTGTCGCGGAACACCTCGCGGCCCGTCGTCTTGGGCGGCTCGAGCGCAAAGTAAAAGTGCGTCTGCAGGAAGTCGTCGACCATGGCCTGGTTCACCCGCCCGGCCTTGCCCATCTCGCCGTCCCTGTCGTACTCGCGCTCGCCGTTGGTGAAGTAGCGCACCGCGGCGTCGATGAAGACGTTGCCCGGGCCCGTGTCAAAGTCAAAGAACTCGTCGTTGAGCCGCCCGTCGACGTCGGGCGGGATGAAGCACACGTTGGCGATGCCGCCAATGTTCTGGCACGCCCGCAGCTTGGTCGGGTGGTGCAGCACCAGGGAGTCGAAGAAGGCAATCAGGGGCGCGCCCTGGCGGCCGGCCGCCTGGTCCGACACGCGAAAGTCCGTCACCGTCGTGATGCCGGTGATGGAGGCGATGAAGGTGCCCTCGGCCATGGTCAGGGCCGACTTCTTGCGGCCGCCCTGCGGCATGCTCTCCAGCCAGATGGTCTGGCCATGCGAGCCGATGGCGTCGATGGACGACAGGGGGATGCCGTGCTTGTCGGAAAAGGCCTTGACTGCCTCGGCAAACGTCTCTCCCAGGATGACGTTGACTTCGGACAGCTCCTCGGGCGTTGTGGTGTTGTGGAGGATCATGTCCATGACCCTCTTCTTGATCTTGGGCTCAAGCGGGATCTCGTCGTACTTGATCAGCTGGAAGTGCATGGGCTCGCTGGGGGACGCCTGTCTGAACCGGCACAGAGCGCAGTCGATGCCATCCATGGACGTGCCCGAGTTGAGCCCGAGGACCGTCATGTCGAGCGGTAACGACTCCTCCCCATAGTTGATGACAGCGTTGGCGGATCCCATGATGACGCTATATTTTTTCCCAGATTTCTAAGATTCTCCTCTGCAGTCAGTATGGAGAGAGAAGAGAGAGAGAGAGAGAGAGTCTTCGTCAACTTGTTTCTGTGTAAGAGACGAGAGCGAGAGAGAGCGAGAGAGAGCGAATATGGAGGCCCGAATCTTGGTCCAAACCCGAGAACCCGGCTGGTCTTTATTTCTCTACAGCCTCATACAAAACAGCCGACGATCGTTCGTCTCATCCAAGCTTCTCAGGAGTATACGCTATGATTCAGAAGGCCCCCTCGGGAGTTCACTGGCGTTTAGACGGCATATTGTTGAACAGGAATCAAAGTCCAAAACAGCAATCAACTTTGTGTGTGCGCCAAGTTGAGCCCGACTTTGAGTCCAACAGAATGGTCACACACACACGAACACACACACCACCACCACCCCCCCCTCCCCTCCTCTCCCCTTCTTCCCTTCTCAACGCGCCAATAGCCAGTTCGCCCCCGTCAAAACGCTTCGCACGGCTAAACGGCCGGTTGCCAAAACCGGAAAGCCCTTCGGTCTGGCCTTTGGCTTGCTGACTTATTCCGTGCTTATAGTACTATCCCACGACTCGTCAAAGGTCCTTTACCGAGGAAGCCCTTATTAAACGTTTAGGCAGCTGCTTTAGCCGTCGGGGAGGGGTGGGAAGAAAAGATACTCAAGAGTCACGGCTTTTCGCGCGTTCTCCGCCGCGCCAGCCCTCGTCGAGCTTTCAAACAAACAAAACCCCCCTCCCGGGAAATCAAAGCTCGTGCTCCCAGAGATTTTTACGCCCTTGGAGCAGCGCGTATTTCTCAGGGCTCCATCTTTTGCGCTTTCTCGTTGCGAGGCTAAAGCAGCTGCGGGTTCCGGGGGCTAGGAACGGGCAGCAGACCGGGGGTGGGAAGGGAGGGACCCTCGATCCGTTCCTCGTGGTCGTGATGGGGACAAGGGCCCAGAGAAACCCTTGACCAACAGATAATACCTACCGAGGACACACACACGCAGAGTTACGGACAGGACGGACAGCACAGTGGGAACAGCGGACAGCAAGAGGCTGCTGTTGGGTCTCCAACACTGGAACACACACATTTGCGGAAAAGGTAGCACTCGCTTCGGCTTCTCTTTCAAGACAACACGAACCACGCCATCATGAAAGGGCCTGGCTGACCTGGGTTTGGCGACGGGCTGGTCGTATTATCTATCACTTTCTCGTGGCATCCTGGCTCTTTTCCAGAGACCGCCTTTCCATCCAGTCTTATTCCCTCTTATTACGCGGCCGCGTCCCTAAAACTCGTCCCCCGTCTCCGATTTTTTTTTCCCTTTCTTTTTTAACCCCTTGATCTCTAGGTAGTGTCCAAGCTTTTCTTCCCGAGCCCAGATCGACGACTCGCCGCGAACTGCCGCTGGCTTATACATCACGCCAGCACTTTGTTATTACATCGCGATACGAGCACGGAGTACAGAACTGGCAGTACTACTATCATCAAACGGTTGTTCTCCCCCCTCCTCGGCTGGGAAATACCGTCGCTTCGATGGCGGGTCTCCAGATTTGGCGCCATGTCCCGGGAAAGGTGCTGCTGTTCCTAATCAACGTGGTCGCGGCCACGGCCCTGATCTTCGAAGGTATGTTATTACTACGCACAACTCCTCTCGACTAAGAGTCATACTGTACCTAGCTTCGTTATGGAGCGGCTTGTTATTTTGCCCTATTTCCTCGCCCAGCCGAGCTCCCCTTACGAGGCTAGTTTGTCTCCCTCGGGGCGATTCACATCATGTACGAGTATGTGAGGATGTGGCCATGGTGCTAATGAAATTGTCGGCCGTTTGAAAAAGGCTATAATCAGGGTGTCCTTGGGACCGTTAGCGCGACGCCAGGCTTCATCAAGATGGCAGATATCGGCCATGATGGGGTCGTAACCAACACCACTAAACAAGGCGGGCTTGCCGCAGCTTATTACTTTGGGGGCATGTGGGGATGCTTCATCGGAGGTACGATAACGATCCATCCTGGGGCGGGAGTGTAAGAGAGAGAGAGAGAGAGAGAGAAAGAGAGTGGTGTGTTGTTGCTGTTGTTGTGCAATATCGCAAGGTGCTAAGACCAAACAAACAGGATGGGTTGGCGATAGAATCGGCCGCAAGGGGGGCGTCCTCATCGGCACCGCCTTTGGCATCCTCGGCGCGGGCCTCATGGCCGGCAGCACAAACGCCAGCATGTTCATTTGCGCGCGTGTCATTGCCGGCATCGGCATTGGCTTCATGAACGCAATCATCCTGCCGTGGGTCAGCGAGCTGTCCCAGTCGCACGATCGCGGCTCCAGCTTCTCCCTGGTCTTTGTCGCAAACTACCTCGGCATCGTCATCGCCTACTGGATCAATTTCGGCATCCGCGACTCCAACGTCGAGTTCCGCTGGCGCTTCCCTCTGGCATGGATGATTATCCCCCTCCTGGTCGTCGACGTGGCCGTGCCGCTGCTGCCCGAGTCTCCTAGGTTAGTTTTCCCATATACCTCTACTTGGCATCCAACTCGTCTACCACCACCCCTTAGACAATCAGCCCCCCCCTCTCCCTCCCTTCTCTCTCTCTCTCTTTCTCTTACTCTCTCTCTCTCTCACTCCGTTTGGAGACATCTTCCTCTTTCGACGAGTAATGTAACGTGGGGGGAAAAAATGGCCATTAACCCTCCTCCTTCCAACACAGATGGCTCATCGCCAACGGCCGCCGTCAAGAAGCCATTGACATCCTCTGCAAGGTCAGAGGCGACCTGACCCCCAACGACCCCATCATCACCACCGAAGTCGAGCTCCTCGACGCCATCGTCGAGGCAAACCACCACAAGCGCAACGACCTCGCCAACATTGTCCTCGGCGGCCGCTTCTCCGGCAAGCTGCACCTCGGCCGCCGCGCCGTCCTCGGCTTCGCCCTGCAATGGATCCAGCAGTGGACCGGCATCCTCGCCATCGTCGGCTGGGCCGGCGTCCTCTTTGAGCTCGCCGGCTTCGACTCCTACAAGGCCCTCTGGCTCGCCGGCCTGGCCAACACCTTTGGCGTCCCCGGAACGGCCGCCGCGGCCTTTGTCATTGACCGCATGGGACGCGTCAAGTCGTTGATCACCTCCTTCATCATTCAGGGAATCTGCCTCTTTTTGGTGGCCGCTTTGATCAAGACTTCGCAGGACAATGCCATTTCCGATCCGGAGCTGTCGAAACGCCTCGGAACCGCTGCGGCGAGTTTCGTATTCATCTATGTCTGGTATGTTGTCTCTCCATATATACCTATGAAACTATAACAGAAAGAAGAAAAAAAAACCCCATCTAGAAAGTGTTGATCCTAATCAAAAAATGGCAGGTTCTTCACCATGTTCAACATCATCCCCTGCTGGATCTACGGCACAGAAATCTGGCCCCAGGAAGTCCGCGCAAAGGGCTACAGCTTCACCATCTTCGGCTGGGCCACCGGCTGCGGCTCCACCACCCTCATCATGCCCATCTTCCTCAGCAGAATCGGCTACGGCACCTATCTCTTCTTCGGCGCCATGAACGTCGTCGTCGCCCCCTTGGTCTGGTTCTTCTTCCCCGAGCTGGCCAACCGCACTCTCGAGGAGATTTCGCTCCTCTTCACGAGCGACAGCCTGCTGGCCAGCGAGAACATGAAGGAGTACAACCGTCGCGTGGACGAGGCCGGGGGCAACATTGCCGTGGCGGCCAGGCAGCTCCTGGACGAGGTGGACGGCAAGGACGCGGAGAGCGGTACGGAAATCGGAAGCCCTGATGAGAAGAGAGTCGAGGTCAACCACGAAGTTACCATGTGATTTGTTTGATGACGGAGATTAGCCCTTTGCTTTGGAACATACAGATGTATCTTTGATATCTTTGATCGGAAATAATCAGTTCAGGCCTCATGACATTTAGATGACGAGCCATTGAAAGAGAAAATAGGACCCCTTGTTTTCTTTCCGCTTCTTTGTGTTCTTTAAATTCTTGTGTATCTGCTCGTTTTTCAACTTCAGGTCCATACTGAACCAAAATCGAAATTCCACGTCAGGTCGCCTAACACGTCGGGGGGCACCTGGAACGACCAGTCGCCCGCCATTTCCGAGTTGACTGGGGGCTGCTCATAGGCATGCGCGGAACCCCTGGCACCGTCAACTGGCACCACTTGCTGCACCGTAGTGCTCACCGGCGCCTCTTCGGGGGGTGGTCTTGACTGTTGCCGCTGGGCAGACATGTACTCGTCAATGCGGGCTACCTGGGAACGCAGCTTGTCGCTCGCACTCGAGCTCCGGTGTATCGTCTCGAGGTTCTCGAGAAGCCTGGCCATGGCCAGCATGACGGACCTCACCCGGCTGTACTCGGCCTCGCTGAGAGGCTCTTCAAATACGGAACCGAGGATGGCGCCTATGCCTCCCAGGTGGTGCAGCAGCGGCTTGCTGATGGTCAAGCAGTATTGCACCGGAATGGAGTTGAACGCATCCACCACGTCGGCGGCGATGTCGCAGCGTTCCGCGATGCTTGCCCCTCCAGCAGCAAACAGTGTGATGCGGAGAAGCTGAAGGCTGGCGGTGATGTTGGCCGCCTGGAAGCCGAAAAGGTCTTGCTTCTGGTTGAACGTCATCTTGGGCGTGTTCTTGAAGCAATCGGGAAGATTCAGGTACATGCGGAGCACCTTGTCGCGGACGGACGTGCCAGTCACCGTGGACTGGTCGTCGATGATCTCCGACATGAATGACCTCCGCCGCTCCCTGAAGCGCGCTAGGGCATGCTCCAGCACTCTGTAGAGATCGGTGATGAAGTTCCAGCCGGACAGCCAGCAGTCGGACTGCGCGGTCAGGACGAGGCGAGCAATGGGGGGACTCAGCCCGCTAGGCGAGAGGCCTGGGCGCGCAATGCCCCCGTCGCTGATGTACTGGTCATCCACTTCGGCTGGGTAGGCGACATTTGCCTGCTGCTCGCGCGAGCGGATGACACCGCTCCAGACCACAGAAGTGAAGATGTCCAGGGTATAGATCGACCAAAACTGTGTGTATAATTCCGCGCCAGGGCAGCAAGATTAGCTGGGCGTGCTCCATCTTGCCGTATGTAGGTAGGTAGGGTAGGTATAGATGTAACGTCGGCAAAAGGGGAAAATGGAGAAACGCTTACCATTCTTCTCCTCTCCTCCCTCTCGATGATGCCGATGCCAGAGGGCCAGTTTGACTCGTCATGCAGGCCGTCCATGGCCATGAGGGTGTGGTAGATGCCGAGATGGTAATGCATGTCCCGGACCTTGCCGTTCTGGATGGCCGCAATGGCCACGATGGCGTGGGCACGGAGGATGTTGAAGTCGGAGCTTTCGACGCTAAACTCCAGCAGCTGCCTCCTGGCCTCGGCGTAGAACGTGTCCGGCAGCGTCTCCCTCTGCAGCGCCCGGACGTCCCACCGCGGGTTCATGACGGAGCCATCCCGCACACGGCCGCCCACCAGGGCGCAGACGGCCATGGTGGTGGCGAAGAGCGGCTGGTTGGTGTTGTACTCGGCCCGCGAGATCTTGCGGGTGAAGGAGGGCTGGTGGAAGAAGGGGAAGATGGGGTAGACCATCTCAAAGTACAGCTCGACGAGGTCGACGACCGTCGCCTGGCTGACAATGTAGGGCGCGCGCCAGGCGGCGGCGACGGACGACTGCGGCGAGGGGTTGGCATTGGGCCCCGGATGCTGGATCTCGGGGATGATGCGCAGGTCGCCTCCCTGCGAGGGCGATCGCGACGACTCGGCATCAGGCACGCCCTCGACGGCATGTCGATTGGCCGCTGGTCCCGCACTGCCGCGGGCGGGGACGCCTCGGCGACGCGGCTTGCGGTGGTAAGTGCACGTCTGGGCAAAGTCTCTGCAGTTCTGGCAGCCGGAGCCGTCCTCGGCCGGGCGGCAGCGGATGCTGCGGCGGTGGCAGTAGTCGCAGGCCCGCGAGATGCGGCGCTGCTTGGGCTTGGGGAGGTCGCGCGGGCTCTGGTCCGACGACATGATTCAGTCAGTTCAGGGCGTGGCTGTGGCTCGGGCTCAGGCTCAGCAGACGCGTGGGCACCGAGCCATTCGCTTTCGTGTCAGGAGCAGCAGCCTAAACGGCCAAAGACCCATGTCCCCCTCGTCTCTCACGCGATCTAGTGCAGAGCTATAGCGGATGTCTATCTGCAGACGCTGGGCTGGAACTGGAAGGGGGCACAACGGTGAGACAGGCCGCGCTGCGGTTGCTGGGCGCGGCTGGCGATGCTTCGGTCGGCAGGCGTGTCGCTGCGGCGGGCTGGAGCGCGGGTGGCGGTTCCCGAGGGCGGCTGCACGGCGGCTTTGCAGATGCATCCAGAAGAGGCAGAGAGTGCAGAGAGGCGAGAGGGAGGGAGAAGCTGAGGGATTCGCATCCCCCGACGCAGCAGGAAGACGACGAGAGCACCGTGCGGACTGCGCGCCAGCCCGCGGCGCCGGTACGGTGCGGCGCTTGTGGCTCTGCAGGCATCGCTACAGTGTGCACGCAGGCTCCGCACTACGACGTCGCAGTGCAGGGTGTCCCAATCCGGCCTCCTATTGCAACCTCGCCGGCGTTTTCGAGCGTTGTTCTTTTTTTTGTATCTTATTTTTCTTTCTCTGGCGTCTCTTCTTCAGTGCCCGGCCGCAGTTGTGCGCCAGGCATCGCATGATTGGGCATTGGGTCAACAGGCAAATCTCGTTTGAGTTTCATGCGTAATATTTCGCGTCCTTGTCGCTTGATGATATAAACAGTAAGATACCCGACCCTATCATACTCGTATATGTATGTGAATGCCCAGTTGTCCAAACCCCCCAGAAAACTCCTTTCAAACCTTGCCAGCTGCCTAGTTGAGCTACTATTACCTAGTAGTATTAATAGCAGGCAATGACTGCTGCAGTGGTCATGACTACCTACCTAGTACATCCATGCAGTTTTGGATCGGACCCAGCTCCGTTGATGCTGGTACCAGACCTTACCTTAGCTGCAGCAGCACTACGGGATCCGGCCAACAGGTTAGCGATTGAATCCCGTCGGCAGCCCTGGTACTGAAGACTCCGTGCTGCCCACCGCTTCCCACCCGCTCTTCGCTACCCCCGGCAGGTACCCAGGACTTGCACCGGCGACCGTCGCCTAACAGCACCTGCCATCCACCAATTGGATCCATCCCTCAAATCTCAGGCAACCTCTCAAGCCTCTCCCCGCTCAATCTCAAACAGCTGAGGCACGACATCTTTGAGGCTCTCCTCCAGACTCCGCCACTGGACGCCCAGCACCCGCTCCGTCTCGGTAGTGCTGACACCAAAGTGCGTGTGCGAGTCTCGCTTGCCTGGCTCGCCGACCGGGATTCGATCTCCGTACTTGGGCAGCACGCGCCGGCTCACGTCGCACAGCTCCTGGTTGCAGTAGACGCCGTTGGCCAGCAAGAAGCGACTGCCGCCGGCCTCGACGACCTGGAGCGCCTTGACGTGCGCCTCGGCAACGTCGCGGACATCGACCCAGACAGGCCCCCGAGTGGGCGGCACCGGCGCGTCTCGACCGGCGGAGAGGGAAGCCCAGACCAACTGGTTGCTGGTGTTGACGCCGGCAATTGTCGCGGGCTTGGCCTCGGGTAGGAACGGGCCAAAGACCATCCCGGGGCAGAGGCTGACGAGGTCGAAGCCGACCGCTCGATCCTCCATGAACTTCCAGGCGGCCTTTTCTGCTGCCGCCTTGCTCGCTCGGTATGCCGCGGGAGCGTTGTCTGCCTTGACTCCGTCTTCGTATGTCAGCGGGCTCCAGTCCCGGGCGCTGTAAGTCTTCTCAGGGCTGAGGCCGGCCGAGGCGTCGTATATGGAGGCGAAGCTGTTCGTTTGGACGACTCTCCGGATGCTCTTGATCTGAGCGGCAGCCTCCAGGATGGCCGTTGATCCTTGTACCGCGGGAATCATCATCTCTCGTTCGAAATCAGTGGCCTTATAGTGAAATGGTGCGGCCAGGTGAAGGACTGCTGCCGGGGACAGGTGGCCGAGGACATCGAGGTAGCTCTGAGCATTTGTAATGTCTTCAATGACAACCACCTCCAGCCCGGTGTGCCCTTTGTGTGTCTTCTTCACCGCAGCAGCCTTGGCCTGGTTTCTGACGGTTCCAATAACACGGTAGCCCTCCCGCAGTAATACGGCGACGCAGTGTTGTGCAATGAACCCGTTGGCGCCTGTGACGACGACCAGTGCCGGCGGCTCAATGCCAGACGCAAGCAATGAGGGCATCTTGCGTGACAGAGGAAGAATGGTATGATGCAGCAATGTGTTGGCAGCACGGGGAGATGAGGAAGGTCAGAGATGAAAGGCTTGTGTTTCTGTAGGGCTGGACCATTTGCTACCTTATGGTATCAACTCTCGAGTCAAGGAAATGGGAGGCCGTCGTTATGTATTGGCTGCTCCATCGGACACGGATCGCTCTATCGACGAGTCTCCGCGGGACCAAGAAAAAAAAAGGAACAGCGGCTTAGGCGCTCAAGCCAGCGGAGCATCGCGGCAGCTCCATGATTGCATCCTCGTGTCCTCTGGTCATTGTTTGCCGACGGCCAGGCCAGTCTGGTGTTACACGCCGCTCGACGCTCATCGACAGCTCCAGGCAGAGAGGTGAGAGACGGGTGATGGATCAGCGTCGGCTCTCCACGCTGGCGGGCGACTGGCTGCTCGAGACGGTGCTTGCATAGCGTACGCCGACCCGACCCCCCTGCAGCCGTCGCAAAGCTCGATTGCCAACAAGCCTTTGCGTCTCTGCAGAGCCCTCCGGGGTGGGGCAGAGAGGAGAGGCAGAGCCGGCTTCCGGCCCCCGGCGACTTCGCCGAGCGGACCGGTGTAAGGTCATACAGCCTCGATGTCGTTGAGCAGGATGTGGGTTGAAGCAAGCACGCGTGCGAGTCTCTAGCAGGGTACTGACTATTCTATACTACGAGCAGATAGCACGAGCTGAGGCAACGATGGCTCCTGTCATCGTGGTGTTACCGAGACACAGCATACAGGGTAACGGATCGCTCAGATTGTATGACCACTCTCTGTTGGCATCAACCTTGTGCCGTCCTTATTATAACCCGTACCAGAGATGTCTTCATAAGCTATTGAAGCTTCCTACAGTCTTTGTGATGGATGCGCCGGCGGCATTTTGTTTGTATGTCATCCATGTTTGCTACCACAACATACCGACTCATTCAGTCCCCGCTCAAGCATATCACAACCACAGTCAGACTAGCATGGCCAGAGCCTATTGCTTCTCATCTCGCTCAGCCCCTTTGGGCTTTTAGGTTGATGCCACAAAGCTATCGTGATTAGTCGACACCGCTCTTTAATACTTGTCCCTCTCCAAGGGGTGGCTGCCTTGGTGGGATGCATCTTGTCGGCTTCGACCAGCAGACCGCGCTGACAACGCCACAGCTGATGCCTCTAGCGCCAAAGGAGAGGATGCTCAACAGCCAGACAGCAAACAATGGGCGCACGGATAGCATGCCTGTGATTTGTCACTATGAAGTGTTTGTATGCAACTGCCTTGTAGGGGCACGAGGCGAACGAGGGAACAACGGATCCTGAGTGACAGGATGCAGTCAACTTTCTAGTCTGCAGAGCCGCTAATCTCACGAGACAAGAGCCCAGATGGAAGATCATCAAGAGTGACAGTGGTCATGGCCGTCGCGAATTTCAGACCTTCGAGCCGCACCGCGGAGTCGCGCCAGCGCCGACGCAACGCTTTATGCAATCCGTTGTCATCCTGACCAAGCATGGAGCGAGTTGTCGCGGTCTGTCAACCTGTGCCGTTCGCCAACCAGATGAGAGTTGAAGAATGATGAATGGCACATGTGCGCATGTACACGTCAGGCAGGGGGAGAGGAGCAGCCGTCGGTTGTGGTGATGCGGCAAGCCTGCGAGTATACGATTCGCTCTATGCCTCGACACTCTGTCCATCCACAGGAGGTATATCGTCCATGCTGCAGACCGCGAGCAGAACAGATAAACACACGATACTTTGCCAAGAAGCAACCAGCGAAGCATTGGGCATGGCTTGCACCACATCATCAAACATACTACTAATACGGAATACTGCTCACACAGAGAGCATCAAGTCAGCCAGTAGCCGCAGCCCATCCGACTTGTCCAGTATCACCGAGTGGTCAATATCAGCCCTGCAGTGATGCAAGCCACACCGAGCCCCTAGCAAACTGTCCGTCTGGGAATAACGGGCTATGATTCGATGCCGTGTTTCGGGCTGACGCTTCAGTCGGGCTATTCCTTGACGGCTCACACTGCGTACCTATCCGCGGTCCATAGCTTACACGACGACTAGGGTCGGCCATGTCGCAAGTCATCTGCGGTTACTACGACGAAGCACCCCTTGATTCACCTTGTTCATGGTGAAAACTGTCGCGGGCTCGCTTGTCCGGCTTATGGAGCTGCGCGTCAAACGGTGGGGACAGTCTCGATCCGCCTGCTCATCTGCCGCCCCCATGACTTCCCACTGCCGTTTGGTTCCCGAGCTACTGTATCATGGCCCCTCTCTCTGTCCGCGGATAGACGATCAAATGGGACCGACCTGTTGTCCGTTGCGTGCTGAGCACGCGTCTTGCAGCCACTGAAGCCTCAGAGGTTCAACACGTTCTGCGCGACATCAACTTCTTTCTAGTGTTAGTGAATATCTCCGAGAATACGCACATCCCACATCCGGATTTGTACTCTGTACTTATTCCATGTCTCTTTCTATTGCAAAATCTGTAATATGAAAACGTTCGTGTGGGGAACTGATAGTGGCAGCGACGCTTGCAGATAACGTACATGTAAGCACTCTGGGGCTGTCTACCCCCTTTCCTCAATGAGAGGCGGCTCCTGGATTACTCGGAGGCAGAAACACATGGATTATATGATACAAAAGCTGACAAGACTGGCAAAAAACTAGGTAAACAGAATCGGACTGCCTCTGACAATTCTATGCTCCGCCCTGGAGAACTTGAAACCCATAGACGGAAAGAAGAACGACTTTTGGAAAGAGGTTTCATATTCCAGAACAATACGAAGGAAAAGACTGCACGCAGATACACAGCTCGGAAGGCATCCAGGCCCCCCTGACATGCGTCCCCCTTAGTAAACATATTGGAAGGTCGGGTTGGTAAGGTCTGTCTGGCTGTCGTCGACCGCCTTGGCGTCAATCTCGCCTCGCCGGATGGCCTCCAGCTCCGCTTGACGGGCCGCGGCCGTCTTTGCATTCCGCATGCCATAAAGGACCCTCAACAGGATGGTGACAATGATGGATGCGCCGGCAACGCCTAGGACGGTGATCTTGGCGGGCAGGTACTTGGGCTTGTCCTTATCCTGGAACGTCTGCGGGCCGATGATGTTGGCGATGGAAAAGGCAATGGCGATCATCACATTGACCGTCACCTTCTTGGTGTATCCCTGCGTGTTGGCACCGACCAGAGCGTAGATGAGAGCCAGGGGGGCCACGTCAAAGTTGATGAGGTAGACACCGGCCAGGGCGCCGGCGTTGGACTTGGCAAAGGACATGAGGGCTGCACCGATAATGGTCGGGATCAGGAGACCGATGATGCTCAGCCAGCGAGGCAGGTTGTAGTAGATGACGTAGGTGCCAGCGAGGGTGGCGAAGATGGAAATGGCGCCGGCCGGCATGTTGAGGAGCGCCGACTTCTTGGGCGTCAGGAAGATGGAGTTGATGATGGTGGCCGAGAAGGTGGTGATGATGCCGGAGGGGATGACGATGAGGATAGTGTTGAGGAACAGCAGCCACACCTGGAGATCCTTGAGGGCGTCCAGGATGCCGGATGCGCGGAAGACCTTCTTGCCGGCGCCGGCCTGGTCGCGGGCCAGGACTTCCTCGATGAGCGCCTTTTCGTCTTCGGTCAGGAAGCCTGCCTCACGGACGCCGCTGGGCATGACGACGATGACGGCCACGGCAACGAAGAGGTTGAAGACGCCGACGGCGACAAACATGATGCGCCAGCTCTGGAAGGACGAGGTGGTCGAGCCGTGCTGCGCCGCCCAGGAGATGAGTCCTCCCAGGACCTGTCCAGCGCCCAGGCCGCAGTACCAGATGCCGGTGCGCAGCGTCGCCTGCTTCTTGTTGTACCACTGCGACGTGATCATGATGAGGGCGGGCGTGATGACGGCCTCGAACATGCCCAGGAGCGTCCGCACGGCGGCGGCGCCGGCAAAGTTCTGCGTCGCGGCCGTGCAGCACACGATGATGCCCCAGAGCAGGACGTTGAAGCCGAGGACCTTGGACACGGGGAACTTTTGGATCAGGTAGCCCTGGGGGAACTCGGCGACGGCGTAGCCGATGAAGAAGGCCGTGGCCATCCAGGAGAAGTCGTTGCCGACAAAGTGGAGGTTCTTGGCGATGCCCATGATGTTGGCGTAGTTGACGATGACCTTGTCGAGGAACTGCAGGAAGTAGCAGAAGAACATGAGCGGCACGAGCCTCATGTCAATCTTTCGGTAGATGCGCCTGAGCTCCTCCTTCTTGGCCGCCGGATCGTCGAGGGACGAGCCGTGGCTCGAGGTCACTGGCGACGCGACCTTTTCATCCATCCTGGAGGAGTCGATCATGTCGAACCGAGGAGAAGGCGGGGAGGAGTATGGAGGCTTAGGAGGTCGAATTCAACAATAAAGCATACAATATGAGAGAGGAGAGAAGAAGGGAAAGAAAAAAAGGACGTGGCTTAGTTCATTCTTTTACCAAAAGAAAAGCCACCGCAAGCCTGGATGATTGAAAGCGGAAAGATCGTGAACACCACCAATAGGACGGCCAAAACATCAACGCATAAACCATCTTCAGCCAGAGACCGGCCGGGGAAAGAGCCTCATACATATATCAAACATGGGCATCCGCACCAGGCCAGGAACCAGGACGGGACAACATACGATTCCCATTCCCCGACTGGCATTCTCGGCCCTGCTAGCATTTGGCCACCACACCCTTTCCAAACACCTTGTTCGATTAGAGTAGGGCTCCAGTAGCCAGAATGGTAGTTCTCGGCCGTTCGTCTGCATGGCGCATCGGTTCGTTCTTTTTCTTCCTTTAATTATTTCTTTCCTGCAGCGTCACTGATACGATGTAACGTTGGCGGGCTCGGCCATGCATGGGCACTAACACCGGTTCCTTGCTCCTACAAGCAGCTGCAGATTCTCACATGCCTAGGTATGGATCTTCTCCCTTGGCCGCAATGTCCATTTCCGTTTGTGCCAACTTTCAGCAGAACCATCGTGTCTTACAGACTGGATCTACCTTGAGTATCTGTATCACTGGACCGAGAGCGAGCTGCAAGGGGCCGCTGCTGTTGCAGATTGCAAAATGCACCGAACAGAGCAGCTCATGCAGCTGACCGCAAGAGCATGAACAGCACCCCACGAGCAATGGAAAACCGGCTAAAATGATTATTGCTCATTTATTTGTCGGTAAGGTCTTATTTTTCGCGATCAGGGCCAACAAGGCCGAGCAAAACCGCAGCCGAAAATCAAGGCCCTTTTCTTCCGTGCCCAGACTCGCTCATTTCTGCCTCGGAATATTATGATCTGATTCAGTGGTAGAACGACATGGAGTCCGGGGTGGGCCAGTGATACCGCACAGGATCTGTTCAGCATCACCCTCTGCAACATCAAGGCATCATCTCGATCGAAGATTCTCAGGTGGTAGAAGGAAGAAAGGTCGGCTTTTGAGCTCGGCCGCACTGCCCAATGTCTCACTCTTGTTCTACTTTTCTTGGCCATGAACCTCGTCATACATACAACCTCGGGCATGGTACGGTCCTGGACACGAATACTAGGTAGGACACATTGGAAGAGCGTCCGTTTGCCTCTTCCCCAGACGCAGTGATGCCGATATTACTTGGGCTCGCTTGCTACAGAATCGGTGGCTGGAGCCCGCATGTCCCTGGCAGCGGCCTGTCTGCCGGCCCCAGAAGGCGTTCGCTAGGGCGGCTTGTCTGTTGATACGACATGTCAACATCGAGGCTTTGCCCCGTCATCAGCCAGGAACCATGCTTGAATATCCGTTCGACAGTTGATATGCCATTATCAAGCTAAGGTATGCGTTCCCTGCTCCTTGAACCTGAATTTCAATAACGAAAGCGACGCGAAATTCAAGCAAAAACCTGCACTCTTCTTGTCTAGCCAATGCCGAATCTCCCTCACCTCTCACCTCCTCCCCCCCCTGTCCCTGTTCGCCAGCAAAAAAAATCTGCGGCCGTCGGAAACCCCTGTCCCCCCCTCCATTCTGTCCTGTTCCCACAGCTTTCCCCTAGACTACCTACCTAGATCGCCGCGCTTCATCCCGCGGACCCGGACGCTCGGATCGCTTCCGAGCGCTGCAACGAGAACCAGCGGCAGAAGCAACCACCTCAAGTCGGGCATAAGAGGCAAAATAACAATCCAAAACTTTAAGCAATTCAAGCCAGGAATTGGATTAGAGAGTCCACAATATCCCGGGACCCCTTTCGCGCCCCATTTCGCTCACCATGCAATGGCGAACGTAGGGTCGACCACCAGAGGCAGATCGCCCAACGCCGAAGGGGGGGGGGGGGGGGGGGGGGGGGGGGGCTGATTAACGAGCCATCTGATCGTGTGCAGTTCCCGCTCTCCTCCATCTCTATTCTCGGATGTTTCGCGAGGCTTTAGAGAAGGCGAAACACGGTGAAACTCGCACTAGGAAATCAGGAGTCCGTGGAGTCAAGTTCGGCATGATGAAGCTCTCTATCAGCGACACCTAGGAGGATTTATATCGACTCAAGATAGATTATCCTGCATACGAGAATCGAGAGAATCGTCGACAGCAAATCGATAACCGACGGCACGCCATGGCTAGGGTGAGACTGTCAACGATCCCTCAGCCCAACGCTTATTGATGTCTATTATAAGGTATTAGTAGGTAAATGGAAACTGCAAAGTACTGTATACCTTCGTGTGAAGCCAACGAGCCGGGCCTAAAGAGGATTCAAGACTCTTATCTCCCCCTATTCCAAGACACAAGAACATGCCTGTCTCCGTTATCCCAACTCGTCCTCGTACAAATCACTCACTTACGAACCAGAACTGTTTCTCTACGCCGTTTTCTGCTTGACTCGATTCGACCGTCCCCATGCATCCGTAAAGACGGCGCCAATTTCCTCCCCAACTTACACGCCTTCTCTTTCCCCCCTCGCCATCCTCGAACAACACATCAACGCCGCCGTCGTAAACGGACGATGCGCAAACGACATGCATATCCTTGCTCTTCGTACATCCAACTCCATGCTACAGACCATACATATGAGTCCTCCGCTATTTGTCAAGACATAGAGTGCTAAGGCAGCCTAACCAGCCCCCCTAACAACAGAACTCGTTCACCTAAGGTCCTTGTCCCAAACCGCAGGTCAAGCAGCACCCAATGCAACGACGTAATGTGTCCGTACGAGTACATGTCGTTTCGTCATACGCACATCGTAATATACCTGGTAACATCAGCAAAAGTAACGCATCAATGGCATAATACTACTACAAAAGGCCTTCCGACGGCTGCAACACCAGCTCCATATAAGTCACGAGCCGCATTCCCATACTGTCGCTGCGGAATTAAGTGAAAAAAAAAAAAAAAAAAAAAAAAAAAAAAAAAAAAAAAAAAAAAAAAAAAAAAAAAAAAAAATTAGAGGCGCAAACGACGGCCGTTGCTCCGACGGCGTATCAACACATAAGCGGCAGACTAGGTAACAATCTGCTACCAACAGACTAAGGTGTGTATGCTGCAATCGGCGTGGCTGCTGCTGCTCCATCTCCAGGACCAGGACAGTCAGAACCTACCTTACCTTATGAAGAGACAACATCACAGCCCAAACTAGGGTGGTGCTTGCCTACTTGCCTGTGCTCCCTTGGCTGTATATCGAATGTATAAGGGCATAAATAAATCCAAAAGTGAAAAGAAAAGTGACAGAGAGCCCTTGATAACTGCACAAACATTCCGCTGCGACAGGCACAAGGTCAGGCCTATTGCCACCTTGCGATCTTTTACAAGCAAATGCTACTGCTCCGTCTTTGACTGTGTTGTTCCTTGATGGCTGATACCTCCTACTCCCGTGACCTAGATATCCACGATATAGTCCCGTGTAAATCAACACACTATCCGCTGTTGCGTTTCATCCCAATTATATTCATTGCCCCTCCCAGCCAAACAAATATCCTTGCCCTCTGAACCCGGTACCAAAGACACAATAACCCAGCATCCCATCATGGCCGGCACGACTGGAACGCATACAACACCCTCCTACAACATCGCCATCATCGGCTCAGGCCTCGGCGGCCTGTCCGCCGCCATCGCCCTCCGCCGCGCCGGCCATCGCGTTACCATCTACGAGCGATACGACTTTGGCGGAGAGGTCGGCGCGTCGCTGTCGCTCGCCTCCAACGGCTCGCGCTTCCTGCAAGAGTGGCAAGTCGACATAGCCTCGGCCAGGCCCGTCGTCCTGCGGAACCTCATCATGCACGACTGGTCCTCGGGCGAGGTGTCCGCCCAGTATCCGCTGGGAGACTATCGTCAGCGGTTCGGCACCGACTACAACAACTTCCACCGCATTGATCTCCATAAGCACCTAAAAGAGGTGGCGACGGCCGAGGCGGGCCAGGGCCCTCCGGCACAGCTCAAGGTCTGGCACAAAGCAGTCAGGCTAGACAGTCGTGAAGGAAGGATAGCGTTCGACAACGGTGCCGAGGCTGTTCACGATGTTGTCGTCTGCGCGGATGGGATTCGAAGCCAGATGCGAGAGCAGCTCGGCATCGTTCCTCGAGTCACGCCGTCCACCTCTTGTTGCTACCGGTGCATCATCAGCACCGCCAAGCTCCGCGAGCTGGGCCTGCAAGAGTTCGCCGACAACAGTGCCATTGAGTTTTGGGGCGGTAACGGCATCGACAAGATCGTCATGAGTCCATGCTCCAACCACGAGGTCGTCAGCTGCTACTGCTTCTACCCGGCTCAAAAAAACAACCTCAAGGAGGACGGCTGGAATATCTCGTCCACGGGCGAGACCCTGGCGGCAACGTTCCCCGACCTGGACGAGAGGCTCCGGCTCCTATTCCTCAACGCAGATGACATCAAGATGTGGCGCCTTTACAATCATGAGCCCTACCCGTACTGGGTGAGCGGACGATCCTGCCTCCTCGGAGACGCAGCCCATCCCATGATGCCCGATCAGTCTCAAGGTGCATGCATGGCTCTCGAAGACGCTGGAGCCCTCGGCATCCTCTTCTCAGACGAGTACGCACATCTGTCGATACCTGAGAAGCTTCAGCTGTATGAGCTGGAGCGCAAACCGCGAGCCACGCGAGTGCAAGAGAGCAGCCGAAGAGCCAGGACCGACATCACAGAACGCATCGGCTGGAGCAGCGCCAACGACCGGCCAGGCAAGCTGACCATCGAAGAGGTATGCGGGTACAATATGCATTCTCACATAGCCGAGCTGGTGAAGAGCTTCACGGACCCTTTGAGTAGATCCGCGGTCAACAACGAGCAGCGGCCGTGAGTGTGCTTCGATGTCTGTTGTTGCTGTTGGGGTGATCTCACTACATGTAGTGTAGTGGCAACCTCCGAGGTTTCAATCAATCCTGATGCGAGTCGGCATGAGTGATAGCTTTCATGATATGATGAAACGAAAACAACAATCTTCGCCGACACAAGTATGCTGTCTTGACAAGCTAGATCTCTGGAGAATGTGCTTAGAATACGGCGAGGCCATGCATCTCCTCGTACCGGATCCGTGCCCAGTTGACAATGGTGCCCGTGCCCTCGGTCTGATCGCGCATCCTCCAGACACGCTCCACCAGTGCTCGCGCGTTGTAGATGTATCCGAAGCCGCAGGTGCGCTCCATGACGAGGAGGCGGTCCTGGATGACGACGCGCTGCTCCATCGTCCAGCATGCGCCCCCGGCCATGACCAGCGGATACATCAGGCACGGCTCCAGAGGGCTGCCGTAGCGGATCTTCTGCACTGCGTCCAAGATGCCCTCGACGTTTCTGACAACTCTGGCATCGTTGAGATCGTAGCCTTCCACAATCTGGTGTAGGCGAAGTCTGATGGCGTACTCGTAGGCCATGGTTGCGTACAAGACATCGTCGTTGGCCACGCCGGTAGTCCAGGCGGTGGCCCTTTGCCGGCCGCCGTACTCGTACGACCAGTGGTTGATGCGCTCCTCGATCTGTAAGGCTTCCTTGCGAAAGGCGGCCTCCGAGGCGCGATCCACGCGGTTCTTGCGCTTGTCGGCCAGCGAGTTGACGACGTCGACCAGATGGAACAGCTCTTTGGGAATGCCGTAAATGGCCGCGTCCTCGTCATCGGGGGCGGCCGTCAGCCGGTCCAGCGTGGCCGCCTCCCGCTCGTCCTCGCCCATGAGCGGAGGCTTGCACGTCGAGGTCGTGGCAGCGGAATCGAGGAACCGCGCGAGCCGCACAAGGAACTTGTTGTGGCCGTTCATGCGATCGCCCTGCTGCTGGTTCATCAAGGCCGTCAGCAGCCTCTTGGCCCCCTTGAGATGGAGCTGCCAGCCTTCGCTGGTGCCGTCGAACAGCTCCGTCATGCACAGCAACAGGCTGCTGACCAGGGCGATGTCGGCGTTGGAGCGATCCACGTGAGGCAGCAACCTGGCCAGAGACTGCGTCGCCTTACTCTGGTGATAGAGGCCCCTGTCGGCGAGTTGAGGTTGCAGCTTGCGCCAATGGTTGGCGGAGAGCGCCAGAATGCAGTGCATGACGAGGTCGTTGTTGCGAGCAATGGGCAGCAGATAGCCGTTGTACGGGTTGTTGGTCGACATCCGGCGCGACAGCAGGGAGGACACAATGGTGATGTAGTGGTTGAGCAGGGCCCTGTCGTGGGACGACGTCAGCTGCGGCAGCAGCTGGGGGTTGTAGAGGGACAGAGACGGCGAAGATGACATGGGCGATACGATGAGGGACTCGTGGGAGTCTGATCGAGGGCTGTCGTAGCTGATGGGCGTGATGGCTTCGTGCCAGCCGGCCGAAGACGAGCCCGGCTGGCCCCAGGCGGACCTGTCGGCGGCCATCTCCATCTCAAAATCATTGCCGGATGGCGGCGATAGCGGTGGCAGAACGCCAAAGTGGTGGTCCAGCGAGAAGTGGCTGGCGCTGCTGCTGCTGCTGCTGCTTCCGCTGGACGAGCTCAAGGCCGGACTACTTCGAATGATGAGCTCGGTGGTGCTGTCGGTGATGCTGTTGATCATGACGGGCTTCTCCTGGAAGGGCACCTCGTGAATGTCCCTGCCGGCCATAACGGACTCGATCGGCATTGACGCCGTCATCGCCACCGGGATGGGGGCGGGAACGGGGATCGGGACGGGCATGGGAACAACGGAGCCGGCCACGGCCACCGTTGTGGTGACGGCTGTAGCTGTGGCCGTAGCCGTGGCTGCTGTTGCAGCTGCGGCAGAGGTAGACGCAGACGCAGACACAGACACAGGGGCAGAGGCAGAGGCAGAGGCAGAGGCCGCGGGTTTCTCCTTGGAGCGCTCCGGGGGCCATGCGCAGTCCAGGCACAGGCGCCTGCAGTCGCCGCACCGCGGCTTCGTCTCGTCGCACTTCTTCTTGCGGCGCTTGCACATGAGGCACCCCGTCTGCACCCGGCGGATGCGCGCCTTTGGCAGGTCGCCCGCCTGCTGGCCGGCCGCGGCGCCCGAGTCTCGAGGGCGGCAGGGCAGGCTGAGGCGCAGACAGCGCGCACACGGCACGCTGCCATCGCAAGCCTGCTTGATCTGGGCGCAGCGATGGCATACGGGGCGGCTGTCGGAGCCCATGGTGACGATGATGATGGCGACAGCTAAGAGTCCACAACGGAGCTTCTTCGTGTCTTGCTCTCCCTCTCTTTAGTCGTCCCTCGCTCGTCCACAGCTTCGTTTTCGCCAGCAGACCTTCGTCTCCCCAAAGCAACTTTGATCCCTCTTATCCTTACTCCACGCGTTCTCACAAATCACTCTCCTCCTCTCCTCTTCTCCTCCAGCACTGGTTGGCGGGTTGGCGATACTAAGCGGTTGGCTGAGCGTCAAGCCCCAGTTTTTGCCGCTGTCGAAAGTCGCTCCCGATCAAATATGTGCAGAGCGGGTAATGCTAAAAATAATAGAGAAAGCGGTGGCTTTTGTGGCGGCAATAGTCGACAGTATCGACGTGTCGCTTCTCTGGTTCAGGGCCTCTGGTCGCTATCCACCGGCTGCTGCTTCGCATGACGAGGTTCCAGTCGAGCCTCGATAGGACAGGAAATCGAGGGCTTGTCGCGAACGGGGGGGACGATGATCGGGGAAAGGAGCTGGAGCCCGTTTGGCGACGCAAGCTGGTTGGATCAACAGAGAAAAGAGCGGAACGTGGTATAATAAAAACAGCGACCAGACGAGAAGAGAAAGAATCTGGCCTTTGAACAGCCCTCAGACTCGGGAATGGGGTGCAGGACCCTAGGAGATCAATGGATGCCTCAGTTCAGGTGGTACAGCAGCCAGCCGTGTCGGTACTGGTACATCCAAGGTTCCAGGTGGTGTGGACTGGCGTTGTGCCGCCGATCTGGCTGCAGCGTTTGGTGGGTTCTTGGGAGGCCCTGGGGCTTCTTCGGGGGCCTGCAGCGCTGAATGGGTCCCCGGAGCGTTTGGGACCCCGTCCATCCAGTGCCTGGAGCGTTGCCCGAGTCCACTGAAAGGACGCTGAGGGTGATTCTCGCGTGCTGTCCCCGTCAATCAAGCCTCAACTCCAGGTCAAGCTCCATCGAAGCCTTCAACTCCATCAAGCCCATGCAACCCCAGACGTCAGACAAACTCCACGGGCCATGCAGCAAGCCAGCCGATGCTACAAGCTACCTACCACCTCCCTCACTCGTCGGCCGGCAGACGTTGGCGCTGCCTCGTTTGCACCCTTTGGCGAGTAAGAGCGCGAGCGCGAGCCTGATCCTGATCCTGATCCTGGGAATCGCCAGCCTAGCAGGGACGGCCAGAAGCCCCGAGGCTGGATCCCTGCAAATGAGCACCAGGGACGCAAACACCCGCTTCGCACTCAATGCAGCTCAGTCAAGTGTTTGTCAGCTCCCGTCATCAGCAGCCAAGTTGACGAGTCCCTGCGGAGGGTGGTGGGGAGATCAGTCAATGGGGATCAATGCCGCCATCGCCGTGTCCGAAACGAGACGGGAGCCGTTGCTCCTCCGACAGCGACGAGCAATAACTGCACCCTGCTCTGCCGTGGTTGTGTTTGTGGTAGTACCAGCCTGACGGCGCATATCCTGCCCGGAGATGATGGAGGTGATGGTGCAGAATACTGCTAGTACCGGCATGTCTTGGAGGTTTGCTCAATCTTCTCTCCCTGCCGTGTAGATCAGCAGCATCAGCTTTCTGTGGATGGACGTGGACGCTGGAGCTTGAAACAAGGTTGTCGCAGTGCTAACATCCAGAAGGATCGAAACCCACAGTATCGTCACCGCCTGCGAAAAGAACCGAAGCAAAGAGGGGGACGGTCAGCACACATGCCAACGACAATACCTACATAACGCATACAGTCCCCAGCTTGGCTAATGCCTAGTAGTATACGCACTTCGACCGAGTCCAAGCATGGGTACAAAGGTCTGGGTCTGGGGTCTCGCGACACACTGATTCCGTCGATTCGGGTCTGACAAGGCAGGAGGGTCAGAATGCGATGCGATGCGATGTGCTGCCCATGGGTGCAAGCAAGTACCTTGCCATAGGCGAGGGTGGTGCTCGCATACCAAGTATCTACGCCCGCCTCTTCATTCGAGATGCGGAGTACTCCCCAAAAGTATCTCCATCGACATCAAGAGCCAACAAGCAGAGCATGATGGAGAACCCGTTGAGACGGACACGGGCACCCGCCCCTCCAGACGGGACAGGTTACATGCCACATACAGCTTAGCTCTCGTGTTGCTACGGCCGGGGAGAAGGCAAAGGGGGGCCGGGTCATGCCCCGGTTTCGTTGTGCTGCTCCTTTGCTTGGGGGTCTTTGCCGAGCAGGATCCGTGTTTTCCTTCATCTGGTCCGTTCTTGTGCCTTTCCTCGACGTTCAAGTACCGGTACATGACCGAGGTTGGTAGTCGACATTTTGGTGTTATTATTAGTCGTCCTGCTAACTCGGAGTCATCATGGCATGTCAACCACCTGCTCGCTCGCTAATCAAGACTGCAGATTTTCGGTCTTTACCTGATGAACGGTGCAGATCCTCTATTCTGACCCCCTCCGCCGGTCCTTCGTTGGCTGCTGATTGCAAAAGCCTGCACGGCTAGCAAATGTCTCTCTTGTCGGGGCGGAGCATGTGAGTGAAACATTGCTGTGGCATCTTACGAATACACTCAAAACGGGGGGGATTCGCAACCGTTCCGTGCGGCACGCTACATCTTCAGCCGGCTCTTTGCCCCTGCTGTGCCGTTTGCCTCTTGTTGCTCAGCAATACAGCTTCTTTTCTTCTCTGCGCCAAAGACAACGACGCGCTCGCTAGAAAGGAACTCGGTCGTCAATTATCGTCTGCCTCGACCTCTTATCTCCTATCTGCGAGCCCTCCTTTTCCTCAACTCTCATCCTCCTCCTCCTCTGCATGATACGCCAGGCCCAAGCAAGACAAACGCCTTGGTGCTACGCCCGAAAAAAAGGCTCCAGTGATGCGCTAGATCCCCGATATCCCAGCTAGGCCGCCCTTGTGGCAATGGGCCAAGACCCTGGTCAAGGACCGTCACAAGAGATTTGAGAGGCCGGGAGGGGCTTGTCAAACTCGTGCATCGTGCCTTTTGGCCGGGACAGGCACCTTGAGCTGTGTGGGCTGTTCAAGGGTTCGAGCAACAATCAGAGCGAGGCAGCTTTTCGTGCAGGTATTTGTACGTGCAGTATGTGCGACCATAAAGAGATTACGGCAAAGGAAGAGGCATCGAGAGGAGGACCAAATGACCTTGTTCCTGGCGCTAACTCGGCTACGGGTGGCCACGATGCTCCGTCTTACAGGAACTTGAGTGATAAGCCCGGCGTGGCATCCAGGCCTCCTCTACCGTACGGGCTCTGCCGAGCTGTCACGACAGCGTATCTGGTCGCATGAGTCGCGCACCCGGTTGTTTGTTTTCTCCTGTGGGAATCGACAATCGTAACACGACATCACATGTGCAAGCAGCAACCCAATTCTACCAGCGCCTGTCGAGGAAGTAATAACAGACGAGGGATCAGCACCGGCAAATCGAAATTTGTCACCACCATCACCCACGCAGTTCTCGCCAAGCATGCCTGCATAGTATGTAATATGTATGAATCCTTCCGCGTACTGGTACTTTGTGCGGATGGAAGGGGAAGGAAACTGGAAAGAAGACAGAAGCCACCTGAAGAGGCCCTCCCCCCTTGCCCGGCTCATCTCGCTCCGGTAAGGGATCCTGATCCTAAAAGTGGACAGGTGGATAGATGCCTCGTGTGGAAACACTGCTTCCAGAGGACCGTGAAGGCCTTTGTCATCCCACATCAAGAGAGCCGGCTTTTCTCGTCTGGTGGCAACAAAGCCCCGTGCCATTCATCAAGACAAGCGGCAACCTGGGAGAGCCTTGTTTCTCGTCGCTCTGCCTGCTGTTGCTGTTGCTGTCGTGTTGCCGTTGTCCTTGTCGTCAGTGTTACATGTGTGCATACCCGTACGCTGGACATGTTGGTTTGTTGGAAGATGGCCCATTTGAGCGCATTTATGGGTGGCACAACGAGCGGCCACAAGCACCCGATTCGGCTCTCCCTCTTGGCACATGTCACTTCGGAGCTTTGCCGAGGGGACCATCATCGACGAGCAGAGTACAGAGGCATTGGATCCGTCCCGAGTGTGAGTGCGGTGATTTGCTTGGCCTGCTGAGTGTCCTACCAACAGAGGATGCTACAGACTGGAGTAGTATAGCAATGGATGGAACGACGGTCAACGGAACTTTCTCTCTTTCCACCGCTGTTGGCCCAACCAGGATTCTGAAGAGTGAGGCTCTTTTGTGTTCACATGTACACTGAGCGGGAGGAGTAGCCATACGTTGCGGACGCGCTCTAGTATTGATGTTACAACTCCAAGCAGGGTGGATGGAACATTATTCATCCTCAAATGATGGATTCTCAGCTGCATGAAATTGCCAATCAGAAAGAGCCTCATTTCTCCTCGCCGTTGATCGCGATGCGTATCGTGGCAGGCAGTAGGTAAAGGATGTGTTGCCGTGAAGGCACATATTGCTCAGGATAAGGGGGGGACTCATGGAACAAACATTCAATATCGGGATGGGAGGGGGAATGCCAGCCAACCGGCAAACAAGAAGAGGGCGGGACACGATTGCGTCGTCAGCTCCAGCCATTGTAACCCTCGGCCTCCAGCATCCAACATCCAATACGGCCAACGCGCCGGGAGAATGCTGCTTGCTGTTGCCAAACAGATGGGCAGCTGCAGCATGGCAACATTCGACCTCCATCCTGGACATGTGCAGCAGCAGCAGCAGCAGCCTCAACAACAACAGCAGCAACAACAACAACAGCAACAACAACAACAACAACAACAACAACAACAAAAACAACGCCCTCTGATTCTCCGAGACCATGCAGCAGGCCATCCCCCCTCACCCGTCCCCTCCTCCCCTTCTCACGACTCATAGTGCGCCAGCCGAATGTACCTGGCCGTGGTGTCGATGCAGTCCCTGGCCTGCGGCAACGCCGCGTCCATGTGCATGAAGGGGTGCGGCACACCGAGGAAGCGCCGCTGCGTCACCTCGACGCCGTTCTCGACCAAGACCTGCGCGTACCGCTCGCCCTCGTCGCGCAGCGGATCGGCGCTGGCCGTGAAGACGAGGGTGCGCGCAAGCCCCTTGAAGTTGGGCGCCTTGAGCAGGTTGGCGAACCAGCCGAGGCGCTCCTTGGCCCCCGGCTCGTCCGGCAGCGACGACAGCTTGAGCCTGTCGAACCAGACGAGCCGCGCCCAGTTGAGCGTCGGCGCGAACTCGTTCTCGCGCATCGACGGCCAGGGCGAGTCGGCGGCGGACGCGTACTGCGAGACGTCGTCGATGACGGGCGTGCCCGCGGCCACCAGCCGCAGCGGGATGCCGGCGTCGCGCGCCAGGTGCGCCACGGCCAGCGCGATGAAGCCGCCCGCGGACACGCCGCCCACCGAGATGCTGTCCGGCCGCACGTTGAAGCGCGCGGCGCCGTGGTCGCGGATGTGCCGCACGGCCGCGAAGCTGTCGGTGATGCCCGCGGGGAACGCGGCCTCGGGCACCAGGCGGTAGGCGACGTCGATGACGGCGACGCCGGCCTTGTGGCAGTAGTGCCTGCAGATGTGGCTCTCCGAGTCGAGGTCGCCCAGCCCCCAGCCGCCGCCGTGGAAGTCGACGTGCACCGGCCACGGGCCCGGCCGGCCCTCGGGCTCGTAGACGCGCACCGGCAGCTGCGTGCCGTCGGCCAGCGGGATCACGTCGTCGTAGACGCGGCCGACGTCGGGCGCCGGGGCCGTGCCGTAGCTGTAGAGCACCGAGTAGCTGCGCCGGAGCTGCGCCAGGTCGATGGGCTGCGGCGGCTTGGTGGCGACGTTGTCGTTGTAGAGCTTGACAAAGGCCGGGTCCAGCTTGCCGGCCATGGAGGGGTGCAGGGGCTGGAGGGCCTCGTGCTTTTCAGAAGACATGGTTGGGCGGTAGGTTGCTCTGATGCTTGTTTTGACGGTCTCTTTTCTCTGCTTGTCAATGCCCTGAGTGATGTGAAGGAGCGTGTGAGAGGAGAGAGTGTGTGTGTGTGTGTGAGAGAGGGAGAGAGAGCTAAAAGGGGGGAAGACGAGAGAATAAGGCAAAAGAGAGCAGGCGGTGCTCTATAACATCATTGGAGGCTGCTCTCTGTTGCCGTTGCTCGTCCAGAGGGTTGGTTGAGTGAGATTCAACTCACAAGCCCCGTGAGTCAGTTGCTCGTCGTTGAGCACTCGGAGTTCAGTAATAGTAATAGTAATAGAGGGTTGCCGGATCACGCCCTGATGCATCGTCGGATCCCGATCCGCCGGCGCTCGATCCGCGGATCCACGCCGCGCATCTTCAGCGTCGATCGCGGGCCAGCATGCGTGAGAGCAATTCTAAACAGAGTCAGATTTTAACACGATTGAGTAACGAGTCCACGTAGCACCGATGCGATCATGTTCTCTCAGAGTGAAAAAGGTGATTGGGAAAAAAACAAGTGCTGCTTGGAGATGGCATTGAAGACGGCATGTGCTTGATGCATGCTGACGGTGTTCTTAATGCGTCTTTTACGCCAGAAAGTCAAAGGGTGAGTAAATATAAAAGTCTGAAGCCACAACCCTCACAAGAGCCATGCCGAGGGCAAGGAATTTTCACAGAGAACACTTGACATTGCAGAATAAGCCAAGACGAGATTTGCATTTTCTGCTGATTTCAACGCATAATGCCAGAATTAATCACAAACATGTACACGAATGCTTACCTACCTATAGATATATGATGTCTGCAAGAGCTTCAGCTATGTACCAGACTGCAGTCTAACAACCATATGCTATTCAATTAGCCACCGATAGCCAACTACTTCATGCTTATACCGCCCACTAAGTTCATCTATCTTCATGTTCGTAGTGCTTGCGTGATTTTAACCTCTTCTCTTTACTTCTCTTTCTCCTTGTGCAAAAACCCAGCGAATAGGGTAGCACGATACAAGGGAGGGCAGCTCAGCCGACGAGATCCGCGGCGCGCTTCAGCGTCCACCAACTGTTTTCAGATCGACAACCTGCGCGGCTATCGGACTTGACCTTGTTCTACGTTCATATTGTCACAAGGGCAAATACGCCTCTCTGCCTTTGCCGAGCAGTAACATCTAACAAGGCACTTCCGGTTGTCAATCTTGAGGTAAGTGGTCAAAAGGCGATGCCCAAGCGGCCATTGGAGGGTAATGATTGGCTCTATATTGGCTACCTAGGTAGTTGAATAGTAATATCTTGCACGTATATGTAACCCTGAGTCCCGTCTCTGGTGATAGCATAGGTAGCATCAACTATTAATCCAAACTTCCTACTACGGCGTTGGATCTTCCAGGGCTCGGGAGAACCCGTGGAGAATGAGCCCGAACCCCTGAAGCCCCCCTTGAACGAATAGCAGCACCCAAGTGACCAGACAAACAGGAAATGCGCAAAAACAGCACGAGCGCAAACATTCGAGTCTGAGCCCACCGAACGGAGGATCTGAATACCGGTTGGGCGGCTTCCGGCTTGTGAGGCCCTGAGGGGCACAAGGCACAAGGGTAGCCTACATAGGTACATGTAGGTAGCTTTCTACCGTCCAGAATCTTCCTGAACAGAGCGCAGCCCGAGACGGCGCGACGTCTTTGATAATCAGAAACATTGAAAGCAGCAGGCGGGTGAGGAAGAGGAAGCAAAAGTAAAGGCTTCTCTTTGCGTCTGCTTGTCCAATCCATCATGGTCGCCAGCGACAAGCCCGTGTTAATCATCGGCGCCGGCGTCGTGGGATTGACGTTGGCCCACGGCCTCAAGAAGGTACACATGAAGTCATCGTCAACTGCGCCAACCCGTCTACCTTACCTAGGTATCGACGAAACAACCTTCGCCCGTCTCTTCTTTCTCCTCCCCCCTCTGATCAAGCAAAAACACAAACGCTCTCAGTCTCTCTAATCGAAGCCAGCGACCAGGCCAACATCCCCTTTGAAATCTTCGAGCGCGACGAAACCATCGATGCCCGCGGCCAGGGATACGCCATCACCCTGCACTGGGTGCTGCGCTTCCTGCACGACATGCTCGACAAGGAGACGCTCGACGCCATAGACGGCGTCCAGGTCGACCCGGAGGTCGGCCGCAACGACAACGGCAACTTCATCTTCATCAACCTCAAGACGCTCGAGACCAAGTTCCGCATCCCGCCCAACCACCGCCGCCGCGTCAACCGCGAGAAGCTGCGCAAGGTGCTGCTCCAGGGCGTCGCCGACCACGTCCGCTGGGGCAAGAAGCTGGTCGACATCCGTCTGAGCGACGGCGACGACGGCGACTCACACAGCGACGGCGTCACGGCCATCTTTGCCGACGGCTCCTCGGCCACCGGCTGGATGCTCGTCGGCGCAGAGGGCAGCAACTCGCAGACGAGGCGGTTCCTCGTGCCCGACGCCTACCGCAACCACCAGCTGCCCGTCAAGATGATTGGCGCGTCCGCCGACTTCACGCCCGCCCAGGTCGCGCCGCTGCGGCGCATCGACCCGCTGCTCTTCCAGGGCTGCCACCCGGACACGGGCGTCTTCCTCTGGATCTCCATGCTCGAGACGCCCGAGGTCAACGGCACCGCGGCGGGGGCGCCCGGCGACGAGCGCTACCGCGTGCAGGTCATGCTCTCGTGGCTGGACAAGGACCGGGACGAGGCCGTCCCCGAGTCGAGCCGGGAGCGCGTCGCCCTGATGAAGCGCCTGGCCGCGGGCTTCCACCCGGACCTGCACGACGCCATCCAGGCCGTGCCCGAGTCCTCGCCCGCGCTGCACCTCCTCCTGCAGGACTGGCCGTGCCAGGACTGGGACAACCGCGGCGGCCGGGTGACGCTTGCGGGGGATGCCGCGCACGCCATGGTCATGTACCGTGGCGAGGCGGGCAACCACGGCATCCTCGACGCCTGGCATCTGCTGCGCGAGATCAAGGCTGTGTATGCCGGCGACAAGACCCGGGCCGAGGCCGTGGGCGACTACGAGAGGGAGATGAGGGAGAGGGCCACGCCGGCTGTCTTGCTCAGTCGGCAGGCCTGCCTGGACGCCCACGATTACGACGGCTTGAATGAGAACTCGGCGGTGCTCAAGAAGAGGGCCATTAATGCGTGAACTGCGGTCTGTCATATATGCCTGGACTAGGTACATTGCTTTTCAATTGATGGCCATGGTTAACTTACTACGAGGCGCCTGGTTTATTCCTCCTTTTCACATTTGCCCACAGATGAACAGAGGATATCGTGGCTACTAGATTGGCTACGAGATAGAACATTTCCCCTTGCCAATAGTATGCCCGTCGTCTAACCGGACATTGCCTTGACGTCCAGCATCCGAATGAATTTCATGATGATGCAATACATAAGAAAGATACTTGCAATCAATCTATCCCGGCTCTTGCATGTGAAGGCTGTGAAATTGTCCAACAGCCCGCATAACTTATACCACACGTCATTGCAGAGCGCTGCATCCAAGACATTGTTGCCGGAACAGGAAACTTGGCGTTTTCCCTCCCCAGATCTTCTCCGCTCATTATTCTACGTCAGCGGGCTTCACCCCTACCCACGAGGCGTCCCAACTTTAGGTATGATGCGATCTTGGTCATGCTAGTCCGTGCTAGCGATCTGGGAAAGCCTTCGATTCTAGATCTAGGGTGATGCTCCATGACGCAACTGCCGGAAGCGTCCGATCGGGTAGAGGAAAAGCTTAACGACGCCATGATCTGGGAGGGAGAAACGTAAAAGGACGGGAGCATCTCTTCTTGAAAGCGCTTGTTCCTTTCACCCATCTTCTGCTGCAATCACGTGTTCTCATTCTTCTGAGACAAGGAAGCCTTTGTATTAGACATCCAGATCACGATACACTCAACTCTGCCAAGATGAAGGAAAAGAATGAAGTTATCCAAGAGTTCAAGGAGCTCGTCAACATGACGGCCCAAGAACTCAAGGAATGGCTCAAGGGCGACGACTCCACGAGCGCGGGATGGAGCAAAGACGACGGCAGCGGAGAGTCTGTAGGCCACGACAGCGGCCGACGGATCGTCGAGATTCTCGAGTCCAACCCTGACAAGGATCCGGAAAAGTATACGGACGACGATATCAGTCACATGCGAAAGGTTGTGTCTTACTGGTAGGTTGATGGCCCTCATCGTCAATGCGTACTAGATCAGAACAGCTAATGGATTTGTGGCATCTAGTAAGCGGCACCTGGCTCAGGAAGAAAGAGCAAACAGCAAGAAGTCTGTTGAGGAAGTGAAGAAGACCAAATCGTATGCGTCGCTCAAGAACTGGGGCCACGATCCCCTCAAGAAGCGTCAGGCAAACGGTGGCGGTGCTAAAGACAAGGCAGACGACAAAGAGGAGGACAAAGAAGAAGAGGGCAAGGACGACAAAGCTGAAGAGAAGGAAGAGAAAGCTGGAGAAAAGCGAAAGGCAAAGGATGATCAATCTGGGAAGAGTAAGAAGAGAGAGACCGAGGACGGCGCTGCTGAAGTAAAAGACGATGAAGACAAGGACGAGCAAGAAGAGGATGCCGAGAAAGAGCAGCCGAACGAAAAAGATTCCAGCGGAAAGGAGAAGAAGAATGGTCAACAAAACGGAAAAGGCTCAGGAAAGGGAGACACGTCCAAGGGTCCCAAGGAGGGTGACACGGTGAGCTGGAACTGGGGCCAAGGCCAGCCCGAGGGAAAGGTCAAGGAGGTGAATCCAGACGAGTAAGTCTACTTGCATCAAGATTGCTTCTCCAGTTGTGCTCCAAGCTAACTCAAAGGGCAGGACCACCGTTCAGACAAAAAAGGGAAGCAAAGTGACCCGAAAGGGCGACGAGGAGGATCCTGCTGTTGTTCTGGATACGGGCAAGACGGACGCTGTTAAGCTGAACCATGAGCTCAATGAGACGGAGGATTGAGTATCTGTATGTTTCATTTAGTTGGGTTAGCTGTTTGTCTAGACATTGAGACAATGGAATAGCAAATATGTCAATATTCCCATAGAGAGACAGTTATATACATGCCTCAGCTCCTTCTGTCATGACACCTCAATGAACAAGATGAAGCCATCGTGTTCTCCAGCTGTCATTTCCGCCACTTACCGAGGCTTCCAGCGAGCTTCCGCTCTAAGGCACAGCCTGAGGTATCCATCAATTTCAGCCCCCCCGTCAGCGGCCTTTCAGCGGGGTTGCTGCTGTGGTGGATCACTGATCCCATGGCGGGGTCACAATCGGGCAATCACCTAATCAATCAATCAATCAATCTGCACGATAAAGTTGGAGGCGTCATCCACCATCCACCAGACGATTGCACTCGGCAGACCTGGAATCCTCTGGACCTGCACCTGGCAGCTCTTCCTCGCCAGAGGCCAGCTGCTGTCAGACGGCGCCGGACCCCGTCTCTTGCGGTGTCGATTTACTGCTGCATTCTTCGTTTGCCTCTCTTCTCTCTCCCGTCTGCTCTCCTTCTTCAACAGCATGTCGTTTGGATCCTCCAAGTTCCGGCCATCATGTAAGAGCTCAAATCATCGCCGCTTCTCACCCGCTGGAAATGCGTCGATGCCGCCCCCAATCACGCAAATAACATCCAATCATCATCATAATCATCATCAGCATCAGCATCAGCATCCTCTGCTAACCATCATCATCCCCCCTTCGCAGGATCGAGCCCTCGATTCGATTGCGGCGCGCGATCCACGCCGGCGACGCCCTGCTCGTCAAGCGCATCCTCAAGTCCCATCCCTCCCTCCTCCACAACCCCGACATCTCGCCCGCCGGCCTCTCCAACTCCAACCTGCACCTGGCCGCCTCCCTCGGCCACAAGGAAGTCTGCCAGGTGCTCCTCGACGCCGGCCACGAAGATCCCTGTCCCGCCTTGAACGAGCACCACCAGACGGCCCTGATGCTGGCCTCGGGCGCCGGCCACACCGAGGTCGTCCACCTGCTGTGCGAACACGACGCCGCCTGCATCCTGCGGAGGGACATTCGCGGCCGGGACGCCGTCATGGAGGCCAGCGTCGGCGGCCACGACACCATACTGCAGCTGCTGCTGACCTACGTCCCCGGCGGACCCTACGAGGCGGTGCAGAGGGCGGATATCGAGGGAAACACGGCGCTCCACTATGCCAGCGGCAACGGCAACCTGCTGGGTCTGCGGACGTTGCTCGCGGCCGGCGCGGATGTCGAGAGGCGCAACGTGTGGAATTGGACGCCGGCTGCGTACAGCGCCACGGTGCAGGCCGAGGTGTATCTCAAGGGCTTGGTGTCCGAGGTCGGAAGGCTTCAGCAGCTGCAGCAGCTGCAGCTACAGCAACAGCAACAACAGCAACAACAGCAACAGAAACAGCAGCAGAAACAGAAGCGCAAGAAAGAGGCCGATGTGGGCAAGAAGATGGCCATTGGCACGGTTAGGATCGTGCGCGAGGTTAGCGACGAGGACGAGCGCTACGAGATTTGAGCAACATGCCTCTTGTAACGGTTTAATGATGCTTCATGTTTGATGATTATGAAATTAGGGAACCCAGTAGAGCAAGAATCCAGTCTTCCAGCGCCCATTCTTCTTCTTCTTCTATGAGCTGCAGTTTCTAGAGCTGTTCTGACTCAGTCGTTGGAGGAGTCCTTCCAGCTACTCCATGATAGAGACCGGACTTAGGAACGCCGGCATCGCCAGAAACCCGAAGACTGCAAAATGCGGCTTTGCCTGCGACAGGCAGCCTCCTAAGTCCACCAAGGCCTGTGTATATAAGATTCCATCAGGTATACTAGATAAGGTATCAGCTTCAATGGACTCGGATTACAAGAAAAGCCAAGAGGAAAAAGGGACATAGGAAGGAGCACAGGTCAGCTATCGATAACACGCCATGTCGACAGTCCTCATCACTGGCGCGAATCGAGGCATCGGCTTCGGCATCGCACAGGCCGTTGCCAGTCGGATTCCTTCCTCCACCATCATCCTCGGCTGCAGAAAGATCGAGAAGGGCCATGAGGCGATTGGGCGTCTGCGAGAGCTGGGCGTTTCGTGCCCGCTGGATGCCGTCCAGATCGACATTGAGGACATCCAGAGCATCACGGCGGCAGTCGAAGCTCTCGACAAGAACTACGGAAAGCTGGACGGTTCGTGTGTTCCCAATTGCCTGGTCTGGTCCAGCAAGTCAACCAAGTCTCACGCAGCAATCAGTGCTAATCAACAATGCCGCCAGCCTCCAGCTGCCCAAGACTCAGCACCTCGCCGAGCTCAGGGATTGCTCCAGCCGCAACTTCAGCAGCTGTGTCACGGCCAACATTCTCGTGACCAAGGCCTTTGTCCCGCTGCTCAGGAAGAGCTCCTGGCCGAGAGTCATCATGACCTCCAGCGCCAGAGGAAGCCTTGGTCGCACAGCAAACAGAGAGGTAATCCGATCGTTTTCTTCTGTTTCCTTCTTCCCTTTAGCGTTTCCAACTCAACCCGGGAACGACTCTAAACAGCTGTTTTGGTGCCACCGCTTGCTGACATGCTGTCTCTGCTCTGCCTTGTTTGCTGCAATCAGCTTCCTCCGGTTGCTCTGATCGACTATTGTGTGTGCAAAGCGGCACTCAACATGTTGACCCTGCACTACCAAATGATCGAGGTCAACTACCAGGAGGGCGGAGAGCGCATCACCTTCTGGAGCGTCAGCCCCGGCCACACCAAGACGGCCTTCAACAACTACCGGGGAAAGAAGGATCCCGTGGCCAGTGCCGAGGCGTTTGTGAGGCTGCTGGAATCCGACAAGGGCGCAATCAGGCCAGGAACGTTCTGGGAGCTTGAAGACGGCAACTTCCAAGAGGTGCCCTGGTGAGGCTCTGCTCTGCTCTGCTCTGCTCTTGAGTGGATACTTTGTGCTGTTGGGGCTGCACATGCGCCTGTCTGTGGATCATCCTGATCGTCTGCGCTGTCCCGTCGGCTTGTCAGAGCTGAGGACATCGGTATCCTGGTCAGCTTCTCTCGGATTCTCAATATTCGTGCATCACCAACTGCCTGCAGTCTGCAGCATGCACTCTTCAGCCCGACTTTGGCCTGGTTGCTACTATTTTAGTCGTGCCACATCTCCTCTTGCACCCCAGCCGGAGCTGAAGGAAGCGAGGTTTGCGGTGGAACAAGTCGCCACGTCTCTGATTGCCCGTCAACGTGGCATACACGTATGACAGCCTCTCAAGACGCGGCAAATAGGAGCCTTTGCCCCTCGACGCAAGCACTTTACACTGCGGCGGACTGATTGGGCACGAGTCTCCCTGTCATCCTCAGCAGCGCCGTTGGGCATTCTGTGATTCACCGCCGCGCTCAGCTTTACCTTGCACAAATCAGATTCCAACCATCATCGGAAAGTTTGCTCGACCCTTTTTGCCACCCGAGATATCGATTCCCGTGTCCAAAGTGAATCATGGCATGTGAACAGGTACATAACCGACAACCCCTGAACCATCGGAAACCAAAGTTGCCCTCTTCTCTCCAACCTTACGCTTCATCCAGGGGAGAATGACAATCCATCTACTTGCTTGAGGAAACAAACAAGACCTCATACTGCTTTATAAAATTCCATACTTTCTCCCTTCAGGCCGCGTTCCACCGGCCGCTGCTCGCACCACATCTATGCCCAACGGGTTCAGTGAAAATCGTAGGACGATCAACGTCGAGGCTGGGCAGCTTCCGCCACCCGCAACCAAGCTCATCATCACTCAGGTACTCAAGGCCAGTCAGGATCCCCCATTCTGGGCGTGGATCATCGTGGGGGCGTTTTACGACAGCGAAAACCGCATTCTCTGGAGCACAGAGCTGTTTGCCGCGCACCTTGATATTCAGTTTGAGTCGGACGAGGAGCAACTCTCCGAGGCGGAGGCAGAGGAAGAAGAAGAAGAAGAAGAAGAAGAGGTAGAGGAAGAGGAAGAGGAAGAGGCAGAGGAAGAGGAAGAGGAAGAGGCAGAGACGGGGGCTGCGCCTGAGCCGGAGTTTGGCGCCGAGGCTGAAGCTGATGTTGAGCTTCAAGACGGGTCCGAATCTGAATCACCGCCTGGTAAGCCAATTGTTGACTCTGAGTCTGAGTCGCCATCACGCCGCTTTTCATGAAGCTAACTCGGTTGTACAAGTTCAATCTACGGAAGTTCATCAATCTGTGACTCCCGACCTGCGGCATCCATGCCCTGATAGCGCATACAACAGCCGCCATATCGACGCATACGAGCGCTATAATAGGCACTCTCCCTCCCACCCTACGAATTATCTTCATCGCCTCTACCCTCATCTTCACCATTATTTCTCTCCGCACTCTTATCCTCACGGCCACCATAGCCCTCAGAGCCCTCGAGGCCCTCATCACACTCATAGCCATCACAGCCCTCACGGCTTTTATAGCCCTTATAGCCCTGATACCCGTCCTTCCTTCCACCACCACCACCACCACCATCACCATCACCACCGGCCTTCTCCACACTGGCTCTCTGCGGTGCCGTTCATACATCCCCCAACAGCCTGGCACCCTGCCTTGTCTGGCCCTGTACCCGGACACTGGCACGCATCCTTCGATCCTTCGGTCGGACGCTGGGTTCACACTTGGCATCCTCGGCCGTTGATACCCTTCCGGTAGCCAGTCCTCTCGTTGCATTTCCTCTCACACACCCTCGCCAACCATGTCTGGCGGATGGAACCCGCTGACCGGCCGTGACTCCGGCTCCGGCCGGCCGGCCTTTGCTCCGTACGGAGCCCCTCAAGTGGCCCAGGGCCAAGCATACATTCCTCATGCTGGCGGACCTGGCTACGCCTATGGTACAGTGCCTCAGCCCAGCGCGTGGCCTAGCATGACTTACGGATACTATCCTCTAGGAGGCGCTCCGGGCGTTCCTCAATATGCCGTACCCGGCTACCCCCCCTTTCAGCAGGCACCTGCTGCGGGCTTCTACACGCAGCAGAGCTTCTCCTACCAGCCCAACGGCACGGGCAACATGCTCCCCCGCCATCCCCAGCCGTACCCCAACATCGATTCCACCATGCCGGCCGCCCAGATGACCAACACGACGGGCGGCACGGGCTGCGAGCCGGGCTACAACTACTTCTTCCCCGCGGAGCACACAAAGGCGCACATCTTCAAGACGAACACGCCGCCGTGGCAGCTCCCGCCGACGGCCCAGATCCCCTTCAAGGCGGCGCACATCCCGTGCAACACGACCATGGCGGAGCTGCTCAAGGGCTTCGGGTGCACCAACGCGACGCCCAAGAAGAACCGGTGCTTCGAGGTCGTCAGCGGCGGAGGAGGCAAGTGGTACAAGGGGCTCGAGGTCAACGGCGCGGACAAGGACATGCTCAAGAAGACGATCAAGGACGTGGGCTGGGATGCTACGAGGACGGGCAATCCCAATGAAAAGCCCGTGGTGTGTTTGTGGTTTTGCAGGGACTGAGGTGTTGTCATCGCTCCAGGGGCTTTCAGTCCCTATTATTGTGTTGTGCACGTCTCTATTATTTCCCTTTGCTGTCGTTCGCTCTTGATCCTATTTCTTTTGTCTTGTTCTTCCTGCTTCTCGCCACCAATGGTGTTGGCTTGAGATGGCAATTCTTTTTGGCGTTTGTGGGTTTAGACTATGTTATCTTGCTTGACGGGTTACGGATTGGTATTGGGGCGAGAAAAATGGGGTTCAGTATGGGATTGCAATGTAATTGCGGTAGATGCTATTATTGAGAATACGAAACAATTCAAAGACCATAGCTACTAATTTTCCGTGAGACATGCTAGTGTTGATGCGTGGATAGGTAGGTTCTGGTGAGCACCTCGTCGAGCTACACTCAAGGTCTGTGTAAGCACCCAACATCTGTAGTGTCCTTAGTAGGTAGTGTCTCTGAATCAGTGACTATATACTGTTTTCCTTCCTCTTTTTCTTTTCTTCTGGTTGGATTTGGCCTGCTCTGAATACGATATGAAGTCATGTGTACAATCAAAATAAGACATCGTTGGCATGAGTGTCTTCACATGCGATGGTGGAGTTAGTGGAGCGGTGATGGAGTACGCGTATATCACTATATCATGCAGATACTGGGGGAGCTGAAGATCTTCACGCCCCAAATACCCTACAACATTAGATAGAAAAAACTGATATACTGATGGTAGTAAGGTGAGTAAATCGTGTATACGGCTGGTGCCTTCTTCTTCCTCGTCGACGATTATACAGGCACCTCTATATCTTGTTAAAGTGGTATAAGTACCCAAGCAAAGACGATATAGCAAAGATGACGATGCATTCATAATGCAAAGTTCTCTCAAAGTAATGGATCGATATATGACTCAAGTAGAGGAGGAGTGTCCTAGTACTACGGGACTTGAATATGAGAAACAATTGATGTCACAGTGTTTGCTATCAACTCTTGGAGCTCCCTTAGGAACCTTGCTCGCCCCCATCACGAACTTGTATGCAGAGTCTTATCGTGCCCCTTTTCCAGTAAAATCTTGCAAGCCGGGATCAACAACAGTAGGACCGAGAACGCTGAAATGTAGAGTAGGAAGCTTCTGACCCTAATCTGCATGCCTAGAATTCAATCATCGAGACATTCGTGCTCTCTGATAGAAGCTGGAAAGGGGGGCTCTTTGGTCAAATGCTGCTGGGGGGCGGGTCAATCGAGAGTGAGGAATCCTTCCAAGGGTTTTCATAAAACCATGAGAGGAAATCATATCACAAGAGTGTTTGTGTTACCCGAAGTGTCACTGCAGACAAACCACAATCACATGATGATGTGATCATCACCTCATCCAAGGATTCCTAAATCACGCACGCGAGGTGGACAGCTCCTCACGGCAACAAGCACTCAGAAAAGCCTTTCCGGCCTCGCAAACGCTTGACCTCTGTCCTCGGCAGTATCTTGGAAAACAATCGGGCAGTACGCCATGGCGCGCGGTCGTCTCGTGAATGATTTTCATCCAAGGGCGTGTAGTCATACAGCCTCGGTGCCCAAGCTAACACCTGAACGCCACGGTCGAGAACCTAGATGCCTAAAGACTATATTCGATAGCTCACCACCTCGGTGGTTTCAACTAAGGGGCAGCATGATTCGAGTGGTCAGGACTACTAGATCTTGTTGCCCCCTTTTGCTGGAGCTCCTCGGACGCCCTTAGCCCAGCAAGCCCCGTGGGGTAAGAAAGAGCTGACATGCTGTTGATCACGATGTAGCTACTATGCTCCATGTGGGCGTTGGAGTCGTACCATGCTTTCAACAAGGTCCTTGACCGTATCCTCGTGTCGTTGGTGAGCTTTGATAGCAGGCATCAGCATTCTCACGACTGCCACTGGTCGAGGTTGGGTCTCCAGGCGGGTCTCTTCTTCACGCCCCCCAGATAGGACAAGGATAGAACGTGGAGCCGTACATGTATGGCGTCCAAAGCGGGCGGTTCAGCATGAAGCCACTAGATAGCAGGGTGGCGTGTGGCGAGTAAAGAGACCAATAGCGCATGTTAGTCAGATATCGAGGAGAGAGCAGATGAGCCTTGTCCACGACCTCTCCAGACAATATCGGACCACCGTGAAGCTTCTTCTTCATCATCAAAGAAAGGAGTAGAAAGACTGGACAAGACTCGAATAGACGGGTTTACATCATTGTGATCATGTCGGGGAGTCACTGGCCGCCGCCATATTCAATCGATGTCTGAGATCCTGACGGAGTGGCCGAAAATGCTGGCTCGTTCGCGATGAAATTGTTCGCACCAAGGCTAATTCGCCAAGTCTGCCAAGAGGAGGGACAGTAAGCTTGGAAAGGGTTGCCAATGCTCGAGAAAAGGCATATGAATCAGCTGGAACGGCGGTACAGTATATCGTTGTCACGAGCCACGCGCCGAAGCCCTTGCCGATGGAAACTCCAACTTGTCATGTTTGCAGATTCAGATCGTAGATACAATCTGCCAGACGGACTGCAACAGTTGTCTCATGCTCCTCAGCTAGACTCTTTGGGATGAGATCTGCGACATTGAGACAGTGCTGGGTTTGGCTGTGATGTCGTGCGTGCGAGAGATTACATACAGATATCCATCTGGACGGAGGGTTGCATGTGGAGAAGTCGGTGGAAAGAGTATCCAATTCCCCAGTAAACGTTATATGGAAGTCTAATGAGGGAGGATTTGACGATCAAAGGAACTCGCGTACATTCTTGTACGAGTAAGTCAACGCATGTGTGACTTCGGCTGATGGTCTTGTCCGGTACGACTGCGAGCTCTCCTCGAACTTCAACACCAAAGCCTCGATCGTGATTTGACCTGCAGTCAGCTGCTGCTCGTTTGCCGACTTTCCAGTGTGACGTTGGCGTGCTTTCGACATGGCCTGTGATGAGAAGTAGAGAGCAGAAACTGATCGAACACGCAGACTATCCGTCACTTTCCCAAGGCACTGCAACAATGCAGCTGCCGGACATGACGCTGCTCCTTCAACACTCGTCTAGGCATGCTTGGCAAACAGAGCCAAGAGAATACGATACTCATGAGCTCGTCGATGTTCCTCCACCCCCTGGCAAGCATCTTGCAGCAGCGCTAGCCAGAGCAAGCAAGCACTCCGGAAATTCGGAGTTCGATGATGGCTCCAATCTTCTCCCTTTCGGCGGCGACGATCAGGCAGCAGAATTAATTTTGTGGGAGCATCTCCACCTGACTCTTTTAGCAGACTGCAGGGCAGGTACAGTAAGGATTGGCCATTGTCAGCTTGTTGGTGCGCGGTTTGTGTAGGCCGGACTCTGGCGGTTTAAACTCGACACGAGGCGGCCTACATACAGCCGTGATACCCGTCTTCTGTCCCGAGCACAGGCTCACGATATGTGAACAGGTGGTTGAGACGGGATTCCAGGTGAAGATGGTTAGAGTCGCGGCGCGGCTACTGCAGCGTGTCGGTGTCGTCGTCGCCACACTAGGCAGTTGAATCTTTCTGCAAGAATGCCGGCCGAGAACCGCTAGCCATGGCAGGGCGAGGCGGACAGGCCGCGTTTGGACCTGAAGGCGCTCAGCCATGGCACGTTGGCACGGCCTTGTCCGGACTAGCCACGACGCTTTGGCCACGGGCTGGGATCTGGCGCGCGGGACGAGGTTCGCGAGTGGAGGCTAGTGGCACGGCTTGTCGTCGCATGCCGGCACGATCCCCAAATGCGTCCAGTGAGCATCTCGGGAATTCTGTTGCCTGGCAGCTCGCTAGCAGAATGCTGATCCTGGGCCTGGGCAACTGAATCAGCGACCCGGTTGTGCGCCTGGGTGACCTCTGCTTACCGGCGTGCGCATGTACCTGTGCCTGTGCTTTTCGGCCCCCCGATACGACGAGCGAAAGTACTCGTCATTCATACATGCATGGTTCGAGAGGGCGTCTTTCTGGACCGACTTGGCGGTGCGAGATGTTGCTGCTGCAGTATTACGGGCGACATGCCATGATCTGGTGTTGCTAGCGGGCGCCGGATCCGTCAGTCTTTGAGCGTGGCGTCGTGACCGCTAAGAGAACGTTTGCTGCGAAGCAGAATAGTAGTAGTAGAAGAAGAAGAAGAGGCCTGCTCGCCCTAGTGGCTGAGATCTCGGCCATTTTCTTTCGACGCTTGCGTTTGAGGGCGCTTGCATCCGGCACATGGGGTGATGAGGAGGAAAGAGGAGAAGAGGAGGAGGTTTAGCTGAATTGGAGAATGTGGAGAGGTGCAGAATTTCAATTGCGCTAACAGGATCTAGCGCGAGCTACATTGGCGGACTGCGCATCTGGCTTTGCAAACAAAGTACTGCTGTTTAGCATGGACGGATCTTGGATCTGGATCGCAGTCCAAGTGGCCGAAACCAGCTGTCTTGGGTATTGAAGGCAGACCTACTACCGAAGCTCGTGACACTGGAATAAGGCGACGGTTGTTGATGCATTGACGAGCATTTACTTCGGCCAGCAGTGCAGTGCGGTATCGTGTAGGTAGTCAAAGACAGTAGCCAAGAATACAATCAACTGGAAAATACGGTACTGCTTCTGCACACAGACAATTCGATGGCAGGGCTGCCCTGCAACATCAGCTGCGGGAGTTGCTCCCACCTACGTCAGGGCAGACGTCCGGCGCATCTTCCAGGGCTCTAGCGGCCAATTACAGCGGTGTCCAGGGGGGGCGACGCCAGGGCCCGCCAGTGGCCAAACAGCGGGCTTGCCAGTTCCCACTCTCGACCTCGCCGAGCTAAGATTGAAACCTTGGCACCAGAAGCATGGCTCTTGATCGCCTCTCCCCATTTTCAACCGCCAGCACGAGGGCCATAATTGGGGGGCTTTTCGTTTGCCCATGGGGAACTGGAGACGCTCCTCTCTTGTCCGGGGTGCGGGGGGAGACGCCCCCTGGCCAGCCTGGAGATGTTTCCTGGTTTGGCGAACGAACCTCAGGCATTTGATGCTTGATCCGGAGACGGACGGACCTCGAGGCACGAGGATGAGTGAGACATTGTCGCCCGCCTCAGCTCAGCACGGGCAAAGACACTCATACAGGGTTGATTGGCAGTGAAGATCTGCAGCCGTTGGTCCAGATTGTCGCGTTAGACGGCGTGAGACAGGCACCGCTTCGCCGCATATGCTTTCGGCTGGCTGCCTCAGACGGGAATCAACTGGCGGCGTGGCAGCATCATGAAGAGGTTTTTTTCTACCTCCTTGGCAGCAACTGACTGGATGGCGCTACCGCGAAACAAGCGCGTGGCAGGCGAAGGCATGAATCGTACTGAATGCGCTAGCAATGGCTCTCTCTCTGCCCAGAGACTTCAGACTTCAGCTCTTTGTGTCTTACTTGGACGAAGTCTTCCTGCTCCACGCCACCATCACGATGCCATGCGACTACCACTAGCACCCCCTTCAGCCACGAGTGGGCCGGACAAGGATGGGTAGGCCGAGATCCTGGCCTGGGCTTCCTGCTCGACTGATTTTGCTGGTACGAGGACGTACTATGCTCACACCTTACCTCGAGCAGTGGTGTTTCCGGCGTCCTCCAGATCGCGGGGAGCAAACAGACTCCAGCTGGGGAAGCCCAATGTTAGCCGCAACGAGCTGCCATGCCAGCCATTGTTCTCCGCCCCCAGCTTTTGCTCATCTTCCCCAGCTCGTCTCGACCGACTATATTATGCCCTCCTTGTCCCCCCATTGTCCTGTTCTCATCCCCGTCTCCTCGTCACTCCCAACTTCTTCAGCTCGAGAGCAGGATCACTCTCTTGTCTCCTTTCGTCTATACCAGTCGAGCCTGTAAGAGCAAGTCATCCGCGGACTGATCCGCTCCCTGTCTCACAATGGCGGAAGTCTAGTCAGTCAACCCCCCTTTTGAAGCACCTTTCCTTACTCCTCTTGTCAACCCTTCCACTAACAGGTTCTGATATACAGCACCCACACCGAGTCCAAGACCGCCCACGAGGCGTCCATGGAGAAGGGAGTCACATACCACGATGAACAAGAACACAGCGAGAACCTCCAAGCGAGAATTCGCAACCCGCTCAAGGGAATCCCCCGCGAGCAGCTCATGAGCGATGTCGAGTCCTTTGCTCAGCGCAACGGCCTTGAGGAGCACACTCTTCTTCTCAAGAAGGGCGCCCTTATTGCCCAGAACCCAGCCGACCCGCAGTCCATTGACGGCGACGAGAAGCTCACTGCCCATGAGCTCAACGTTCTGGAGCGTGAGGTCACCCACAAGTGGCACATGCCCTCAAGACTCTTCCTCACCATCGCAACGTGCTCCATTGGTGCCGCTGTCCAGGGCTGGGACCAGACTGGTAGCAACGGTGCTACCATCTTCTGGCCTGAGGTCTATGGCCTTGGTGACCAGACCATCACTCGCAACGCTATCCTCGTCGGTCTCATCAATGCTGCTCCTTACATCGGTAGCGCGTGAGTGCCATCATCTCTCCATTCATTCTAGAGCATTTCCAAACTAACCAGCTCATAGTTTCATCGGCTGCTGGCTTTCTGATCCCATCAACAACCACTTCGGTCGACGTGGTGTCATCTTCTTCGCTGCTCACTTCTGCATCTGGCCTGTCATTGGTTCTGCTTTCTGCCACACTTGGGAACAGCAGCTTGCCTGTCGATTGCTCATGGGTATTGGTATGGGTGCCAAGGCTTCAACGGTGCCCATCTATGCTGCTGAGAACGCTCCTGCTTCCATCCGAGGTGCTCTGGTCATGTCATGGCGTATGTTTCTCTCCATCCCCCTGCTTTGAAAAATGTCTCTTGCTAACAGTCCTTGAAGAAATGTGGACGGCCTTTGGTATCCTCCTGGGAAGCGCTTTCAACCTGGCTGTCTACCACGTCAAGGATATCAACTGGCGTCTGATGCTCGGCGCTCCCTTCATCCCTGCCATCCCCCTTCTGTGCCTCATCTACCTCTGCCCCGAGTCGCCTCGTTGGTACATGAAGAAGGGCCGCTACGCCGATGCCTGGAAGTCTCTGGCCGTTCTCCGCAACGACCCCATCCAGGTCGCCCGCGACATCTACTACATCTCCGCTCAGCTCGAGATTGAGAAGGAGCTCATTGGCAAGACCAACTACGTCACCCGCTTCACTCAGCTCTTCACCGTCCCCCGAATCCGCCGTGCCAACCTGGCTGCTTTCACCGTCATGATTGCCCAGCAGATGTGCGGTATCAACATCATCGCCTTCTACTCCACCACCGTCTTCGTCAACGCTGGTTTCACCCAGTTCCGAGCCCTGATCGGCTCTTTCGGTTTCGGCCTCGTCAACTGGCTCTTTGCCTTCCCCGCTTTCTGGACCATCGACACTGTAAGTCTCAAAACAAACCACTTGATTGCATTCTTGTGTTGGTTGCACGCTCTAACAATTTTACCAGTTCGGTCGTCGAAGCCTGCTTCTCTTCACCTTCCCCCAGATGTTCTGGACCCTCCTGGCTGCTGGTCTCTGCACTCTGATCTCCTCGGAGCACACCGAGCTCAAGACCGGCCTCGTCAGTCTCTTTGTCTTCCTCTTCGGAGCCTTCTACTCTCCCGGCGAAGGTCCCGTTCCCTTCACCTACAGCGCCGAGGTGTACCCCCTGTCCCACCGTGAGACGGGCATGGGCTTCGCCGTCGCCACGTGCCTGTTCTGGGCCGCCGTCCTCGGCACCTCGTTCCCCTTCCTGCTCGAGCGCCTCGACACCGTCGGCGCCTTTGGCCTGTACGCCGGCTTCAACGTCGTCGCCTTCATCATGATCTTCCTCTGGGTCCCCGAGACGATGCAGCGCACCCTCGAGGAGCTCGACTACGTCTTCGCCGTCCCCGTCCGCACTTTCATGAAGTACCAGCTCACCGTCGCCCTGCCCTGGTGGTTCAAGAAGTACGTCTTCTTCCAGTGGAGCGCCACCAAGCCGCCCCTGTACCAGTTCGACGAGGTCCCCTCTGATCTCCGCCGGGTGTCCATCCACCACGCTGCCGCAGCGTCGTCGGATGATGAGAGCAAGCGCGCCATGTAAAAGGGAAGCGCAGAGATGGGAGACGCTGGGAAAGAAACAGAGTGTTTTCTATGAATCTTGTTTGTTTGATTTTGTTTTTGGCGAGTTGTCAAGGGGGTAAATATGGGATATGAGCGCATGTAATTGGTAACCACGCAGATGGGTCGCGTGGTCCTGGGAATTGATACCCTTACCCTCATGGTTATGATATCACATGAGGGCTATCTTGGAAAATACAAGAGAATTCCTACTCTACAAAATTGTCGCCTTGTGTGAATTGCCTATGAATGATGCTCTCTGTTTATGAGTTCAGGGTGAGTATTCGATATTCTGCGTATTAGTACTATTTTGAAATTGCAGGGTTTTGCATGTGAAGCGAGAGGCTGCCCAGCACTGCATCGCTTGCTAACCGAGGCTGGGCAACGCGGACATGGACTACATACCGAATTCCTCATGTGATATGCGATAGATGTATCGCATGGACGATCAGGAAGTGAAATAGTATTGGCATGATGTGATATGGTTTGGTGTATCCGACTTGGGGGCATCAAAGTCCAGAGATTCATGTGAAGATGTAGATGGAAGGCTCACATACAATAAAGGTACTGATAGGTGTCCATCTGCTATGTATCATCATCGTTGCATTGGAAAACACGCGTATCGTGTAGCAACCGACGTGGAGAACTCTCCATCTCCCCGTCCCACGTAGATCTCTTTGATGCATGCAATGTTGTATCACTGTCAACAAAATCTGCACTTAGTTGCACCCAATCCAGCACTTACACACAATACTCGTACACGTCCATTCAACGGGTTGCCACCCAAGGTCCGGAGTCCTGACATTGATTAATAGGCTTTAACAGTGCATACAAAAACCCCCCCAGCGAGGCAAATTGACTGCATCGCGTAAAGCTCACCGAAACCAGCTATTTTAGCTGCGGGAGCTACGGACTTCGGATTCATCCGCATCTCTATTCCCGTCGGCGTAACTGGCCTCGGTTCCACAGAACCAGCGAATCGATCTCGGGCAGACGAGCCCGATGATGAACGGGCCAAGTCCATCATATCATCGACATTTTGTTTTCCCCTTGCCATGTCTCCTCTGCTCGCCTGCATCTCTTTTTTTGCGAGGAGTCAAGTCAGGAACGAGACATTGCTGCAAGAGACCTGACCTGATCGGTCCTCCTGCAGTCGAAACCTTGCGGAACGGAATTGCATTTCCAGGCTCGGGTCGGGTGCCTTGTTGCCCCTCAGACGATATCTGACCACCGACATCTCCAAATCCTTTGTTTGGTCAATGGTTGTCAGCATCTTGTTTCGTTCCCGGTGCCACCGACGTCCACGGAAGCTGTCATCATGCCCGAAATCTGACTAGTTGAAAAGCCACACTCCTGAGAATACTAGCAACACATAACTCCAATGGCTGGCGACGGGCTGGAAGACACCGCCGGGCAGCTCGCTGGGATGGATGTCGAAAAGGCCGAGCTTGCAAGCATGACAGACACGTCGCTGGATGTGCCCGTAACCCGTAACAAGCTGGACCGGAACCGCTTCTCCATCACCGGTGCGGCGAATCTATCGCTTGACGATGTCGAGGCCGTACATGTTCAGCTTCGCGGACTCTCAATTTCGGTCGACACTTCACCGTCATGGTTGGACCCCTCAACGTATCCTGAACTATTTTCCGCCGGGTTCAATTCGAAGCCTCGCATCAAGACTCTTCTGCATTCAGTTGATGCAGACCTGAAGCCCGGAACCCTGACAGCCATCATCGGAGGCAGCGGCTCGGGAAAGACGACGCTGCTCAACAACCTCGCCGAGAGGGTTGTGAGCTCAAGACTCAGCCAACAAGGCCTGGCGACATTCAACGAAAAAGTCGGCGTCAACAGCGTTCGACATGCCTATGTGATGCAGCAGGACATTCTGCTCCCAACTCTTACTGTCCGAGAGACCTTGAGATACTCGGCTGATCTTCGACTGCCCCCATCCACCAGTGCCGAGGATCGTGAAAGAATCGTCGAGGAAGTCATTCTCGAACTGGGCCTCAAGGAATGCGCCAACACCCGCATAGGAAACAGTCAACACCGAGGTTGCTCAGGAGGCGAGAAGAGACGCGTGAGCATCGGTGTGCAGCTCTTGGCAAATCCGTCCGTCCTGTTTCTCGACGAGCCCACCACTGGCCTGGACGCGACAAGTGCCTATCAACTCGTGCGGACTCTCAAAGCGTTGGCGCAAAAAGGCAGAACCGTCATTACCACGATCCACCAGCCTCGATCGGAGATATGGGACCTCTTCGACAATCTCATCATCTTGTCCAGAGGCAGTCCCGTCTTCTCAGGCCCCGCCTCCGACTGTCTTCCATGGTTCCAACATCTCGGCCACGAACTGCCCCCATTTGTTAACCCAGCAGAATTCGTCATCGATGTTGCCGCCGTCGACAACCGCACCCCTGAGCTGGAGGCAGAAACCTCAGCTCGCCTCGAAAGCCTCAAAGCAGCATGGAAGGTAGAGAGCGAAAGCCGGTTCCCACCTTTGGAGGCCGCTGCCGAGGTGAGGACGCGGCAGAAGCACCCACAGGCGGCAACACACGCCGGCTTCTTCCGCCAGGTACGAATCCTGACGGATCGAACGTTCAAAGTCACGTATCGGGATCCCCTCGGCATGACTGCGTCCCTTCTGGAGGCTGTCATCATGGGAGTTGTCATAGGATATCTGTTTTTCGACCTCGGCCGCGATCAAGCGGGCATTCGGTCTCGCGAGGGTCTCCTCTATACTGCAACGGGACTCCAAGGCTACTTGATCCTCATGTTCGAAACATATCGATTGACCATTGATATGCCGACGTTTGACCGCGAGTCCTCGGAGCATTGCGTCGATGCCGTGCCCTACATCTTGTCACGGCGATTGGCCCGCCTCATCACGGAGGACTTCCCTGTCCCTTTTCTATTCTCCCTCATCTTGTACTTTATGGCTGGGTTCGATCACGATGCTTCCAAGTTCTTCATTTTCTTTAGCATCGGATTCGTCAACCATTTTGCTTGTATCATGTGTGCATTCACATGCGTGGTGGCAGTGCGGCACTTTCCAGGGGCCAGCCTGATTGCCAACTTTGCTTTCACGCTGCAGAGTATCGCGTGCGGTATCTTCATCCAAGTTGATACGATCCCGGTGTATGTGCGATGGTTGAAATGGGTGACTTGGTCGGTGAGTAAACATCTTTCCTCCACTCTCGAATCTGAGGTCTTTGGTCTGCAATATGCTGATCATAGCGTGTAACAGTTTTACACGTTCGGGGCGTATTGCGGGAATGAGTTTCAAGGCAGCTTCTACGACTGCCCCGAGCCAGGGGGGCCATCCAACCCGGCCTGTCTCCAGTATACCGGAGACTACATCTTGTCGTCCCTCGGATTTCCCAAGAACTGGGTCGCTCGCCCCATCGTTTGCCTCGCGTCGTTTGTCATCTTCTTCTTCATCCTGTCGGCTGTTGGCTTGCAGTATATCAAGGTTGAAATGACCATTGCGCGGGCGCGAGTCTCGGACACGGACCTGTCAGCCGGAAAAGAGAAAATGACTGCGCGGTCGATTGCAGAGGTGCGCACCATCGATGTTGAGCTAGAGAATTTCTCACTGGATCTCGATAAAAGAAAGGTCAATGGAAAGAAGTTGCCTCGGAAAACCATTGTCCAGCCTATCAACGTCAATTTTCAGGCCGGCACGTTGAACATCATCATGGGCCCGTCGGGAAGCGGCAAGACGTCTCTTCTCAACTCGATGGCACTTCGGCTGCGCAACTCCATTGGCACCCACTATCGTCCATCTGGCAAGATGTCTTTCAACGGAGCAGTCCCATCTGCCTCTGTTGTCAGATCAGTCTGCTCTTATGTCTGTCAGGATGACGACGCTCTCTTGCCCTCGTTGACGGTTCGAGAGACGTTGCAGTTCTCCGCCGCTCTGCGTCTGCCTTCGTTCATGAGCAAGGAAGAGAAGAGTCGCCGCGCAGAGGAGATTCTCATGAAGATGGGTCTGAAAGACTGTGCAGATAATCTGATTGGCAATGACCTGGTCAAGGGTATCTCGGGAGGAGAAAAGCGGCGAGTCTCCATTGCTGTGCAGGTCCTCACAGATCCTCGCATACTTCTCCTGGACGAGCCAACGTCTGGACTGGATGCCTTCACCGCGAGTTCCATCATGGAAGTTCTGCAAGGCCTCGCAAACGAAGGCAGAACGCTTATCTTGACAATCCACCAACCTCGATCGGACCTGTTCAAACACTTTGGCAACGTACTGCTCCTTGCCCGTGGCGGTGCTCCAGCATATGCAGGTCCCGCCAAGGAGATGCTCAACTATTTCGGTAGGCAGGGGTATCAATGCCCACAGCATTCAAATCCCGCCGACTTTGCCCTGGATATGATAACTGTCGATCTGCAGCGAGACGACAGAGAGGCAGAGAGCAGAGAGAGAGTTGAGAAACTCATAGAGGAGTGGAGAAGATATTCTTCAGGAGGAGACAGGGAGCAGGTGTGGAAGAGGGAGGATGTGACGAGGCTCCCAGAGATAACCGAAACCGATGAATTGGACGAAAAGAAGCCAACCAACGGAGAAGTGGACGATAAAGCAGCCGACAAGGACGAGACGTCGCCAAAGATTCAACCTGCTGCCTCTCGCAGACCTTTCAACAAGGCCAACCTCTCAACGCCCGCAGAACTCGGTGCACTTGTCCACAGCCCAGCCTCCATTGCCACTGCCGTGCCTTTGCTTCTGCATCGTGCCATCATCAACACGCGCCGGCAGCCGCAGCTCATCATGGCTCGCACGATGCAAGTCGTTGGGCTGGCCATCATCTTCGCCCTCTTCTTTGCGCCACTGCACCACGACTACTACTCGGTCCAGAACTGGATGGGTTTCATCCAGGAAATCGGCGCCTTTTACTTCGTCGGCATGCTGCAGAACGTCGCAATCTATCCGAGCGAGCGAGACGTCTTCTATCGAGAAGATGACGACGGAGTGTATAGCGTCGATGCGTTCTTGCTCTCGTACACGATCCTCGAGGTCCCCTTTGAGATACTCAGCTGCCTGCTCTTCGGTATCTTGATGTGTATCGCCGTCGGCCTTCCTAGGACGGCAACAATGTACTTTGTCTCCGTCTTTGGCTGCTTCGGCATCGTCTCGTGCGGCGAGAGTCTGGGCATCATGTTTAACACACTCGTCAACCACACCGGATTCGCCGTCAACATCATGGGCATGTTTCTCTCGATTGCCAACGCCATGGCCGGTGTCTTGTCCATAGACGCCCCCGAGGCCTTCAAGGCGCTCAATTATCTCTCACCCATCCGATATGCCTTGCGCTCAATCGCCCCTTATGCCTTGCGAGACGAGCAGTTCTACTGCAAGCCGGGACAGCAGCTTGCCAATGGCACCTGTCCGATCGAGACGGGCAAGCAGGTTCTTCAGCTGTACAGATTTGAGGACGACCCGGTGGTGAACGTAGCAGCTCTGGCAGGGTGCTTGGTGGTATATCGGCTGCTGGCCTGGCTCTTGTTGAGGCTGGCCAGGGCAAGATGGAGTGGGCATAAGAAGTAGAAGAGAAGATGCGTTTTCCTTGGATTCGTGTCATTGCAAGCATAGAGACAGGTTAGTAGCTACGAATGCTTATGAGAGTTTTGAAAGGAAGATGATCTCCGGTAGACAATCTTTCCCATTAGACAGTCTGCTCGTGCCTCTTGCCTGTTGTACAGCGTTGCCCCCAATCGATAGACGGAGGCCCTTCTTTAATCCGGCCACGACGCGCGACCTGCTATCTGGTACATCTTGGCCCCCGTGATCCCCTCAGTATCACCACACACAAGTAAGAATACCCTTACCATCCATCATTCACTTCAACCCTCGCATCAACCCCCAACGCCATCAGCCGTCTGACATTCCGACACCCCGTCTGCCTTCAGCCACGATAACCTTCGACAAATCACATCGTTACATTGTCGCGCTACCGGTTGACGTCATGGCCACTGAAACCAGCATCAGCGAATGATGATCCGGGGACGCCTCCCTTGCATCTCGCATCTCCACAAACAACCGTGGTCAGGCTTTTCAGAGGTTGGGAATGCACTCGGTCTTGAAGACGGATTATATATCTGAAGACTCGGCTTGCACACATGTACATCTTTGCTTGCGTGGCTCCTCGAATAGAACACTTCTATTAATATTACTTGGCTATGGAAACACCAAGAAAATCCTCAGCACCACGTACGCCAACTACCATGCCAGTCATGTATGTGCCATGCCAAGATGCCGAAACCCAAAAAAAAGTATAGAAACGCCAATAAGCCCACCCGCTCGCACTGAAATATGACATCTATCTTTCATCTCTAGCCGCCATGCTCAAATATCTTCAAGATCGAACCTCAACGCCTTGGAACAAGAATACACAAAAAATCATCGAGTCATGTGTCGCGTATCGCTCAGAAGGTCCTCTTCTCGGTGATGGGCTCGCCAAAGGGCTTGCCGACAACGAAACCGTCGCCGGGGGCCTCCAGATCGAACACCTTGCGGCCTCGAAGCCACGTCTCCGTGACCCGACCGATGAACTTGTGGCCCTGCCAGGGAGAGCAGCGGTTCTTCCAGCGCATGTCGCCCTGGGTAAAGGTCCAGACATGTGAGTCGTCGAAGACGCAAACGTCGGCGTCCATGCCAACCTTGAGAGCGCCCTTGCGGTGGGAGAGACCGACCTGCGCGGCGGTCGCTTGGCAGCAGAGGCGAACCATGTCGACAATGGTCGGAACCTTGGATGTCGCGGAGCGCTCCTTGGCAGCCGTGTGCAGGATGGGCAAGCCGAGACCGACGGATGAGATGCCGCCCCAGGCAGCGAAGAAGTCGCCACGGGCAATCGTCCTTGTGGGCGCCTCTTCCTTGGGTTCCTTCATGTCAAGGCCGGAATCTTTGTGAAGGATGGCAGGTCTCTCAAGGTGATCGGGAAGCAACTTCAGTTGGGGAGTGCAGGGCGAGTGGTCGGAGACGACGGTCCGAATGCACGAGTCCTCGGCGACCAGCTCCTCCCACAGGCCGTCTCGGTTGTTGGCCTCACGGATCGGAGGACAGCACTTGTGCCTCGTGTCTCCCTTTTCGATTTCTTCCGCCGCCAGTCCCAGGTAATGGAAGCAAGTCTCGGCCGTGATGTTGACTCCCCTCTGGCGGGCAGCCTTCAGGATCGGAATCGCCTGCGTTGCCGAAAGGTGGACGATGTGGAGGTGCAGCGACGGAGCGATATGGGCATGTGCCAAAATTTCTTGAATGGCATACGTCTCGAAAGAAGGGGGTCGCGATTCGAGGAAGGTGTTGTAGGCGGTCAGTTCGCCCTTGGGAGCCGCGGGAGGATCGGAGGTTTGGACGGCATCGCCAACAGAATCGGTGATTGGGGGAATCATCTCGGCATGGAACATCAAGGTGGTTGGCTCATCCTTTAGTGTCTCCATGGCCAGTGCTATATCCTTTGCGGACACGGCAGGAAACTCGTCAACGCCGGACTCGATGAGGAAGCCCTTGAAGCCTCGAACGCCTGCATCTACAAGGGGCTTCAGCTGGTCTGCGTTGCCAGGAATGACGCCGCCGTAAAAGCCCACGTCCACCCAGCACTGGCCATGGCTGGCCCTGAGCTTCTCCTCGAAGCCCTGGAGAGTAGTCGTCGGTGGGATGGCATTGAGCGGCATGTCGATGACTGTGGTGACGCCGCCACTCGCCGCCGCTCGAGTACCAGTCCAGAAACCCTCCCACTCTGTCCGGCCAGGCTCATTCAGATGGACATGAGCATCCACGAGACCAGGCAGCAACAGCTTGGGAGAGTGGTCGATATAGGTGGCGCTTGGGGGGAATGCTGAGGCGGGAAGGATCTCAGGCACCACAGAGACGATTTTGCCGAGCTCCGGGGATATGCAGATGGTCGCCGGGCAAAGGACGAGGGAGTTGTCGGGAAGCGTGAGGACGGCGCGCGTCGACACGAGGACGGTGAGCGGCCCAACGTTGGAGGTGTGCGTGACAGTCATGGCGACAACTGCAATGCAACTCTCTTGTGCCTGCGTGGGTAACTGGGGTATGGGCCCTGGGAGCGAGAGCTGGCTACTCTGAAGCGGCTTATCACGATGAGCGAGAGTAACGCAAAGCGCACAGCCAGAGCTCGACGACTTTGCAGACTACAGACGAAGATGGGCGAAGGGGGAGGAAACGGAAAAGGAGGGAAACAGAAAGAGAAGGGGTTAAAGAGGCAGGCGATGCAAGCCGCATCGTCGGCCGGAGCCGATGACGCCCTCCTAACAGTCTAAGCCGTCTGGCGGATAGTGGCTGGCTGGGACGCATTATCGTGGGATGGCCATGATACGGGGCAGACGGGTAGATAGGGAGGGGCCGGAGGAGTCGTGCACGCGTATTCCACGATCTTCTGCCATTTTCGCCCTGTCCTGGCGCCTCTCCCTCTGCGCCTTGAACCCTGTTGACCCGCAGAGTCTTTCTGTTCTAATTCTATTTCATGCTAGCACCTCATATGCTTCAAAGGTTAATGAGAATGAATCTTGACACTTCAGGGAGGCGAAAAAGGATTTTTTTTTTTCGCAGAATTTTTATGGACATTGAAGGGATTCGCGAAGGCCGAAGATCGCTAACAAAGGGAAAGAGAAAAGGGTAAAAAAAGAAAAGCTCCACCCTTATCGGACACGTCCGATGGGCCAGGGCGAAGAACAAAGATGCGATGGCCCGGCGTTGAGTGGCAGGAGGCAGCTGGACGCAGCCAATCAGGATTCAATCGAGTAAGAGTTACTCGACAAAAGGGAAACAGCTGAACGACTTCGGCGGTGTCTGGATGTGACGATAAGCGAGAGGCTAGCCGCCTAGTCTCCGGCATGGCGTTATCAGCTGTTATCAGTTGGCGGAACGGCGGAACCCAAGGGTCCAGCCGTTGACACGCGCCACAAGTCATCTGACCTCAAATGTGGCTGAGCCCGGTCGTCGACTCCGCCAGCTTGATTGGTCGCCGTGCTGCATGCTGATTAAGAAGGTCACGCGAGGCTCATGCAAAACCATGTTCGGGCGTCGAATAAGCCAGCCTCGTATTACCTAATGCAGTCGGGAGAAGACGGAGCGCACGTGCACGTGTGTGTGACCCAGCATCCCATGGGCCTGAGCTTGGACGCAACAATCACTCCGGAATCCCACATAGGTAGCTTGCGGAGCTTCACGCCCACGATCCTCCCAGCCTATTCGCTGCCTCTCTGCAACTGCTCTGGAGCCCCAGTCGAGATGCCGCTGCGGGTGAATAGCCGGCCAGTGGAACTGCACTGCAGCAGCAGGCACGCCAGGACACGCTGGAGCACGAAGCGGGACTACCGAGCAGTCGTGTCTTGTCGAGGCCATGAGACCATCTGCTCAAGCTGTCCATGAGCACGAGCACTGTGATGCAATGAGATTCGAGCTGAACCTGATACCCTTCGCCCTCCTCAGTCATGCCTCAGTTCTGAGGCTCGGAGGAAGAGAAGACATCGCCCGTGAGAGCATGAACTGGACACAACCTATCCGTACTCGTACCCGGATAAAGCAGCAGACCGGGACCGACCTCCCTTCTCGCGGCCGACTTGCTGCTGCTACACGTACGGATAGCATCACCCCGGTCGGTCGGTCCCCGCATGGAGAGGCAAATAGCAACACATCGGGTAAATGCCTGCTACGAAACTCGCTACTCGCATATAGCCTTGAGTCGTTCCAGCCCAATCTTTGCCGCTATGATATGCAATGGCCGTCGTCTACGCACAACAGGTCTCCATCTCTGGCCGGAGAGCATCCCGATTCGTGCTGCTGTGCTACGACCAGCGCATGAGGGAACGATATGCCCCGGCAGCACACGCTTTCCATTGGCTTTTTTTGGGGCTCGGGGTGGTAGCCGGCCAGAGGAAGCTGTCGATACTGCCGGTTACACTTGCTCACGGCCCTGATCGGTAATACTACTACCAGTCGTCTCCGCGTTGCAGTAGGCATCTACGAACCCACTGATGTGCCTTAGTCGAGTGAGGTGCTAGCAATGATCGACCCCGGTCTGGACACAGGCCAGAGACCAAAGGCCAATGACAAGCACTCACGTTTCGTGCAGCTGTGCATGCTGTCCCCGATGCTGGGCTGGACCAGTCCATGATGTTGTGCCAGCATTAGCAAGGTGCTTTATATGGCAACACGTGGTGCCATCATGCAAATGAGGCATCTTGGATACATATGTTTGCTGCCTATCTGATGCCAAATCGATCCATCTCGTCATGTCGGAAGATCATAGAGTCTCCATGCAGAATGCTACTAGTACTAGCGACCAACACAGAGTTGCTAGTCCAGCAAGTGGGAATGTCTCAGGCTCAACCCGGTTTACCCTCCGCAGAGCAGCACGGGGGACGTCCTCCTACTCCCGGGGGATCCTTCTCTCTTGTGCCGAGACATGGGCTATCTATGGAGACACCAAGATGTCAAGTTATCGACGTCCAGCCTCATCACCAAGCTACCGTACGCCATTACGATTCGCTTTTTGCCAGTTGCCCCAGCCCACAGTGTTACGACCCAAGTCTTGACTGACTATGAAGGCTCAACTTGGTTGCTGCTGATCTTTGCTCGTCATTCTACAAAATGTGTAGTTGTATTACGACAGCTCACCATCTTCAGCCTTAGATCCTCGACTAGCAAGATCCGTCCCCTCCCCCACGCTCATACTTGATTAGCCCATGGGATCAGTCGTATCAAGCCGGGCGCTTGGAGCGGTGAGTTCGAAGTCGCTTCCAGTTGCATGAGCAGACGTGCATACACAGGGCGCTAATCTATGGCCAGGTTTGGTTCCCAAGGGCTGCCTTGCCAGGATTTTGCCAATCACAGTGTCATTGTCTCGGATGCCTCGAGACGTATGGACTAGAGATGACTCTTTGACGACGACATATCTCTATCCTCGCATGGCTGGGTAACATTAGAACCCTCCCTTGCTTCTAACCGACCCTCATGCCTTGATTGCCCGGCATGTCTGCCTAATGTTTGCGTTCTGGCAGCATCAAATGCGGATAAGCAGACCGGAAATCGTTGGCCTCCCGGAAAGGGGGGTTTCTCTACAGACGGTGTGAACATGGCGAGACATGGGAACATCTAGCCCAGCACTCGGCTTCTGAGGCTAGGGTTTCCGTGGCCGAAAAGCTACTTCAGCTCCATCAGCTCTTCTCCCGCACCTCTTGTCCCCATCTTTCTCTCATTCCAGAGCTAAGCGGGCGAGAAGGGGGACGGGGAGGAAATGAGGAGCTAGAGTTATGCCTTTCCTTACTCTCCTAGACCGTCAAGACGCTCCACGTAAGTCAGCTAAGGTAGCCACAAGGTAGCCGCCCTCCCCGATGGCTGCTAGTTTGACACCGGGTGCCCTCAGATTGGCCATGACTGACTTGGCGCTCCATGCAGGTATGTGACAAGTCCACCGGACTGTATGGATACGCGCCGTCGAGGAGGAGGAGAAGGAGGGGGTGAGTGACATCGAAAGCCTGTTTGCCTGTATGATCTCCCAAGGACGATCGGCTAAGGCAGTGATCTTTATCCAAGAAGGGGGAGGTTGATGACACCAGATCGAGGAGGACCTCCGCTGGGGTGCGGATGGTTGACTCGATGGTCCCCATCCGACACTCAAGCGCCTTGGAATTGTCTATATAAGACGAAGGAAATCCCGTTGTTCTCGGATATTCTCTGCTTATCATCATCATCTCTCTTCCATCTCCTCTTCATACACTTCTGCTGCCTCTCGAAGTTCTACTACCTTTGCCTCCGCCCCTTCAAAACTTTCTACCATCCTGTGCTTTCCTCGATCCAGGAAGACCTCCATCTTATTCATCACCGCAATAGGCAAGGCTCTATCAACATCAACTTCTCGGACCACCCCAGAAACCAACCATGCCTCGCAATACGGATAATCACATGCACGTCGTCTCCCGATCTGAGACGGAAACCATCTACGAGGGCTCGCTCCACGACCAGCTACAGGGCACATTCTACACCCCCGTGATGCCCTCTGCCATGAGCATGACCTCTTACATCTCCCCCGGAGCCGGCACCTCCGCTGCTGCCGAGGCCGGCGGACAGTCTGCCATCGGGACCCCGGGCATGTGGGTCGAGGCGGGCGCCCCTGAATCCGCCAACTTCCCGTATATGATTGCCCACACGGGCGAGCGGTTCGACATTGCCCACTACACCGAATGCAAGGCAGACTCCGGCGTTGATCAGATAAACGGGGTCATGATAATATGCGACGCCGGCACCATCGACAACGACGACATACGCTCGCCCGGGGGGAAGTACCTTTACCAGAATTGCAAGAAGCTGGGCACCGGCACGCAGATCAACGGCCTAGAGGTGGTCTATCACGGCGGCTCCAAGATTGTCCCAACGCTGCCGGGCATGCCGGGCCGCTGGGACAAGATGGACATGCTGACTGCCGAGGGCAAGGAGATCAAGGGGGCGCCCAAGAACCAGATCAATGGGGGCAGGGTACGGCTGATGAAGAGGTCGGAGATTGGATCCATGGCTAGCTAACTCTAATGTGCCCTTGGGGATGGGTTTTCTGATATCTTTCTATCTTACTGGTTATTGGGTACGGGCGTTTTGCGGATATTACATACAAGCATGTAGACTTGCCAATTGAGCATTTGCAATAGCTGCTCGAATGCGACTCCTCGGGTCCGTGTATAAGGGAGATAGGTATGCCCTGTAAGGCTGTCGGACGTGATTAGGTACCTACCTAACAGGGCCTACCTTAAGAGAGATACCTTTGATGCCTCTATATGAAATACCGCATGCGAGAGGCCTACCTACCTTAGTACTTATCTTCGTACAAGCGGATACTATATGTACGCCTCCAATCACCATATCCCACGTTCGTGTCTCTCCACTCCCTTACAGCTTCGAGTCATACCACGGTAGCCAGCAGGAGGGACGAATCGAAGAGAGGAGGTATCTAAGCGAATGACACCACCCTTTTTGGCGCAAGCCCAAGACAATTCGTCAATCATCCCGACGGACAATTCAAGCGAAAAGTATGAGCAGGGGATATGTCAATGTCAATGTAGGTACATGTAGATATTGTTGGTTCACTTCTGTAAATAGTGCCGATACCCCTCGTCTGTCGTGGTAACATGCAATATCAGGGTTATATCACATCACCTCTGCATGCGTGATGACTTTTGTAGATAATGCAATATCTTATCTTATGAGCTCAATTGGAGTCACATGAAGCATTCATAATCCCGCTTCCATGCCTTTGATCCTTTTCTTTTTGTTGTTTGTTGTTCAATCAAATAGTGCCCATCTATCTGCATGCGTTAACTGAAACGTACCCTGTAAGCGGTGTTGATTCCAAGATGCCGTGGCTTTTTTTTTTCTTCACATATGTTGAGTACAACTGGATGGAAATGAAGATGAACATCATGGGCAATGCAAACAAAAGCTCCCATTTCTCCAGCCAGTCAACGAATTTGCCCCCCCTTTTTAAAACCCTTTCTTTTTCATTTCTTCTTTAACAAGAACTTCGGTACTCCCCATACACGTTTAGAACCCTTTTGTCTTGCCCAAGAGTGGAATAATCGTACAAACGCCAGAAACCAACTCGTCTACTCCTCTCCCCCTTCGCGTAACCCCGTCTGTCTTTCATGCAAGGTAGCTGATTGATTTGTGTAGTGCGTAGCGTGTGGTGTGTGGTCGTGATGCGTGTGAAGATTGCAGTGTGATCTAGTCCTCACTTTTGGCGCTGAATCGTCTTGTGAGCCATCTCAATGAGACCGTCCTTGGCCTCGCTGTCGGGGAAGTCGGCAATGGCAGCAATGGCCTTTTCGGAGTAGTCGTAAGCGAGGGCTCGGGTCTGCTCGACGCCATCGCTCTGCAGAACCAATTGGCGGGCCTATACCGTGGAAACGTGTCAGTCAATTTGATCAGAGTGTCGGTATATGTGCAGCATGTAGGCAAAAGCAACTCACCCTCAAAACATCCCCCTCTTGAGAGAACTTGCGCCCAACGAGAGCGCCCAGCTCCGGCGTTTGCTTCCAGGCAAACAGCAGCGGCGCCGTGGCCAGGCCCAGCTCCAAATCGGCTCCTGCGGGCTTGCCCAGGTCCTGCCCGCTTCGCGTGTAGTCCAGCATGTCGTCCACCAGCTGGAACGCGAGTCCCAGATTCCGGCCGTAGGAGTAGGCGGCCTCAACCGTGTGCTGGTCGGCGTTGCCGAGGAGGGCCGCGGCTCGGCACGACTTGGAGATGAGACTGGCCGTCTTGAGGTATGTCTTCTGCAGGTAGTAGCTCAGCGTCTCCTCGGACCACTTGGGGCTGCGCTCGTCGCGCTCCGTGTTCTTGAGCTGCATGAACTCGCCCTCGACCAGGTTGGCGATGACCGTGGCCAGCAGCTCCACCACCTCGGCGTTGCGCAGCCGCGCCAGGGCGACGGAGGCCCGGCCGAGGAGGAAATCGCCCGCGAGGACGGCCATCTTGTTGCCAAACTCGAGGTTGGCCGACGGCGCCCCTCGCCTCGAGACGGAGTGGTCAATGACGTCGTCGTGTAGCAGAGACGCCGTGTGGATGAGCTCTGTGATTTCGGCCAGCCGCCTCTGGCTCGGGAGGATGTCGAGGTTCGCGTTGGCCGCGTCGGCCAGCTCGGCGTCGTACGACGTAGCGCTCGCCATGGGGTTGACGTCGCTGAGGATCTGCATGGGCGATATTGACGAGTCGATGCCCCGCGCCGTCTCGGGCGTCGCATGGCGCGGGCTCTTGGGACACAGATGCGTGGCCCGCGACATGAGCAGCACAATGAGCGGCCGCACATGCTTGCCCTCGGCCTGCGTGTAGTACTTGGCGACCCGGTCGAGGGCTGGGTGGCCGGAGCCCAGCAGCTTGCGGATGTTGCCCGTCAGGAACTTCATCTCCTTGGCCACGGTGCGCAGCGGATCAATCGTCATGGTGTCCTTGGCCGCCCGCTTCGCGACGTTGCCCACCATGTTCGTGGCGACCTGGACGGCGGCCGCCCACGCGGAGCCGCGGTTCGAGCTGGAGTGCAGCCCGGCCCGCTGCTGGAAGCCCAGGGCCGAGAGGGAGACGGCGGCCGAGCCCGAGCCCGAGCTGGCCATGACGGGCCGGTGGCAGACATGGCAGGTCGACGTCGCCGCTCCCATTCGGCCGCGGAGAGCCGCCGGAGCTCCCGCACGGAGCCTCATCTGCGCAGACGGGGGAGGCGGTTTTTTTGCGGCAAGATCAGGCGAGACGCAACGGCGGGCTGGAGGGATTGCGGATCACGGATCGGGGGAGGAACTCGTTCTCGCAGAGTCTAGGGAGGCACCGGAGCTGCGACCGGGGCGTTGGCTCAAAGAGATGGCAAAGTCGCGCAGCCTCGTCGTGGTTTGGAGTCGCAAAATCACAGCCGGCCGAAACATGGAAACTTTTGCAGCAGCACATCGACTTTTGGCGGGACCTCGAAGCCAAGGCCGAGAGAGACAGAGGCGAGGGGCAATCCGGGACCGAACCGCAGCTGCTCATTGGCCGGCCCCTGCTGCGGCGGGCGTTCAGCATGGCAAGCCCTGGAGCACAGGGGTCGCAGGCCCTGTAGCGCCGCTGCACAACAAGCTTGGCCGCTGTAGCGGTGCCCTGTAGGTGCTCGAGCGCCCCAGCCGCCATTCGCGGCTTAGCGTGGCGGGCAACCTGCAATACCCGGGTCGGCAATCAGGACTGGCATCCAATCAGATCTGCTGAAGGAGATGCCCCGCACCAACCATAGCTGTGCTTACATACATAGTAGATAGTAGCTGGCCGATTGATGCGATGATGATTGACATTGAATGCTTTGCATGGTCTGAGTATCGATCGGTTCAAGACTTATACACAGAGCCTCTCACGTCGTAACCGCCTGATTGTAACATCAACAACTCATCGCCATGGTTCTACTCACAATGACGGCGTCCATCGTGGACGCGCTGAAGCTGCTCAATGACCAGCGCGAAACGGACGACTGCAACAACGATGCCAGCGAGCAGCGGCCCAATGCCGAATCATCATCACCAGCCTCATCACCAGAGCCAACAGTTGGCAATCCCATCTCCCACAGCGACATCATCAACCTCCACAGAAAACTCAAGGCTTCGCAGTCATCAGCACCATCAAAGTACAGCCTGGAACAGCTGCTCCAGGGCTCCCGCGTCTACATCCCGCCGCCTCCACCCAAACCCGAGCCAGTAAGTGCCCAGATCCCCCCCCCAATGCAAATCCGTCTCAAGATCATCATCACCCACTGACACCTTGTCTGCCACAACAGTCCGAAGAATACAAGGCCCTCATGGCCCGCCTCCGCCGCGAAGAAGACGCCCGCTCGTACGAACGCATGATCAACCCGCCCCCTCCGCTCGAGACGTTCCAGCACCGCTTCCCCCACGCCGCCCGCGCCTTCGCCGAGGCAAACCGGCCCTCCAAGACGGAAGACCTCGGGGACGACGAGGTGACGGTCAACGAGATCCACCGCCAGGTGATGCTCATCATCAACTTCCTCGTCAGCATCGCCGGCGTCGCGGTGTCGCTGTGGATTGCCGGTCGGTGGTGGAGCCTGTCGTCTCGGATATTCCTGGCTCTTGGAGGCAGCATAGTGGTTGCCGTTGCGGAGGTTGCCGTCTATTCGAGTTACATGTGGAGATTGGGCGATGCGAAGAGCAAGCAGGGTGCGGTCAAGGAGATTAAGGAGGTTGTCCGGACGTGGATCGTGGGACAAGAAGGTGACGGGAAAGGTGACGAGAAGAGCGTTTTGATAGAGAGCAAAGAGGAGGAGGAGCAGGTAAGGAGGAGGATACCAGCGAGACCGGATATCCCAGAGCTGTAACATGCTTCTCATGCATTTCCCATATATATCCCGCAAGCGTTGTCCATCAATATCACTTCCATTTTATATCTTATCATCTTTAGCAGGCATGTAAACAAGCAAACGGAGACATGATTCCATCTGACAAGACGCGCATCTCATCTACAATTTAGAAGCACTACTAGTTGAGCCAACTTCAAACCCAGAAGTCGCTCTCTATCTATGTTAATTCTGCCTCATCAACGTCATGGGGCGGCAGAATAAATGGTCTGTGTAAGCGGCTGGAGCGCATGTGACATCGCGTAAAGTGCCCGCCATCGCGTCTCGACGCGTCTTTTTGGCGTGGGGGGCCAGTGTATGTATGCATCATTTTTATTCCCAAGCGACCAACAAACGCATCTTCTATCCCAAGAAGCACGAAGTCGAAACCAAAAAGTACGAACGAAACGATTTTCTTGCAGGACTACTCCTAAGTATCAATCATAACGCCTGTTGAGAATTCGACGTCAATCTGCCAACTCCATGCCCGCATACACAAATCGCGAACTTGAATCATTCACTTGCGATTCGTCTGGAATCGCCATGGCCAACTCATCGCCCGATTACTCAATGTTCGTCCCCATCGTCACCTCTTCCGTCCTCTCAGCGTTTCCAACTTCTGTTTTTGTGTGTGTATCTATGAAATTCTCACTCACATCATGTTTGCAGAACAAAACCCGGCCTGCACCACCTCCGCAAGCGCGACAAGCCCCTCCGCACCTACGGCAGACAACCCTCCACCCCCGAAGCCCAAAGCGAGCCACCTCTCAAAAGACGAAGATTTTCCGCTGTCAAACAGCAGCAGCAGCAGCAGCAGAAGCAGCAGGACGAGGAGGCGGAGGAGGAGGGGGAGGAAAAAGTCACCGCAACTCCCGAAAGCTCAAATGACGCCCCGGGAGCAGAGGCCACACCAACAGAAGCCTCATCTGAGACAAAAACAACCCAAGATGCCCCGAATGAGATCAAGCCCGACACCAAGCGCGCCGCCTCATCCAAGGGGTCTATCCTAAGCTACTTCAAACCAGCTCCAGCTCCGTCAAAACCCACCAAAGACGAGACACAGCCTCCATCACAAGAGTCTCAATCTCAGCCAGAAGACGCACCATCATCACCCCCAACATCATCACCCCCGAAGCGAAAACAATCCGTGAGAAGAAGACCACGACTCCTCAAAATCAAACCTCTCACGCACGAATCCCAAGCCGAGTCCTCCTCCCAAGACCAAGACGTGGCCCCTCCCCATTCATCAGACGAAACAACAACCCCCCAATCCCGCCGCCCTCTCAAGAAAACAGCCCCCAACACCATCGCAAGAAAGGCATCAGAATCCGAACCTTCATCAACCTCAACAACAACAACAACAACAACAACAACAACAACAACAACAACCCACTCACTCTCCTCCCCCCGAAAAACCTCCCTCCGAAACCTTCAAAAGCCCAGACCCTCCAAACCAGCATCATCATCAGCATCATCCCCATCCATCCAGACAACACTCAACATTTCTTCCAAGGCAGCCTTTTCCGAATGCAAAATCTGCGACACAGTCTGGAACCCGCTCTACCCTGACGACGTCAAGTTCCACAACAAGACGCACAAGGCTGTGCTGAGGGCGCAGAAGAAGCGCAAGATGGACGAGTTATAATGATGATGATGATGATACCCTTACATACGTTACGTTATGCACATGCACAGGTAACCTCTAGACATATGCATGTATAGATGATGAATGACAGGACATTGTTTTTGGGTAATTGGTGAGAGGAGGTTTGTGATTCTACTTTGTTTTGATACTGCTCTCTGCGTGTATGTTTGGAAAGAGAAGAATGAACAGCTGCAGCTGTGTCATTGGATGATGAATCTGGCATCGTCATCCCGGGGCTTGGTGCTGACTAGTAGAATATCACACTTGTCTCACATCACGTAATTCTGTAAGGCCAATCCAGCAGCTCGCTCTGACAGGGAAGAATAAGAAAATAACGTAAACTACCTTCATAATAAGCAGTCAGACTTTACAATCAGACATCAACACCATCACAGCGGCACCGCATTGCTCCAAAGAGATTCCCCTCGTCATTCATTATTACATCGTCGCGAGTAAAACTACTGTCGCAAGTCTCTCCTCCACAGGATATCATAACTACAACGGGAATAAAGAAGAAAAGGAGGATCAAGAATCGAAACAAAGAATCTCTCAAGAAGACACATCCCACGACTCTCCCGCGTCATCGCATCGCCCTCCCTCCTCTTGCCATTACCAGCCCTCCCCGTCCATACACTAGACAGCCGCAGGGTTCGCCTCTCCGCCCGTGACACCCGCCTCCTGAGCCTGGTGCTTGTCAGCGGGCGCCTTGGCAACCTCTCCCTCGGCCGGCCGGCCCTGCCCGACCGGCAGCGTCGTCGTCGTCGTCGTCGTCTCCGGCGAAGACGTGGCCACGGGGGACGTGGGCGTCGACGAGTTGGTGCCGCCGCCGGCCGCAGCAGCCGTCGCGACCGGGGGAGCGGCGTTGGTAACGCCCTGGATGACCTGGAACCAGCGCTGGGCGTCGGCGGGCGTGTGGGCCTTGAAGCTGATCTCGGAGCTCCCCGTGAGCTTGCTGCTCAGGGTGCCGCTCTTGTCCTTGCCCTTGATGGTGAACTTGTCGCCCGTGGGCACGCCGATGACGGCGTCGGGCAGGTAAATGGACAGCTCGGGCTTGGGGTCGTTGCGCGCGTCGTCCGAGTCCTTGAACTCGTGCAAGAACTTGGCCGGCGTCACGACGTAGTAGCCGGTCGAGTAGCCAAAGGACAGCTTGTTGCGCGACTTGCGCTCGAGCGAGCCCTCGATCAGGGCCTTTGTCGACGAGTGCTCCATGTTAGGGAACTGGATCGCCTCGACGGACCGCGGGGGGTCGTTTGCGCTGACGAGCCGGTCGGCGGCGCGGTGCTGGAAGTTGGTCCACTCAAAGTCGCGCGGGATGCACTGGACGGTGCCGAGGATGTCGCTGTGCAGGGCGCGCATCTTCTCGCCCTGGCCGCCGGCCAGCTGGGTGAAGCCCTCAATGGCCTGCTGGACGACCTCGAGGATGTGCGCCTCAAAGGTGCGGAAGTTGTTCTGCACGGCCACGAGGTCGTTGTGGTGGTTGTTCTCGGCAATGACCTGGTTGCTCAGGCGGTGCAGCACGCCGCGGCGCACCACGTAGGGGTCGTCGTGGCTGTTCATGCGGCCGCCGTGCGACTCAAAGGCCGCCGCCTGCTGGCCCAGCAGCTCAATGTGCTTCTGCGTCACGTTGCGCAGCTTCTCGACCTCCTTGGCGCCCGCCTGCGCGCCGCTCGCCAGCTCCTTGGCCTTGTGCTTGATCTCCTTGTGCAGCCGGTCGAGGATGGGCAGCACCGAGCCCTTGATGCTCTTCTCCGTCTCGATGTTGGTGTTGATCATGGCCTGCGTGTTGGCCCGCATGTTCTCGAAGAAGCCCGCGACGCCGCCGAGGCTCTGGTCGAAGTGGTGGCCCTCGCGAAGGGGGTTCGAGATGGTCTAGTGCCAGAGGCATCACACGCATTGTCAGTTTGGCTGAACAAAGCCCCAATGAAGCAATTCGCAAGACCGAAACGGAAAAGAAAGGGGGCCGGCGCTCACCTTCAAGACCTTCTCATACTCCTTCGCCTGGCGGCCGTGCACCTTCTCCACGGCCTCGACATAGTCCTCGAGATATCCCACCATGTGCTTCCACGCCTGCAGGCGCTCCGCAAGCAATCCGGCCGTCTACACGTTTTTTTTTTGCCATATGGTTAGCCCGCAAGTTCGCACGCAGCATCAGAGTCCTCTTGCAACAGAGCAAGACGAGCGTCTCTCTCTCTCTCTCTCCTCTCCGTGCGTTCTCCCCCCCGCTCCCGCTATGCATAGATGCTGTGCCACGTACAGTAGAGGGATCCGCCTCCGGAATAGCATCCTCGCTCAGTCCCGTCGTCGCGCGCGACGGCAGCGTGGAATTCGGCGGCGAGGGCTGCGACATGTTTATCAAAGGATAATTCTCGTCTTGTTTCGCCGTAATGATCGTGCAGCTCGTTTGCAGAAAGGGCAGCAAGGAAGATAGGAGCAAGTCGCAAGCTAAAGGGGGTTTCGTTCGTATGATGACGAGGCTTTCTCAGGGTCCAGAAAGAAAGTCAGAGCAAAAGAAATATAAAAGACAATGGATCAAAGTGATGGTGAAAGAGAAAAAGAGAAAGTAGTAGTAGCAAGCTTGAGTATGGCAGCGGCAGTCAAGCGTAATATAACAGCAGCAGCAAACAACTGTGCGCCCAGACCCGAGGAGGGATATGATGAAAGGTGACTTGATTGCTTCTTGCGAGGTTGCAGGTTAAAACAAGTCCCCTGGTCCCAAGGTTAGCACGAGGTCCCGTCATGGGCGGTCACTCTTTTAGGTAGGGACCTTGTTTCCCTCTTCCTTTTCCCCTTGTTGTCATAGGTACCATTTTGGGCGGCACTACGGAGTACTAAGGTAAGGTGATTACGACTTTGGCTCCAGGTTTGGGCTGGGGGTCGGTGGCATCGAACCAAATCGGGCCATTGGGGGTTCAAAGCAACTCTCCATCGTGGGAACATAGACAGAGAGTCAGAGAGAGAGCGGGAAAAGAAGAAGGGCATCGAAAGAATGGGGGCGTCTTGGTCCTTTGCCACTCAACTGTGCCGGTTTCCATTGGGTTTTTAGCGCATTGCCGTGTGGCATGTGGTTCCAAATGGCGTTTTTTTAGCATCTGTGATGGCGGTTGATCTGCAAAGAGTCATGATCACAGTCGATATCATACCTTACCTAGACGCTCTGTTCTCACTGTAAGAGGTACTAGGTAAGTGATGGCCGTCCTGATGCACGCAAAACAGCTGCATTGAAAAGCTGAACAACCATGGTATCATCATCAGCTGGACACCATTCAGTTTCCAGTAAGAAATCACCATACGTCTCATTTCGCCATGTGGGGGAACATACTAAGATAATAGTACTTGTATATACATGTACTTGCACCGCTCTTCGCTCTTTACGACTGCTAGCCCAGGGGATACGAATCACAGCAGTACGTGTATTCGTATTCTTGTTCACTGCCAATATTCCCGCTGCAAAACTCCATATACAGATAGTACCGAGGTAAAGGCTCACCTTGTCACAACGTTCACCCTTCCTCCCACCTCCAAACAAACAGCATCGTCAAGTCGAAAAACCCCCCTCCCTTAAACATGCCACTTGCATGTTCCAACCCCCAAATCTTGATTTTCCACTCTTCAATTCTTCAGCGCCCAAATCGCCGCCCACTCTAGCTTCACCATCCTAGTGTCACCCGTGACGTCAGTTCCCTTCAGCTGTCATTGAAATTGTTTGCCTCTGGGATACAACCTGCCTTTCCGGCTACACACTTCCGATCTTTCTTTTGTTGGGTTGCAAGCTGAGGCTGTCACCTGAATGTAGTACTTGTTTTTCGCCCAATCTAGTCATCTTGTTCGACCCCGATCTTGTCAAGCTCGTCTACCGTACCGTCGTCAACGTCTTCAATTGCGTCAGACACAGCTACGGCGACCAATGGGGTCATAGGACAGCCCAGTGGTAGGTATCCAGAGTCTCTGCATGGAGTTTTGCCCCCCTGAGTGACTGAGAGAACTCATTGCAACGGCCACGCGCCGGGTTTCAACGACATCACCATTAGAACACACAAACTGTCAGCTTTAATGTAGCAGGGAGTATTCATTCCATGATTCTATACACTCTAAAAGTGTAGATAGATCGTCGTATCGGCAAGTTGTAAAATAAAATCCGAAAAAAAAGAAAGAAAAAAAAAGCCATAGCATGTGTGAGAAACTGCCCCCCCCAAGACACCGACCAACCACTCCGTTCATGATACTGTACGCCCAAACCTGGTCGTTACCAAAAACCAACATACATATATGATATAAAGTCATGACAGCCCTCTATCCGCTCATACCCAAGTCTATAAGTTGTATCCTGAAAATGGCACGCATAACTCGCTGACGCCGTCAAAGCCAACCGACCCGCAATACCCAAGCATGATGAACCAAAAAAAAACAAATGCATGTCGTATATACCGCGGGAATAATCACGTGAAAAAGAGATAGGAGAGGGAGGTTGAGTCGCTTCATGTAGCGGATCAATGTGGCGTTGCTTCCTCTTCAGACAGCCTGGTCTCTGGCGCGGAACAGATGTAACCTCCGATGTATCGAGTTGTCATCCGACTGAGAGCGGGCCATCGGAGGGGACAGGGCCCGAGCAACGCTTTGCATGTGCGGCTCGCGCGTCTCTTGGGCCTCGCCAGCTGCGTGCTCAGCTATCGTCGACAGGGCGTCGTTGCTGCCGCTGAGCTCCATGTTCGGCGGTGTCCGCGGAGCGCTCAGGGCCGTTTGGTAGTCTGGGGCAGAGAAGCCAGTAGAGGTCCGAGACCGTGCCGGCGTCTTGACCGCAGTTGAATAGCTCGGCACTCGATTCAATTGGGCGAATTCGGCCGTATCTACTTGGGCTCGTTCTCCCGAGCTTCGAGCACTGGCTTCCTCCTCTTCGCTGTTTGTCCGACTCAAATGTGCCGGAGTCTGTGGGGTATGGGGCGTATGAGACGTGTGACTGGTTCCGTGGGTAGGTGAGGTGCGGCCAGATGCAGCCTGGATGGATTGATACGAGCTATTCCGCTGCGACTGATCCAGTGAGACGCTCGCCAGCCGAGACGAGAGCGCCGCCGGCGTGATGGGTGCGCTGTTGGCCAAGGCTGCCAAGTTCTCCGAGGAACCTGCCCGTGAGTGTCCGTAAAAGGGGCTGTTGAATCCAGAATGCACGGCCGGTGTCTGGAAGCCGGTGACGTCCATCTCGTCATACAGCTGGTCGAGCACATGTTCGCCGTATCCCGGTGGTGCCATGGAGCCGAGATCCTGCTCGAGGGGGGGTGCGCCGGGAGCTTGGTTAACCAGGTTGCCCTGTTCGTCGAACGGGATGTTGGGGGAGATGAAGATGGAAACGGGAAGTGTCGCTCGCAGCTGTTTGCGCACGTTAGTCCATATCTCAGACAGATTTGAGCTGAGCCGAGCCAGCCCGGTTAAACGTCAATAACACATACCTCGGAAATGTGGCCATCCGGGTTCTTGAGCGCGACGGTGAGCTTGATCTTATGCCTGACTCGAATTCCGTGGTGGTTCAAGTCCTGGATGCACTGGCGCAGCTTCTTGGGCAGGGGAAGCGGGCTATTGACCAGCCAGCCCTCCTGTCCAGTGTCCTCAATCATGTCGTGCCAATGCTCCTCCCGGGTCACCGGAAACTTCCACGTCGCCACGTCGCGCTCGGTGCGGTGCTCGCGCATGTTCAGGCCACTCGCTCCCTGGATGAAGCAATCCCGAATCTCGACCATCTTGGCATTGATCTCGCCAATCTCGAGCCCCTTGAGGAGCGGCGAGAAGCGCATCTCCATGTTGATGGTGCCGCCAAAGACGACGGCCTTTTGGGGGATGACGATGGAGTACTCAATCTTGTTGGGCCAGATGTTCTCGACGCTCATGGCGTGCAGGAACTCGAGGGCGCCGGGCTCGAGCGTGCGGATGATGCGGAGGTGCTTGTATGCGTGCAGGTCGTAGGCGAACTTGCCGCGGCTGACGGTGGCCTTGAGCCGGTATGTGATGGATGCCTCGGGGATGCCCTCGACGCTCTCGGGGGTGTCGCCGGGCAGAAGGTATTCGAAGGGATACTCGTAGTTGCCGGCGGGCAGGGTCATGCTCTTGCCGTGGGTGCCGACAAAGGGCGGGAATCGGTGGTCGAGGATGTTGACGGACCGGTCGACTCGCTGGCCGGTGACGCCCGGCGTGCTAGATCCAGGGTCAGACCAACTACAGAGAGAGGCGACGGGGTTAGAATACGCGGTACACACTGGTAAGGCGAGTGGTTGATTCGGGATTCATACTGAAGGCGAAGAGTCCCAATCAGGCGCAGGTGGATGTCCTCCATGCGGAGGGGCGAGGAGAGACATAGCACGACGACGCCCTTGAGGAGCTGTCCGGACGATTCCTGTTCGTTTCCGCGGAAGACGATGAAGTCTTCTTCTAACCTGAGCGGCGCAGAATGGTCAATATGCCAGATCTTGCACGCATTTTGTGTTGAGATGTGCTGAGGTAGGCATTGTCGCAAAAGAAAAGAGTTGATGGCGGCGGGAGGGAGCGATAAGATAAACTCACCTGATATCGAAGAGACTGTAGCTATGACGTCCCGTCACCGAGGAAAAGGGCTTAAAGGACGGCATGGCTCCGGCGTGGCAGAGCCGCAAGTACAAGAACAAGAAAAACACAATGGCCTGGGGAAAGATCCGAAGGGTAAAATAAACACAAGAGTAGGTATGGTTTGAAGAGAAAAGGAAGAAGAGAGAGTCAAGCAAGGACGGGAAAAAGAGAAGGTGGAAACGCCGAAAATGCGCAGACAAGCACGCACGCAAACGGACTCGGTCCCGTTGGGTCTAGAGGATCTCAATGGGCTGACACGGAGCGAGCAGGGACAGGACCAAAGATGGGAAGGGCATGGAACAAGGACCGCCGACTTCCCTGGCTCGTCTTGCTTGGGCCGGTCCCGACAAAGCCTCTGACACACACACCACACACACGCTCTCTCCCTCTCTTTCTTTTCTCACACACTTCTTCTCACACGCCTTGCTCTGACAAAGCTGAGTGGCTAGGCAGGGCTTCCGTGGGAACTCCCCTAGATGGCTTCGCCTCTTCGGCCGTGTGGCCCCGAAGAAAGAGGGCCCAGGCTGATAGTGGTGGGGCGCGAGAAACGCCGCGAGGGCAAAAAAAGACAGGACGAGCGACAAGGGTCTTTTTGCCTCGACAGGAGCCGGTTTCAGTCGAGTCGAGTCGAGTCGATTTCGGACGGGACTTGAATCGAAAGCCGTTGGCTCGGCTGGTGGATCCGATAATGGATTTGATGGATGCGAGTTGAACGTCTTGGACCGTGATCAGATTGCGCAATACTAGTAATACATACAAGGGGCTTGAAAAGGTCTAGAGAGAAGACGGATTCTCGAGGCACTACTAGTAGTAGTAGTAGGAAAGACGTGATAAGGACGAAGTGGGAGGTTGGAGGAGGAGGAGGAGGAGGAGTAGAAGAGGAAGAAGGAGAAGAAGAAGATGATGGAAGATGCTGCAGTGGGAGAGGAGTTATGAAATAAGAAGATAGGCTGATAGTACTACTAGGCAGGAGATGGATGCATGTATGTAGATGTCAGGTAAGGTATGTAGGTAGCTGTAGACGACTGGGCACACGGGACGGAGTGACGGCACAATCGAACACGCAGCCCGTGGAATGAGGAAGAAAACGAGGCTTCCTTCCAAGCGTTACCGCCTAGGTAGGTACCTACCTACAGTATGATCCAAGCCTCGGGAGAAACGCCAGCAGGGTTCGTGCCTCTGTGTGTGTGTGTGCGTGTGTGTGTCTGTCTGTCCACGAGCAGTTCGTGCAGCCACATGTGCAAGATGTCGGGGACCAGCAGCCACTAATTAGGAGGTGTGGAACGGCCGTCCTGTTGACAGGCAACTCGCTCCGTGGCTCTGCTCACTTAGGTACTATTAGAGTATCCCGTTCATGTCCACATACGCTTCCGCATCCGTAGGTGGTACAATCTACTGCTAGTGAAAACATCTGGGCAATCAAGCGCCTCGGCGTACCGGCTACTGGGAGAGCATCATGTGTCAATGACCCTATGTTATCGTCTATCTACTCGGACTAGCATCATTACAATTACTACTCGTACGGGAATAAAGGCTACTTGCACGACGGCGTATCGGATCCACGCATCGGGTTGCGCGATGCGGCACTTGGACATGGTTGGTGGAACGAGCCCGGCAGGAAACGTGCATGTGAACCGATCTCGTCACCTTTGGCTGTGTCTGTTTCTGTTTCTGTTTCTGTATCAATAACTGCCCGTTCATACGAATAGTACATACTCCAAGCACACCTCAAGTCTTGCTTCACCGTCGCATTCAAGTGACCAGAAAACAGGGTCATCGTTTTCATGCCGGTGGATGGAGGCAAATTGCATTTTGAAGATGATGTACAAGAACAAGAAAAAAAAGAATAAAAAACCCGCTCCGTGACCCGGCCTGCCGAGTGCCGACGGCGGCGGCGGGCTTTCGTCTTGCTTGCTTGCTTGACACATGCATACGAGAGTACCCGACATACCGATCGTAGCAGTCCATGTACATACATACAAGCAAGCATACAAGCAAGCAAGCAAGGTCTATGCAGTGTGGCCAGGGCATCGAAAAAAATGGAAGCCCAAATGGAAGCCCCGAAAACGGAGCAGTGCCGGGCGGCCAAATACCGGGCTGACAAGAAACAGGCAACAAAAACCCAGCACAGGCACTAACAAAAGATGGGAGAGGAAAAAAAAAAAAAACATTTAAGCGCTGGCCATGAGTCGTGGCGCCCTTCAAACCCATCAAGGAGAACAAATGCCGCCGTCAAAATGACGCCAGGACTGTGCATCACTCTTGTCTGAGCGGCGTAAACGGACCGGAATGGCGTCTCATATTACTAGTAATATGTGACTTTGGTATCTTCCTTTACCTTTTTTTTTCTCTTTTATCCGTTTCTTTTTTTTCGGAGCTTGTTACGGTGAGATGAATCAGACCGTGGGATCTGAATTGTCTGGCAGGTTAATAATTCCAAATCCACTTGATCAAACACTGCGTATTATCAGTAGTATTCCTGCGTGTCAAAAGGCGCCGTACAAGGCATGATGGCGTCTTACTGTCGGCTGCCGCTTTGAGCGCAGGTGATGAAAACAGGACATACGCAACACACACGCAAACAGCGGTGGAATATTGAGAGAGTGCCTTGGCTTAGGCACCTTTCTCAAATCACTGCGGAAGTATCACCGCTGGCATTCATCTGTGTGCACTGACAGCAGCTGGTGGCACTTTGTCCTGTCTTCCCTGCTCATCAATGTTCCTTCGTCCATGTATATACGAGTACACCTCATATTGCCCCGCGATAGTACCACCCACACTGCATTTGCCTCATGTACGGTTATTTTGCCATGACTTCTATTACTACGGTAGCATTATGCTACATGTGCCGGGCTTCTGATCACAATGACCTCGGCCATCAAGGTCATCACATCAATACTCTCTCACGAGAAGACAAACACACCCAGGGACTGACCCCCGGCATCGGAACGGCCACCACTGACCGTCTGCCATCTTAGTGGTAGCTCGTCAATCAGCGCGCATCAATCCAATAGGTAGGCAGATTACTACTACCTACCTAGTACGAAGGTAAGTAAACAACCGGCACTTGCAAGCGACAAAGACGGCTATATGCTCAACCGTACTGCTACTGCTACCTCCTAAGCCCTTGTCCAAGACCTTGGCAATATCGACCACTGTGCTTATATGAAAAAAAAAAAAAAAGACTCTTGCTCTGCTAGGAGTGCATCGTGAGGCTGTGCTGCTGATTGCATCCTCTTGGTCCTTTGATGGCGGCACGCACTGGTATGCACCTCTGTAGTACCGAGTGCAACGACGGGGAAAACCTCTCTCCTTCACAGCTCGTCACGCCCAGCTGACTGACTGACCCTCTCCCGCAAGCATCCATGACCACTGCGATATGTCAGATTCATCAGCTTGCCAGGAATAAAAGCTGATGTGTCACGCAGCCTGCCAGCCAAGCGGTTTGCCTTCAGCCTCCGTGGCTGCATTGCGTGTTTTTGCGATAAACTCACTCAGCTCGCCTAGAGCTTCAAGTCAGCAGCTCGTTTCTCTTCTAGGAATAGTAGTAGCTGCTGTGATAGGTATCATCAATACTGCCTTGACTACGTACTTGATACTACTACTACTACCTAGTACATAGTAGTATTACTACCTAGCATATCGTGGCCATGTGGAGTCGTCAATCACGGCGTTTCTGTCGCTAGTCCCTGCTGTTGAGGCTCGGCTCTCGATGGCTACATGTACCTATTTTACATGTATCCATCGTGCCTTGCCTGTAAGGCTTAGGACCTCCCGTCGTCTTAGACAAGCTCAACATCAGCCGCCACGTAGGTGTGTGAGATGGGTTTGACAGCACAGACTCGAATCTCGCCATCACATTGCAATCAACACATATCAAGTTCTACAAGCTACTGAAGCTGGACGGAGTCTCAACCGTCTCCAACCGATACCACCTGACAACAAAACACTTCCACGATGCTCTGTCATGACCACTGATACATACATCAGACAGAGCTCGTGTCAAAGCAGGCAGCCATCGACAGGCACACGCACAAGCCCCCCACCTCAAACCTCGAAAGAGCAAGGGGAAAGAAAAAGCTCTCGATACCGAACCGAAGCACCCATGTGAGAGTTCCAATCTCAGCCAAGGGGGTCCCATGAGTTGCTCCTCTAGCCTCAATGCCAAGCTTGATAGCTCGATGCCGCTTGATCGCGTCGATGCTATCTACTATCAGTGGAAACGCCTCATCAGCGGGCCGAAGAGAGAAAACAGGGTCCTCTGGGTACACGTATCATCCACTCTGGAACCTTGAGCTTGCCAGGGGGGGGGTTCCGAAGCCAGGGGGGGGGGGGGGGGGGGGGGGGGGGGGTAAAAAAACAAAACAAGAAGAAAAATCTAACAAGATCAAGAAAACCCTGAGATGAGCCAGCGTCCTGTTGGTTCACACGAGACGAAGCCATACTCGTCGTAGCGCCAAAGATAAGGAGGAACGCTTCAGAGCAGCTGAATCGCCCACCGCCTCTCTCTCTCTCTCTCGCTCGCTCTTTTCCATCACATTGCTGCCTCCCTGACCGTGAAGGTATCACCGAGAATCGAGGCCCATTGTTTCGAAGAAAAATTTCCCCTTGCCGCTGACCCTGTTTATGCCTCTCCTTGACTCACGCCTTTCACCTTGGCTTTCGAGATGGAGACTCCGTCCAGGCACATGCTACTAGAACTTAGTACTACTACTACTAATATGTACTATGTTATGTATTTACTCGGATACTACCTTGACACCTTGACAACAAAGCTCCATATTAAAGGGGAGTGGATGTGATCTGCGAATCCTAGATGCCGCCTCGACCACGGGATGGGTGACAGCCCGTCACAAATCTTACTAGTTTTGCAACCTTTGACTGACCAAAAACTTTTTTTCCCATCTCAACAATTTTGCAAACCGTCCGTCTGTTCACGTACCTATCAACACCCCCCTTCTCCTCTCCCCATTGCTTTATCCAGCTCTAGCAGTCGTTGCTTATTTTGCTCCTTGCTACTCTGTCAACTGGTCATTCCACCTCCCTATCGTTTCTCGTCCATGTCAGCCCTGAAGCTCCGGTATACCTCTTTCGGAACCCACATGTAGCCGCCGGCCACCCAAAAAAAAAACCCTCCCGACCTTGCTGTCTCGAGGTCAATGGCCAATCCCGACCCATCTCCTAGAATCTCCGACCCCGTAATAGTCCGATGGACCTGATTTCCCTGCTACTACTCTACTTCGAATCATTCACGATTATCAGTTCTGATACCTACCTACCTAGTCAAGCTCAAGGTACCAAGATTCGTCTTTCGTACGATCGGTACCGCAGGTATTATTACGGAGTCTACATCTAGCCCAGCCCGCAATTGCTCCGAGGACATGCAAGACAAGTCGGCTATTAGACCGAAAGATTCTCAAAATCCACTCCCTACTATCCAATCTCATACTGTGATAATACATATAAACAACGGTCCTTCACAGACCAGAAAAACATAGAATTAAAATAGTTAATAGTAGTACTGTAGAAATCTATAAAATTTAACTAATGCTAGGTTTAGTAAGTCTGCTAAGTTACTTTTTTTTAATAATATAGCTATCCTACTATAGGCAAGTGATTTTTAAGTACTTATAACTGCTAGTATATACTACTATTTAAGATTATGCTTAAATTACTATTAGGTTATAATACTATAATATTAAAATATATAACTTTATAATAGTTATTTTTTAAGCTATAGTAATATAGCTACTTTAAAAATATAACCTTAATATTATATTAAAGGCTATATAGTTAAGACTAAAGTAAAAGAATTCTTTTTTTAAGCTTTATAAGCTAAAAAAGTCTATTTATTATATTAAATACTTATTTTTTATAAAAAAGAAAATTAAGGTTATTTTCTTTTTAATTTACTATTAAATTTATAACCTTAAGTTATATTATAAAATTAAAAAAGGCATATAGCTTAATAAGGCCTCTAGTTTTTAACCTTTAACTTTAAAAAAAGCTATAAGCTACTTTTTAATTCTTTTAAGTATAATTAAGACTTAGTAGTTAGCATAAAGTAGTAGAGAAAAAAAGGTAAGGATTACTATTTATATATATAAATAGTATTTATATATAATGCTATTACTAATTAATATAGCTAATTAATATAAACTTTAGTATTTCTTTTATTATAATATAATAATTACCCTCTTTTAAAAAAATAGTATCCTTATTATTAATTAGTATCCTTATTATTTATATAAGTAGTAATAGTGTTTAATATATTTACTATAATAATTAGTTTATTATTAATATATTAAGAGTATTTAGCTACTATATATTATAAGTATTTTATATTATTTTATAATATTTTAATATCTTTTTATAATATAGTTTTTACTATTTAAGGAAAGGGGGGTATATTATTAATATAAAAAGGGCTAGCTATTATTATATTTAACTTTTTTTTTATAAGGCTAAAAAAGTTACTATTAGTAATTATATAATTTTAGCTAAAATACTATTTTTTAAGTATAATAACCTAGCTAGTTTTTATATTCTTTATATTATTAAATGCATTACTTATAAAATTATTAATATATTTAAATAAAGAATTATTAAAGTTAGTAGTATATTTAGCTTTAGTTAAAGGTATAATAGCAGCATTTTTATTTTTAATAGATTTAGTATTAGCAGTTAACTTTAAGGTAAATGTAAATATAAATAAGGTAATTACCTTAAAGTGCTATATATAATATTTAGTAATATAATTATAAATCTTAAGTAATAAAAAGAAGTTAGCTATTATATTAATAACCTTCTTTAAGAGCTTATTATAAATAATATTAAGTACTACCTAGTTAGTTTATTATATAATACTAGCCTTTTTAATAGCTTTATATAGCATATAGTTATAAAGGCTTTTAATATTTAACTTAAATTATATAAAGCAGCATGCCTTAATAATATTAATAAAGCAGTTTTATTATATAAAAGTAAGGCAGGTGGCTTAATAGTAATATACTTTTATATAGTAAATAATATTAGCTATTTTATTACTAGTATATATTTTAAAAATATTACTAATTTTAAAGTGCTTTATAAGCCTTATTATAAGGCTGCTGTTAATATAATATTATAATATTATAAGTAGGCTAGTATAAATTATATAAAGAGAAGAAAGGTTATAAAAGATAATTAAAAATAATTCTAAGTATAAGTAGGTTTAAAAAATATATATTAAAGACTTAGCTAAAGTAAATATAATATAAATATAAAGTAAATATAATTTTAAAGTAAATAAAAAGTAAGTATATAATAGGTCTAGTTATATAAAAAAGTAAGTTAATTAGTATTATATTTTAGCTATTTTTTATAAAAGTAAGGTTATTAAATACTATATTATAATACTAGATTTTAGCTTTTAAATCCTTAAACTAACTTATTAATATTAATAATTAAAAGGTCTTTATTATACTATAATTATAT